GCCGCAGAAGAGGTTCTTCCGGCAGCGCGCGCATGCGAATCCCTTCTCCGATCACCACCTTGACTAGTATGTGTACATTTAAGCTCCAATCTAGCGCTTGGCAGGGTCCCTTGAGGGCCATTGTGTTTGCGCAGAGCTTCTTTCTTCAGGCTTTCGATGTATGTTGAGCTAACTTATTCGTGAAAAGTCCTATCAGCCCGGCGCATATGGATTGGTCCTCACATTACCCCGCCTTCCTGGATCCAGATACATCAAAGACAACCCTCGGTGGTGCGCGCAAGCTGTTGAAGGACGTCGAGGTGGTGGATATTGGGTGTGGATTTGGCGGATTGTTGGTTGGGTTGGCACCTCTTTTGCCGGAGACATTGATGGTTGGTACGTTGATGGTCCCCGGAGATTGGATTGAGCGAGCTCTTCCCATCGGAATACTTCGCATATGAATAAGCTAATTCCCACCCAGGCATGGAAATTCGCATATCAGTCCTCGAATACGTCACATCACGCATCCACGCCCTACGCATGCAACAGCAAAAGCTCAAGAACGACGCTATCGCGGGAACCGGAGCCACACCGCAAGACTCAAATAACACCGCCGAGCAACCCGCTATCGAAGACGAAGTCGGCAACACGACGGCCGTTGTTCCAGGAAACTATGAGAATATCAGCGGCATCCGCGCGAACACGATGAAGTTTCTCCCCAACTTCTTCGACCAGCACCAGCTCTCCAAGATCTTCGTCTGCTTCCCAGACCCGCATTTCAAGGCTCGCAAGCACAAGGCACGCATTATCTCGGAGTCCCTGAATGCCGAATATGCATATGCTCTTCGGCCCGGTGGTCTGATGTACACCATCACCGATGTGGAGGAGTATCACCACTGGGTTCTCCGGCATTTCGAATACCAGTCTGAAGAAGAAAAGGCCAGAGGTGGTGTCAAGGACCTCTGGGAGCGTCTTACAGATGAGGAATTGGCCGCTGATCCATGTGTGCATGTGATGAGCGTTGAGACTGAAGAGTCGAAGAAGGTCTCACGCCACAATGGCAATAAGTATGTCGCCGTGTTCCGACGTAAGGCTGATCCTGAGTGGTCTACATGATCTGCAAAGGAGCGAGCGTATTTTCTTTTCTGAAAAGTTTATATTTGTCCTCTGCAAAGAAAAAAGATTCCCGGTGTATAAGCGTCTAACCGAACTCTCTATCGTATGCATTTGCAAAAAAAAAAAAAAACACTAACGCTAAACAATCTGGCGCTTGCTGAGACCGAAACCCAATTGAAAAAAAATATAATTTCAGACAAAATCTCTCAAAAGTAACACAAGTATGGAAGAGAAATGAATGCGCCACGTTGCGATCATAATCCGAAAGAAAGGTCAATAAGTCATCACGCAATAAATTCATCAAAGGGGCATTTAAACAGATACTAGATCTGGGAGGTGCAGAGAATGTCTCAACACATCCCATGTGATTTCAGGCGTAAACCCTCGCATCTTTCACAGATGGCGAGTTGTACGGGCCCACCAATGATGCGACCCTTGGCTGTACGCCTAGGCTCGCCTTCACGGACGAAAAAGCGGCCATCAGCCCCAAATCCATTACCACATTCATGGCAAGCAAAGCATTGCTCGTGCCATTGCCCGCCAATAGCAGTGATGACAACGTCGTCTAGAACGTGCTGCTTGCAGCCCAGACAACGAGAGGCCGTGCGGCGACCATGGCATTTGAGACACCAGGCAAAGCCGTCTTTCTCCACGAAGGGAGTCTTCGAGTCAAAAGGCTGTAAAGATCGTCAGAATACTGGTATATCAAGGGTAAAGGAAATGATAGATAGAATTTACATCACCACACTCGGCGCAGAAGAAGTGACCGACATGCCATTCCGCACCACAGGCAACGACCACTTCTCCCTCAATGGGCGTCTTGCAACTCTTGCAGCGCGGGCTAAAAAATTCGTGGAAATCCAGATGGCAGTAAAAGTGAGGAACAGGTGATTCGTCCGGGTTGGCCTCGAGTCTTTCAGCGCGACTAGCAAGTGGTTCCTCGTAGAAAGCAACACATTCAAGAGCAGTGTGGCAGTGGAAGCAGATAAAGCACTCCGGATGAAATCGGGACCCTCCAGCCGTCACGATCTTACCAGAGATCGAAAGAGAGCATGACTCACAACTAGCCGTCGGGACACCGGATCGAGAGTATTGAGTACGCCAGTTGTTTTGGGGCTGCGATGCTTGTCTTACGGGCGGCACCTGGCGATTCTGGCCAGCTGCAGGCTGCTGTTGTCTCGGCCGGGTAGGCTTAGTATGATTGTGTTGAGATGGCTCGCTCATTTCCGAAATAGTGGGTTCTTGGATATCAGGCACATTGATCACTGGTATTGAGGAAGCTTGGGAGACCTCAATGCTAGGCGTGACCTCAACGGTAGGCGTGACCTCGATGCTTGGAGCCACCTGGATGGTGGGGATTGGAGGTGCCGAGGGTGCTGAATCGCGGGCTACTGGGCTTTGCTGGACACGCTTGGGCTGGTCACTCGATTGCCACTTCGGGTTAAAGCTAACAATTGGCCGGCCAATGCGATCGCTGACAGCTGAAGGCATAGGAAGATTCTCGCTTCGATCTTTTAGTCTCTTGCTCGTTGCTGCACGAATATCGTCACTACGGATTTCCTTGCCGTCTTTGGTGGGAACCTCTTCTTCGCGGGAGCTGGGAGGGGTCGGGGGTAGAGGGTCGTTCTTCATATAGGTCGAATTCCGAGGCTGGGTCGCGGGTAGAGGGTCATTCTCCATATAGCTTGCATTTCGGGATTGGGTCGGCGGGTTCTTATGAATGTCAAACTGGGAGATTCTATCTCGCACCGAGCCTTGCCCAGTTTTGCGATCTCGAAGCCAGGGAAGAGGTTTGTTGAGACGCGGCAGAGCATTGCGAGGCTTATTACGCAAGGCAGAGGAGTCAGATCTGGTGAAGTCAGGAGAAGGCTCGGGGGCCTCCTTGGCTGGGTCGATGGGCTCCTCATATATGTGGTCGTCGGGATTCTTGAAAACACCCTTGGAAGAATCACCACTGACTTGTCGAGGACGAGGAATACCACTGGGTTCATCAACTCTGGATGGCTCTTCCCCGGGGAGCGCGAAATTGACCCTGCGATTCTTCTTCTGGCTCGCGCTAAGAGATGACCGTCTACGGGCGGTTTTGTCGAGGGTAGCATCGGCCAATTCTGGACTGGAAGGGTTGCTAGAAGAGCCGCTAGATCCAACGGAGTGGCGGAATTTGTTGGTCAAGCTACTGGAGCTTCTTCTGAATTTGCTTCGAATAGAACCCTGCGAGCCGGCATCGGGGTTCTGGTAAGGGGCATATGGATTCTTGAAAGCCTGGCCAGGGTTCTGGTGCATCCATACGAGTTCCGTGGCCTCGTCCTGGGCATTTTGGTGAACACGGACATCATCATCTTGAACGTTCATATCCTGCAGCGCATCACGGAGGTCACGCGCTTCCTCCTTCTCATGGCGGCGGTGGCCGCTCTCCCGGTATGAAGGAACGGGCGATGCGGCAACTGGTCGCGATAAGATCTGGGATGGAAATACGTGCTGTCTGACTGTTGCCGATTGGGGCTCCTGGGCGAGGGGGCGCCCAACTGGGCCACTCTCGGTGATGTGGGAGGTCGTGCGACGATGTGACAAGGCGCTGCCGGCGCGGGGTTCCCCTTCCGGGGGACTGTTCTGTCGATGCATGGAAAAGGCGGATGATGCACGGGGTGGGAGGTCATCTTGAAGATCAACTGTTGACGCGGCAGCTTTCCCAGGGAGGGGTCGAGATCCAGTGGGACGTGCAGGTCGATTTGTTCTCAGATCTTTGAGATAGTTTGCTGTTAAAAGGTGACATTTAGCTAGGTTCCTGCGACGAGCGGTCTTTCCGTCTGATTTCTTTTTCTGTAGGGAATGCCGAGGGGGAAGCGGTTGAAGCGATCGCGGGATCGCAGGAATGAGTCACTCACCAACTTGATCGCTAGACATGTAGGAAGGACCAGGCGGGGAGACCTTGCGTTGGCCGATGGGCTTGGTATGTTTGTACATGATGGTGATAGAGCGGCTATAAGATCCAGGTGGAATGGAATGGCATTGAGGTCCCCAGGAAGCGAACAATGCAATCCGATCCAGCAATCCAGGGTTAAATGCGACGTCAGGATCAGCCCAGGTAGAGATATGGGTATGAGCCTTAAAGAGATAAAGTTGGCCAGCATCGCTGCCCAGTGACAAGTGGAGTTGTTGCGCGATCTGCGGAGCCCAAACAACAAACACCAGGGCAACCACCCGATCTGGTTAGGGCTTAGGGCTGACACGTGCTACATAGTATAATTGTATAATAGCATAACCATAGTTACTAGTAGTAGTTTATGGTATCCTGGTATCTTGTAGCCTGCAGAACATTAAGTTTAAACTCTACCTTTATTCTCCGATCACTAAACAACTTGAACCATCACAGATCTAACCCTGTCAGGTCTCACCGCCCCATCCTTCGATCCTCAGGTCTCCGCACTGGGCCCTTTCATCGACCCCACATATGGAGTTGGAGTACCCCCTCCTCGGCTCCAGAGGTACTACTACCGTACAGCCGACCAGAACTCAGAACTATTACCTTATATGTACAGAGCGGTTAGAACGGAACCCCCCTCATTGGTCGATTTTCGCCGACAAGCTGCCAACTGCTGCAGGTTCAACCCCCGGACATCTTCCCCAGCCATGCCAAACCTCGTAAAGATTTGTCGGCCCCATGTCCGACTAAACTCCCCAATTACGGACTAGCCATACGCTAGTCAAAGAAATGACTCCTATCATCTGTAGCTACTTTTCTAGCTTCTATTCCCTCTGTAATTCCTAGTTCCTTTTGACTCCATGTGTCGCCGAAAACGGTACAAAAAATAAAGAAGCTTCCAAGGTTCCGCCGCATTTATATAACCAACGTCTAGTTCGCTACTGGAATTCCAGTCACTGCGAAGCCGCCTCTGTCAACGGAAATGAACGCCAATGAACCGATAGAAGTGATTCGATCGCACCGAGATGATGGTGAATCCATCCATACTACTTCCCGACGAGGACATGAAGACCCGCAGGCTCACTCGGAACTTGAACTTCCGGCTGTCGATCCAGACGAAAAATACAATCGTGACGTTCCTCCAGATGGAGGATATGGCTGGGTCTGTGTTGCCTGTGTTTTTTGGATAAATGCGCATACGTGGGGAATAAATAGTGTGGGTTTGCTCTGATATCTCCTTACTCGTTAACGCTCAACATCAAGTTGCCTTTCAAGTTCAAGTTGTTCTAACATAACATCTCAGAGTTACGGCGTGTTTCTCAGTTACTACCTCTCTCATGATGTCTTCCCGAATACATCGGCCCTTGCATATGCCTTCACCGGCGGCCTCAGTATCTCTTGTGCACTCCTCGTGGCCCCGTTAGCCACTCATCTCATCCATGTACTCGGCACTCGCTTTGTGCTGAACCTGGGAGTATTCTTCCAAACTCTCTCTCTCATTGGCTCGTCATTCGCAACACAGAAATGGCACATCTTCCTCAGTCAAGGTGTCTGTTTCGGCTGGGGCATGGGGTTCCTCTTTGTGGGCAGCGTTGGTATCTCTCCGCAGTGGTTTCATAAGCGCCGCAGTGTTGCCCAGGGAATCACTGCAGCTGGGTCCGGACTCGGTGGTTTGATATACTCTCTTGCAGTGGGAGCAATCATCCCCCGTTATGGTCTGGGATGGGCCTTCCGTATCCTGGGGATCGTCTCATGCGTTGTGAACCTGGTGTGTGGAAATCTGCTCCGAGACCGCAATAAGCTCGTCGGCAGCCGTTTCACAGCTTTCCATTTCCCACTTCTACGCCGTCCGGAGTTTTTACTCTTCTTGGGGTGGGGTATCTTCAGCATGTTAGGCTATGTTGCGTTATTGTTCAGCCTCGCCAATTTCTCTCTATCCGTTGGCCTCACGTCACACCAGGGCAGTACTGTCTCAGCCCTGCTGAACCTGGGACAAGGTCTCGGCCGGCCCTTTGTAGGCATGTTCAGTGACCGGCTTGGCCGCATCAATATCGCTACCATCCTGAGCTTTGTTTGTGGCTTGTTCTGCCTGGTAATATGGATCTTTGCAGACAGCATGGGCGTTGTCTGTTTCTTTGCCGTCATCGTTGGGACTGTCTCGGGGACTTTCTGGGCCACTGTCTCTCCGGTACTGGCTGAGATTATCGGTCTACGGGATCTACCCTCTGGTCTGAGTATAACCTGGCTCACCCTCGTTGCACCTTGCACCGTATCCGAGGCTATTGCCTTGCAGCTTCGGAGCGGCACATCAGATGGTGGAACTAGTTACCTCAAGGTCCAATTATTCACGGGCTTTACCTACATTGGTGCTTCGTTGTGTCTGTGGGTTGTTCGAGGATGGAAGGTTGGGGAGCTAGAGCGTGCTCAGCAACGCCGGGATTCTATCGCCCGAGAAGCACCCCTCACCGAGGGGGAGAAGCAGGACCGTCCTGCAACGGTTGCATCTTCTGCGCCGTCTGCGGATGGCGGCGAGGTCCGAATCTGGGCGCTATTTGCCCTGATGCGTAGAATGATTGCACTAAAGCGAGTCTAAGGTATCGGGATGCGCATCCCAATCTAAAAGTGGCAGGTGAAAGCGATTTTCATAGGCATTCTCAAAAACTGTAAAATATTCAATGGCAACCATCTAGAAACAAAGCCGGCTGCTCTAAACGCCGATTTTTGTATCTATGAACTAGTAAATAACAAAACTCATATCTTTACCCAGTAATCAGGATCCGAACACGTCTCTTGCCGGCACCTCGGCCCTCTTCCTTGACCGAGCTGACATTCACCTTCACCCTCTGGAAGAGCTCCACATCAACACCGCGTTCCTTTTCGGAGTGACCCTTCTCCTCAACACGAAGTGTATACTCCTCGGGATCGAAATGAGTAGTTCGGTGGACTGCCAATTCACGGCGCTCCGAAACAGACCGAGAGCCAGCCTCACCGGGGAGGACAAAGTCCTCCAACCGAACAACTCCCTCGATACCGAAACGTGGAACGAAGACCACAACACCATTCTCGAATACACGCATCACATAGCCTTCCTCATCGATACCAGAGTCGGTGCCACCAGCTGCCACCTTCTCACCACGAGCCTTGAGCGCCTGCCCAACATAGTATTCAATACTAGCGCGGCCGGCGAACTGAGCATTGCGGTGTCGGAAGTTGATGTTTCGGCAGATGTCCTCAAGTTTGCCCCGGGTGTTCACGCCCTCAATGACAGCGTGACCATCTTCACCTTCGTAGCCGATGGCTGAGGCGAGCTGTCGGTGAACAAGCAGATCGGCATATCGTCGAATGGGCGAGGTAAAGTGGGTATAGATAGGCGAGGCCAGACCGTAGTGGCGGAATTCAGGCTCAGCATGGGCACCGGCGCAGAAATACTCGGCAGAGGTCATGCAACGGGTGGCCAGGATACGGACGAGAGTGTTGAAGAACGGGTTCTCGGGGTCGACACAGCGATCCAGCGAATTGGCAAGAGCACCGGAGCTGGAAACGTCAAGCTCCATACCTCGCTTCTTTGATAATTGGTTGATCAGATCCTCGAAGTTCTGGGGTGGGGGAGTTGCGTGACGTCGTAGCAGGGCGGTTTGCGAAAAGGAGTCGAAGACCTTAGAGGCAACGGTGATGTTGGCAAGAAGCATGAACTCTTCAACCAGACTGTTGGTGTCGAGCATGGCCTTGGTCTTGACATCCGTCAGGGGGTCGCCCACCTCATCGCTATCGGCTTCAATTCGGACTTCTGGGGATGCAAGGTTTAGAGCGCCAGCATCATAACGCTTCTGGCGGAGGATCTTGGAAAACTTCAAAAGATTACGCATGCTTTCGGTGAGTTCATCCGTCTGGGATGGGTCATCAATGCGCAATTGGGCCCGTTCGTAACTGAAAGCCTCACGGGAGCGAATAACAGACTTGGTGAAATCTGACTTCACAATTTCCGCGTTGGGGGTTACCTCCCAAATGACGGAAAAGGCGTAGCGCTCGACATAAGGCTTCAGAGAACAGAGATCCGTTCCAAGAAGATGAGGCAACATGTCAATACGCTTGTCGACCAAGTATACAGTGGTACCACGAACACTGGCTTCGAGATCCATGGCATTGTTGGGCTTGACGAAGTGTGACACATCTGCGATGTGGACACCGACTTCAAAATTTCCATTTGGTAGCGGACGGGCGTGAAGGGCGTCGTCAATATCCTGGCATCCTGGAGGATCGATACTGCAAATGAGGAGATCGCGGAGATCTCGGCGACCGTTCCAACCCTTATCCTCCTTAGTGGCGGGGACCTTCCAATCGTGCCCCTCTGAAGGAAGACAGTCCAGAACGGACTTGGGGAACGGCTTGTATTGTACATCGTACTCCAAGAGAAGAGCCTCTGTCTCCGCACCTTTAGTCTCTAGCTCACCCAAAGATCGGATGAAGTGACCAGTGGGGTACCGAGAGTCCCGTTCCCAAGTATCAATAGTAACTAGGATACGTTGGCCGATAAGATCACCAGCTTGTCTTGTCCGAACTCGGATCTTGGGCACCTTTTTGTCCATGGGCAACACAAAAACAGTCTGCTGACGGCGACCTGAGGCGGCTTGGGAACCAGTGGAGCCAGCATCGACGTGGCCGACATACTGACGCCAACCACGCTTGACCATACCCACAACCCTGGCGGTTGGTTGAGGTTTTCCCTCGGAGTTCTTGCCATGTGCCTTCTTAACCTCTTCTTGCAGAGCCTTGCGTTCATTCTGTGAAACAACGGCCTCGGTCTCCTCGGAATCGGGGTTGTCATTCCGAGTCACTGCTTCCTCATCAACAATCTTGGTGGAAGGGGACTTCCATTGATCTTGTGGTAGAATTTCAATGACAACCATGTCACCTGAGATGGCACGGTTGCTATTGTCGCGTCCTAGGATAAGAAGTGGCCTGTTGAATGCTGGGACCTTAACAGATGCTTCCAGGTAGTTGTAAGGCGATACATTGAAGGTTCCTTGGTGAAGATTTCCGGCCCGCAATCCCGTCATCATTTTTGACATGGAAAGATATTCTGGGTAGAAGAGCTGTCCAATCGGGCCCTTAGAGTCCCGAGCCTCCCGCGCTTCGCTTATCATGTCCAGCAGCTTCTCCGAGTCCTCCAGACCAGAGACATATTCTGACAGTGACAAAGCCGTCACTTTCTCTGCCTTTGCCTTCTTGATGCTACCTTTATCATCGGTGATGACAACAATCGCAGGGACGGACTTTTCCTTTTTGCCCTTCTTCGCCGATGCGCCAAGATGCTCCTCGTACCAGCTCGCCACTGCGCGTACAGCACGATCATTCCGATCGTTGATTGACTCCTCCGGGCCTCGTCGGACATGTGTCTCAAGGCGGAATTCGTTGAAAAAGAGGTAGAATCGCTTCTCGTCGGTCTTGATGAGGGAAAGCAGACGATTGTAGAGCGGCAGCGACTGGTTGCGGAGTTCTTCGAGGACGGTTTGGAGAATAATCACATCGTAGAAAGCGCCGGTATGTTCAAAAAGATCCATGCCATTCAAAAGCGCATTTGTGTCGGGAACGAGATAATGTCCACGAGGGAATGCTTTAGTGCCGGCGGGGCGATCGGAGAGGACGAATGGCGCAACTGGTTTAGGTTAGCAGTCGGTCTAGTCTGTTGATTTGGGGAAGCTCTCACTGTTTCCATTGGCGTCCGAGGGAGCGATCGAGGGGCATAGTGAGCAAAGCTTTGAGGAGCAAGGAATGTCTTGCCTCAGATAGAGCTCGCGAACAATCTTTTGCACCTTTCCACTTTTGGTGGACCTCACAAAGACCTTGCTGGCGACATTGGAGGCCTGTGGATTAGAGGAGAGATCTCTTCTCAAGCTCTTCATTGTATTGATAGGTATATGTCTGAAAGAAGCAGCTAAGAACTTGCGAGACACAGGTTGTGAATGAGAACTGCTGGACGAGGAATCTTTGCGGGCGAGGTTATCGCACCCAGCGATAGCTGAGTAAGCGCCTATCGATGTCCTCATCGGAGGAGCAACTGAGCAAATCCCCCACTTACCACCTGCACATTTCTCTTATTTCTTTCGAGAAAGTTGATTTGATTTTATCATAAACTACTTCCAACATGGTTCTCGCCGTAGGTTCTCAATCGTTACAGATTTGAAGCAGAATGTTGATCAGCTACTCTTCTATATAGGCCGTGGGTCAGCTATGCGCAACAGCAAGCATAACTTCCAATTTAGCGCAGTGTCAGACGTTAGTTCGCAAAGCTGCTGCTGCAGGCGCCAAGGTAATAAGCATTTGTCATTCTCTGCCGTTCCATTTTTTCCTATTCAGCTGGTAATATCTAATGCTATTGTAGGTGCTGTTTCTTCCCGAGGCCGCAGACTATATTGCCTCATCAGCAGAGGAATCTCTCTCGCTGGCCCAGTCACCGGAACAAGGAGACTTTGTTTCCGAGCTTCAAAAGTCAGCTAGGCTATCAGGACTGCACATCAATGTTGGAATCCATGGCATTGCCTCTGAGAGCAGGCTCAAGAACTCCCTCGTCTGGATTGATGATGAAGGCGCCATCACCCAAAACTATCAAAAGGTCCACTTGTTTGATGTCGACATCAAAGGAGGTCCAGTCTTGAAAGAGAGCACGTAGGTTATCATGCATGTTCTTGACCTGCTAGCCTTCTGCATTTCACTAAAATTAGAATCAGGAATGTTCAGCCTGGACAAAGTATTCTCCCTCCCTTTGAAACTCCGATTGGGCGTGTTGGGTTGGCAATTTGCTTTGATGTAAGTGCCAAACAATAAAACCTATTAATTCAAGATCAATGAACTGGTACTATCTAACTAGTATCTAACTGGCCCTGTGCGTAATATAGCTACGGTTCCCGGAAATCAGCCTTGCATTGAGACGCCAAAATGCCCAGATTATCACTTACCCATCAGCATTTACGGTCCCCACTGGCAAGGCTCATTGGGAGTCTTTACTTCGAGCACGCGCCATAGAGACTCAATCCTATGTAATTGCATCTGCCCAGGCAGGCCCTCATAATGAGAAGAGACGAAGCTATGGCCATTCCATGATCATCAACCCATGGGGTGAAGTGGTGGCACAGCTCGGCGACGAATATCAAGAACCAGAGATCGTGACAGCAGAAATCGATCTCGATCTGGTGGCAAAGATCAGGCGTGAGATGCCTCTACTGAGACGGACTGATCTCTACCCGGAGGTCTAAAGTCAAGTGGAGAAGGCACCGCTAAGGATAATGAAGATATAGAAACGTGTCTCGCTAAAGTTAACGAAACAATCTTGTACTATGACTCAGAGACATCTTGGCGAAGCTAGGCGAGTTTGAAATATGAGAATGATGAATATCATTGTTTTGATCCATCTTTATTCATGCGATGGAGAGAAGACTCAACGGAATATCAAGTAGTACAACAAGTAATGAAAATGGAAAGAAATGCGAAAACCCCATCTAAGAAAAGGAACAGAACATCATATCTGCCACCGCAGGTGGTACAGGTGTAAACCGGGATTGTCCTTTTCCGATCTCTTTATGTACAGTGTACAGAATAGGCCCGGAAACCGGTCCGTTTAGTTCTTGGCCTTCTCGGGGTCCTCTAGGATACCCTCAGCCTCCAGCCGCCGGCGGGCCTCCTCAAGAGCCCAGGTTTGTATGCTGTAATCAGAATTAGTCTCAGTGACGCAGGGTTACGGGCCATATTGGCCTCGGGGGTGCTGAGTCATGAAAGCCCATTTGGAACAGGCCCCCACGACGAAGAGACGAGCACTTACGAGGTGTCGGGCTTGAAAACATATGCAATTCCGGCAACGAGGAAGCTACCAATGAATCCGTAGTACCAGATACCCTCCCAGCCTTCCTTCTCGTACTTCTGGCCGGGTCTGACACCGAACAGCCAGCCAGTCGGGGGGTCGTAGTGGCTGCCGTGGTCTCCACCGCGAAGAGCGCCTTGGGTCGAGAATCTTTGGAGAGTTTGCGGGCTGCGCAGCAGGCAGCGCGAGCGGAGGAGTTGCGACACAGGTCGAGCGGACATCTTGAAGACGAGGGGGGTCGGGAGCTAGGGAAGATTGAAAATGGCGGAGTTGAGAGGTTTCAAGGTGGATATCAAGGCCGATGGTCGATCGCCTTGCCTATATGACGACAACAATCGCAATTGGTATGGCACTGTGGAAGCGACGAGCGGAGGGGCGGATTGACGTTGAAGCCGCAAAAGGCCGCTGGGAGAGCTGACCACTTATGCGCTAGTCCCAATTGGGCGATTTTTCCTTGTCCGCCTTACATGCCTGAAACCTCAGGTGTCAGATGGCTAGTTAGTTAACTAGTTAGTCGTTCTTGCCTGACAAACCTGGCAGCCAATCGCGACGCGCGACATCCCAACGTACTCCGACGCGTTTCCCCCTCCCTATCAATGCTTCAATTGTCAACACTAACAAGACCTGTCTGTAATATCTCCGGTATTCTGATCACAGTCTTTTTTGGAATACAGATCACACCCAAATTAGTACGTCTTTTCATCCAATTGCTGACCGCGAGCTCTTGTTCCATTGCTCACATTATTTGCCCAGGGCTGAGGTCTCGAGAATGCATCATTATCCACTTTAAACACGACCTCGGAATACCCTGGAAATCATCCGACCACGAGCATGTCGACAAACAACAACTCATATCCAATCTCCTCCGGCTCACGTACAAAGTTGAATGAATTCCGCTTTCAAGAGGAGGAGACTGTTTCCGACCAAACGACCTCGAAGGACGGGACGAAGCCTGTACATGGGAATAAAGAGAATCAGAGTTCATGGCTGAATGGCGTGGTGGAACCGACTCATATGTCTCCCGATAAAAACAACACATCCGCAGAAGCTCCTGCGACTGAGCCTCGGCCGGCCAAAGAATGCCCGCAGACACCAGGCAATCGGATCCCACTTGCAGACCTAATAAGCAATGCTGAAGACTCCTTCGACCCAGCACCAGGCCCAGAAGTGACTCCTGTGGACCACGTTGTCTGGCAGCATATACCTGCGAGCTCAAACCCTGATACTTCGTCCCAAACACCTGGCGGCCGTCGAAAGAAGCGACGGCACAGTTCATCTCCTGCCGGTTCCCCTTCGCACGCGAACTCGAAGAAATTAAAAGAACCCCTCGATCTCCAATCCATACAAGCTTTATTCAAGACACCCCAACACGATCTTGCGGCAGAGCTGTGGAATAACTATATGGACAAGAATATGGCTGGTGGAGCCGAGGACCTCCCTCCGAACCGTCTTGCGAACCTTCTCTCCTCGTCTCCTCAAACCCCCATTTCGGGGAGAACGAGTCGGGATTCGTCGGGCTTGAGGCGATCCATCAGTTGTGCTGCCGAATGGCCAACATCACGAGCGAAGAGACGGCGATTCAATCGACAAGAGCAGGGCTCTGGTCGAGGCATATTCTCCCGCACTAGTAGCAATGTTTTAGTCTCGGGTCGAAAGCAACCATCGCGGATTAACTTCCTGCTTGAGACCATTGAAAAAAGTCTTCATCCGCCCCAGCCAGCCGATATGGGCCCTCCTGGCTCCTCTCCACTACGACAACGCGTGGATGCCCAGCGATGCCGCTCCTCGTCTCCTATAATCGATCGTAAAGGTTTGGGGAATGCTGGTGCCGAACAAATACCTTCCGTTCCAGAGAATGATCGAAACCCCGCCAATCCTACTGATTTCGAGGGCGACTCGTCAGACTTTGGAGATGACGACCTCGATCAAGATCTCATGGACTTGGCAGATGCCTCGGCGGACCCTTTCGTCGATTCGGCCGCAGATCGGAATGAGTTTGACTCATTCGGTTCCTCGGCCTGGTCTAGCTTTGCTGCAGACAAATTACAACCGAAGCATCCCGCGCAGCCACCTATAATGAACAGTAAACCGCCAACTGTTAATAATCTTATGAATAATGAAACCAAACCTGATGATTCTGACGACTTTGATGACGACTATGGAGATTTCGATGACAACTTCGAAGAGATTCTTGCAGAATGTGACGGGAAGCAGGAACATATCGATTCGTCTAAATCCGCTACCTCCAAACAGCATATTGTCGAGAAGTCGAATTCTTCAGCTGCAGCCACGGCTGATAGCAAACGGGGCAAATCACCGAATATACCAGCTCAAGACATTGAAGCAGCGTCGTCCGAGGACGAATTCGGTGATGACTTCGACTTGGATGCGATAGAACAGACCATGAAAGAAGCAGGGCCGGACGGAGACCATGTTTGTTACTCTTAGTGGACCCCCCCTAGTTATATACTAAGACAGCTCAACAATAGAAAATGAAGGGTCGACAAGCCATCAAACGTTACCAAGTCGTGGAGATTGCGCAGAGCACGTATGTGACTCCGAAAGGACGTACACAACCCGAGCAGGTCCGTTTCACTCTGTCTCCTCATACCCGAAATACGAGCTCAGCTGACGAGCTAGTAGATGCTCTCTGTTGAGGACGAGAAGACAAAGGCTCGGAAGGTCATCATCCTGAGAGAGTCATGGTATGACACTCCTTGCAGCAAGGACTCGTATCTTCATTTGATTGGAGACTACGACTTTACCGGCTGCTGTGTTGTGGATAACACCAACCATATGGTTATCCTTCACCCTGATCATCTGATATCCGCCACAGTGGTGGCGGATTCGATTGACTGTCAACGCCGTGCTGTTCTCCAAGATCGCATCAAAGCATTCGCCCAGCTGGAGAAGCCGCAAGCATTCGGTGTCTTCTTCCACGAAGTTTTCCAGGAAGCACTGAAGGCCAATCAATGGGACATGGTCTCTTTGAGATTATTGGTCGAACGTGTCCTCCTAGGGCATATTGAAGAGCTCTATGCAATCAACATGAGTGTCCAGGAAGCAGTTGAGGAAATCATGGGGAAGATTCCAACAGTTCTAGCTTGGGCAAAAACCTTCCTGCATGCGAACCCGCAGGTAAGTCTGACATTGAATAAATAATTGAATATTGTACTAATCACACCAATAGGCCGATTCCACTGTGGAGGATCGCAACAGTGCAAAACTCAACTTGAGCATTAACAAATTGCTTGAGGTTGAAGAACATGTATGGTCGCCAATGTATGGACTCAAGGGAAACATCGATGCCACAGTCCAAGTCGCGTGCCGTGATAACGAGGGGACTAAGAATCTGGTGGTTCCATTGGAGTTGAAAACCGGCAAACGGGATACAAATCAAGGCCACAGAGCTCAAACAGCCCTGTATACCCTTCTTCTCTCCGATCGATATGGTATGACTCCCGCTCCTGGCCGAAATCCCAACGCTTTTTTACTAATATCGCGCAAGATATTGATGTCACTTTCGGTCTCTTGTACTACCTTGAGACCGCCAGAACGCTCAGTATTCGGGGTGTTCGGCACGAGCTTGTTCAGATGCTGCAAGTGCGCAACCAACTGGCGGGGTTCATCCGTGAAAGAACGCAACTCCCTCCAATGCTCAAGAAGGCGCGTATGTGCAATAGGTGCTATGCGAAAACGCCTTGCCTTATCTATCATAAGCTCGCAGAGGGTGGTGACGGCGAAACAAGTGCCCTTGGTGATGATTTTGAGGCTGCGACACAGCATCTAGGTCAGGCAGATCGTGACTTCTTCCGCAAATGGGATGAACTCCTCACTAAAGAAGAGGGGAATTTGGTTAAATTCCGACGAGAACTATGGACTCTGCTCAGCAATGAACGAGAGCCCCTCGGTCGTTGTTTCGGTGATGTGGTCATCGATCCGCAGTCTGCATCCGAGGAGAAGAACGGTTCAAAAATCAATCGCTATCGTTACACTTTTCACAAACGACAAAAAAATCCCAACTTCTCCTTCGCTGAATCACAGATCTCCGTTGGTGAGCCAGTTGTTGTCTCGGATGAAAAGGGGCATTTCGCCCTCGCGAATGGGTACGTAGTCCACGTCAGTGCATCCCATATCACTGCTGCTGTCGATCGGAAACTACACGATGCTAGGTCAAAAACAGCTGGGTTCGATGCCAAGACAAATCAGTCTTTCAAAGGCATTATGGAAGTTGAAAGTGCTGGACAGTCGGCCCTGGAGGACCCCAATGAACAGGTCATCTATCGAATCGACAAGGATGAGTTCAGCAACGGCATGGCTCTTGTTCGCAACAATCTTGTCTGCATGATGGACAAGGATTTGTACCAAGCAAGGCATCTCAGACGACTGATTGTTGAGGGTCAAGCTCCCCAGTTCAAATCGTCATTCACTGCATACGCAATTTCCGGCTCTGATAGTCTCAACGTCGATCAAAAGCAAGCAATCGACAAGGTCATGAGCGCCAAAGACTACGCGTTGGTTCTCGGTATGCCCGGAACTGGAAAGACAACCACCATCGCTCACATCATTCGGGCTCTCGTAGCGCAGGGGAAAAGCGTTCTCCTCACTTCCTATACCCACACCGCGGTCGATAATATTCTGCTCAAAATACGCGACGATGACATTCGTATTCTTCGCATTGGTGCCGCCACCAAGATCCACCCGGATGTTCAAGAATTTGCCGATTTGGCAGCAATCCCAAAGAAAACCATCGAGGAACTGAAAGATTCATACGAAAAGCCCCAGGTTGTTGCAACGACTTGCCTTGGTGTGAACCATCCCATTTTCAACCAGCGCATATTTGATTATTGCATTGTCGACGAGGCATCGCAAATAACGCTACCGGTCTGCTTGGGGCCGATTCGCATGTCCAGGACTTTCATCCTTGTGGGTGATCACTACCAGCTTCCTCCCTTGGTGCAGAACAAGGCAGCTCAAGAAGGAGGATTGGACGTCAGTCTCTTCAAACTACTTTCTGATTCCCAGCCAGACTCTGTTGTCAATCTGGAGCATCAATATCGCATGTGCGAGGAGATAATGCTACTATCAAATACGCTCATCTATTCTGGTCGTTTAAAGTGTGGCACCTCGCAGATCGCTGCTCGCTCACTCGAGATACCGAACATCCATGCCCTTGATAATTTCCACTCGGCTGGCTTCGGCTCTTCACTTGGGCAAGGAATGTGTATGGGTGCAGACCATGGGCGCTGCTGGCTCCGGGATTTAGTGGATCCATCTGCCAAAACTCTCTTGGTGAACACTGATCCTCTTGGCTCCGCAGCTCTCGAAGCTGCACAGGGACAACGGGTCGTGAATCACGCGGAGGCCGTTTTATGCTCTCAACTTGTAGAGTCATTCATCGCCAGCGGGATATCAGCTCAAAACATCGGTGTCATCACATTCTACCGCAGCCAACTCGCCGTTCTCCGACAGACTCTTCGGCGATATTCGCCAGATCTTGAGATGCACACCGCAGATAAATTCCAAGGCCGTGATAAAGAGGTCGTCATTCTCAGCTGCGTCCGAAACAACCCAGAGAATCATGTCGGTGATCTTCTCCGCGATTGGCGACGTGTTAATGTTGCATTCACACGTGCCCGCACGAAGCTTCTTGTTGTGGGTAGCAAATCGACTCTCCGTGATGGTAACGAGCTCCTTTGCAAATATGTTCGTCTCGTTGAAGGCAAGGGCTGGGTCTACAATTTGCCCCCCAGATGCTGCGGAAAATCATACGTTCCAATCAGCCGCCTTAACTTCCACGCAATACCAATCCCCCGAGACCGGCAAGAAACATGGTTCTGGAAAGAAAAATCCCCCGATCGCCAGTATAAAGTCGCCGTCACGCGAGCCACTTAGCCCGTTGGGCTCTCGCCAGCCTACAGGTGTCCGCAAACCCTTAAAGAAGGGCACTAAGATCTTCAATGGAAACACTGTTGTTGGCAACAGACCTATTCTCCAAGACTTGGTTAATGATGTTTTTGGCTAGCTTCATAATGATCCTCAATCTGTTTTCTTTTCTCTTTTATAACTTGCATAGGATACTGAACATTGCATGGCTAGCGAACAAACAAATGTGTAGCATGCATGAAGCTTCACCAGAGTATTGAGGGTATGATTTTGTTTGCATTGGCGTTTATAGGTACTTCATGGGATCATCATTTGGCGTGTGATCAACCTTAATCAATATTACTATACTTTTTGTCAACTATATCAACTTGGACCTTGGAAGATATTGAAATTAATAGTAGCGTTGGCCTCGCTATCCGCAGTATGCAACTCATAGTTACATCGTTTCTGCTTTAGTCGCGGAGGCTTCAAAAGGTTCTTTTACAGATGGTCCAAGTCGATAAACAGACTCGGAGCGGTAAAATTTCGAGGGCATTTTAGCTGGCAATCACGCAAAATCGTGGCCACACACTAGCTCTTCTATGACAGTTTACAATTATATGTCTTGATGAATACTACAATGGAACTAAAAGCAGTTTCAAACAAGATTCATTTCGAGTCAAGGTGTTATAAACAAATCTCCTTCTTCCACCATACAGGCTTGTAACTTCATCATCACTTGACTCAATACACACTCGATCCTGAATTCACAATTTCGGACAAGGCTCGAAGAATAAAGATACACTGAGCAATTCCAAAGAACACAATTCAAAATTCAATATACAAAAAATACTTGACGGCACATTGCCCTTTTCCAGGCTTTAAACGCCCCGGTGTACACTCCAGAGCAACTACCCCATTCGTAACATAAAATAAAAATGATAATGATAATAATCGGACAGGAAGCAGAGAGAAAAAGGACCTAGAGACGGATTCTCATCGATACAAGAAGGGAGGCTGCGACAAAAGATGGGAATATAAAACAGCTCTATACCCTGCGGACTCTCCCATCTTCAACTCTTCGAGTTGTTTTCCTCTTTTGCTCCTTGGGCGCATTTAAATATATCCGCGACCCATCAGGCATGTACACCCATCGGCCATGGTTTTCGGGATTGGCGAAAAAGTTCTTAGCAAATGTGTTGTCGAATTCGTAAGTTCCTTGTGCCGGAGGTTGGGGGTTGGACCGGGGCTGGGGTCTAGGCTCAGCTGGGGCTTGCTTTTGTGCCCAGTTGGGATCCTGCGGGGTTTGAGGCACGTCAAAGTGGCCATTCGTCGGAGGGTGTACCCAAGAGTTCAGCTGGGGGGAAGATGGTATTTCTTGGGGGGGCATAAGGACAGGGTTGTTGCTGAAGCCCTTCTGGTTGCCGAAGTCCTTGTCGTTGCCAAAATCCTCGTGGTTGCTGAAATCTTCGTGGTTGCTGAAGCTCTTGTGGTTGCTGAAGCCATGATTGTTTCTCAGGCCATTCTTGTTTCTGAAAGTCCTGTTGTGGTTGAAGCTTTTGCTGTTGAATACCCGTGAGACGTTCTTGTAGGATGGACATCTGGACTCGAATAGATGCCTCTTCCAAGTCGCGTGTTGACTGGGGTAAGACTGGCTCCTGGGGTGTCTTGAGAAACGCAGACATGGGCATCGGTATAGGTAGAGGCATAGGTACATAGCAATCCGGAGTTGGTGGGGATGGGAATGATGGGGTCTCTGAGGCCTCTCTGGTGGTATTTGAAGGCTCGTTAATGGTCTCCCAGGGCTCGGTAATGATGGTCTTCGAGGGGTCGGTTGTGAGAATCTCCGAGGGCTTCGTGGCAATGGTCTTCGAGGGCTCGACGGTGGATCCCAAGGATCCATCCATATAACTAGTAGGAAGGAAGACGCTTCCTTCGGCGCCTGTGTTCAGGTTCAAGTCGTCCAACTCCTCATCCCAGCAGAATTCCTTGAAAAGATCTTCGATGCTCATGGGCGCACCTAACGTTTCGTCCAGACTCGTATAATGATCGGATATGTTGCTTTCGCTGGAAAGCCCGTGGACGATAGCGTCACTCATGGAGGGAAAGAGCGAGAGTATAGCGAAAATGAATGAAAAGTGGTGAGAGTGAGAGTGAGAGTGTGTGAGAGAGAGAGAAAAAGTGAGAGTGAACGTGAGAGCGATAGCGAGCCTGTTAAGCAATAGACAAGCAAGAAGCTTTTGTGTATGCTATATAGACTTTAGTGAATGACGAGAGCATGAAGAGGGAAAATAGGAGCAAGTAGAGAATGCTGGGAGTCAAGTAAAGTAGGTGAAGGATGACGACTTCATGTTTGGTCCGCCGACTATTTTGATATCGGAGACCGTCTTGATATTGGTGCCTGCTTTAATGTCAGAGTAGTTGAAACCCTGGATACATAATTAACTTGAACCTAAGAAAGGATTTTTTTGGGCCTCCCTTTTCTTCTACCGTTTCTATCATAATATATAGCCCTATGCCGTATCTCCTTTGATTTTGTTACGGTTGGGCGTGGGGTTGGACGGTTGTGGTTTCCGACGGAGGAAGCGCCTGCGTGGCCACTAGCACCAGGCTAATGGAATTTTGAATTAAGTTGGATTGAATAGTTGAACACCTGGAAACAGAGTTTCATGGGCTGTTGAGGGCGGAAGCGCCCACAAACTCCCAGCAAATAGCATGTCGAGTATTCAGCGCAGAGGCTTCACAGTCTTGAGTCTCTGCCTCTGCCTCGGTCCCTGTAGTTGACGACAGTATATTTGGGGAAACTGCGATGCTAAAACCATCTCTTCCCTCAACGGCCTGCCTGTCCAATGCCGATGACGAAATCACAAACCAAGAGGAAGGCTCGGCCGAAGTGAGCTTTGCCGTAGATGACCTGCCGCCGCCCAATTGGGCCAAAATTAGTATTTTCGCGCTCCAAGTTCGTCAGAGTATGGGAACTTGAGGCCTCCATGGCCACTCACATGAGAGTCAAGAAAAGCTGCATTGTCCAAGCTGATGAAATGAAACCACGCCATTTTAAGCTGACCAGATCAACGGTATCGTTTTTATCAAACTCTGGTACGCTGTAGCGACTGAGATACGAATCGACTGAATCTCCGGTAGAGATACGGGGGGATCCAAGTTGAACCATGGCAATCCATTCGGACAGTGCACCGCATCTATCTTGCATTTCTGCCTCGGGCATCTCTTTCGATACTAATTTTTGCAGAGGTGGAGTCAGGACACCCTCAAGCTTAGCTTGGGCTGGTGCTGATTCAAGAAGCTGTGGGTGAAGACCCTTAATAGGCCTAGATTCTTTGCGCTTGTCAGTATGCCAGTCGTCAATCAAAGCACGATTGGATAAATTTACCATCATCCTGGCTCGCAGGATCTAAGTCGCAGAAGAGCCATGTCAGAGACTGGTTCAGAACATTTTTGAACGCCCAGACAATTCGCTCGAAGCCCTTTTTGCCATGCAACATTGAGGGTAGTCGAAGGTTCAGTTCAATCACTAGTGGCAAGGTTAGATCAAGGCCGCCTTGGTAGTAACGCCTTTAAAGGGAGAGGCGACCCGAGACATACAAAATCTCTCCTTTTCATGCTTCCTTCCACCACTGCGGATGGGCTTTCCGTTCAGCCCTGTGCGCTCATATATTTCTTTTCCCAGTTCGATTTTGCAAATCCCTGAATAGTCCAACAAGGTCAGTCTGTAAATCCCGTGACATAAAATTTGATTACAGACTTGGGGAAACACTAACCCTCGCGTAGGGTGAATACGGTATCCGAGCCTGAACGGCCTTCAGAGATCATGATGACATTTCCTGGAAATAGTGTTGGCCTTTGAATTTAAAAAGCTTGGACGATCTATAGCAATACCGGGGAGCAGGTCTTGCATAGCAGAGAGAAAATACCAGTTTTGACATATGTGTTGAAGAAATCACCCTCGAGTATGTCAGCGGGGGACATGAATACTCGAGAATACCGAGGTTTGGTCAATTTTGCATCTAATGATGATTGAATGCTGGTATAGACTGCCTCTGGAAGAATAACCTCAACCTACGCAAGATTGTCAGTCTCATGAAATGAGTATATGAAAGGGTTCAATTACCGTGTGTGTCAGAGGGTGATTGAGAATTGCGGAGAAGGGTGATTTCTTGCTTGGGATCTGCTTAGGATCCACGAACGCAGGCAGTTGAGTGACCGTGGTGAAGCATTTTTCGCGTTCAGACGCGCCGTCCTCGAAATCAAACATGATGCAGGAGTCCAACAGTCAGGGTCAAGAGGTGCGCGGTGATATTCGGTAGGAGAAACCTGCGGGATAGTGGGTATGGGAAGTAAAGGTAGGGTAATGAAATTTGAAGTTCAACCAAGTTGGACTGGGGAGCTCGGGAGCTCAGGGCGGGGAGCTGCTTATCGATAGGCTGCTCGGCCCTGCTATACATAGGGTAACCCTAGGTAGTTTACTTCTGGAACTAGTTCACACACTGGAAACAGATGGAAATGGAAATTCAAGACCTTGAAAAAAGGAATATCAATCTCATAATCGGTAACTGGCATGCATGACTTGTACCTGAACAGTTATAAGCAGTTAACTGCTGGTGACTAGTACTAACTACTAGTTACTAATAGCTAGCAGTAGCAGTCTCTATTCGCTTCAAGAGTTCAGGTTCCAAGGAAGTTGTCTTATTCCAAAGCTGTACCTAGTTATATTATTTCATGATATACCCCTTTGAACTAGTTTCCAATTTATCCAATAGATCCAATCTCTCATTGACCCTTCTTTGTGACACTTGATGCCTGAGGCGGTAATATGCTCTCCGCTCTCCGCTCTCCGCCCAGTCGGTGACGATCTTCGACGTGGTTAAGTCCGCGCTCCGAAATACTCAATACTCAATACTCAACCCTCTGACGTTTACGTTTACGCTTGTCGCTGATGCAGATATATTTGGACTAGGGCACCAATTGCTAAACCCAAAGAAGCAGTCACCAACTCCATAGGACTCGGAGCTGCCAGCCATGGCACCCGCTCCGCGTCGTGATCTCCTCGCAAAGGAACATTTCGCATTCGTCTTTGGCAACGTCAAGACCCAAAATTACCAGGATCCTGCCGCAAAAGGCCCTGGATCACACACGTATGTCCTCTGTCTCGCGCCAGAGATTGGAATCAGCCGCTCATAATACCTCTTCGGGACCGACAGCATCCGTACACTAGCATGGAATCCCACCGGCCAGCTGATTGCGACTGGCTCCGCTGACCGCACCTTGCGCATTTGGAACCCTGAACGCCCTGCTCCTCGATATTCAACCGAGCTCCGTGGTCATTCGGCGGGTATAGAGAAGGTCCTATTTAACCCCGTCCGCGACGCTGAATTGGCTAGCTGCTCGACAGACGGCACAGTGCGCTTCTGGGACGTGCGTTCCAAGACATGCGTGAGCCGACTCGACGTTGGCGGCGAAGCCTTCACCTTATCCTGGTCTGCCGATGGCAGCACAATGGTCGTCGGAAAGAAGGTGAGTATGCAAGCAGCAAAGCAGGCAGCCTCGGAAACCCAACAACCCTGCAGCGCAAGGCTTCAGCTAACCCGAGCTTCTCCCCAGGATGATACTTTGATACCTATATCAGTTCAATCCCCTTCATCCCCCCCACATCATCACCGACGGAGGCAATGCCACCAGCCTAAACTCCTACTCGGCTTCCAAACCCGGCACAACTACATACACAGCACTCGCCCCCCACCCTCAACCCGTCCAAACCAATGCCACCACTTTCTCCCACCACGTCGCATTCCCTTCCTCTCCTGACCTACACCTCTTCGCGACAACTGGCGACGGAACCGTAAAAATAATGTCTTACCCCTCCTTCGATATCCTCCACACCCTCAACGCACACACCTCAGCCTGCATGGCCGTCTCCCTCGCCCCAACGGGCCGGTACCTCGCAATCGGCGGCAGCGACGCCTTAATCTCGCTCTGGGATACAACAGACTGGATCTGTCGCCGGACGCTATCCAGCGAAAACGGCGGCGGGATCCGGGGTGTTAGTTGGAGCTTTGATGGTCGCTTCCTTTGCGGTGCTTGTGATGAGCTTGGCTGTGGCGGGAATGGTCTGGAGATTTTCCATGCCGAAACCGGTGAAAGCGTTTACACTATACCCTTAACCGGCATGAATGCCGGTGTTCCTGCCGTTGCATGGCATCCTTCTCGCTACTGGTTGGCTTACTCAACTACCAATGACGGCCCTGGTAGTGGTGGCCCTGGTGGCTTGAAGATTGTCGGTGCTGGTGGTGGTAACCTCTGAAGGAAGCATACATATATAGTCCTGTGTTTGACTTTGCCGGTGATACCAATATCTGACTGGCGATGGTCCACTGTTTTTCTACCTTGTTTCGCTGCCTATAACTGAATCTTCGAGATGAAGACGGAACCATATTGAACCAAAGTACGGAGAAATATCTGCTGATCAAAAACAACGTGGAACCAATAATTGAAGCTTTATACAATATATACAGTAGAATACTACGATTATTACCACCTTTCACAGAGTGCGATTAAATAGGTGCCCATAGTATAATAGTGGTGATACCAGGCCTCAAGTCTTCAATTATGGGATACGGCCAGCTAGGTACTAGTAATACACAGTTGCAATATCTGATTTACGAACGGCATCTAGCTTTGAGTCATAGTGTAAAGGTTATATCTTGCGTATTCTTCATCTTGATTATCGTAGTGATATCAAAGTGGCTTTCTCTCGGAAGTGATGGCCACCGTGATAAACCAAATTAGAGAGTGGAGAATAATTACATTAAAGGACATCGTCATCATCAGGTCGTTCAGCCCACAACCACAATGGTATCGAATCATCAAGCGTGCTTGTATAGGGCGAGGCTTCGCTTTGTTTGAAGCTCATAACCTCGGGGAGAGGAGAGAGGGGGGAGAAAGTGGAGATCCCTCGTGAGAATTGAGAGCAGTCGTATGAGGTTCTCATATGCTTTCCCTGGGGATTTTGTTTCTGGCTTGATCCTGCCGCATCGAATGGGCGGTATGATATTCAATCAAAACGTCATAATCATGGTGATGCCGCGCAGGTGATTAGCCATCGGCTATGTGTTATGTTACAAACGAAGGTTCCGGAGCCACAATGGATTATGATCCTTCAGGCTGTAGACTTCTTTCATTTTGCATCATGATGGACGCCAGTTCTCCCACCCGGGACCACTGCCGTTATTTTCCAAGATCTGAGCCCACTGGGCCTCGCTCAAGGCGTCAACGTTGAGACTGCTCAAGTCTACATTGCTCAGACCGGGATTCGTGGCCGACATATCCCAACCCGGGGTTTCGGGATAGGTCCTACCAGGGGCGGTATCTCCAAGAGAGGTGTTACTTCTGCTGGAGTATATGTGCCCGGCAAATGAACTGAGGTCCGGTATCGCTGGAGACTCGGCACTGACAGGAGAGATGTGAACGGAGTGGATATTGTCGAAGGCAGAAGATTGGCTCTGTTGGGTGGAGGCGGAATTCTGCTGTTTCTTTCCGGGGATGGGTTGTCGATTCCAGACATCGAATAGGATGTGTTCGACGATGAGTTTAAAGTTGAAGGGGTAGGATGATCGGATGGTGGATTCCTGTCACCAAGCCCACCGAAATCTGGAGAAAAGTCCATGTCCATGTCCACAATGCCCCCTTGGCCGATGGCATCAGAGTTGATAGCCGAGGCTCGCGCGAGCGAAGTAAAGTGCTGTGCATTGCTACCAGCACTTCCAAGATCAGAATCAACGGCCCCCTTGTCTCTATAACGGCTGGGCAATGTGGTAGTTCTTCGTGCCGGGCCGGTTTGGCTTGTGCTATCAGGTTTTGATTGGTCCGGGGTTCCAGGGCGGGTCGGGTCTCTAACATCGTAGATGGAAAGACATTCTGTCCTACTCGGGCAATATGATTGCTAGATGGGAGAATCATAAGGTTAGGCTGAAGATATAAAAGTGATAATGAGAAAATAGCCGAACTCACAATGACTGCGGCAGTGTGTGCAGAAGTATACTTTCCATTTTCCATGGCCTTTATTCCAGTGCCTTCAAGATCAACATCCAGTTGAACGAGAAATGACTCGGTCAATGGGTTCTTGTTTTTCATCGCGTTGAGTGCGGAAATCACGAATTGCAGTGAAGAGTAAACTGTTGAATCATCCGGTCGCGATTTAAGATACTGTACAAAGACCCTGGCTGATATATAGAGACAAAATGACATGAATGGGTTCAGCTGAAATCGGTTAGCTCAGAGTTCTGGAAATTCCCCAAATAACGATGACGGCCCAAACTTACAATCGTCAAGTCAACATGGCTGACCATCTTCATGATGCTGGATATCTGATTTGCTGCAACAAGACATCTGCGTTTACTCTCAGTCACAATTTGGTTCGACATTTTGTTCTTCTCAGCCTTGAATATTGCTGCTTGGTGAAGACAAATGGTGGATGTGTGAATGTTCATGTTGGCAAAAATGACATTTACATCGTCCATGCCACCCGGAAGACGAAGGTGGTCAGGCAATGAAAGTGCGATGTGAAGAAGAATATTATCATGGCTTCTGTGTCGTTTCCAGAATTCCCCATTAAGGTCATGATCATTGTCTTGGGGCTGCGGTCGGTGGATATGGTTCAGATTGCGACCAAAAAGATTTGCCAGCACACATACGTAAGCAAACGGTGCTAATGTGGTGACACCCTCGCCAGCGATGATATCAGATAGACTGAGCGTGCGCTGTGGCTTGCTCTTCAAAAACGCCTCCTCGGACGCGGGAAGGTTGGTCATGATCTAGCTCCAGTTAGCAACTGTGGTCCAGTATCAATAGAGACAGCATTCAGGAGATAACTCACATCATTCTCATCAATAACCATGGGCCAGCCAGTACCAATACTGGCATACCTATCTGTACAGAAAGCCATCCAGAATGTGCGTCGGCGCTCCTCGCGCTCAGTCCAGTCCTTTGGTGGAAACATGGATTGCTTCACATCAAGGCCAGTACCATCCAGTCGGTTCAGACCCATCATAAGCGCCAATCTGGCTGCCTTTCCGACACTTAACCATGCTCGTGGGAAGTAGATCATGCGAAATTCATATGAGCCAATGAGGATCCAAGTCTGACAATGCGAAAGGGTGATGATGTTTTCTCCAAACCCTTTCATTTCATCCATTTCAGCATATTTGCGGGCGCGGTGGTAAAAATGATTGTGTAATCCGTAGTATTTGTCACTGATCGACGCTGCGTGGCACCAGATCATATATCGGAGGCAGATGGGCGGGCGCATATGGGGAGCAAGATTCAAATTGGTGAAGTATCGAGGTCGATGCAGGAGGGGCAGCATAGGCTGGATCTTTTCGAAATATATACTCTCTCTTGAAGTTACAATCTTTTAGCATGATGCCAAACTCTTATAAGGTGTATAGCCCACTTACAGTTCATCAATGACATCCTGCATCGGAAGAGGCTCCTCTAACCCCAAACCAATCATATCCCACTGGGGGTCGCTAGGAAAGAACATTGGGTTTGGCTGAGATGCGGTAGCTTCGTTTGCAGAGGAGGGTATTGAGTTTCCCAGGTCAGAGCCTAGACCTGAGATTTCCGGTAGGACGAGGATGTTATCGTCTGGGAGGGGGGCCGTGAATGCATTCTCTTGCGGCTGAGGGGGCGAGGTTCTTGGAACGGGGTCACCATCTTGACCTTTGAGTAGCGTCTCAACCTGGGCTAATATATTGACAATCATTAGAACAATATTCTTCTCAATTTTGCGGCGACTTCGGCTCTGTGACTGGTTCATGGGCAGGTCATACCTAATCGCGCTTCCAGCTGCTTCACGTACCCCCGCTTCGGGCCACTCTTCTTGCGTATTTCATCGTAGGAACATTCATGGCCCAAGCGAGAGCAAGTTCCACAGCTGGGCCGTTTGCCATCACACCGAAGTTTCCTGCGCCTGCAGACGACACAGGCTATGCGCTTCGGGCGCGGTACATAGTTGCTGTCTCCCGGCGCACCATTCTCAGCGGAGAAACCGTTATCTGCGATTGCATAATCTGCGTTCGATAGGTTGGATTCGGTTTGGTATTGCGACGAGGAGCCTTGCGAAAAGGCGGAGGGAGGAAGATTGTCCATGGCGGGCGCGATCGCCAGCAGGCAGATGATGATCGGATTTCAAAGCGATGACGAAAGTGACAGCCCACCGCTTATCAGGGTGAATGACTTGCAGGGGCTTCTTCGAGATGAGGTAACGAGGGCAGACCTTCAGTCACATTCGCGATCTGTTCATAATTTGAAGGGGGTTGCTGTTCGGTGGGGGGGGGTATGAGCAGGAACAAGAAGTTCGGGAAGCCCGCGATGAGAAGTTGAACTTCGTATCAGACTGAGAACGCGTTGTCCAATCCAATCCCGAATCCCGAAGGACAAAGAGTTTACCATAAGGTTTAGGTCAGGGTCTCGCTGTAACTTATCTATCTTTGAGATCCAACTCCTTTTTCTTTAATTTGAAATTTTAATATAATATAATATTTTTTAAGTTCAAGTTTGGCTGTTTCGACGAGCTTCGAAAGGAGACTATGGAAAAACGGACAAGGAAACTGGAGGTGCTTCGAGTAAAAAGAGATCGGCGTCTACGTACGACCAGCGCTGCCTGGAGAGGTCGGGGCGGGTCCCGCAAAGGGTCAACCCGCAGATCGCGCGACAAGTTTCTACTTCAACTTCAGCCACTCGTATCTACGTGGATCAAGTAGCTTTCCGAATACGAGCCATGTGAGAATACGGATAATACGGAGCACACTACGGAGTACCTATGACTATATTTACACATGCCAAGGTTGAACAAAGATCGATCTATTTGCTTCCATTTTATGGGCATGGCCTTGGACCATCATACTATACAGTGCCCCTTCTGCCCGGAAGCCAACCAATGATAGAATAAAACAATATTTTCCAAAACGTGTAAAGAGACATGGAGGTAAGATATCGTACAGAACCCCCCTGAAATGACGGGGTTGAGGTATAGAAGAGGGAAAAGCATTGATTGCAAGGCAAAAGTGCAATGCTCAACTGGCAACCGGAGACACAAAAGACTAAGACGGAGACTTGAGACTAGTTGTATCCACGGCGGCGTTGACCCTGGTTGCGGGGTCTGGGGTGCACCACGGCCTTGTTGATCTTCCACTTGGGACGGGTCTTGTAGCCAGACTTGGTCTAGAAAGAGGAAGGAAATGTTAGTGTTGCAACGAGAGAAGGAGTTCACCACACGAGAAGGACATACCGGAATACCCCAAGGACTCTTCGGGTCAACATTACCCTTGGACTTACCACGACCACCACCGTGAGGGTGGTCCATGGCGTTCATAGCAAGACCTCGAACAGTAGGACGGATGTTAAGCCATCGAGATCGACCGGCCTTACCCAACTGGGTGTATTGATAGTTGGGGTTACTGGTAATACCAATGGTAGCGCAGCAATCCTTGTGGATAAGTCGACTTTCACCACTGGAGAGACGAACAGTAATGTGTTGGGCCAGACGCTCTTGCTTTTGCCTTTCACGCAGGGACAGGATCTTCTTCTCAGTTTCCGGCTGATCTGTTGAATCGGCCTCCAGTTCCTGCTGCCGAGAGTCACTACCCTTGGCCACGACAGTAGCATAGGTACCCGCACTACGGCACAGCTGGCCACCCTTTCCAGGGCGTAGTCCAACGTTGAAAATAGAAGTTCCAACGGGGATCATGTGCAGGGGAAGGCAGTTTCCTCTCCATGCAGTTCGAGCTGCCAACACACCAGGATCGACTGTACCACCCATGCTCATCCACAGGTCTTCGGGGATACCAGACATATAGCTCTGCACGGTTTCGCCTGCTCGCATTCCATCGGGAGCAAGGATGTAGCTCAATTGCTTGTTCTCTTTGCTGCGAACCAAAGCAATGTGTGCGGTACGTCCAGGATCATATTCGATGCGCTCCACCAAATGAGGGCCAGCGGCCATTCGTAAAAAGTCAACAGTCCGGATACGGCGCTTCGCACCACCACCGTGGTGACGAACGGTGACTCGACCGCTGTTGTTACGTCCACCCTTGGCATGACCACGCTTAGGGAAGGTCAATCGGTGAATGGGGCGGCCTTTGAAAAGGTGGTCGTTGACTGGTCGGCGCAAGTGACGGACACCGGGAGTACGAGGAATGTATGTGCGGATCTTGACACCGGAGTCATCTCGGGTTGGGGGAGGAGCAAATGTCGCGCTAGCATCGAATGTCGAGATTGAAGGCTTGTCGGAGGATGTGGTCTCGGTTGATGCAAATCGGCGGACTGGTAGGGTCGGCAGGGACCTAAAGGGTAGCTGAATTGCCCGGAGGGCAATCCTAGGCTGAAGAAGCATGGCACAAGTGAACCAAGCAACGGAGAATGCGCAATGGCAAAGATGGTGATGGAGTGCTTCCCACGAAGAAACCGGACAGTCCAATACGCTCTTGCTACCCTTCCGCACCGCCAACAAAAAGTTCGGGGTTCACGTGATTTGAGAAAAGCACCGCCACAAGAACAGGAGGCAGCAGTAGCCACTGTGGCTGGGGCGGGAGGGATGACATACACGTGACGTTTGGTCGCCGTTGCCGGGCAACGGCTTTGTTGATTGTCACGTGGCCATGCTCCAGCGCGCGAGGTCATCAATACATACGCGTATTTACAGACAATACCGCCCTGCCACCTCCCCTTCATTGCTGGATCTACCCTTCCATCTGGACCGAATCTTGAATTACATTTGCCTATCAAGTTCTGGATTCTCAATCTGCAATTCACAAGAAAGAAAAACACAAAAGCAATATAGTTTGAGAGACAAAATAGCTGTATTTTCCACGCTTGAAGCTGTGTACAACGAGCTCTGCGCGACTTGCAGGTGGGGCGTCAGTCAGTTTTGACCGGTTTTCCGCGCTAGCACAGTAGGGCCCAAACATCGCTTGGCCCTCTCAGGTTCTTCCTTCTCCCTCATCATCATTCCACTTCAAGATACCCCCCTCCCCTCCCCAACTCCATTATTCTCGCCCGAATCCTATCCTCAGGATTCCACGTGTGATCTTGAATACCTCGACACCCTTCAATCCCGGATCGGCACGCGTTTTCCGAACGGCAGGACCAGGGTCAACGCGGGTTTACTCAACATCAATATCAACTTGTATGCAGCGTGTATTGCGACTCATTTTACTCGACACTGCCCCGACTACTACATCTGCCAACAGGCAAGTGTAGTCCCTTTCAAGTGAATACATTTTCACGCGTGGTACGTGCATCTTGACCTCGACGACCGTCTGGTATTTTGGTCTCCACTGGGGCAATTATGTCCAACGGAATGCTGACCTGAGCCGGACAGGACAAGGAGAACTACCTTAGATCCCCATTCCTTTTCTCTCACCTTGCCCCGTCTCCCTCTTCTCTTCCCCGAGTCTAGCGCGATGCCTATGGTAAGCTGAACAAATCCTTGATAGCTCGTGTTTCGGAACGAATCTCACGCCCTGTATCAAAGAGCTCACTACGGGTTCTGGTCAATCTTCAGCTTAAAGCTAACTCCGTCATAGACGCGTACTAGTCTCCGCACTCGAGGCGCGATGAACGAGAACGATGAGAACGGCCCCGCGGCGCGTGTTACGCGGGCCAAGGTCGCCGCTCTTAGCACAGACGGTGCCGTTGATGCAGTGAAGAAGCCGATGCAGACCAAGCGGACTACCGCAGCCACCACGCGAGCCCCTCGCCCTGCTCTTGGCGATGTCAGCAACTTCAAGAACGATGGCGATGCCGCTGCCACCAAGGGCGGCAAGAAGGCCAGCACAGCGAAGGGTCAAGTCGCCACAAAGCCACAGGGTGGTGTGCAGAAGCCAACACGAAACAAGGATAGCCGAGCACCCAATTCCGGACCTCGTCCCGCTACAAAGAAGCCCGAGGTCAAGCAACGGCCAGTCAGTGGCGCCGGGGCTATCACCAACCACAAACGCCCATCGGACAAGAAGGCGGAAGCTCAGGAGGAGCCCCCTTTGAAGAAGCAGAACTCTCGGTCGAAGGAAAAGATCACAATTATTGAAGAAGTGGAAGAGAAGGTGCTGTCGGGTGAAAAGCCCCTCGACCTGGACACTGAGGACTTGGATGACCCATTGATGGCCGCGGAATACGTTGTGGAGATTTTCGACTATCTCAAAGACCTCGAGCTAGTGACTCTGCCTAACCCTGAGTACATCGACCACCAGCCGGATTTGGAGTGGAAGATGCGTGGCATTTTGGTCGACTGGTTAATTGAGGTTCACACACGATTCCGTCTTCTTCCCGAGACTCTGTTCTTGGCTGTCAATATCATCGACCGCTTCCTGTCCGCCGAGGTTGTTGCTCTCGATCGTCTCCAGCTTGTTGGTGTCACCGCCATGTTCATCGCTTCCAAGTATGAGGAGGTCCTTTCTCCCCACGTCGCCAACTTCAGCCACGTCGCCGATGAGACCTTCTCTGATAAGGAAATCCTCGATGCTGAGCGCCACGTTCTCGCTACCCTGGAGTACAACATGAGCTTCCCCAACCCCATGAACTTCCTGCGTCGTATCTCCAAGGCCGACAACTACGACATCCAAACCCGAACCCTGGGCAAGTACCTTATGGAAATTAGCCTCCTCGACCACCGATTCATGGGCTTCCCCCAGAGCCAGATTGCTGCCGCCTCTATGTACTTGGCTCGTTTAATTCTTGAGCGTGGTCCTTGGGTTCGTTCTCTCCTACATCTACATCATTTTGTCTCTAGCTGACCATTTCCCAATAGGATGCCACTCTCTCTCACTACGCCGGGTACACTGAGGAGGAGATTGATCCGGTCTTCCGCCTGATGATCGACTACCTCCACCGCCCTGTCTCCCACGAGGCCTTCTTCAAGAAGTATGCCAGCAAGAAGTTCTTGAAGGGTATGTCCCTCCCCCCCACCTAACTTACTTTGTCTGGATATGCCTTTCTGACATTTTCAATTACAGCCTCTATCTTGACACGCCAGTGGGCCAAGAAGTATCACAGCATGTACATTGACAGTTCGCTCTCGGAGCCGTACACTTATATCAAGGACAGCGAACAGTAATCATGCCGTTGACGATGTTATGCTAACCCTGCGTCGCCAATGTCACTGTCCTTCATGACGATCCCAGGGCTGTTGCGACTATCCGACCAGGGATTCCAATTCCTCCATATGTTGGCATTTCATTGTGCTGGTATCAGATACCTTTTTGCATATTCTTAACGATGGCTTGATTAAATTTGTTCGCTTCGGCATTTTGTCTTCTGTGACCGGGGGGGTGTTCGGCGCTTTAGCCTTGTGGTTTTGTTCGGGTTGTTTGCTTTTCTTCTTGCATGGGGTGTCTGTTCTCTTGTCTACCCTGATACCTTTCTATTCTTGTTATCGGTTCGCGTGACCGGCGTCGGATTCTATCTTTTTTTCTTCTACTCCTCTTCTTTTCAGATCGGAATTTTAACTTATTGCCACCATTGATTTATCTCTTGTTTGTTTCCATGTCTCTTCGCGGCAAGGTTTGGGATGGTGTCTTGCCTTTCCTCATCCTCATTCCTCCTTCTTTTACTGTCGAGGTAGGGTCCGCACACGGAACAAAAGCATCTTTTCAAGGCCGGATAATCGTTGATTGATTTTGTTGGTGAGCTTATTATGTTCACATCCACCTTCTTACCCGGGGTATGGATATTGGACAGTTGGGTTGGCAGGGGTAATATGAGTTGAGTTGGTCTGGGGTTTGAGCTTTATTAGATTAGCTGGTTTTCTCTGATGGGTGCAAGGTGTGATTAAGTTACATGCGATTCTGATTCTGATCATTCACGTCCTCTTCAATTTTAATATCATGCACATAAGCGTCTTTTCGACCAACTGCTGAGCAACAACTTGTCCCAACCCCACCGCATCTTGCTTCTCCACGTAGGCTGGGCTGGGGTTGACAACTCCCGTAGCCGAGGTTCGCCGCCTGCGCCCACGGCTGGTCTCACCTCAGGTCTGCTACACTTTCAACGACTTGCCAGAATCAATATTAGACAACTGCTCGGGGCTTTCACCTAGTCGAAGCTATATCATTTCCTCGGGTCGGCATTTTTCTATTCATAACCACCACCAGACCCTCCCAGCCTACGAACCTCGGGTGCTTCAGTTGTTTGCGATCTAGCGCCTTCGCTTTCAAGGGGTGTATATACCATTTCAGTCGGTCTTATTTCAAAGTTTTAAGTTCGGAGTCTATCTCCCACCATGTCGTTCGATTCGTCCTGTCCCTTTTGCAATATCGCCCTCACAAATCCAACCCTTGCTTTCAACGGGTCTGGACCGAGTTCAAATTCTCCTGGTCAAGATCCCGACTCAACAGCTCATCTCATTCTCTCCACGGAGCATGTTCTCGCCTTTTTGGATATAATGCCCCTCACACGAGGCCATGTCCTTGTTGCACCGAGACGGCATTACGAAATGCTCGGGGATATGGATGTGCAAACTAGCCAGGAGGTACGCGACTGACTTCAAGTTTGCGCTCCTCTTCTCTAACTTAACCTTTGACTAATTTAATTTCCGAGAACTCCAGGTCGGCAAATGGCTTCCTATTCTTTCAAGGGTCGTAACAAAGACTATATTTGGCGACGAAGAGAGACATTGGAATGTGGTGCAGAATAATGGTGTGTGCCCTCCTTCCGTATCCCTTTTCTCCATCATGCAAGGCGTACATACATTCCATATATCAAGGATATTGTCTACACATACACAGCATATTCAGAAAGCGATGAAACTTGGAAGCTGGCTTTCTTTTCTTTTCTTTTATTTATTTTTATTTTTTTGTATTGTCTAGTACAACACGTTACTCGGGCTACCGCTAATGGGATTAAATAGGAGCTAGAGCTGCGCAACAAGTCCCCCATGTCCACTTCCACATTATTCCTCGCCCATCTACAGAGTCTTCTCGGTCACCAAGCTTCGCCATGTTCGGTCGCGGTCAACGTGATGAGCTCGAAGATGAAGAGGGTGAAAGATTAGCCCATTCTATGAGAGTCGAATTGGCGGAAGAAGTCAAGCGAATTGAACGGGATGAAGGTGTTGTCCTCGACCTGACTGCTTCGGACTTGAAACGTCGAGGAAGGTTGTAATACATCCCATAATCCTAGGCATCCTCCCCAGCCTTTCCGGGTTGTCCTTTCTCGATGTACATATCCACACTCTGAAATGTGGTGGCTAGACCCGCCTATTGGCTAGATTATGAATAATCCAAGATGACACCTCATTGTGCTGCGGGCCTGCTGTGCTCTGACCTTGGGGGCCCATGTCTAGACATGTACTATGCGAAAGTATTAGCTTGCTGGTACCCCATTTGATTGATCGTTGTCCGCATGTACCTTGCGCCGGAATGCATTAAGCTCATCTGCCATAACGCCCTCTGCATCGACATAACTTCTCCCTTGCGTAATATCAGATGTTTCTCCGTCAGGGAGACGTCTATATGTCATCAATCTCCGAGACCCTATACCCCATTAGAATCAGTAATCTGGGTTGAAAGCAAACGCATCATATCATTTCTCACATTTTTGAAAGTGTTGGACGGAAACATTGACAACCTCCAAATTCGGATGCATGGGGACTGGGAACTTGTGGGCTTCATCACTTGCTGTGGGCATCCACATTGCCAAACGGCCATTAGGAACAAGGGTGCGAACTGCGAAATCGAGAATATCTCTCTGCATAGCTTCGAATCCATAGGGCCGTTTGGGCGCGATGTAGTCGGGCCGGCTGTTGATAATAGTTAGCACCGTTGACGTGGTTTTCGAAATGAAAGAGACATACTAATGAGCAGCAACTCCATCGATGAAGACAGGCTCCTTCAAGACACCATCCCGCGTTCCCAGAACCCGAAGGCCTTCGCGCACACCATATGGCGGGTCACACGTAATGCCATCAAGCAAACCACAGTTTCGCAATGGCGTATTGGTGAGGTCCGACGTGAAAAGATCCATCATCTTGCTCTCGAGGTCATATTGCTTATAGTTCCGCAGAGCAGCTATTTCGCCTTTCTCACGCTCTTCATCCTTTCCACGAAAGCTGCGCGGGTCAATATCCGAACCAAGAGTGAGTGCCCCAAAGTGCGCAGCGGCCACCAAAAAGCTTCCTGTCCCGACAAAAGGGTCGTAGAAAACCTTACCCGGAGCAGCAAGAGCCATGTTCGCGGTCACTAGACTGAGTTCCGCATCCATGGTGGTTGTGCTGATGTACCGGCGCTTCTTCAGATCATGTTTCACGATAGTATCTCGATCACTCCTGGCAAGGAAGCGACCCATGTAAATGTTCCGTGGCTCTGTTATCTTTTTTGTGCCTATGAGACTTTGCTCGGCATCTGAGACATACTCTTCCATCACAAGGAACTGCTCATCGGGGTTCTTCATGCGAATGGGGCCCTCTAAGGCCATATATCCGAACGAATTAATGATCTCTGACTTCCGGGTCTGGCTGCGTTTGCCTGCAAATGTGTCCACCGAGAACGAAAATATGGACTCGCGGTACTGCGCCCAGCGATCAGAGGACCGTTGGCGAACAGCGGCATGCACCTCATCATAGGTTGTGCCTTGACCCCACAGCTCAGTGACGTCTTTAGCAAGCACACTTCGCTTGATGATCGCGCGCGCTGCATCATTGTCTGGCAGCTTTACAACGCAATATGGTGACTGGGGTGGGTTTAGTTAGCTGATATTGTCCGTAGATTGGCAATGACTGGAGAGTAGAAGTATGCGAGTCCGAATTCAGAAGCCAGGGCTTTAATCTGGGTCTTTCGGGCCTACATTCAATGCTCGCTGGGCTCATCACTTACATGGTCGTTGTAGGAAAGAAATTCTATGTCGGCACCAACAAGCGTGGCAAGTGCCTGGATTTCCGGCTTTCGGAAGTTCTCATGGCATTGAGCAAACCGAATCAGGTACTCCATCTTGAGCGAGTCGACTGATTCTGGCAGTCTCTTTCTTTGAATGTTCGTGGGGGGTTGAATCACGGAGCCAATTCAATGGTGGGGTGTCTGCGGGATCGGGATCGATTTTTTTTTTTTTACCTTCGGGTCCGCCTCAACAACCGTACTTTGGCGTCGGGATATTGGCATGGAGCCAATACTATTGGAGTTGCAAAATTAAACCAATTTCAGTTTCAGAAGAAGCTTTCATTTAGAATAGGTATGGATAGAGCTTATTGATCAACCTTTCTCATCGTGGCATTACTATATATTCTCCACACCAGTACAGTACTACGACTACTACTACTACTAGTACTAGTACTACTAGTATATTCGAATGAATAACGCAAACTAGTAAATGCTGCCACGAATTCACTATGATCATAACTAAAGGGAATCAAAGTCATATCTATCAAGAAAAAACCATAAAACCATGAACCAGATAATCGCAAGCGCCGAGAAAATATCCACATAGGCATATCAACACTTGAAGATAAGACAACCATGAAGATGTTTATCTTTCATAGAGAAATCATTCCTGTAACACCGCCGCTATGCGCCAACCACCTGAAATACATGTCGTGACTCATATCCCTCTACGGGAGTAACATCTACCTTTTCATCAACGGGTATCATATGGTGTTTTAGATCCCAGCCGGCCCGGCGGCAGAGTTCTGATACAACCACGTCGCAATCACCCAAAAGATCAATATCAAAACCAGTGTGCGACACAGGCTATACGGAGAGATTAGTTCAGTCCAGTTGAAGGGAAATGTCATCGATAAATCTCACCGTGCGTGATATGTAGATCTGCGGGATATCGCGCGGCAAGATCCCCGGCACTTCTGCAACGGGGGCCACCTTCAGCGAAGTTCCAATAACGATTACTAGGTCGACTAGCTCCCTATCATGATGAATAAGGCGACGACCAAACTCGTCAGGAAGATCCTCGCCAAAGAAAGTGATATCAGGCTGGAAAGGTAAGCAAATCAATATGGGGCATTCTGAAATGAACATAGATCGACGAACCTTCATGACACCAGGAGTTGGAATTTCATAGTCATCCTCATCCGAGCTATCTTCAAATTCCTTCCGATCTTTCTGACACCCGTTGGAACTTCGCTTTCGCTTAAGCCCTTGCGGTTTCAGTGCATCAGCTTCGATGATTTGTCGACAAGCGCTGCATTCAGGAACATTCCCCGCCTTAATTTCGCCAAAGATCGCATCACCCGAGACCTTGTGTTCGCATTTGACACAAGTCGCAGTTGCAAAGGACCCGTGGCATTGCACAATATTCTCCGGCAGAACACCCGCATTGGCCTCAATGTTGTCGATATTTTGAGTGTAGTTGGTCAACAACTTGCCCTTGTCCTGAAGCAGCTTGATGAACCCATGCGTCGGTGAATATTTCTTTTCGGTTGGGAGGATGTCCTTCGCGATGGAGAAGAAGATACTCGGATCTTCCCGAAAGACGTGAATATCAAAGACTTCTTGTGGGTCGCTTAGACCAAGGTGCTCCAATTTTGAGTAAAGACCGGTATCCTTTGAACGGAAATCAGGAATTCCAAGACTCGTTGAGATCTAGTCGGTAGAAGAGACATTAGCTTCTTGTCCTACGAGAAGTTTCAAAGAAAGTATACTTACGCCCGCGCCGGTCAACACGATGATGTTTTTCGACTCCCGCAGAAGGCGCACAGCATCATCGATAGTGTTGTAATCGGGAAGCTTTCGTCGACGAGAGAATTCACGCGAGATGGCGATCGCGAGAAGAGGGTGAAAGGACTCATCGGGTGCGCCTTCGAGAAACGCCGGGGGAACGATGCCGAATGCAGTGCATAGCTTCTTCGCTGTCACGGTCTCACGCACGATGGTCTCTTCCACAAAGGCAGCCTTACCGATCGCGTGGAGCCGATTTCGAAAAGTGACGGCTTCTTCAAGAGTACAGGCACCGGGAACTATAGGAAAACGCGCATTGTGAGCTTGAGTTTAAAGGTGGATTCCAATAGCGGGGATGTCCGGGGCAAGGGAAGAAGGGATATCAGGGGCACGTACCAAGTCCATCGCGCAGCTGTTCATCGCGCAGCATCTGGATTGTGTCATCGCCAGACATAGCATCCCAGCCATCTGAATCATCGCTGTCGGTTTCGTATACGGAGGATGCCTCCTCCAACGCGACCGACTCCGCGTTGACCGACTCCGCGACGTCGACAGCCTCCACCCCGACCACAGGAACCTTCACCGGGGTCTCCCCGCTAGGCGCTGGTACGAGATCCATCCTGCAGGAGTTTAGGCAGCCTCAACGTCTCGTTCGCGCAGTGAGCGTCGACAAAAAATCGGCATATGCAACCGGAGGCGAATTTATCCGGCGCCGAGGTAAGTGGCGAGGGACAACCGTGGATGGGCGAATGGGCGGGATAGGCAGATTGATGGACTGGTGGATTGGTGAGTGGGGGAAACAACTTGAAAGAAGGGCTTAGGCTTAGGGGGGATAAATGGTCTAATGTATAGATGGGCTACTATGTGTCGTTGAGAGGTACCAACAATGGGCGACAAACGTAACAAAGACGGGCGGGAAATAAGAGGGGTAAAAAGAAAGAGAACATGTACATAGTGTATAGATGTATAGTAAAATGTCGCGACTTTTTGGGTGTTCTTCTTTCAATCGGCCATTTCGTGATCATCATCAGAGTCTGCCTCGATCTCACCGTCCCATTCGCCTTCACCTTCAGCCTCACTATCGTCATCCATATCTTCACCAATTTCCTGGTTCATTCCCTGAACCAGTTCCAGGGCATGATCACGGAGTCGCTCATCCTCATATTCTAATACTTCATAGAGTTTCAAGCTCTGCTTGAGCCATTCCCGACTGGCCACCAATGACGCTTGTCGCGGGGATTCGGAGGGGTCTTCCTCTGTCACATCCTTTGGCGCCTGCTGCTTCTCCGCTAGCAGATAGAGACACCAGCCTCCGAGGTACCATGCTTCAACACTCTGGTCATCCTCGAGGATCAATCGCTCAAGAACTTCCAAGGCCTCGAATTCCAAAGAGACTTCCATCAGAAGTCGTGCAAGACTGATGCGCACTGCAAAATCGGGAATAGTGAGGTCCTCTGGGGGTAGATCTTTCCAAATACCGGTACTTTTCCGGAGCGCTGCTTGGGCATCCTCGGTTCGCAGCTGTGATATACGGATAGATGCGAGAGTCTGCAAGACCTCGGGGGCATCTGGCGTCACCGTAATAGCTTCTGTGATAAGGGCATCGCACCGGGCCTCTGCATCTTCTTCCCATCTAAAAAAAAGAGAGAAAAGAAAATGTAAGTAACGAGAAAGCATAGGTCGAGACAGACGAAACTCACGAAAGATCGGTCATATAGATTTCGGCAACAGCACAGAGCGCATTTGACAGCTTGGTCTTTTTCTCTTTGGAATTTTCAATATCTTCTTTGCTGGTTTTGCCTTCCAGGGACTGCAAGACTTGTCGTAGGGATGCGACGCCCTTTTCAAACCATTGAACACTCTCTGCACCACCTTGCTCACTCAATTGAGCGAGCCACAGGAATTTCTCAGAACCCCCACCCTCAGACTCGGAAATAGAGCCATTGGGATCCAGCTCCACGGCGCGAGTAAAGCATTCCCTCGCAGTATCGATATCGCCCAGCTCAACGTTGATTTCTCCCAGCAAGTTCACTGCTGGTAGCTGTGCCGGTCCATTGTCGCCCGCTAGATCAAGCGCTTGCTGTGCAGTTGGCAAAGCCTCATCGGCACGACCTGTTTGTAGAAGGATGGTGGCTTGATCGAGTAATGTGGAGGGATCTTGGGCCATGCTGTGTTTCGAGACGGAGCCGCCGGGGCCGAGGACGGATTTTTGGGAGGATTTTGAGGACTTCTTCGATTTATTCTTTTGCAGTCTGGGTTTACCCATGGCAATTTGTCCCAATTAAATGTAAAAAAAGGGTGTGAATGGTCGTGGTCAATGTAAAGGTAGCGGAACGCGGGGGACCTTGAATTAAAAAAAGTTGAAGCTCCAAAAATTGGGTGTTTGACTGGTTTGCATGTGGGACCGCAAGACCCAATCGATTGGGATTGACATCGCCCGCACTGGGTTTGCGACGATGGATGCGATAACCCCAGAAGACATATAATTCACCAGCTCTGTCCCGTCAGTTTTTCTTTTGGGGATAACCAAGACTTTCTGTCTCTGTCTCTGTCTCCGTTCCCTACGTTCTCCCCTCACAGAACGCTCTCTTTTTCCCGCTTGGCCAACTCGTCCCGCCAGTACCCCTCCGATCCGCCGGCGGAACAGACACAATGGGCCGCGAAGACCAAACAGAGGAGCGCGAAGTCCTCGATTCAATCTTTCCTGAGGAGATCACAGGTGAGTGTGAAATAGGCTCTAACCCGGAAAATTGAACCAAAGAGAAGTTATTGACCTGGAACCCCACTTGTCAGACATATCCGACATTTCCTACAGAGTATCGATAAGCCTTGAGGCTCCCTGGAGTGAAGATGAGGAACTAGAGCAGCCTGTGATCTGCTTGGAAGTTTCGTACCCGGAAGAATACCCCGATGTCGCGCCAGAACTCAGCATCTCCTCCCCACCCAACGCCCCGAAGCACCCACAACTGGATATCCAAGAAGACCGGGAGCGGCTTCTGGAGTCTCTCCAGCCTACGATCGAAGAAAATATGGGAATGGCAATGGTTTTCACTCTTGTGAGTGCACTGAAGGAAAATGCCGAGGACTTGATGACGGAGCGTGCGAATGCAGTCCAGGCCGAGAAGGACAAGGTAGCTGCGAAGGCTGAGGAGGAAGAGAACAAGAAGTTCCAGGGCACACCTGTCAACCGGGAGACTTTCTTGGAATGGCACGCAAAGTTTCAAAAGGAAATAGAGGAGGACGAGCTGCGGCAAAAAGAGGAGAAGGAAGCAGAGGACAAGAAGAAAAAGTCCAACAAGGACGAGAAGAAGCTCACTGGTCGGGAATTGTGGGAGCGTGGATTGGCAGGCAAGGGCGATTATGAGGATGAAGGCGATGATGCTCTGCCAGCTGTTGAAAAGCTTAAGGTCACAGCATGAGTTGCTATATAGTTAGTCAGTCATATTTAGCCGGGTTGCCAGACCCCTATGAAAATACTACCTCTGGTTTGAATTCTTCCCAACACATATCTCCCTCTTATGAGTTTACTAGGATTTTTGATTGATTACTTTCAGCATGGAAGGATATCGCATCAAAGCATGGGGTATCATTGTGTAAGTGAACGCAACTCAACATCGACTAAGCCATGTTTCTTTCAAGCACCGAAGGGGCATTTGTACATGATTCAATCTCGGCCTGCAAGAGAATCATCTCCTGCACGCCTCGCTTTTTCTTCTTCCTCTGCCATAGCGCGCTCCTTGAGTACGACATTCCACATTTTTTGGGCCAGTTCTGCAGCGGCTTCATCCGATTCACGAATCTGGTCAAATACTTCAGTGAGACCTAGTTGGTAATGCCGTGCCCAAGTAGATGGCTCCTGAGCACCCGTCATCTGGTCCCAACTATCCTCGTCTTTAGCGAAAAGAAGATCGATTGTCAATCTGTCTCGGCGCAGGATGCGCTTCCACCGTCTTTCCAGTTTATGCCGTATGACACCGCTAACATTTGTCGGTTGCGGCTTTTTGATTCGCAAGAAAGGCAGTCCCCGTGCATTGACCAGGACTGGTATTTTGCGCACGCCTTTCACCGGATGTGGACGGGATAAGATCGAAGATGTATTTGGATGACGCACTCGGGTCTTTTCCTCGAAACGCTTCGTTTCCAGTTTCCGTAAATCTTTGGCAGACAGGGGCTTCGGTGCCTTCTCCTCCCTGAGTCGTTTTTGTTGTGCCACCAATTCCACTTTCGCTTGTCTAGCCTGTTCAAGAATGGTGCTGAGTTTGCTGGCATCTTGGCCGTTGCCATTGGAAGCGGATCCTAGCAGGTCGAGTGTCTGTTTCCAGTAATTTCATTAGTATACTTGAAGTTCGACGGTAGACGTGGGAGAGGGGCGCGTGTACCTGATAGCCGGCTTGAAGGGAGTTTGCTATCTGGGTAGGACTATCTAGTCCTCTGTATTTCCGAAATTTTTGCTTGACGAGAGTTCTTGTCTCGCCGCGCCACGGCGGGCTATCGGCCAAGGGAGAACATTGTCGCAGGAGAGCTCGATAGAGAGATAAACCTAAGTTCCATAAAAAAAGGGCCAATATCAAACCAGGGCTGAAAAAGAGACAATGACTTACAAGCAAAGCGATGTACCCCAGAGGACTTAGGAATTAGCATACTGTGAAAGCTAGGACATGCGGCGAGATGGCGGAAGTTCTCCGCAGGAGAGAAAACACGATACCACGTGATCTGGATCGTACTTACCAGAATCGCGACTGGGGGTCTATACAATTTTTGAATGAATGTTGTAGATAAATACTGGAATAGGATTGGATGAGAATCGAAGATACAATCGCTTTTCGGAATGGGAAATCAGTCTTTACAGGAAACTGCCAGAGTCGACAAGTTGCATTTAGCAAGATGTCGAAAGGCAATACGTCATCTCATAGGAACTTTATGAATAAAATAAATTGGGCTGCGAAAGGAAGCACGCCGATGCTATCATGCAGAGAGACTGTACACGCTCTAGGAGAATCATCAGAGGAAAGAGGAGAAGCAAAGAAACGTAAAAGAGGACGGTCGTAATGCTTTGGATTTCTGGACCCTATTGATGAGACGTGGGCGTTTAGAAAGTCGAGCCCTCGGGGGGTTGCGGCAGCTTCTTATGCTGAGGCAACGCCATGTATCTATGAATCATGAGTTAGCTCTTGGCACATATTCTTAGAAAAGGGAAATTTCACCTCCGGAGCTCGATCAGAACTGTCTCCATAGTAAATTCTCGCTTCCACTGAGCCAGGCAAGGAAGCTTAGTAGGGTCCACCTAATTATTTCAATTACTTTCAGTTATGATTCTTTGGTATTGTGGCGGATGTTCAAGTCCCTACCTTGCCAGAGCTCTGGTCGACGCAGGGAATGTTGACTTTCGAGGTGAACTGGATGGTAGGAGGGTTATCGGGATAGTCGGGGCCGCAATGAATGTTGGCACTATATATCCGGTTCTCATGGACGCTCTAATAGAAACCTCGAAGTAAGCATATATCCAATACTCAATACCCAAAGTCAATAAGAAAGAGGAGACACGAACGTGAGGCGGTCCAAGAATAGTGCCGTTCCAGTTGCTCATCATCATATCTTCGCCATCAGCGAGACCATACGAGCATGCCTCTGCAATTGAGAGAAGAAAGCCATTGGTCAGTTGCGTGGTCCAGTGTTATCGGGGTGTGACGGGATCCTACCTGCACCCAGGCCCTTTTCGCCTTTCTCCAACTCTTCCAGTAGGCGGAAGTTCCGCGGAATCTTAGCGGCACACATGGTGAACTGTAGTAATCAAGAGATCAACAAAGATCCAGAAAGGACTCCGAAGTCAAGAAGCCGGGAAGAGGGCAGGAGGGGCAACCACCCACTTTCTGCCGCTTCCGACCGTCCGGCCACCCGGAACAGTCACGTGTGATATGGTCTTATCGAATGTCTTGGCATTTGGACCGGAGATGCCACGCCGGGGGATTGTTGACTGCTCCGCAATTTCACTGCACAGGCCTCAACAATACCGAGTATCGTGTAATCTAGCGTCCCATTTCTATTGCGGACGACTCGACAAGCTCTGGGAGTTCTCATTACGCGTTGATACGTGCCAAAACACCCCGGTATTGCGGACACTGCGACCTCCGAACATCAGTATAACGGGCGTTGGCCATGCGTTGATGGGATTATTCTTCATTGGAAATGTCCTCCCAATTTCTGCAGACCGAACTTGCCAACCTCATTCAAGAATCCAGGCGGAAAAATGCCGACTTGCGCAATGTTGGTCGACCCCTTGACCGCTATCTTTCCCCTGTGGCCACTAATAGTCGACATAGGCAGCAGAGCAATCACTCAATGAGCTGAAGGCGTTACCATCAACTTCTGAAGCGCAAATATCAGCAGGTATGCATCGGCTCCTGAAAGTTGGAAATTGAACATGAGAATGGCTGACATGTACTGTAGATCTGGTCCGCAAACCCACATTCGTGGAACCATTCATTATCGCATGCCATACTCGACATGCGAAACTTGCGGGTATCGGTGTAATTTGCCTTCAAAGGCTGATCGCTTCCAAATCGTTGCCATCTCATCGCCTGAAGGACGTTCTTGCTGGCCTGAAAGAGACCACCAGCCTGAGTATGTTCTGAAGCTTGGTAATGGATCTTGTACCAAATTCTAATGCTTTGCAGGTCTCGATATCCAGCTCAAGATCTTACAATCTCTACCGTCGCTTTTGCAATACTATTCGAATGATCTTAGCGGAGAATTACTTGCAAGCACGTTGGAAATATGTGCGACTTTGCAAGCAAGCAAGACGATTGCAGTCAGTAGCACAGCGGCTGCTACCCTCCAGCAACTCGTTGTTTCTACATTTGAACGAGTGTCGAGCGAAGACAGTAGGCCATTTTGAAAATTTCCCTATTACAGAACATAACTAATGCTTTCTGCAGGGCTTCCCGACGATGCCAAAACAACAACACATGTGAGCGTAGATGGCCAGTCTGTGGATGTGGCACAATTTGCATATGATGCTTTACTGGTACTGTGAAAGATCTTTACCTTAAATATCTTCGGTGCTGACAGTTATTCGCAGGTTCTGGATGATCTCTGCCGGATTATTGATGGTGAACAGTTGCAATTTCTACGCACCAAGACATTGTCTTCGGCATTTGTCCTGGAACTAATAGAAAGTATCATATTGAACAGCGGTCGGCTGTTTGTGAGCCACCCTGAGTTGTCACAGGTTCTTCGAGTGCGCCTCATGCCATTGACTGTACGATATTTGTCTGAGCGTCATTCGTTTTCAGAAACCGTTCGAGTGGCTAGAATTCTTCTTGTTCTTCTGAAACGCCACATGTCTCTCTTACCCGCCGAGTGTGAAATGGCATTTGGTCTTCTCACTCACTTGTTGGAACCGGACGGAACAGCGCCCTGGAAGCGAGTGCTATGCATGGAAGTGTTTCGAGGACTTTACTCCGAGCCTGGAGTTGTCCGGCAGATATACTCCCTCTACGATGGAGAAGAGGGCAGGAAGAATGTCCTGAGGGACCATATGGCTTCTCTTGTAAAGCTCGCTTCGGAAAAACCTACATTGATTGGAGTCAGCAGTCAGTCAACAATACCGCTCCGAGCAGATCACTCACGGTCTGCTACGGATGATCAAATCGCACTTGAGACTGGTGGCGTTACAGGTGTCATTGGATCATCGGTTCCTCAAACTGAGATCAAGGTACCAGGTATCAGCACTCAGTGGAGTCTTGTTAGAACGCCCTACATTGAGCATCTCGACAAGTCAGATCCGCCATTTCCTCCAGAAACATACATTTACAGCCTTGTCCTCAATTGCATTAGCAGCTTCGCCGAAGGACTCGCGAAATTCATTCTACCGCTCACAGTTCCAGACTTGAAACAGAAGCGCAAAAATCGATTGGCAAACCAAGAACAAGGTCCCGACTCTGCTAGATCCTCGCAGGACCTTCAAGCTCATGAATCGGGAAGGATCCAGCCCTCGTCCCCTTTGAAAAAATCCACAGCTCCCATCAATCCTTTGGATCTGCAGTCCCACGTTCAGTACTCTGCAATCCGGACGTGCGCCGACATTGTTGAGAATTGCTGGCCTGCGGTTCTTGCGACATGCTCAACCTTTCTTCGAGCATCTTTGGATGATGAGTTCTATCACAACCTTGTACGGGCATTCCAAAAACTGGCCCACGTGGCAGGTCTTTTGCGGTTGTCCGTCCCCCGCGATGCATTCCTTACGACACTAGGGAAAGCGGCCATGCCTGCAAGCACAGGCGGATCGAAAGCGCAAACCCTTGTCAATCCTAGTGCAAGTACCTCTCAAATCCCTGACACGCCTAGGAATAAACGCAAAAGTTCGGATGTACCTCGAATCAATCCTGTGCCCCCCGACCCCTCCGCCAGCGCAGCAGCGCAGAGTCTCCCGGTAGCTTTAAGCACAAGAAATCTTCTATGCCTACGAGCTCTGTTAAACCTTGGAATTGCACTGGGTCCAACATTAGATCAGCAGGCCTGGTCTATTCTTCTTGAAACACTGCAATATACTGGCTTGGTGATTGGTGCATCTAGTACAATGGTCAAATCGACGACTAGCGGAGAAACAACCGTCGTCTCTGGCAATGATGTTCCAACTGCAAATCTCGGAACCGAAGTAATTGCAGTGCAAGCAGCCTCAGCTAAGCTGTTTGAAAGCACCGGCGATTACCCTAGTGCTTCATTCCGAGAGATCTTACTCGCATTGCTCAATCTCTCCACATTCACCGAGCAAGAATCCCTGAAAGAATCTGCACAGGAAGTGTCGGAAACACCTAACTCGCCACAGTCGTCACGACGCCCTGGGGCCCTTAATCAAAATGCCCGACGAGTGTCACACACTGTGGGCAAGTCGAGGATGCAAGACGAGGAGCTGAAGTTTGTGCTGGAAAAGGGAAATGATCTGGCTAGATCGAACCTTGAGAGGCTTTCTTCACTTGATGAAGAAGACAATATCGCGTGGCAGCTTCTGACCCAAAGTCTTATTTCTACGTCTACAAATGTCGCCGTCAACCCTAGCCTTCGTCTACAGGCTAGTGGGATATTGAACACGTTGGTCTTCTTGACAATGAAACCGGGGGACGTCGACGATGAGAAGGCACGAAACGAGGTACAGACCCGAAACCTTCAAACTCTTAAAGACCAAGTCGCCTCGCTATATTCGTCGGACGCAGCATCATCAAAGTCACTTCCGATCACTGTGACAGAGATTCACGAGCAATGCTTGGAAATCCTGCAAAATATACTCGAACAATATGCAGAGACATTCGTGGATGGTTGGAGTCTCATCTTTGACTTGATAACCGGCGTTTTCCAAGGGATAGCAAAGGTTGAGAGTGGAGATAAACTAATCACCCCAACCGAGCGTAGGGCATCAGGCCTTCCTGCTGGACCTCGCTTGGTTCGTGCCGCCTACAAGTCTTTGCACCTTGTGGCTTCGGACTTCCTCTCTCTTCTACCTGCTACATGTCTGTTAAGTCTCGTCAATTCCTTGTCCAGCTTCGCCTCTCAAACACAAGACTTCAATATCTCCCTCACAACAACCTCGTTTTTCTGGAATGTGTCCGACTTTCTCCAAGGGCAGATTGAGAAATTTTGCATCGAAAGCCATGTTGACGCTTCTGTTAGCGAAGAGGAGTTAGGCAAGCTTACTTGTGACAGTGACCCCTCTGTTTCAAGGAACTCGCTTTGGCTTTTGCTACTGCTCCGAATCGTTGACATCACAACAGATCCGAGATCCGAGATTCGAAACAGCGCTATACATACTCTACTCAGAATCTTTGACGCATATGGACAACAGCTTTCCCCGAAGGCATGGCGCCTATGCCTGAACAGGGTTCTTTTCCTGATGGTGGAGGGTATCGAAACCAAACTACTTCAGCCCAAATCAAAGCAGGGCGGCGATACAGACGACCTCAGCTCCAAGGTCGCGACAACAGTTGTTATGATCAATGGCGTCTCGAATTTGATTACAAGCTTTTTCAATACCATCGTCAGTGATGAGGAGTTTGACCAGTCTTGGAAGCGACTATTGAAATACCTACAAGCTCTGATTGATATGCGCATTCTGGAATTCAGCGATGCCACTTTTGTCAGCCTCTCATCTATTCTCGTTCGCGTACAACCCTCGACTGGTATCAGCAAGGAAGCACTTCGGTGTGCATGGGACCTTTGGGCCAATGGCCACCCTGCTGCAGACGAAGCCGCCCTTGACCTCGATAAGCCCAATCAAGACGCAGCGCTGGCCTACATTCAATCCTTTCAGCAGATCTACCGACTGTACAAAGACAGCCTAACCACAGAACAAATCGAAAAGGTTCTCCAGCATTTGCGTCTGCTGGTATGGAACTCTGTATCCCCGCCTTACTCCCCGGATCTCGATCGTTCTTCTGCCGTCCAGGACTTGGTCATCAATTGCCTCAAAAAACTTTGCTCAGAGAAGGAAGAGTCGCAAGCAGCTATCTTGCTGAGTCTTGCCGACCTGTCTGACTCAGTATTGACAAAGTGGTCTCTTGGCGATGATTCACGAAAGCCGACGTTCGTGGCTTTCTCGAAAAGTATCATCGATCTGGTTGGTTGGTATATCGCAGATTTCGGTATCAAGCAGGATATCTTCACAAACGGAGCCTTGGCAACATCACTTGAGCATCTCGGTGCGTTGATCACGCAGAAATATAGATGGCAGGGCAAGGATCGTGAGCCTTTCCTCTGGCAGAAAGCTGTTACGACCACATTGAACGTCCTCGAAGCCGCTGTCCCGTATATGGAAAAGCATTATCCCGGAGCAAATGAAAAGAACGTCGCCCATTTCTGGCAATGCGTTGTCGACATTACCCATGGCATTGTCTCTGCTCGCGGTTTCCAGACTCAACAGTTAGCAAATGCACGTATACTATCCGATGAGGCTTTCGACATCGCAGCATTCACCCGTCTGAAGACGTTGGTACTTCCGTCACTAGGAGCATCTGTCATCCCAGAGGCCGTCCGTCGCGACTTCGCCTGCGCCCTCTTCCACTCCTCATTCATATACCCACCGCAACGTTTCGATCTTCCCAGTTGTCCCATCGAGCAAGAACCTCTCAAGGAATTCTATAAGATTCGCGACGGTCGCACGTTTGACCCGCCCCCAACGCTGCGTCCAAGGATAGCATATGTCCTCATGGATACATTCTTTGAGCTTGCGACGAGCGCCGCTTCTAAGGACGCCTCTGCTGCACCCAGCCCGCAAACTTTGCTAGCACGATCCATCTCGCCCTATCTTCTTCTTCGATGCGCCATCGCGATAAAATGCTATATCGCCGATCAACCTCTCCGCGGCTTAATGCCACAACCGACCCCGGCACGCAGGGAATTGCTTCATTTACTAGTCCACGCGGTCCAGCTTCGGAGCGAGCCCTCGGCCATTCCAGACCCCCCCGTCCATCAAGACGGTTACAGTGACGGCGGGAAAGAATGGCGATTCATCCCTTCATCATCGCAAGCATCTTGAATGGCTATATCCGTTGGTTGCCAAAGCCATCCAGGTTGCGGGCAAGGAACGTGATGATGGACAGGTACTCGAAGCGCTTGGAAAGGTATTGCACGAGATTGGACGCTTTGAATAGAGGCGATAATGCTGAAAACTCAACGAGGCCAAGAAAGTCCCGGTTCTGTTAGAAGACACCCGGACTTAACTGGCCACAATGCATAAACTCTTTCCTCCATTCATGTATTAATCACAGTCTGTTTTGCTAGGATAGACATGTGTCTTAGGACGATAAAATTTAGGATGTTTCCCAAGAGTTTCAGTTTTATTTTTAAAGAACCGGTTTATTGATCTTATTGAAATGTGTAGACAGTAGAACGAAAACGGTGGGCTACAGAGTGATATCGTGACATGACCATGACAAGAAGAAAAGGATGGTACAGGCACATGGCGAGGGTAAACAGAGTTGAGGAAGAGGAAGTTTGCGGGTGCCTAAGAAGAGTGATGTGGGTATAGATAGGAAGTGAGAGGGTTAGATCATCACTCGAGGAGCTAGCATTGCGATTATGCCGCAGGCGTCGAAACGGGCTGCTGTGCCTGTTCAGCTGGTTGAACTGGCTGAGCCGGCCGAATGGGCGTCACCTCACGACCAGGGCCTGCGGTAGCAGATCCTGGGGGCAGAGCCTGCTGCTGTTGCTGGAGGAGAACTTGCTGTTGGATTTGCTGCTGCTGGGCGATCTGGGGAGTCGCGGCAATCTCGGGCGCTTGGCGGAAGAGGGCAATCTCAGACTGCTTAAAGTAACGACGGGCATCTGCAATGAAGGAGGTTCCATTGTTAGTAAAGCTAGAACAGTTGAAATGCGAATACAGCGACTCAGCGCCTTGGTAAATTGGTGGAGGCGTGGGATGCCAAGACCAGGCTAGTGTGGGGGTCGGCAGGCCACGGCACGGAAACTGGGATTTCGGCCGTGGGATATGCAAGCCGGGCCGACCAACTCGTACCAATTGCCGACGGTTTTTGATAAGATATCATTGGCACTTGCTTGCTCCACAACATCATTGGATACATTGGGACCGATATAGAAACACAACAACGTACCTTCATCAATCAGCACCAGGCTGAGATAGTATCGTGTCGAGTACTTCTTGTTGACATCGCGGAAGGTCGGCGTCAGGTCAAAGCCTCCGAGGAACAGACGGATTGGGATGGTTTCACCTGTAGCAAGTTAGCATATTGAGGGTCTCGGCGATGTCTTTTCCACGACGAAGAAACACGGTCGCAGTTGACAAGTCCGGTGGGAGGGGCGTTGCAAGATCTGACCTCGAGAAGGTGAGCCATCCATTATCTGGCGGCGATGTTAGCAATGTCCACACTGTCCACACGAGCACATGCCAGCCTCAACCCGATGGAGGGGCATGTTGATACCAAGACATACCTCGAATCGCACCAGTGTCTCGCTCTCATTGTACTGATTGGGGGGGAGATCCGGTAGTTTCCCGTCGAATGATGGACAATTCCATATGCTTAATCTTCAGTCGTACGAGCAGGAAATAGATCCGACCCACAATCACGTCCTTAAGGTGATACTTGGATTTGGAGTACTCGAACTCAATATGCAGGCAGTCTTCAATCCCGACATCCATCTTGATAGGGCTGTTGGTCTCGGGTGGCATGCGGTACGAATACACCCAGAGGTCCTTTTCGCGGATGACGTCGGCCATGCGCCGCGAGACCGTCACGCGCACGAAATAGCGCAGTTTCACATTGATGCCATTATAGGATTCGTATTGCTTCTCGACGTTCTTGAAGTTGAATGGGAAGGTTTGAGGGTGCAGCAGCTCACCGGGCGCGGCGAGTTCTTGGACAAGTGACAGGAATTCGTAGTGGTTGCCTCGATCGTAAAACATTTCTGTCGCCCCAGGCAGTTAGTGTCGTCCTCCCCCTCTGTGACTCGGGACCAGTCGACGGAAATTACGCACCAATGGTTCCAATGAATTGCACTTTGATTCCCGTGTGCTCCAATCGCTTTCCATCCTTTGGCCGGATCGTCACCGCACCCTTGACGGACTCTCCGTCCATGTACAAGGGGACCCTCTCACGGCGGGCCTTATCGAGCTTGACATCGACAGTTTGGCGATCATCGAGGTCGTCTAGGACGACATCGATGTCGACAGGGGTGGAAAAGAATAGCGAAGCCATAATGTGCAGCAGCCGTAGTCAAAGATGGAGGTCAAGCAGCTTAGCTCGGGGATCCAGAACGTGGCCTCGCTGCTTAGTCATACCCCGCAAGGCAGCTGTCAACACACTCCAACTTGAACATACATTCAGGTAATTCCGGAATTGATGTTGAATGGAGTGTGATATTCCAATACTTGTTGGAGTTTAGCTTGTTGCTGCATGATGAATTGCAGTTGGGAAACTTCAAGTTGCAAGATTCCAATTCCGGGCTGGGGAAGTGCATTCCCCGGATATATATCACCGAGCCTTTATAGGTTAAGAGTAGTATACTACTTGTAGTACTCCAAAGCTAGTAACTAGTAGTAGGTACTACAAACCTTGGAAGTTGCCAACTTGAACTTGAAATTGCACTACTCCAGGGCTGCTACTCTACCTAGTAGTTAGTAGTATAACCCACCTTGAAAATGAGTTCAAGTTACAGGGCAGTGTTTTGCTGCATGCCCAGGTGGTATTTTACAGAATCCGAGTCATTGGCTTTCTTGTTCCCTGGCATGATACAAAAAGAACTTAAAAGAGCAATCAAGTCTTGCTTGGTTCCTCGGAGAGGCCCCCAATCTACTCTGTCGGGTTTTGATTTCCGACATGCGTTGTTCCTATAGGCTACGAGCAGCTCAGCCAGGAGCCCAGCCAGGATCTGAGCACCTTCGTGACCATTCATGATGAACCCCGCACTGTTTCCCCAGATTTGAAGGTTCAACTTGAAGTTTGTGATGTAACGTGGTTCGGTGAGAGGGGCGCTTCAAGTGATGTACTTTGGCGGAAAAGCCATCATGCGTGCTGCCTTCCGAGTTGGAGCCCGAGTCGGTGTGATTCGACTGCAGATATCCCTGTTCACTACAGTATTGCAAGGAATTCTGAAGGCCCCTCCTGATTTTCAGGCGGAGCTCTGAGATGCCTCACTTTGGGCTGTTGTTGCCTTATTGAAGCTAGGGACATCAGCACACGTGGAGCGAGTCAGTCCTTGTTTACACCGTGTATATGCATGGTATTTTAGTTTGGAAGGGGTTTGGGTGTGACCCATTGGACCCCAAACCAAGTCTTGCAGATAGAAAGGTCAAGTGTAAGATATCCAGGGATCTCTCCCGTAGGATAGATCAACTTTCCGGCGAACATTTCCCTAGAGGGAGATTTTCGAAATGAAGATGTGAAACAAGCCGAGTCCAGTGGCGGCGAGAGAGAGAGACGGGGAAAATACCAAAAAGGACCCGAAAAAGATAGCGTGGGGGTTCTTTACCGTACGGGCTGTGTATGGTGATGTCATCCAAAACCGGATACACCGTGAAAAGGGCAAATATCTGGAGGAGATGAAGAATGCCATTGAGATAGAAGTAGGAGTATACCAAAATAGACCAGACGACATATACAATTCAAGTTCCGTTCAGCTCAGCTCAGCTCAGTGCTGTTCAAATCCCCTTCGTCATTGACGATCTCCCTCCTACTACCCGACAGATTGGAGACTCATCCCACTCCCCTCCACTCGGGTAATGACCAGCCACCAATAAGCATTCCCCCACTCGGCTTCTGCTTCTTTCTTTCTTCCCCCCCCGACCCACCCTCATACTTAAAAAGTGATTGCCTCTTCCTTGTCGCGCGACTCCTTTTTCTCGCTTTGGTTTCTTTCCTCCGCTTTCTTCAATATCTTCTCTCTACTATACTCTGTACTTCTCTGTACTTCTTTCTTATACTGCATAGACCGCCGACCTCAACCAACCTTCTGTCCTCGTGTATCACCGCGATCTCATACCGTCATCCACTCAGCCCCGGCTATTTTCCTTGGAACTGCCCCCCCAGAACAGTTCTCCTCTCCTCTTCTTCTTCCTCACCACCATGCTTTCCGCCGGAGAACGGCCTCAACCATCGGTTACTCCCGCCCTCATTCCTGCTTCCATGCCCATCCAACCCAATGCTGGATCTTCCGCCATGCCTTCCGCCCTCAACTCCCAGAATTCGCTGAACTCGACACCCACCCAGCACATCTGGGTTGTTACCGGTCCCGCAGGCTGTGGCAAAAGCACAGTCGGCCAGGCGCTGCGCAAGGACCTGGGACTGTCCTTCTTAGAAGGCGATGATGTATGGAGACCCTGCTGAGACCCTGTCATTACCCTTGATATACCCAATGATCGAGACGAAGAAAAGGCAACAGCTAGTTAACACAGATCGCGCAATAGTATCACCCAAAAGCCAACAAAGAGAAAATGGGCAACGGTGTCCCTCTCACCGACGCGGACCGCTGGGACTGGCTCATCTCTTTGCGCCAGGCTGCCATCGACGCTCTCTCCCCCTCCGAATCCAATAACTTCCACCCGCCCGCCGGTGTCGTCGTTGCCTGCTCCGCCCTCAAGAAGAAGTACCGCGACGTCATGCGCGTTGCCGCCTATGGGTCGCCCTCTGTCCAGATTCACTTCGTTTACCTGAAGCTGAGCGAGGAGGTCCTCATGCAGCGGACCACCCAGCGTCAGGGCCACTATATGAAGAGTGATATGGTTCGCTCGCAGCTGCAGGCCCTGGAGGAGCCTAAGGGCGAGTGGGATGCTATCACTATCAACGTGGAGGGCTCGCAGCAGCAAGTGGAGGATAATGTGCTCAAGTCGGTCCATGCGAAACTCTCCGAGCTGAAGTGAGAGTTTTCTCTTTGCCTTCGTTGTATACAATATAGCGACGTGACGTGAGCTTGCATCGGAGGATTGTACCTTCTCCGCGTGGTGTCATGGGAGTTTTGTCTTTTACGATATGGATATTTGGAATGACCGGCTTGCCTAGGATCGAAACCTAGAGGGCAAGCAAGTGTCTTGTCTGGCGTTGTTTGATTACCGTTTGATCGCATTTACTTTGAACTTTCACTTACGCTATGCGCTTCTGCTTGTTTTTGGCGTACTCGACGAGTCTGCAAGGCTCGTCTTTTGATACCCCCCCAGTGTCTCGGGGCGAAATGGCATACATACACTTTTTTGTATATGACCAATGAAATCCCATCAAATGGAACCTTCTTTGATCGAACAGGAGAAATCTAAAATAAAAAAAAGACAGAAACTCATTTATAGAGAAAGATCCTCTAAATCTTATTTTTATACTTATGCTTATGCATGACTATCTATTTCATCGCAAGTTCAAAAGCATCAACTCTGGCGCTTCAATGAAGTTCCGCACCCGATTGCCCATGCGCGCCATTGTCGCTCCATCAATGACCCGGTGATCCGCGCTCCAGCTGAAATTAACCTGCTCTCCACGAGCAACTTGACCCTGCTCATCAAAGACGGGCACGGTCCTTGTGCGTCCAACGCCAAGGATAGCAACCTCCGTCGGCACGATGACAGGAGCCACATATGTGCCGCCGATATTCCCAATATTGGAGACGGTGATGGTGCCACCGCTTAGATCGGCGGGAGTCAATTTACCTTCCTTGCCAAGGGCACTGAGGCGTGAGATTTCTGCCGCAATGTCGTAGATTGATCGGCTCGCCACGTCTTTAATGGTTGGGACAATAAGACCGTTCGGCGTGTCCATTGCGATGCCAATGTTGTGTTTGGCGCGCATGACTAGTTTGGGCTTTGCGGGGTCAGTGGTGTCGACGCGGGCGTTCAGGATGGGGAATTCGTTCAGAGCGAGTGAGACGGCCTTGACGATGAAAGGGAGGAAGGTGATCTTCTTGGGATCTTTGGCATCACTTGCGAGCTTCTTTCTGATCGATGTAATGTCTCCGACATCGAGTTCGTCGGCGTAGAGGAGGTGTGGTGTGTTAAGCGATTTGGTCATAGTTTTGAACATGGCCGATTGGATTGGAGTCAGTCGAACACTGGACTCGGTTTGACGTGTATCTGGCGTTATGGGAGTGGATGTTAACGGAGGCCCGGAAGGAGAATCTTTGACTTCCACGAATCTGAGAACATCTTCTTTGAGAACCCGTCCTTCCTTGCCTGTTCCAGTGATATCAAGGATGCTAATGCTATGCGTCTTCAAGAGACCCCGCACTGCGGGCGTTGCAAGGGATGCATGCTTTGACTTAGGTGTCACTGGTGTCTCGGTAGAGACTTCAGGGGCAGCTTCCGAAGTCAAAATGGCAGGTTCAGATGATTCTGCTATTATTTCGGATTGGGCAACGGCCTCAGTCGGTTCTGGGTCTGCTTTTGGCTCGGCGGGTGGGGGATGATCATCAGGGTATTTTGCGTCGTCGACCTCGATATCGCAGAGTGCCTGATATACGCAACTCAGTTAGTCAGATAAATTAATTTGTATTGAAGGATTATTTCATCGTACCATTCCTGTAGGTATGGTGTCGTCGGCCTCGAAATGGAGCTTCTTAATAACGCCTTCATATCTCGATGTGATCTGCGAGGGTGTGAGTTATTTCATGGATCTAGAATAACCTTGGAGTCGTCTTGAGAAACTCACATCATCGACTGCCTTATCTGACTGATATTGGCACAATGGCTTCCATTCCTCAATGTGTGCTCCCTCCTCCACATACCACTGAATGATCTGGACCTCGGTGATGCCTACAAAAGACATTAGCAACCAATTCGTCCGATATAGCAAAAAAAAGCCCTCCAGATGTGCCTGCTTACCTTCACCAACGTCCTTCAAGAGCTGTGACCTGGTTCCCATCAGCATCGAGGCTGCATGGAATCCTCGGTTCAAGACGGGCGGTATGGGGCATGGTGTGCGGAGAAGAATCTGGGGTCGACAAGGTCTCAAAACCCGGGGGAGGCTAGCCCCACTGCGCAACACGTTCATGGTAGAGACAATTTGCGAGATGAAAGAAAGAAGAAGTTGTCAAAATCACGTCCGAGAGGGGGGGTTAAAAAGCAACAAGGATCGGTGCAATGCATTTATCTATGGTAGCTCCGCGACTCCGCGCCGACGGTAACCGACAGCCACGTGACATTCCCCCGCATGCCATTATTGCGGAGGCGGAGAATCTATGAAGTATCCCACATTCACATCCAAACACTGCTATATTCGTGGCCTTACTAAATATACTGACAGAGAGAGACCATCAAGATAAAAGACTACATGAAGCTGAAAGGACTAGATATAGCGGTGTGAATAGACTAATCTGTACCACCTGAAGCTCAAGCCTCACTGGTAAAATATTCTAAGCCTATGCTTGACGACTGGTAACTGGCTTATCAACTCTTCTAGGCTTGAAAATTCGAACAATTCCTCACCTACAGGCACCACTGGTCGTTAGATAATACTGAATTACTGATTTCTTTCAACTCCACAGGATGTTAATTTTTGACCATGCTGACTTTGGTTCCTCTGGAGGATCAGGGTCATTCTCTGCGATCTCCACGAAACGAGCCACTGGTGACTCGTCCAAGGAGATAATCTTAGTTCGATACCAGATCTTGTATCCAAAGTAGAGCGCTGCAAAGATTCCAATATCAAGGTATGCCGAAATGAATGTTTCGGTAGACCAGCTGCATGAAGACTGTGTCAGTACAGTCCTATGATAGTCAAGCACAGCCTAGTAAAAACTCACTGTCCATGGATAAAAGTCGTATAGCCACCAGTAAGCAGGATAATGATAAGCGAAACTAAAGTTATCCATGCCGCATACGGTTGAAACGGCGCTTTCCAGGGGAGTCTTTGGCGGGAGATTCCTTGCTTTTTCATGGCATAGTAGAACCGTAAATAAGTGGTGCAAATCACAAGCCACCCCATAATCTGAGCACATGCCACAAGGTCCTGTAGCCATGTGAATACCGTTGCGGCAGTGGCACTAACAGACATGTAGCCGAGCGCCATCCACACACCGATCGCAAGAACACCCATGTAAGGAACCCCCCCCAACGGTTGGTACGTGCGAGAAATTTCGGGGCTTGGCCTTCTCGGGCGAGGCCAAAGAGAATTCGTGAGCCGCTCAACAACGCTAATATGGTTAGCGCAAGGTATGCAAGTGTGCTTAGTTGAATAACAAACTTGAGTTTGCCGAGCTCCAAGCGCTGGTAAGAACAATTGCATTAATTATATGGGGTACCACTGGGATGCCGGCTCGAGTTGCGGCAATAAGAAATGGCGACTGCGCCGCGGTGCCAGTACTCCTTAGGAGCATAGGATCGTCGGATGGGATCAGAAGAGTAATCATGAAAATCGAGATGACTTTGCCAAAAAATGAGTTATCAAGTCCCTTGGTCATTAAGTGAAGAAAAAGGCTTACCATAAAACAAAAGAACACGAACAAATACTCTCTTCGCCGCCTTTGGGATGTTTCTTCGGGGAGCATATGTTTCTGCAGCGGCCATGGAAATGGTCTCCACTGAAGAATAAGCATATGCCGCATTCGCAAAAACAGTCCAAAATCCCATAAAACGGCCCAACGAGCCTGGGACATCAAGATATTGCACGAATGGTCCGGGGTCATGCCAATATTTAAAGCCAATTGTTTCATGGTTCGGACCACCACCCGCAGTAACAACAATGCCCTGTATAGCATGATGAGCACCGTAATATTTCACAAGAAGGGGGTTCCGAATCCATACCATAATATTCATACCGACAATCAGGAATATTTTCAAAAGCGCAAGATGAAATTCCACTTCACCGTATATCCTCACAAGGAACGCGTTAGTAGCAAAGAGAACAGCGCTAAAAACCGTAACCCAAATTGCATTATTGATTGTCACCCAAAACTGCACGATAGTAGCTGCGGCGACGCACTCGGCCGGAATCGAGATCAAGTATTGATATGTGACGTTCCAGCCCTGGGCGAAAGAGAACGCTGGGTCCACAAAGTAAGCCGCTGGTCGAATGATACCTCCGCTAAGAGGAACAAGGGCGCTCAGCTCTCCGATAGAAAGCGTAACGCCTGAAATCAATAGTCCCATAATAGTATATCCCATAAATATGCCTGCGGGTCCGGCCTGAGCCAGAGCTCTTCCAGAACCTAGAAATAGACCGGTTCCAATCGTCCCTGCGAGTGCAATCATTTGAATATGACGCTGTTGCAGACCTCGTCTAGTCGCCAAGCAGTTAGTATAAGGGTCTCGTAAATCTCAAAGCCAGAAACAGACCTCAATTCTTTTGTCTCTGCAAGCTCTGGAGCTCCAGCCCCATCTTTGTCATAGACCTCCTTCTCGATATCGTGGTCGTTTGCATATGTCTGGGACGTAGTGACGATCTCGTCACCCCCCGCAGCTATACCATTCTGTGTCATTGTCGGGGAAGGGACCTTGCAATACTGAGAGAAAAAAAGAAAGTCACTTCGAAAGCAAGAGCCCAGCAAGCCACATAAATATAAGCTTCAAGCCCAAGACAAGGATGCAGAAAGATAAGATAGCGCGGTTGGAACGGTGCCATAGGTCCCCTATAGCGACCGTATCTTGCAAAGTGCGTGGGGGTCGCGATAACCCGATACCGCATTGATCGCCATCGTGGGACGTCCTTCTGGCGGTGACGGGTCAATGTGGACTGTCCGGTTTAGTCGAATGTAGGACTTGATTGCAACCATGCGATAAACGCACCCCCGCACTAACTTCTCCCTTTGCGGGGAAGAAGGGGGGGTTCCACCCCTTACACACCTTAATAGGAAATCCGGGGAAGACTCTATTACTTGAGAATATCCATTATTCTGGCGACTAGTAACTGTAAATTTGGTCCGGATGGACCTATTGCAGGTACCCGTAGTTGAGATAAGGTTGGGATGCCATCGGCAAATTACTTCTGTCACAACTGAGAGCCTGGGCTGTGAAGCGGTTTCTTGCTTCTAGTATCTCTCATCGAGTATACTAACGAGAAACAACATACGGTACTGCCAGTAATTGCGACAGAGTTGTTCCAAGGTTTGCTTGCGAAAATGAGGATACAGTGATAATTTTTGATAATCTAAGGTCAATAGACATTCTGAAAGGTCTTGATAAGTCATTTTTAAATTACATTGATTATTTATGAAGCATGCGTAAGAACCACCCGGTCAGGCAGATATATGACGAGAAGTAGCTAGCTCACAACTCTTTGGCGTAGAGACATAGCCCGGACTATCTCGAGAATCATCAAGAAATGTGTGATATTCCAGCTCTTCACGAGCTGGCGTCGGGCGTGGATAGACCCGGGGTGAATCTCGTGGCCAGTATTGATGTGACTGTACCAGGAAAACAAGGCGACTCAGGACGCCGAACTCAAGCTTAAGCTTGATGCTGTATACCGCCGATTTGAGCGTCGTTTGAATGACGAAATAATTGAGATATTCGAAGACCAACAGAATGATGTCCATAACAATGATGAGGGCGTTAATGGCAAGTAGTTGATACATGACCTTGCGATTCGGATTGTGGCCGTGGATACTGGGGGGTGATACGCGGAGAATGCTGATAGTTTTTGAGATGTATAGGCCGGAAATGATAAATTCTTGGAGACAGAAGCCGGTGAGCTCGATGCGCTCCATTATGGTGTATCCATGGACCCAAACTGAGGTTTGGATAAAGTTGGAGCCGTAGGTGAGAATCGTCGTTGGGATATGCAAGACAATGGCGTTGACAATGATCATCGCCAGAACACGATGACTGACTGTTAAATCTTGCACCACGATATTGAGGCGCGAAAATAACACCAGCGCTTGTCCCGTGACCATGAAATACCACCCCAGAGTGGACAAGGTGATGGAGAACCAAAGCGGGCCGATGTTATAGTATTTTAGAATAAAGCTCAGGGACTGTGGAATTACACCTAGAACCGTTGCAAGCAACAAGCTCCAGAAGTAAAGACCTTGGTATCGGCGAAATGAGGCAAATATTAACACCATAAGCTCAATAGAGTTATAGAGAGCGATTCCCAAGAACACTGTGAAAGTGGCTTTGATGCTGAAATCATTGCCCGCGTATTCGCCGATGATCCCATTTTCAGAAGAGTCGCTAGACATGGTAGCCGCCGGAGAGTGGAATTCGCGAGCTCAGACGCGACCTGCACGTTCAATCGATGTTAACTTGGACCGAGAAAGGATTGAATGCGTCGATTATTTCGACCAAGGCACTTGGGCCTTAAGATGGCCTTCGCGCCTAGCGAAGACAAGCCACGATCAAGGATAGTTGACAACTCCAGGGGAACGGCCATGCGAAGTAGTATTATAATGTTGGGGGGATGGGGGGTGAAAGTGCCGAGAATGAGTACTTTTGGGACCCCAAGCTCGATGTTAGTGGCCAAAGGCCCGGGGGTCAGATCCCACGCTAGCTAGCGAGCGAGATACAAATGTGGAAACACCGTGAGGTCCTTGCCTGAGTTGTAGCACGCGGTGGAAAGAGGAAACGAAGCGCGGGCTCTGAAGTTTTTTGATTGGGGGAATGGGGCCAGGGTAGTATATTAATTCTCTCGCGTAGGTGCCACACGCTGGCACATGCAAACAGTTTCCAGCACAGCACCGACTTAATCCAACAGTAGAAACGATGTTTCAAACCTCCGTCTACAGGCTCAATCGTGGGGTCAACCGGAGTAAACGAGCCCATAATGATTCTTCCAAGAAACCCAACTCCACCGGAGTCCCTCTGAATATAGGCAATATCTGTGAGATGAAGGCAGAATAGGCGAGAAAGTGTCTGGCCCAGAGGGTCTCGCCATCAGGTTCAGGGGGGGGTTGAGCCTTGGCCCTTTTGGGTCAGCACTAAAGTTTTCTAATTTCCCCGCATCGCACCAAGCGAATCCTCCAATGAGCACGGTCTGGTTCCTTCGTTCCACCTTGTCGCTGCTCGCTGTTCTTGGTCTTTCGTCGAAGCGATTTACGGCGATTCACACACACAATCCTGCCAGAAACTGTAAATCAGTCGACGCGGCTTCCCTCCACATAAAGGCTAATTGTTCTTTTGCCTTAAGAGAATGCCATTATATGTGCCTTCACGCCCCTCGCCGGATAATTATCGGACGGCAAGTCAATCATCTGGCTAATATCTCACGCGACATCCTGGCATCCTTGGACCAGGTCGAGGGGCCGTGACTCGGCGCTAAGCCCTAGCCCGATGGAGTGTTGCGGACCCATCCCCGCGTTGGCTCGTTCGCACAAGGCTCGCAAATTTAAAGCTCCTCTCCGTGTCCTACTCTTGGTCCGAATAGACTCTTTCTGGCAGGTACCCGCGTAGGTGAAATGTAGCTTGGACTTGGCCATGGCCTTCTCGAGTTTTGTTTTGTCCTCCATCCTCCCCGTCCTCTAATAGGACATTGCTGGCTGGTTCAAGGGAGGCCAACTCTGTAACATAGGATTTCCATTATATTCGGGTTTTATTTCGAGGCAATTTCTCCTTTTGGAAAGTGTTCAAGTCTCCTCGCTCGCATGGTAGAGTTCATGCGCCTGTTGAGCAAAATGTGGGATCGGAGCCCCGCATAACTGACACTCGATGCTTAGCAACGGCGCGTCGCGATCCCCATCTTCGTCTCCATCTTGCCACCCAGACTCACTCTCCTCACTCTCCTCCAACAGGTCGGGTTCTGATCTCGGCGCCAATCGATCATCCGACTCATGCACAGTCCACTCCCGCAGAATTGATTTTTGTTGCCGGAACATTTTCCCAATATCTCGTCCACTACTTTGTTTCTGGTCTCCCGCACTCTCAATCATGTTTGTGACGGCGATATTCATCAAGCCAAGGTCCCACCCGGACCTTTCAGCGTGTAATTTGCGGAACATCCCCATGACATGATCCTGGACAACCCGTTCGGCCAAGGAATCGATACTTTCGTCTAGATTAAAGACTAGGCTCGGCAGTGCAGCCGAGCGCGAGATTCGATTAGCGTTGTACGTCCGTACCCCGTCCGTTTCCGGTGCGTTCCTTGGCCGCGTCGATAGTCGGAGCGTGCGGGGATGTGCCAGCCACCTAGGCTGCTCATTATTGCCATCACCCCTGTCGAGCAAGTCGGTTCTCATTCGTCGGAGCAGACTCTTGGCCAATACCGTCAATTCCCGTCGCACACTTTCCGGGCTATCCAGACGGCCGCGACCATATGTGTCCTCGATACTGATTTGGGTGGGCAAATCACGCCCTTCAATCACTTCGGTATTGTCCACACCATGAACTATCCCCCAGATTCGCTGACCGATCCCTTTCGCGGCACCCGGTCCGCCAAGAGTTTTCTCCAGTAGCGGCGGGCTCATACCAGGGTACAAGCGAACATCGCGCACTGTTACCTCTTCTTCGCCAGCATTTTGTTCTGCAACCCGTGTTCTTAGTTTCTGTGCTAACCGCGATCCAATGCCTGGTATTTTGCGGATCTCGTGGGCGTCTATGAACTGGATGACATTGCTTTCCTTGCCATCGCTGGCGAGTTCATATGGTGGAACTAGGGTTGTTTGTTGGTTTGGTTTGTGAACACTGCCAACTAACTTGGCCAATAACTTGGAAGTCGAGACTCCGCCTGTAGCGGTGAAGCCTTTGTCATACTCGAGCTGGCTTCGAAGGTATGCCATCAAATGGGAGCCAACCAAAAGCCTCATTTCCAGTGTTGAGGGATCGGCCGCCACAGCCAAAGATTCTCCCCTCGGGGGCGGATATGTAGAGCCATGAAATCTTGTGGCATCGTAAGTGAATCCAACGGTCGGATCATTTCTGTTGAGATGGAAGAAGGAAGTAGTCATGTCATTCCGATTGAGCAGTTCAACATTGTAGTCGATCATTTCTGTCACGTCAAGAGAGAGTTCGTCGAAGCCAAGCCTTTCGACGCGGCCACCCCAGATGAAACCGCGGATGAAATGGTATATATCTTTCGACGCATCTCGAAACTTGGTCAAGTCTTCACCTAGAACAATGACGACTTCGGGACAAATGCGCTTGGCATCTTTGATGAGCTGCAGTTTGTGCAAACCGCGGCGTCGAGCCTCATAGTTGCAGGTAACAACAATCTGTTTCTGTTGCACTGCCAGGGGTTGGGACTTCAAGGCCGGTTGCTCAACCTCGAAGACTGAGGCATAGAAACAGTCATAGTCCTGGTATTGTCAACTCCAGCTCCAGCTATAGTACATACAATGGAATGCTTACCAGGTGGAGGACGATACGACGGTCGTCACGCACCGGTGCTGCAGACATAGACTCTGAGTGGACACAGTCACCTCCATGGACGGTGGACTGATATTCAAGGCCAAAATCGTGAATGAGACCCGAGGCTGATTGTTGGGACAGGTGAGGATTGTCGTGGCACGCCAATCTGTCACGGCCATCCCGACGGGCTTGGCGCGACTGTGGCTGGAGCTGCGGTGGCTGTGCAGGGACGGGCTGTGGTTGTGGCTGATCCCACTGCTGAAGCTGGAATTGCTGAAATTCACGGAAAAAAGGAATAAACATCATGGAAACTTGGCAGTTCAGAAGCTAAAATCCATTGAACCTGGCGAACTAGTTGGATTTGTAGTTTTGACCTCCCTGCTGCATCATGTTCGGATGTGGTGATTTACGACGCAGCTACCGGATATAGTGTTTTACGCCGCTCACTTGCAAATTGCATTGAAAATCTAATTCTACAACCGGCTCGAATATGTAGGTATAGTTCGTAACAAATTAATCTTGTTTTATGCCACTACTTTCAAGTGAACCGGTCATCCACCGCCAATAAACCCTGATCGATCCATCTCAAACTCCGATCATAGCATCTCGCCCTATACGGCCGTAGTGGGGGCTTACGTTTTTCTCTTCGGTAGATTAAGGCCACCTTCTACCTACCCCTCTTCCACCACATCTCTAATACATAACATAAGAGCAATTCTGATCATAATACAAACCATGACAAATGCTAAAATTTCTTCCCTTCCCGCTGCCGAGAAAGGCAAGGAGATTACTATCTCCGCGGTAGAGAGAAGAGCCAACGATGACTCGAGGAATCCATGGACCTCGGTTCCAGTAAACGGCCAAGATCTGTCCCAAGGATACAAGGATATCAGCTTTCGGCAGCTAAATAACTATACCAACCATGCCGCGCATTGGCTATCTGAGAATTTACCCCCCGAGCTCCGAGTCATTCCAAAGCTTTGCCTATGCGGGTCCCAAGGACTTGCTCTATCCAATCCTGGCTTTGGCTGCAGCGAAACTGCAGAAAGTGGTATGCATGTCATAGTGATAAAGACGACTCAAAATGTGACATTTATCTAACATTACCGGTGCTAGATCGTCCTTCCTTCGCCACTTATCACGCCCGAAGCTCAGACGAGAATCCTCAATGCCAAGAACTGCGGTCTATATCTGCGGACAGCCGCGATGGCGGAACCCATAGCAGCTGTACTCAAGGAAGCGCCTCACATTCAAGCTATCACGGTGCCGGATCTCAGTGTCTTCGTAAACGAAGACCCTGCACCCACATATACATACTCCAAATCGTGGGAAGAGGCTAAGGATGATCCCTGGGTTGTCTTCCACACATCAGGCACCACAGGTTCGTCGCTTATATAGCCCGGGTGAGGTATCAAATCATACTGACCAACCGTTAGGATACCCCAAACCACTTACATATACGCAGTATATGATGGCGATGCCCGGCGTGGTGGCGTCTATTCCAGACATGAAAGAGAGCCGGGTCGGCCAGTATAGCAACAAACGACTATATACCCCGCTGCCATCTTTACATGTATACCCCCCCCTCTCTATGATTGAAATCTTTTTTTTCAGATTTGTGGATTTTGACTAACCCTGAATAGCTGGTTGGAATGATGTTCATATTGGGACTGACGACTTTCAACGACACAATCATCGTAGTCGGACCATCCGCACCACCAACTCCTCAAACCGTTCTGGATGTCATTAAATACGGCAAAGTAAACTCCGCCCTTCTAACACCGGCCCTCATCGAAGAAATATGTCTATCACAGACCGGCCTCGATACACTGCGAAGCCTCGCCCGTGTTCAGTACGCTGGGGCACCTCTAGCAGCGAAGGCAGGCAATTTGCTAGCGCCGCATACAAACGTTACACCTACCATCGGCAGTACCGAGGCCGGAGGCTACATAACAAAAATTCATGGCAAAAAGGACGCATGGGACTACATCAGTTTTCACGAACTTGCCGGAGCGGTCTTCGAGCCGCGCTTCGATGATCTGCACGAGTTGGTCTTTGTGCGCCAGCCCGACGACCGAATACAGTCAATCTTCAAGCTTTATACGGACCGTGATCGCTACCCGACGAATGATCTCTGGACCGAACACCCTGTTTACAAGGGTCTGTGGAAGATCATTGGTCGTGCCGATGACCATGTTAGCTTTTCGCATGGGAGGGGACTCCATGCGTCGCGCCTAGAGCCAGAGATCGAATCTCATCCCGCTGTTAAATCGGCGTTAATTGGAGGTCATGGGTATTCGGCGCCAGTGCTCTTGCTTGAATTGTATACCGGGACTGTGGACGAGAGTAGCTGGGCTTCATTCCTTGCTGCTCTGCAGTCTCATATTGATAAGGTCAATGCTCAGGTCCATCAGTGTGTGACTCTTTCTGCCGATCGAATTATCATAGCGACGGAGGATAAGCCGTTTGTACGGACGGTTAAGGGCAGTGTCGGGCGGGTGCAGACCCTGGCAGCTTATAAGGATGAGATTGCGGCTTTGTTTGCCTAGAGTTTGTGGTATAGATATAAGGATTATTCAGTTCAATGACTTGGGTGAGGGCTAATGTGGCAAAGGAAAGAATAATCGTTAACCGTGCTCCCGTGCTCTGTATGTTGATATAGTTGAAGTCGTTGGCTTCGGCAAGTTTTCTGGAAGCGGAGGGTCCCGGTAACCAAACTGTGGGCCGCACTCCCATGTCGCCGGTGGGACGGCAGCACAGACTGGGTTAGGCACGACCATTGGACCGGACCATTGGGACCACAGTGCTGACAAGGTTAAGGGGATGGACTTCAGCGGATTGAGACGCGCAATGCGGCGGGGTTAGGGAATGTGCACTAACTAATATAAGCGTTGCATGAATATGTACATTGGTAGCCTGAGGGTTTGCAGTGGAACCCTTGCTCCAGATACCCCTCAGTATAGAATACTCTAAAAGTTGAGCGTATTTGTTATATATGTTTTTTTTTTTTTTTTTTTTGAAAAAAAAGGAAGATTGGGGCTACGCGGCTAGGGATCCAACGGGCAAGGGTATCGAATGTGCTGGAAGTGATGGGGGCTGCAGAAAGATCGATGCCTGGCAGAGGGGCTTTGTTAAGGAGATATTTCATTAAGTATGGATCCGGAGTAGGTAAGTAAGACATTGGTGTGTCCAGACCGACGCCACAAGTATTCGGCCATGGAGCTGTGCGGCTAATAACTCCCCTGCAGCTCCACGGAATTAATAAAATGGGAGGCAAATAAGACAGAAAAGAAAGCAGATCTCGTGAGATCCAGATCCAGTACTCGGACTCGTAAGATACCTACAGGTACTGACAATCAATCCATGTGGCCACATTGTTAACTCCAGTTTTCGCCATCAAAGATCCTCGCCCCACTTTTCTTTTTATAGAACAAACATACAACAGTGCAGTGTACGAGTATACTCTTACGAGGACTGTATGGATATTGAGGGAGGACAACTTGGAGGGACAATAAATTATAGTAGCAGCCTACAGCTACAGCTACAGAATATGAGTCAAAGATCCAGTCCACCCATAACCACACTAGTTTTAAGATTAAATTAGAACGGCAGTCAAGGCCGATCGCCATCTCCGACCGGGCTGGATGTGGCGTCAATAGTTCAAAGTCCCCAGGAAAATCTCTGCTTGCTTCTATTTCTGTTGGTGTTGGTGGTTGGTTATTCAGGTGACAGGAGTATTTCAAGCATACTGATACTGTCAACTGGACTTATACTTGTACTCTATAGTATTACTATAGCATAGGTCTGCTGTGATCTGCTGTGTCTGTGACTATCACAAGCGCCGACTATTCTTAGCGCAACCCCTCCCGCCATTCTTTCTTCTGCATTACATACTCCTCCTCCTACATCATACCCTTTCTCTTCTTCGTCATGCTGGCTCAATGACACCTACTTCCTCTTCTTCTTCTTCACTCGAGTCATCCCTTCCTTCACGCACATGCTCCTCATCCACCATGTCCTGTCTGCAACCCCCTAGCGGTAGAAGTGACCACAGCAGCATCTCCTCCCGCCCTAAACTCACCCTCCAAACAACCTCGCTACCTCTCACCTTTGGCCGATCCACAACTGGCCTGTCGCGCTCCTTCGCTGCAACCGCGACCGCATCGCCGACCGTCCGAAATACCTTCAAAAATGCTTACGATGCCACATCCCCAACTTCCACCACCACTTCACCTACCAAGATCTCTTCCACCTCCACCTCCGGCCTGCGATTAAACACCACTGCCGTCCCCATCCCCATCGCCAAACCCATTTCCCCCTACATTCATCACACAAATCCCAACAACTCCCCATACAGCTATCGCAGCCCTTACAGCCTCCCACTCGGCGTGCGCAGCATTCTCCGCAACTCCCCGCTCGAGGGAGCCTCACGACGGCGCTCAGGCTCCGTTTCCGCAGGCGCGGGTGGACCTGGCGGCGCAGGCGTACGCCGGGTCTTCTTCCCCGCCAAGAAGCAAGTCAGCTTCCGACACATCCTCGAAGAAGAGATTCGCACGGAGCGATATACGGCGCAGCACCTGGATCTCGTCCGGGAAGAGGCAGTGCACGAGGCAGACAGTGGGGCCAGCAATACGAACACCAAAACCCACACCCACACCCACTCTCACATCCACACCGCCATAAGCGTCATCAAGAAAGATGACGAAGCTGGAATTCAATTAGGATCGGCGTCGGGATCTACATCGGGTTCGGGGTCCGGGTCAGGGTCTTGGTCAGACTCGGATTCAAGCAGTTTATCAGTATCAGAGTCAAGTACGGACGAAGGAAGCACAGACAAAATCGGCGCCCGAACATCTCTTTCCAAGGAAGAGCGCAAGAAACGCCGCACGCTGCGCGTTGAGCGACAGGTTCGCGCTGTGGCGCTGCTGGATGGTCTCGAGGCTAATCCGTACTCTTCGACGCCGCAGACGCCGCGACAGAGTCGGGTTAAACGGCGCCGTGAGTGGAAGTGGACTCTCGGTCCTGATCGAGGGTAGTCCGGATAGTGCGCAGTCTGAGCTGCCGCAGTCAATACCATACGATCAACCTGCATGCATTTTGGGGGACTCGCGGCCGGAATCGAAATATCTATCGCAATGACACTGGGTTAGATGGGCGAGGGCGAGACTGAAGTCGCGGGTCTTTTGCTGGTGGCTTTTTCCTTACGCGCATATATAATTGTGATGCATATTTTCAAGATTCGATGAATCATGTGTTTGCTGTTTTTGCTCTTGCTTGATGGCTTGCTAGAGGCGCTGGTGGCTCATTTGTTTTTCTTTCAAGCGATTACTCTTCTCATCTCATCCCGTGGGTGCGGGCATATACTACCTCTATTCAAGTTGGTACCATTAATACACCAAATACATCATTGGACATACATCTACTTATTTCTTACACTGGCTTTATCTCTCACTATTTGAATAGAGTAAATGAAGTGTGCTTCTATGGGTGGACCCGGTATTACCCGGACGCCATCTCCTTGGCAACTTGAAGTGACAGGACGTGCAGCATTATGCAGCCACAGACTAGGCGGCTATTTGCGATGTAGTCTGTGTCACATCTACGACTGAATATGGTTTCCAGGTAGTTTGTCCTCCGTACTCTGTATCAACATCGCCATTCTACCGCATCCGTGGGGCTTTGTCCCAGCGCCCCTTCACTTTCCATGCAGAAATCCCCGCAGCTCCCTCTAACAACCCAATAACATACGCAGTATCCTCATCAAATTAAGATCGGCGACTTATAATCGTTAATCCAATGGTGGTCTCTGCTCTCAATCTGTCACCATTGGCGCCAATCTGTCCACAATGACATAATAGTTGATATCCACGAGCTGAACGGCGGGGCAACTCCTCCGAACTATGAGAGGTTCAAAGTAATGCTATGGCCACCAATTCTCCATACATCTCGGCTGGCTGGATCGTTCGTCAATACACCAGCGATTATGTATGTATCACGAGTACATACTCCGAGTCCTCGAGGGCATGGGGTGAAAAAGAAACTAGGTCTTCCAGCTGTACCTGGGGCGAGATGCGCTCATGTTGACAAATATAAATCGTCAAGTGATCTTTGTTGATGTCAGCTACTCCAGGGCTGATTGAAGCAAATGAAAATACTGCTTGAAAGATGTTGGTAAGCTCGTTTGCCGCGCTTTGGTAGCCAATGCTCTTACCTCTCTGAATGAGTGGGAGATTTTGTGGGCGTCCCATTGATTTAACGAGCTCTACCAGTTGAATATAAGAAGAGTAATGGTTGTTAACTGATGCTTTGTCTGTTACAGGGACCATGCAACGGAATCAAAAACCTCCTCCTTCCTTTCCTTGTGTCAATACCTAGTTTGTTCTTCAAGTTGGAAGTTGAACTGTGTACCCGAGATATCAACCGTATATACCTATAGAGCTACAACGTAGGGATACTACTTGTTAGCACACCACTTGCATCCATGGATCCTCACTTACCCCGGCCTTTCCCCTCACCCCTTTTGTAGAATAGAACCACTATCAACGAGACTTTCTCCATTGCCATTAAGCGATAGGCGGAACCCCCCTGTTCAACTATTACTATCTACAGGGTTAGTGTGAATAATACCGGGCCATATGATAGTGCTAGCCTATATTACCATCGGGTGAAAAGTAGGCTCTTAGTATCGTAAGATAGCATTTCGTAGTAGTAAATCACATATAGGCGCCGACTAACGCCATAAAATAATAATCCCGAAACCCCCAAGACCCTTCCAAAACATCATGTAGTATTTACTAGATATACACTCAAGTCTCAGTCTCAACGTCCGGCTCTCGGCCAGTCAATCCCCCGACGCCAACCTTTTTCTTTATTTTGTTCAACGCAAACTTGGCCTCGTCCTTCACGAAGACCGCATTGCGCGCTGGACGCCACTGCATTAAGCCCCGCTGTTGTCGCTGATCACTACGTCGGTTAGACTCTTCGGTCTGAGAAATGCTAGCTTTCGACGAGGAGGCCTCAGCTGTAGGACTAATTATCGAAGGACCGCGGGAGAGCTCCTCGCTATCCGAGTCTGACGACTCATCCGACAGCTCACCATTCTCTCCATTACCTGCCTCTGCCTCACCAGCCCCATCCTTCCGCCGGGGGTTCGGCTGGCCCTTTAGAGGCGGGGGAGTCACTGGGTCATGGGGAGGAGTATCACGACCAGGCTCCGCCACCTTTCGTCCGAAGGAGTCTGTGTAGGCGCGCGGATCTTGACCAAAGGCACCGCTCCAATCGTGTCCTTCACGATCAAGCCAGCGACGACGCTCGGCCGGATCAGCCTGTTTGAGAACATCCCGTCCCTCAATGAGCGATTTTTCGTGCTTCTGCTGGACTTCCTCGGGGACATCCTTTTCAACGGTGCGGGACCGCACACCCTGCGACATGCATGCTTCCCATGTCTCGAAGGTCTCGCGTGAATCATTGTCGACGACGAAGCGCTCGTGCGACTCGTCGATGCCCGGCGAGAATTTGCAGCGGAACTGGAGTCTTCCAACTTCGGTGAGGTCTTCCAGACCAGGGACCTCCTTGGCCTTCCAGTTCTTCTCCGTGATATAGTTCTGCGTCAGGCGCGGGCCGAATTTTGTCGTCCAGATGGGGATATCGATATCAGTCTCCTCGTTGTCGACTAGATGCTGCAGCCAGAGAACAGCATATGCCGTCGCGCTACGCTTGCCCTGGCTATGGAACTCGAAAACGACGGGTGATCTATACCGATGCTTGACGGGTAGACGCAATGAATCGCGGTAGCTCTCGTCAGATGTATCGTAGACCGCGTCGCTTCCTTCAAGCTTGCAAGCTGCCCGGCGGATCTTGCCAACGCTCCCACCGGTGCGCAGCTTGATCTTCGACTGGCGGCCAATTCCCTTTGCGACGACCTTGTCGGCCACAAATTCGAAGGTGCCAACGTCCCAGCCGAGCATGGCGGGGGGAAGCTTCGTCTCGACGGGCCGGAAAAGAAGAGACAGGCGCATACGTCCAAACCCGACACCACCATCCATTGGGTACCATCGCGTAACCTGGGAGCTTGTCTGGAAGATGTCGGACAGCTTGAGAGGAATGACGCCGAGGATTGGATCGTGCTCGCGGTATCTCTGGTCTCGAACAGTAACAGTAACCACGGCAGATCGCCAATCGCGAACAAAACGTTCGGTTCCGGCGTTGAATATAGGCTTAGAGCTCACGGCCTTAGGACGTGTACGATAGATCTGAAGAAATGAGAGGGATTGTTAGCGTTGATGAGCGGGCGAGTCGGGTTTGAAAAAGGCACTTACCAGCTGATCATTCAGCAGGATCTTGCAGTAACTCGTAGGAAGCTCATCGCCCTGCTCCTCGGTGTTTTCACCATATGGTTTAGCAGGCTCGTACTCCTTGCCCTTCCGGTTTCCGTCGCTACCCTTGATGTTGGCGAGTTGGAGATTCACAATCTGATGCACGACGATATGCACGATACCGCTTGGCCAGATCGGATCGGGAGGTGTGTGCATAACGGCATCTTCTTCTTCGTTGGTGATAGTTCCCTTTTCATCTTCGAATGTAGGATTTCCCTTGAGGTTCTCTGGGAGGTCCTTCTTTTTACCATCTGTGCGTAGCTCTGGCCGCAGCTTGGGCTTCCCGAAGTATCCCACCTCCCAGTGCAGTTGGCCAGGCATCTCACTGCCCTCATCAAGGCCCTGGAGCTTAGAGATCTGGGGAAACATGCGACCAGGGTGCTGGAGCATTTCGCGGATGGGCAGCTCGACCTTTCCGACGACATCATCCGCCGTGTTACGGTCCGAATCCCATAGTTCAATGCTGAGATTTTCGTCCGCTTTGATCAACTCTGGCGTCACAAGTAGCGCTGCAGTCTCTTCCCACATCGGATTCAGGTCGTCGGTAATGACTCGTGTGCAGTACATAGGTTTTCCGTATTTGGAGAAGGACAGGTTGATGTACGGATCACTGCCGCCGCCCTCACTGCCACGGCGGTCCTGCTTGCTCAAGCCGATAGCCCGGTGGATACGAATCCACATAACACCCAAAGCCAGGGTATCTTTCTGGATGTCGTCACCCTTCAGCAACATACTCAGGTCCATCGTCATGGATTTAGGTGCAGCGAACATGGCGCAAGCGGCGCCGATGGAGGAGTTCACGAAATCCGAGATGAGAGGCAGATTGAGGATATTTACACCTCTTTTGAGCATAGGCACGCAAGCTGCCTTCACGTGTGGAATGCCGACCAAGCTGAAGGTCAGTTCTTTTGCGAAAGGTGGCTCGGGGGTCATCTGAAGACGAAGTCGAACCGTTCCGACCAATTCGGTAAGCTCGACGAACACAGGGAAAGGCACTCCGAAAAGGCCTCGAATACCCAAGTAAAACACGATTTGCATATGCATGTTACGAGCTTTGGAGGACGCACTTGAGCCCGTAGGCTTGGCGTGATACGCAAATGAAGCCTCCATGTTATAGTAACTACCGCCTTCCTCTGCAGCGGCAGCTTCCTGAGGATCTTTATTCTTGATATTCTCCTCGTGAATATTTTGCTTCAGATTCTCCACATGGTCATCGGGAAGAGCACGCATGCTCAGAATGCGGAGGGAATTAGTTCCCTGGTCAATTTCGGCAATGCGGACGTTCTCCACGACGCTGGGCGCGGACGCTTGCATGATGTCTTCAATTGTATCAGCCATTGGTATGAGCATGTCCGGATTGACAAGACCCCAGACCACGCTGAGGAAACTGTTCATCCATTCGACAGACTCGGGGAGAAGATTCGCAGTAGCCTATTACCATTAGTTATCCATTTGGTAAGAGAAGTGTGGGATTCAGGAGAAATTACAGTCTCTCCGCGAAGTTGCTCGCTATGCCATTCCATATCTTTGCCACTTCTAATCACCTGTTGCACCCATAGCCAGACGCCGCTTGCGATGCACGCGGCCAAGGGGATGAGTCCTAGCAGCGATCCTCCGAAGAATCGACCGATAAAGATAATTGCTACCGTGATTCCAATGCAAAGTCCCGTTCCACGTCTCTCTAGTTGGTCAAACATCGGCTGGTATGTTATAGTAGGAGTAGGGTGGAATAGCACGTTTGTCTTCTCTCCGCGGATTGGGACATCGGATGTTGTGCCCTCGGCGATGGGATCTGGGGGCGCGGTGATATCTTGATTTTCCTTATATTCCGCAAAGTCTTGGTCGTGACTGGTTTTGACGTCCTGTGTTGTATCGTCAGTTCACACTGCCTGTATTCTATCGCTTTGATGGCTGATCACTCACGGTTGGTTGTCCGAGGTTCGCATTGGGAACCGTCAGCTAGATATCGTGTCAATTAAGAGACCCCGGTATACGCCTGAGTATTCCTCTACTTACAGTTGGATTTTTGACAGCATCCATAGATGTCTCATCTTGGTCTTCCACCCCAATTTCGCGACCGGTGGTGGGATCGGTCACCATCCGGGTCTTTGCCTGGGACACTTCCCGTGCCTTATGTGCAGAAACATCCCCTTGTTCATCATCATGTCCAAGTTCTTGAATCTTGCGCTCCCGTTCTTGCTTGGATTGATTCTCCTGGTCAATGCGGATATCCCGCTCCTTCTTCTCTTTGTCGAGGTGCTCGACGAACTTCTGGACCGTGGGGACGGGGTTTGCTCCGCTCCAGTTTTCACCTATACGGTGTCTCTGGGGGGATTCGGTTTCATGACCATTGCTAGCCATTATTGAGGCTGGCCTTCTCGCAGAATCGTCGTGCGTTATGTCGTAGTGGAGGTCGTACTATGTGCAAACGTCGAATGTCGAATTGGGAAGCGGGGGGTTTCTCACAACACCCCCGTTTACACTGCAGTTGGAAGAGCGGTATAATTTGTTGCAGAGATGCTGAAACTAAGAAATTGAGAAAAAAAAGAGTGGTGTCCAGAGCAAAGAGACCGAGATCTTACTTGGAGCTGGGAAGCTCTCCCCAGAACGACGTCATCGGGCGGAACCCTGGAATTGCCATGACGCTGCCTCTTGGTACATAATGTACAACACTCTCGAACCTGAAATTTAATTGGACTTGATTCATGACCAATTCGAGATCTGCAACCTAGCCCCAATGGAAGTTTGATTTCCCCACCTTTATTGCTGTGCTGTTGCTCTTTCCGTCCACAGCGGCGGAATCCCACTCTTGGCAAAGACTGGAGCTCATTTCAGCAAGTTTTGTCTTCTACATGTAACTTGAAACTTGGTGAATATCACACTCCCCTGTCACCATTTTAATCGTCATACATTTGAAGAGAGGATTCAGCCTAGAAAATACATCGATTGCTAGAGCAATGGGCGCGATTGATTGATTATCTCCGAGTCTTACGAGGGATCCAAGCCATGATGTCACCGCAGAGCTTACGCCTTCGTTTACAGCATGTATGACTTCAATTCAAGTCTAACATTCGATAAGATCCCCAGACCATAGGAATTTTGGAGACTATACCCTTGCACAAAGTCAAACTCGCTCTCAGGGGCTCGGTCGCGTAGCCCAGACACTTAGTCCGTGAACTAACGAATAGGTTGAACTGTCGATCGTTGCGATCAGATAGCGCCCTGAATCAGATCAGTTACACCGACCACACATTTATTGGATGATCAATTGAGGGTAGGCTAATCATAGGGGTGATCTGTGATGATCTTTCTTTCATTCAGGTTGCCGCCAGGTTGGCGATGTCATACATAGTAGTTCATGAGATGATGATAACTATGTACCGATCGGCAAGACGAATAGTAGTAGGGTGATCGATATACAATTCCTGTGATTGTATAACGACTTTTACCACTAATTTACAAACAAAGGATATTTCAAACTTGAACCCTATCATCAATGTTGAATATTGAACAGTACGCGAGGATTACAGTAGCTCTGCTACCACGAAGTTCAACACTATTTTGGTTGAAATAGCTACTGTCTAGGTATATGAAGAAACCTTGCTTGATTTCGTCCCGATTGCCTTCGCTATGTATACATTTCAAGGTTATGCTTTGGATAGAGTCGGGATCGTCATCTTCGTACTAAGCTTCAATTTCCTCGTTCTACTTCCAAGGGTTTGGTCTGCCATAACTTTCTCACCGCTCCAGCCATCAACTTCCACTCAAATGTACCATGCTATGCCTTTTGCCATGGGCATACAACATTGGAAAGAGACAACTCTAGTACTATCCAAAAATGAGAACGGCTTGTTCTGGATGCATTGAATGTCTTTCCCTGTAGAAAGAGCCCGGCTACAATGAAATGATTGAATTCAACAAGCTAGATGTTCTTCCACCATAATGAATACAGTCTACTAATACAGTCTACTACTTCTCCCTGGGTTGTAAGGTGTGTGGCAGTTGATAATGATAAATAACGGGTGAGGTTTCTTATCACCACGGGACTGCCACGGTGCTCACACTCCAGCGGACCCACCTCCACCACCACCGATGGACACAACCTTGGGAAAGCATCTTCTACGGTCGCGCTTATACCGGACATTAGAGTTGACCACCGCAACTCTGCTAGACACTTGAAGACCTTCCCTATGTCGACGCCAGAGGAATCGCCAGCCCAGCGGGCTTCTCGTCTGCGACGAGAGCGTCGTGAGGCCAAAATCAAGGAGGGAGGCTCAGCACGCCTTGACAAGATCACCAGCTTGAGTGGTCGCACTCCGCAGTCAGGTATGATCTAAGTCTGTTGGTGAAGTGATATCTTCGCAAACGAACCCACCGCACGTTGGCCTTCACACCACTAACATGGCCGTCATTAATCACAGGTCAAGAAGAGGCCTCACCATCCCCACAGCTCGCCATCTCCCCTTCGCCTTCGCCAGTGCCGCAAAATCGACCCTCGCCATCACCGCAACCCAACATGAACATGCCGTCGAATGAGGCCCTTCAAGCACAACAAGAAGCTTTCCGCGCTATGCTTCGGCAATCGGCCTCCGAACAAGGCCAGGGCCAGCAGGGCCAGCAGGGCCAGCAAGGCGATGATATGGAGGACCCTACCATAAAACTACTCAACTCACTATTGGGTGCCATGCCTGGGGATCCTAACGGACCTCCCCCCCGGTGCTGGTGCTCCTCCTGGCGCTATGCCTGGCCAACAACAACCCGGCCTTAACCCAGGCGCGATCGCATCTGCCCTTGGGCTCCCACCTTTCCTCGCCAGCATGCTCGGTGCAGCTACCCAACAGCCGACACATCAGGAACAGAAAGCTACCCGTATCTGGAAGGGCCTGCACATAGTCTTTGCGATCGGAGTCGCGGTTTACCTATTGTTCATCATCGGAGCGTCAGTTGCGACATTCGGCAGCCCGCCCCCCAAACCTGCTACGGCACAAAACCCATTCCTGATTTTCGTTACCGGAGAGGTACTTCTGACAAGCGGCCGGGCCTTGACGGGCGGGAAACAAGGCGGGATTGGCATGGTTATCCAGCTTTTTAAAGATGTTGTGCGAGATGGTAGCCTTGTGCTGTTTGCGTTGGGCCTGGGAGCTTGGTATACCCAAGAGTGGCGGACTGTTGGATGAAATATTTAAGACTACAACGAATGGACGAAATTTCATTTTACAAACGTGCGCTTGGTGGACCGCGTACTGACCGTTCTACAAACCGTAGACAACTGTCACCAGTTATCTATGGCAGCCATTACAGCTACCTCAAAGCGTTCGGGGTCCTCTTAAGGTCAATGATTACCATGCACTATGCTACCGATGTATACACGAAGATGCGACAAGAACAGTAAACTTCTAACCAGCTACTAGATATTCCCTATAGCCATGTGTAGTCCCTGGATTCTTTGACTAATTCCCAATTGCTCTTCGTTGACTGGTTTAGTGAAGGATTTGCAAGACCAACGTATTCGTCTATGCTGCCCTACTAACATCCAATATAAGTCAATGACAGGCGGCGAAACTTGGAATTGCGAGCTTACCAAAGTATCATTCCCCATAAAGCACCCATTTCTGAAGAAGTTCCGAAAGTTGACGTGATATCGATAACATGAAACCAGTATGGCTCTAGCTCGGTGAGGACTTCACCTTGGGGCTAGCCACCTTCTTTGCAGGTTTCTTGGGCTCAGATTCGGTTTTGATTTTGGGTGATAATGGCTCGGTCTTATTATTTGGCGAGGATTCAGCTTGAGGAGCTGGCGAGGCTATATTCGGGTTATATCGCTCGGCATCGGCTGTGTTCACGCCGAGGAGTTCCAGCGGGGTTGCGCCAAGTATCATGGTTACGAGATAAGAACAAGTTTAAGGAATTGAGAAGAATTGCTGATATATAGTATGACCAAAAAGAATAGTTGGGAATTGAGATTCATTGTCTCTTATATAGAAATGAGTCCGCCCAGTTTGTCTTCATGGAACAATAGATCGAGGCAAGGCTGATACTACAGACCGACGCCTGAAGAACCTATGCGGGGGCCATTTTGTGCTTCATTTCACTTGATCAGGAATATCATGCCGCCCAAAGAGTGATCATTGACCAGGAGTTGCGCGCTTATGACTATGGTACCTTAACTTCAGCCTCGTGCTATATCTCGAACAACTATATGGTCCGCTCCTATCTCGGAAGAGGGTCCAATGAGTGTTTAGATTCGATCAAAAAGGCTACAGGTCACGGGCACGCCGTTTCTTGGCGTGTGTGATCCGAAGCCAGTGAGCTCTCAAGAATGCCAAATCATTCACAAGAGTGGTTTCGAGCTGGTTTGATTCATGCTTCGGAGTTTCGGAGATTCCCTTGCAGAGCCTTGCTAAATTCAATCGCGGTGATATAGATTCGGCAGCACCTGGCGCTATGAGGAGCCACTACGCTTAATGACGAATAATGAACCGCCAAACGTGGGTTCGACTAGGTTACTGGCCATCTGAATGGCGCCCACCGGTGGCTGTGCGGCTTCCCACAGTGATTTATTGAAACCGATTGGTCTAGCATAGGTGAAATTATCATATGCTGAGTAGTATATTGCAACTAGCTAGGAGAGCAAAAATGAAATAAAGAAGGGAAGCTGAACAATAGCCCCTACGCCTAATGAAGATCTGCGCGGCGCTATACTTGATTGTTTCTAGCTTACGTCAGCTCGCCCGAAAGGGGTAGATACTGCGCTCCCTGAGGGATGCAAGGAAAGGAACGGGAAAAGAAATTTCAACTATACTTTAAACTGCTTCTTGATTATCACGACCGGGCGGTAAAGTACTAGTACGGCCTCCACAGCGGCAGTCGACCCATTTTGTTCCTGCCAGGGCGGCACCGTCCCAAGATTACAACTGTTCTCTTTACAAATTTGGACACAGACAATTGTATGGTATGAATAGCTTTCGAAGACGTATATTAAGGGCCACTAAGTAATTAGTAGTTGGCGCTAGTATGTCAGTAGTGTCGTATATCACAAAGTTATTAGAGATGTAGATATTATACTACTTGTCATCCTGCCGGCAGGTGCTCGCGCACCTACAGGGTTGTGGTTTCCTACCCAGTCAGCATGTCTTCAGTAGTAGCTTCCCTTCTCATCTCATCGCCCTCTCACTACCACTCGTATCACTGCATTTATCCATCCCCCCCTTCGCATACTATCCCACGTTCCCGTTACATCCGACAAGCTCGCCGTGAGCAACGCGCTCTTTCGGTCTCTGGGACTGGGACAGTCTCACGACCAATCTGGGTTCTTTTAGCACCCACAAGCGGATTCTGATGAGCTTAAAGAATCACAACCACAACACCGCAAGCTGCCTAGAAGATCCATAAGTGACATGCTGAAAACTACGACATTCAGGACCATGTCAAGCGATTCTTTGACGGTCCTCGATAATAGTCACCGTGTCTGTTTCTAAACTAGGTATGGAGTGCTGTCTAATCAAATTTCCGTTCTTACTAGACCATGTCCATCGGGTAAAAGTGTTAGGGTTTCTGTATAGCATCAGATAGGACGTGACACAGACATGCAGTTTGCCTAGATCATCACGATAGATGTGAATGCAATGAGCAAAAAAAGATGCACCGGCCGGGATTCGAACCCGGGTATCCACCTGTCCTACGTCACGTGGGAGGGAGGTATCTTGACCACTGGATAACCGGTGCTTCATCCAGCGAGTTTTTCATGTTTACCAGATCTTGACTACATCTCTGGACCCAAGTTCAGAGACCGATTTACTACCATGGAACCTAAAGAACGCCAATCGATGGCTATAGATACGATGAATTATTAGATTGGAGTAGCCTATCTTCGAAATTCATGAATTGATACACCTATCCTGGAATTTGTGGTCTCTCCATGAGTAAACCTATCTAAAAGGGAAGTATAGTCGACTGTCTCTTCCCACCAACAAATGTTTTCGAACTTCCACGAAACTGGACAGTTCCTGTGGTACCCTGAGGTGCATCAATATTTACACGAAGGGATGTACCCGTAAGCTCCCATGAAACCGACAAGATGTCTCCTGATCCCGTAACCACCTTCGCACTCGACTTCTTTAACCCCATCTCCACGCCAGTTTCTGGCGCCAAGAGCCACTCATTATATCCAAATCCTGCAGGGCCACCCGCTGGTCGCAGGCCGGTGGCCCACTCGGTTAGAATATAAGTCGCTGCTCCGCCCCACGGATGGCCGAGACTCGTGAAGAGTGATAAACCAGGTGATTTATCAAGCGCAAGATACTCCCAGCTGGCGCCTGTGGACGTGGTGTCGTTCCCAATGCCTGTTTCGCCAATCTTGTGAAGCATTGGTCCCCATACCGAGACCAGAAGATCCTTAGCCACGGTGGTGGCGTTACTCATGAAAAGTGCAGGCAATAAAAAGCCATTTGTGTTGGGCGAGATTGACACGACTGGATCCAAAGCACTAACAGTGGTGTCTGCTTTGTAGCCGGGCCCGAGTTTGAGCCTTCCCAGTACCTTTGTAGACACCATCTTCGACTTTTGTGTTGAATTCGCGACTCCAGAAGTGATGCACCAAGCAATATCAGAAACGCCAAAGTCCTGGTGTGACGATCGGCTTGTTGAGTATGAGCCCAGATTATCATTCCAGAGGTGCTTGTTGATGGAGTGAGCCAGCCTTTGCGCCGATCTCTTATATTCGAGTTCATTGGAGCTGTGCCCCAGTGCTGCAGCGACCTCGGCAGCACCGTTGAGTGTTTCAACCGCAAGGCAGCTCACAGCCGAACCACCTGAGTTGGCACCCACAAAGGCGCTATCCAAATCAACCAACCCATCAGTAGAATTCACCGTCGTAAGTAGCCATCCAAGCTGCTTCTGCCATTTAGGCCATGTTTTAGCGGCATATTGAAGATCGTTTGACTGCTTAGTAGTGTGGTAGAAGCCCAAAAATCCAAGCATCTGGTAATCCTCCAAGGCAGGATATTTTCCTCCGGTAGTGAATGCATCAATGGTGGTCGATGGGTCGTATCCCATACTAGCCGCATAGCTCAGCTCCCCATTAGGGGCCTGGGTATCCAAAAGGAAAGACATCGTGTCGCGTGACCGATCGAAGCGAGAGCTGCTCGCGCCAATAATGCGGGAGGTGTGGTAAAAGTCTCCCAGCCAGATCATGCGGTCACGTTTAGGCCCGTCCAGGCATACGGTCGCCACATTCGCTTGATTTCCATATCGAGCAGATGCTCCCTTATCACGTAGACTGTCTTTGTACAAGAGAGTACTATTCGCACTGTCATAGAGTCTGGCATTGCGAACCCAGGCGGATTGGTCTTGGTAAGCGCCAAAACCAATGGCACCACTAAGTGGAACTGAACCCCCTGTATAGTAATCACCAAGCGAAACATCAAATACCTTCTTACCATTTATCTGAACAGAAATGCGATCTCCACCCGAGAGAACGGTGGTAATGTTGTACCATTCTTTTTCATGCACATCAAATGGCACGGTAAATGTATCTAGTAGAAGTGTGTCCAAGGTTGTTTGGTTGACAAAGCCGTATCCTTTCGCCAATAGAATGCTGTTCGCGGGGGTGAGAGTTGTATTGGTATTTGCAAATGTAGTATCCTTGGGCAGCTCTCCTGTGAGTAAAAGCTGAAGCCCAGATCCGTATGTCATAGGTTGGGCCTGTTCCCGCAATGGTGAGCACTCGGATGACCAAACTTAGCAAAAGGGATGCCTACCACTGTCCACCATAAACCAGCTCTTTCAATTTTTGTCTCAAATTGTAGGGTGTAGTTTTCAAACGATCCGGTTTCGAAGTTTGGCGAAGCCCTCATACTCTGTACCAATGCACCCTTCGCAGGATCGATTGTCCAAACGGGACCCTGCGTTCCCTTCTCGAGACATGCGAGGCCAGCTGCTTTTGCCCCGAGCTTCCAGATTTCATTGAATAATGTGTTGTCACTGTGAAATTGGCTTGGATATTGCTCGGGGTCGATGTCGCTAACAGTGGGTACGAATGCAACACGAGTGAATGAAACACTCTGTCCGGCAATCAAACGAATAGATTGCCATCGCTGGCCGCCTTGTATCAAATGAGACTGTAGCTTTCCAGTCTTGGTGATATTGAAGGTTTCAACTCGAAACGCGTTGGAGAGGCCGGTCGAGAAAGTGTAGGGCCCATCTCCCCATGGGTGCTGCAGCCCATGGTACGGTTCACTATACTTTACTTCAATCTGTACCGGGCCATCTATTCTGCTTATTTCAAAGAACGGAAATCCAGCAACCTCTGTCCCATAATCAATGGTTGCAACGGGAGACTCGGAGTTGAGAATTAGAGTCGAAGAAAGGGTCTCTGGCCATTTTACTTCTTGCGCTGCAATAAATGACTTCGGAGTGAAATCACTAGGAATGTCAGCTTTCCATAGCAATCAAAGTTCGGAAGAATGATCAAACTCACTGTGGCTGGTTCACAGCTGCAGCTTCAGAAAGCGAAATAAAACTTTGACTCCAGGCATATACGCCTAGGATCGATTTGAACTTCATCGAAATTTGATTTTGGTTGAAGACCTTGGAGGCTGACCAGGGGCAGGGGTTTCCAACCATGGATGCCCCTTTAAACCATGACTTCATACACAGAGATCTTGGTACATGTGGAGTTCGGGTGATCTTTCACCGAGGTAATTCCATTGATGCATTTTAAAAGTAGAAGATCGTCCAAATGTTAGACGCTTTTTGGCGATTTTCAACTTTTGCTTCACAATGAATGATTGACTACGCAAGAGTATAATTTCTGCGTGGTTGAACTGAATATATTTCAGCTACATCTTTACTCATGTTCTTGAAATTGAAATGGCTCTCTATCCCGACTGAACTGCAAAATGAAGTCGGAGGGAGGTCGAGGTGGGTCGGGTCAACATGAACTTGAACCCCTCTCCACATTCCGGTCGGCAATTCCGAGAATCACCATGCCGAGAACCGTCATGAAGCTTAAAAAACCAAGGCGATTTACCATTCTTGAGCATGAGAAGATTTAAACTTTCGACTTCTATGATAACTTTGCCATGATGAACGATTGATACTTACAAACTCTCATATGAAGGATTGAATGATATGGTTTACCTAGCAAGCAAAGGTTGACCAAAGACTAATAGAAAAAACTAACAACTGAGGAGAAAGTTCAGCAAGATGTAAAAACATTTGCCCCTCGCAAAAGTATGCTCCGTTTCACCCTATGTGTATCTCTGGGATAGAATTGGTAAATTCTAATATCTCAAATAATGCAATGATTGCGGGCTGTGAAGGTGATGTGACCCGAGGTGGGCGCAATGGCGTGTCGGGTAAATTGCGGGGAAATTGCTGGGCAATGCTGAAGAAATCGGGACAGGAGGGGCTGGGAGCGAGAGTTAAACCAGGCGATGAGGACAATTTGGCTGTGAAGCACTGCTGCCTGGCAGTAGTCGGACCCTTTTGCAGCGAGATGTTTTAATATGGTTTTGTGAGTTTATTACGATATGGCTCCGCACCTCCTCTGTATTATTTGTTACACTAGGCGCGATGTTTGGCCTGTTACTGCTTTTTGCTCAGAGGTCGATGATGAGTTTTCAGGATAATCGAACTAGATCGAGTTGGAAGAAAACAGGAGAATGCCGAAAGAAAACACGCGCAGGCTTGCTAATTCTTTTCAAGGGAGGGGCTCTTTGCCAAGGCGTTTACTATGTGGCGCCTTTCTCGTTGGCGATTGATGGAAAATGAGTTGCTAAACTAGACTTTACCGGAATTAGCCTTGGCTTCGTCTACAATCAGGACAATCCCGGTGGGATGATCGGAGTCGCACAGTGGGTTGACGATAGTACTCTCAAATTTGAGGATTTAAAAGCCACATCAATGGATCCCAGTGAGAACGAAAGAAAAGAAAACAATTGTTATACTTTCAATCTCTGGAACGCACTCTTGTGGCTATGAAATTCCTAAATGTGTTGGCGCTCGCCGCCGCCGCGCATGCTGCAACCATCTCTCACTCCAAGTCTCCAAGTGCCGTTAACAATGTGACCATTTTCTCGCCCCCTTCCGACTACAATATTCCAAGAACACTCTATGCACGCAATGAACAGCTTCCCAACGGCGATCTTCTTGCGACGTGGGAGAATTACTCTCCGGAGCCGCCTCTGGTCTACTTCCCCATCTACCGCTCGAAGGACTACGGCAAGACTTGGAAAGAGATCTCCAAGGTCCAGGATACCGCTAGTAAATTCGGACTCCGCTATCAACCGTTCTTGTATTACCTGCCGGAGCGCATTGGTTCTTTCAAAGCAGGCACTTTGCTCTTGGCCGGTAGCAGCATTCCCACCGATCTTTCCTCTACGAATATTGATCTGTACGCATCGAATGATGATGGCCTGACCTGGAAGTTTGTGAGCCACATCGCAGCTGGTGGAGAGGCTATTCCAGATAACGGATTAACGCCTGTTTGGGAGCCCTTCTTGCTTGCCCGGTAAGCTTTTCACCCCTGATCATCATTTCGGCCTTCTTCTAAATTAGTTACTCGACAGCAACGGCAAGTTGATTTGCTACTACTCTGATCAAAGAGACAATGCAACATATGGACAAAAGCTGGTCCACCAAGTTTCAACCGACCTAAAGGAATGGGGAGATGTTGTCGACGATGTGTAAGACTAATGAAGCCTCTCACTCAAAGGTTTACTAACAGCTCGCCAGCGCCTACCCTACTTATACCGATCGACCAGGTATGCCTATTGTGACAAAGGTAAGTAAAAACGACTCCTATGAAAATGAAATATTGAACAGAAATACTGACATCTTTCTAGCTACCGAACGGCAAATATTTCTACATTTACGAATACGGCTCCTTCTTTAACACGTCATCTTATTCGTTCCCTCTCTACTACCGCATCGCTTCTGATCCCGAGGATTTCCTATCGGCTGAGCACCATAAGCTGGTTGTGTCAAGCGGCACGAAGCCCACTTCTTCGCCATATGTTGTATGGACCTCGTACGGTGGCAAGCATGGAACTCTCATTGCTAGTTCGGGAACGCAGAGTACTCTCTTCATCAACAAGAACCTGGGCGAGGGTGAATGGACAGAGATCGAGTCGCCCGAGGGACACAGCTACACACGTTCACTCCGAGTCTTGGAGGGTAGCAATGGGCGCTATTTGCTTGTGAACGGAGCAGGTGTCTTGTCTGGAAATAGTAACACGGTTACTGCCACAGTGATGGACTTGAAGGACGTACTTTGAATGCCATAGTAGAACTTTTGAATAGCATTAGAAGTTTCGATGTCTAGATGAAATGATTATTCAACAATCTCCCAACCTTGGAATCCCAATTTTCGAAGTTACATATATTCAAGAAGATGCTCGAGTTTATGAGCAGAATTCCAGAGCTAAAAGGGTATATATCTCATCCATCTGTCGCAAGCTATCGACATAAACCCATTCTTCTTTCGCATGTAGGCCCTCGCCAGAAGGACCGAAGACAATTGACGGAATTCCAGCTTGACCAAGGAAAGCTGCATCGCACCAAAAAGGCATGCTCTGAACGACCGGTTTGTTGTTGTGACCGAAAACAGTGGTTCCACAGGTGATCGCCTTCTGGACGAAAGGGTGGTTGATATCTAGCTTTTGGGTCGGGCGAGACATTGTGACGCGTGGCTCGGTGTATTTGAAGCTCGGTTCATCCCAGCTAATCTTTCGAAGCATCATAGATAAATCGCCAATGATGGACTCTTCAGTTTGTGACGGAACGGTACGAAACTCGATGGTAATGGTGCATTTTCCAGGGTAAGAAGAAGGTTCCTGGCCACCTTTAATCAAACCGCAATGCATCGATCCTTGACCCAGAAGGTCGTCGACAGGCAGTTGGGCTTGGTACTGCTCAAGTGCTTGTAAGAAACGCCATGACTGAAGAATTGCGTCTTCACCAGCAGCTGGATCGGATCCATGAGCTGCGACTCCCAGGATATCGACTTCTGCCCACACAAATCCCTTGTGAGCCGTGGCAATGACATGAGAAGTTGGTTCCGCAACAACTGCTGCATCTGCCCTCCATCCAGCGGCCAGTATATCCCGGGTTCCCTGAGAAGCGTCTTCCTCATCTGAAACAGCCGCAATAATAATATCACCACGGGGCACCTGGCCACTGGCTTTGATCAATGCAACAGCGGCAAGTGCTGCCGCTAGACCGCCCTTCATGTCAAGACACCCTCGTCCAAATACCGCCTCCTGGTCGTTTTTCATCTGGATAGTTCCTGAAAGGGGATCTGTCTCGTAACTCGTGAGACTGACAGTATCAATGTGGCCGTTGAACATTAACGATTTGCCGCCTCCACTTCCACGGAGAACACCGACGATAGACGGCCGTCCAGCAACTGGCTCTACGCGGTGATATTCGATATCACGATGAGCAAACCATGCCTCAAGGTAGTCGGCAATCTCACTCTCTCCTACACCGTCTTCCACGGACAGCGTGGGATTCGATGAGTTGATTTGGGTGAGTGTCTGGGTTAGTGCCACGGAATCCTCGCCGGACACATCTCGAGGGACAGGGTACTCGCGGGCACCTTCTGTACTCAGAAGCACCACAACAGAGTCTTTATCCAAGAACGAGGCATTTGGGTCGGTTATCAAATGCCGAAGAGCAGCAAGGGAGGCACCACCACAAGGGCCAGCCGGAACCGACTTTGATGTCAGATACTGCACGGCACGGTGGCTTTCGTAGGATGAAATTGTGACGGAGGCGTCAACAAGTCGCTGCAAGTCCGGCCAAGCGGTAGAAGAAACAGTCCCACAGTTCATACCGTTCATTATGGTAGAAGGAGTTTTGACGGTAATTGATTTGCCGGCCTGCAAACTTGCTGACAGACAGGGAGCAGAGTCGGGCTCAACAGCGACAACAGATAAAGGTGTTTCTCGAGACTTGCAATATTTAACTACGGCGTGGGCAAGGCTACCCACGCCAACCGGAGTGATCATCACGTTGGGAAGGAGACCCATTTCGGATGCTTGTTTCTCAACTTCGTTCATCATGGTCGAGTACCCCTCCACAATCCAAGAGGGAACTTGTTCATATCCTTCAAATGCGGTATCTTGAATCAACAGTGCACTTTTTCCCTGACATGCGCGATCCGATGCCTCTTGCACCGCATCATCGTAAGACCCCTGCACGACAACTACCTGGGCACCCTCCGAAGAAATCAGCTTGTTTGTGGCTTCCGGCATAGAGCTGGGCACGAAGATCTGGGCACTGATTCCCAGCAAGCGCGCCATGAATGCAACTGCTCGTCCATGATTGCCCTCCGATGCTGTCACCACTGTGATTGAATTTTTCTTAGCTTCACTCGAGAGCTGGTCAAGGTTGACGGTATGAGGCAGTCCAAGCTCTTGCGCGACAGCCCGAAAACAGCCCCACGAAGCACCCAGCACCTTGAAGGAGGGGAGTCCGAAGCGATTACTCTCATCCTTGACAAGTACCGCTCGAACGCCCAATTCAGTCGCAACCTCGGGAAGAGAGACTAGCGGAGTTGGCGCATAGTTGGGAAGCGATTGGTGGAATTCTGCTGCGCCGGCGGGCAGCGCAAGATTGAAGCGCTCATCTGCGGCAGCGGGGTTCAAATAGATTGATCGCCTTGAAGTCATAGCAAATGAACTCCGACCGAGTCGTGTGTTTGTTACTGAATTTCACCACCAGGCGAGGGGGTCGTTAATCAATTAAATCTGACGACGGTCGCGGGACGTTCGGTGTGGTGGGGAAAGTCTTTCAGTGACATCCCACTACACACACGCCTTCTGGTAACATGACGGGGTGGAGCTCGCCACAAGAAAAACCCCCCTTTCATAACCGTGGATGGCTATGGTTCGGATAATAACATTCTGGGCTTATTTCGATGACAAGGACGCCTTGTTTAAACACCCTTTGGTCCGTCGGTTATTCGAGTATCCCAGGGCGTACTTGGGAAAATTAGTTATTACATCTAGAAAATCATGAAGACAGAGGACAACAAGGAACGAGAGAAAAGTTAGGTACAGCAAATACAAATCTCCGGTAAATCTTAATAAACTTGAAGCAAAGACGACTTAGACTCGACTTCGCCTAGCCTTGTAGGGTGGGTTGTCTCTTCACTTTTCCTCTGCTTTCAAGTGTGATGTCTAATAATTAACCACATAGTAGGACCTACTGATAAATTTACACCTGGGAAACATTCTTTTTGAGCCCTTCACAAATAAGTGATTGCTCTATTGAATTTTCTACTCTAGCTATATAATGTCGCTTAATATTTGGAAGAATGGTTCCTATTTATATTTCGCCATTAAATCCCGCGGGTCTCGTTTGCACGGGATTCATCAAAATGCACAACTGACTCAAGCAGAGCTTGAGTACCAATGGCACTAATAAAGAAATTAGTATTGAGAACTTGCCCGAGGTCGTGATTCACTTACCAATCTTCAGGGGTGGAATACTCCGTAGGGTGGTGGCTGACGCCGTCCTTGCAAGGGATGAAAATCATGGCGGTTGGGCAGTGTTTGCTGGTGTAGACACTATCATGGCCAGCCCCACTAGTCATTAAGATCGACTTCTGGGGGCCGACAATGTTGTCTGCGGCTGCCTTGATAGAGGAAATGCAGTCCTTGTCAAACTTGACAGCAGGGGAGTCTGTGTCGAGAGTCCAGTCATACGTTACTCCCTTTCCATCTTGCAAGGCAATGGCCTCGAATGCCTTGAGGCACTCGTCCTGAACGATATGAACAACACTATCATCCGGATGGCGAATGTCAAGAGTGAAGGTGACTTCAGTGGCAATGGTATTTGTAGACGCGTTTGAAGGAATTCTAAGGATACCGGTGGAGGCCAGGGCATCGTGTTTCTTAGCAATGTCATTTGAGGCGGCAATCATTCGCGATGCCGCAAGCAAGGGGTCGTGGCGATTAACAAAAGGCGTAGTTCCTGTGTGAGCGTCTTTGCCATGGATAGTGAAAGTTAGCCATCTGTATCCCTGAGCTCCCTGAACGATGCCAATTTTGCAGTCGTTAGCAGGGAGAATAGGACCTTGCTCGATGTGAAGCTCGAAGTGTGCGCCAAGTGGGTATCCCTTCGGGGAGCAGTCCACATCACCAAGATACCCGTGTCGCTCAAGCTCTGACTTGAGAGACACATCTGGGTTGTGGATATCGCGGAGGTCCCATGCCTTTTGAATAGGAATAGCGCCAGCCCAAACTCCCGAGGAGCACATGGACTTGGGGAAACGCGCTCCTTCCTCGCTGTATCTCAAATCAGCAAAAGTTGCAAAGACTAAAGATCGGCCAGAACATACTTTGTCCAGTTCACCACGCCAACATCGTAATTAGTCTGGAAATTGTTCTCCTTCATCGTACGTAGGACCTCCAATGCAGCCATCACACCCAAGATACCATCATAGCGCCCGCCGCGAGGCTGAGTGTCGAGATGACTTCCCATTGCAATCATCGGGGCCGAAGACTTCAGACTGCCAGATTTCCGAGCAAACATATTGCCCATCTGGTCAACTGAAAGAGTGCATCCCAGATTTTGAACCTCATCGGCAAACCAACGTCGCACACGTGCATCGTCATCATTCAGAGTCAATCGAGCCATGCCCGTATCAGTTGAGTTCCTGTATTTTTGTAAGTGGTTTGGCGATAGGTATAACCGAGGATGGAAGCACATACTCGCCATAACGATGAGCTGCACCCCATTCGCAAGTCTGATGCAAGGTCTCCCAAAGCCGATCGGCATTGATTTTGAGCGCTGCCGGGGCATGGACTCGAGGAGCGGATGAAAATGCCCGTGTCGCATTGAAGCGCAAGGCGCGTGTCGTGCGTGTCACTCCGTACATTATGCAGACGTGTCAACTGGACACCGAGAATACTAATAGTACTAGTAGTAAGTGAAATGTGACGGGATGGAAAAGTGTACGGAGCGTGACAGTGTCGACAACCGTGATCTTGCCAGTGGTTGTTTTCTATATGTGGCCGAGACTCGGAGTTTATGACAGACCGCCGGGTCGTCGAACGCCTAACGAGCAGTAAATGGGACTGGACGAACGCCTTCTTCTGACAAGAGTGGATAGAGCAAGGAAGACAACTTCTAGGCCCACCAAGCTGGTTGAAAGGAGTTGGCGAGTACTTTCCGATGGACTCGGCCAACATCGAAAGTGAATGGCGGAGGGCGTCAAAAGCGGACCCCCCTCGGCTCGGGCGCCTTCCCGCGACATCTGCGAACCCTTAAATTTCTTCATTGTGTCCCAACCCTCGTGAGCCGATGGAATGGGTTCAGCCGCATTTGAATCACTCTGTCTACATTTTTGCTGGGACTATAATTTCTGAAGCCTCTCGTTCTTCCGTGAAAAAAAGGTGTTGATGTTCAATTTGACAATCGTCCCGGTGGTATAGCGAATGTTGATACAACCTTGAGTGTAGTAGGTACAGACCAGCCGAATATATCCCTCTAACACATCCCAAGTAATCCAAATATCCCAAGTCATGAATAAAAGTTGCCCGAAACAAAAAAGAACTCCGATATATCATTCCCTTCCACAAAAGACATTCAAAATCCTCCATTGAACTCCTTATTTGGCATATCCTTTGCCGCGGCAGCAACTGCCAAAGCACTGATCTCCTGGGAATGGTCAATATTTCTGAATAGGTCTCTCTCAGGTGCAAGAATACCGTTGTATGGAATTGACGCTGTTTGACTTGTTGCTCTCGCCCTTGAACCTTTAGAAGATGCATCACTGTGATGGGTTAGAGGACATGACGTCACTATAATCGCGAACACCTTACTCAAATGTTCTCACGGATTGGTTATCGAAGTCTTTCGTCCTGGAGGAGTCGTGCGTTGGCAGAATTGACAGCACCTTCTCCTTCAGACTCTTGGTTTCATCTTGTCCAGACATTTTTGGTGTGTGTGGATCGGATCTGTTATTGGCACGAAATGGTTGCCAAGACTTGATATACTATCTTGATAGATATTGTCCTTGTGTTGTCACAGTGAACTTCAAGTTGAAATCTCTAGTTTTTCTTGAGATACAGAACGTAGTTTGATCTTTTTCTGAAAAATCCGGGGAACCTCGCTCTTTCATATACCTTCCCCGGAAAATTATTTTCGGTCTGTAGATTTAGATCGGCATATGAAGGTGACGTGGGGTGGAGCCTGTGTGACACAGAAGTATGTCGGCGGGCGCCGAAGTCCATGCCCCTGGCCACCTAATTCCCTATCGGTGATCGAATCTTCGCCGATTTCATCCTCGATCGCTAGTAAATCTAAGCAGTGTATTTAATTTCCCGTGGGAAATAGGGTCGAGCACCTTCACCGATCAGGACATCGCATTGTGATTGGCGACCCGCTCATCTGCCACGATCGGGCCATAGTCTCAACCTTCCTTAATCGGCGCTGCCATTGTAAAAAGGAAAGGTGGGCGAGGAAATTGTTACATAACGACATCTCATCGGTGGCTGAATACGATGCGACATGTCAGTAAGGCGCGACTATTAATTGGGACATAGTTGTAAGCTCTCTCCCTCTCTCTCCTTGCCCGGAAGCTCCGTAGTTCATTCTTGGATTTCTAAGTCTATTCTAAAATATTGTCTTCAAGGACCACCCACGGCAAACGCCTCTAGCTATAACAAATGCTATTGCAGCTGCAAGATAAAGGACACCGCCAAATATGATCAGATCGTCGTATTCTCCTCCGTCACGCTGCTGGATCGCCCCTGCAATGGGGATTCCCGTAAGGGTTCCAATGCTGACGATCGTGAACGTGGTCCCATTTCTTTTACCGTATTCCTGCGTGGCGCAGACCTGAGAAATACACACTGGCGTCAGGCTGATTGCTGCTCCACTCCAGAAGCCAAACAACACAGCGTAACAGATGATGGCGGCGAGATTGTCGCCTGATTTCAGCCACAGTGCGAGAGTCAAGATGGCGCAGACAAATGATGTCAGCACCATGACATTGAAACGACCCAAGCGGTCGGCTATCAAGCCGGGTAAAAAGCGCCCAGGGATTGCTCCCAAGTTCAGGAAGACGATGAGTAGGTATGAGATCGTGTCGCCGACTCCAACATGGATGGCATATGTTGAAATATACGTGATAGGTATAAAAACGGCAAATTCCACCAGGAAAACCGCGATAGTAGTGACAGCATAGTGGGGATCTTTCAAGGCACGAAAATCGACCATAGCACCCGATTTGAGGTTCGCCGGTAACCTGGTCTTCAAGAGAAGACATGCCAAGGTACACATGACGACACATAACAGTGCAATGATTCGGATCGCCCACGGGAATCCTATCTTGGGGGCTGTGAAGAGGATTATCAAGGGGAACACTACGCCTCCTATGCCACCCGCCGTACACGCAATGCCTGTAGCATAACCCCTTCGCACATTGAACCAATGGCCAACTGCAGAAACAGCTGGAGTGAAGAGTGTGCAAGCTGAAAGACCTCCCAGCACGCTGAAGGAAAGAAATATCTGGTAGTATTCTGTAGTTTTTAGAAGTTATTCATAAGAATATGATTTGAAGGCAGCATACCTTCGCTGAAGCTGAAACATATAAGAGCTATCACCATGCCGAACGAACCTGGTATGATGACATAGTTCGGCCCGTATGCATCAAAAATTGGACCTGGCCACGTATAGTTAGCACAAAAACCATGCAACGCTAATTGGATTGTCACCTACCCGCTTGGGCCCCTGCGAAGTATAGGAAGAAGCCATAAGCGCCAAATATCCAGCCAATGCTGGACTCGGAATAATCTTTAAGTTGATGTGTGCTGGTCCATGCGTGGAGGATCCCGAGGCTATTTAATAACCCCATGGATGGAATCATGGCACACCATGCCCCGAACACAACCGACCATGCTTTCCACCCCCCTTCGGGATAGTCGTCATTATCGGGGGGAAGCTTGCAGTTCTTCATTTTCGATTCTGCCTTTGGGATGCGGGGCTTTTTGGTCTAGCATGATCTAGAGTGGCAGTTGAGAACTTGCAAATGTATTTCTTCCACTACTGTAAGTAGAGGGGATTGGCAAGACTATAAACCTTGCAAACATCTTGTCAGATAGCTTATGAATCGCTTATTGAAGACTAACTCGGTGAACCTTTCGGCCCGAAGCATCTATGTTCGGTCTTGAACATTTCTTCGCTAACAAGATACTGCCGATGGGGTTATGCTTCGGCGAAACTGATCGCTCATTGGATGATCCGCCGCCCAAATGATTGCTAATCTGGCGACAGATAAGAACTGCCGGCGGATGCGACGTCTGATTGACCAGAATTATCATCGCATTCTATCATTCATCTCTGTTCTTCAGGTGGATCCTTGTCTTCAAGAAAGCCGCATCGCGTCAGGCCACTCGGTTCAGACCAGACTAACTTTCAGAATGTGAAATTTTTTTTTTTGAATAGCCAAGGATATACTACGAACGAGGCCGTTTGAGTGAACCCGAATTTATAAAAACGCCACCCAATCAACCCACCCAATCAACCCACACGTTCGGCGAACCTCATTCTATCTCAGGAACAATTTCCCCAGCCTAATCAAAATAGATGAACATCAACAGTTCGCCGCTAGTTATCTACGGTCGGCGATCTCGTATTGATCTGTTTCTTTGCGACCATGGCGGAACTCTTAACTCGGAGTGAATCGAATCGTCATCCAAAGTCCTCCCGCCCGTACCGATCAAAACGACACCCGCCGTGTGACCAGTGTCGTCGCAAGAAGCTACGATGCGAGGCCCAAGGAAACAAATCGTGTCAGAGATGTGAGGCTGCATCTTCGGATTGTAGTTTCAATCTTGTTCTGCCTCGTCGATCTGCATTGCCAGACCTGAGACCATCGTCGGTTGCCCATGAAGCCGTACCCATCTTGCCCGAGACAAACAACGTACCTACCGAGGACCAAAATGATCCTACGACTTCCACCGAAGCCTCAGGCTTCTCGATTACAGAGCCAGATATTCAGCCGGAGTTGAATTCAACATCCGTTGATGAGTTCTTCCTCCCTTCTCAGCCTGAATATCATCTCCCGGAAAGGCCAACGCCGCAAGCCATTCAAACCCTAGATCAGCTGAAGGGATTCTCATCACAGGTCATCGGGGCATCGGGAGAATCAGATCCTTGGCTACTACGGCACTGCAAGTTTGATGATCACGGATTTCTTCTCTTCCATCAAGTTCACTTTCGTAATGCTGGTGGAGTACCGCTCGAGGAAAAGATTCCGGTCCATTTCCTGGTCACAGCAGACCAATTATACGAACAAACAAAAGATGAAACCAAATTTGCACCAAGGAATCAGGCTCGTGAGGAGCTGAATTCTCTCGTTCCTTTGGATTGCGGCCAGAGGCTGGTATCGCTGTGAGTTATTCTTTTCACATTCAGATTCATCAATACTGTTCATTACTAAGACCAAACGACTACCAGGTTCATGAAATTTATCTTTCCAGATTTGCCCATTATATCGCGCTCTCAATACGGACTGTCATCATCCCAATCCGCCCCAGAGCAAAAAGTCCTACAGACAATACCAGTGCACCTCCTCGCAGCAATCTACGCCTCTGCCCAACCATTCGCCAAATTCGACGAGTACCTCTGCATCGTATATGCCTACTCCGCCCCATCCACAGACAGACTTTGGCGTCTTGTATTCGAACTATTATTTGAGGAGTTACATACACCCCATCTAGCCACTTTACAAGCAGGACTCCTTTACCTCCACAAACCAAGCGAAGGTAAGAAAAGTGCCGTGGCAGACAGTTCCTTCGTCTGGTCCTTCGTCGGTCTATTAGTCGGCCTCGCCACATCCCTAGGCCTCACGCTAGAATGTCGACCTATGGGTCTCCCAGCCTGGGAGCGACGTCTACGCCGGCGATTATGGTGGGCCGTCTATGCGGAGGATAAATGGCGCAGTCTGATGATGGGCCGACCGCCCTATATTCGAGAAGATGAGTGGGACGTGACAGATCTCGACGATGATGATTTTCGAATCGACCAGATGCAAATTGACTTTTTGTTGTCGCCGAGTGACGAGTCGTTGCGTGATGTAGTGCATGTCAGGCAGTTTCAGCATTTCGCGCGGTTATCGAGGATAGCAGACGAAGTGCAGGTTCGCTTGTTGTGAGTATTTAGTTTTTTTTTCCAATTCCTTATTCATTCAGCTAACTAAATACTATAAGCTCTCTTCGTGCATCGCAGCGACTCTCGTCGAATTTCGACGCATCTCTCGACACGGCTCGGGGTCTACTCCAGAAGCTGAAAGAGTGGTATTCACTTCTGCCGCCACAGCTCAGACTGCAGAATCGATTGTTTGCGACGATTGATCGGAGTGGACCGCGATCTCATTGCCTCCATTTTTCATATCTTTTACTGGAAATCTTCATCTTTCGCTCGTTGCTTCGACCAATGGTCCGGTCTGCTGCGCCGCCGCGGTTAGTCGAGGAAGACGAGGATCCGATCACCTTTACGAATATGGTTGATGATTACATCACTCAGATAATTGAGGCAAGTGAAGTTGAGCCTGTGCCTGCGATTGATATGTCCGATGAGCATGGTGCCGGGAATGCGGTGCTCAAGGCGGCCGAGAATTGCGCAGCGACGATGCTGCGGTCAGTGATGAGAATGGCGTGTAGTGATTTAGCGGGGTTTTGGTACTCATGTAGGTGGATTTTAGACTTTTCTTTCTTTCTTCACAGTCCAAATTTCTATTTCTACTTATGCTAATTATTGGATAGGGTCGCGGGTAGGCTTTGCTACCGTCTCTAGCTTCATGATGCTATTGATAGTACAGGCACCGTCCAAGGAACACGCGCTACGAGCTCGGAGATTGGTGTATATGTGGCGACAAGCATTGCGAGGGCAGAGCCAAGGCTGCGAATTGTTGAATCTCGCGCTTGTTCGGCTCGATGGTCCACATTGGACCGGGCTGGCGCGGAACTTTTTCCTTCCTCAACATGTCAAGGAGGCTCTTGAGTGTACAATTGACCAATCATAAGGCGCGGTAGTAATCAAAGTAAGCATTGGAAGGGGTAGGGACAGCCGAATCACTGCGATCGCGTACAGATTTGGGCAGGCTGAGGCTGGAGATGAGCTGGAGATAATACGGTTTTTTCTCGGGGTGGATAGCTAGTCCATCCACACCAATATTTGGGCGGAGCAAAGGAACCAGCGGTTCGCATGGAGAGAACGTGAACATGCTGTCCGGATTCCGTAATCGCAATTAGCCACGGCATTCCGCGGGAATTCAATTGGTCGAGCGAATTTGTGTTTTCAAACTTCCCGAACGGGATGATCGGCCCTTGTGACCGGTGGGATGGACAATGGAAAGTGGCACGCAGTGCAGATTCTGTTGGGGCCAAGTGGGATGAGTGGAGCGGCAGGAGTAGCAAGGTGAGACGCGGTGCAGGGTGCAGAGCAACTGCATGCGCTATTATGTTTAAGGAGGTTAGCTTGGGTTTAGCATGAGATTAGTTTGGAGTCGGGTGGGCATTAAACTTGTTAGTTTTGGTCCAGACGGTTCCCACTGATCTTCGCGGGCCTCACATGCTACAGTCGCACGGAGGGGTAGCAGATCAACGTTTAGGCGCAGTCCACCGTCTGCTACCGTGCGATGCCGCGATACGAGTACGTTGAGTGTGAGTGCAAGTCGGATGGTCCAGCCCGATAGCCGGGAGGCAACAGGCGACGTAGATCCAGACATCGGGTCCATCCGCCATACAACCGGTAATCCCGGTTGAAGTGTTCCCCCTGGCCGTGGTGTGCAGACGAGCTGCCAGGCACGAAACCCCCCTTGGTCCCACATTCGACCAATTTCCGTTTTCCCACCCCCACAATCCCGGTGGCTCCCAGCGTGGGTGTGTGGTGGTACGGATACAGCCCGGACCTTTCACCGGTTTGATGCAGGTGCAGCGGGTGGGGACTGGATTTGAGTGTACATAGTAGTGGTATATGATTTTTTTTTGCAAAGCCTTGCGCGCTTGCGGAAGAGGGGCATGATTGATAAATTGAAGATGTTGCCAGGTGTTTGTAATGAGTGGATTTTCAACTCGGACTCGTCACTCGGGCTCGGTGGCAGAGAGATTAAACTTCTAACCGGCGCGGCTCGCTCCCAATGGAGTGTTTTGCCTACTTTGCACTTCAATGCTGCTTACTCATCCCCCCCCCCCGCACCCGTGACGATCGGGAGCTGCTTACACGGGGTTTCGGGGGGGACACGATCTTGGAATTTCCCTGTCTCTGTGGTTTTCGATTGCTAGGTTTATCCGGAGTCTTGGGTCTGGGGGGGATCTCAGTGAATCTGACACCAAAAGACAGTTCCCTCGGTCATCGGGGGAAAGGGGAATAAAACGAAATGACGTTGAACCGGGATTCCCAACAAAGGGCTTGGCCCAGCTCTCTGCCTCTGGAAAAAGTGCCAGGGATAACCGCGGGGGTGATCGTTTCGGACAAAAGGTTCTCATGAGAAATCTAGCCATTCCATTTGAACGGGGCGGCGTCCAATCCGAGGGAAGCAAGAAGCCGGGGGGGTGCGGCCCAAAGTGCATAGTCATGGTCATAGTTCCTTAGTTCCCCCGGGGCAACGGAAGTGCTCAGTCCCCCGCATGACCGAGCTAGGCACGAGGATCACAATGTAGAGAAGAGGTGATATTCTAGGATATAGCTCTACTATGCAATATCTATAGCTGTAGAATATATACATTGATTAATCTGTTAGGGATGACTCTATAATACATACGATAGTCGTCAACTATACAGTTGTAGGATACTGTCGTGTACTGTGTATGTGTATACTACTCTAGAGTCTACTCTCCCTGCCGCTCGCAGTGACAGCCCCGCCGCATCCAGCCTTGACCCGAATCGGTGACAGCCAATTACTCCACCCCCAACCCAGCATTCTCCTAACTTGAAATATTTAATATTAACATTTCCCTCCACGCTGTACCTCGTTTTTCTTTCTCCCTCTCTCGCTCCCTCTCTCGATTTCTCTCTCCACCCCCCTCTCCCCATCGCGTGAGTGATTCCAACATGCCTCCACTTGAAGCTCCCCCGCCAGTTGCTCCTTCGTCCCTCTGCCCACGACCTGACACTAACTTTTAACCCCCTCCTCTCCCACAGACCTCTCTCCTAACACATTGAATTCATCTTCCACTGTGCTCCGGAGCTCACAAATATGTCGGACGACCGTAAGCCCTCCGTGGTAAGTACCTGGTCGCACTGGCAACCGCCGCGCCCGCCACTTCTTTTCATCCCACCTTCCCACCTTCCCCGCCGATCATTGCTAACCTACGCTACTCAGGTGCTGGAAGCCCACGAGGTCGACACTTATCACGTTCCCAAAGCTTTCCACGACAAGCACCCCACCGGCACCCACATCAAGGATATCGATGAGTACAATAAGCTCTATGAAGAATCCATCCGCAGCCCGGACACTTTCTGGGCCCGCATGGCCCGTGAGCTTCTCACCTTCGACAAAGACTTCCAGACCACCCACCACGGTTCCCTTGCCAATGGTGATAATGCCTGGTTCGTGGAGGGCCAGTTGAACGCTTCCTTCAACTGTGTTGACCGTCACGCCCTGAAGAACCCCGACAAGGTCGCCATCATCTACGAAGCCGACGAGCCCAACGAGGGCCGCTCCATTACATACGGCGAGCTCCTCCGCGAGGTCTCCCGCGTCGCCTGGACACTGAAGCAGCGTGGTGTCAAGAAGGGTGACACCGTCGGTATCTACCTTCCCATGATTCCCGAGGCCGTCATCGCCTTCCTGGCCTGCTCCCGTATCGGTGCCGTCCACTCCGTCGTATTCGCCGGTTTCTCCTCAGACTCTCTCCGCGATCGCGTGCTCGACGCGAACTCCAAGGTCGTCATCACCACCGACGAGGGCAAGCGTGGTGGTAAGGTCATTGGCACTAAGCGCATTGTTGATGCGGCGCTCGAGCAATGCCCCGATGTGACCACTTGCCTGGTTTACAAGCGCACTGGCGCCGAGGTTCCCTGGACCGAGGGCCGTGATATCTGGTGGCACGAGGAGGTCGAGAAGTACCCCAACTACCTCGCCCCCGAGCCTGTTAACTCCGAAGACCCTCTTTTCCTTCTCTACACCTCCGGCTCGACTGGAAAGCCCAAGGGTGTTATGCACACCACTGCCGGCTACCTGCTGGGTGCCGCCATGACCGGAAAATATGTCTTTGATATCCACGATGATGACCGCTACTTCTGTGGCGGTGATGTCGGCTGGATTACTGGTCACACCTATGTAGTTTACGCCCCTCTGTTGTTGGGATGTGCCACCGTCGTTTTCGAGAGTACCCCCGCTTACCCCAACTTCTCGCGCTACTGGGATGTCATCGACAAGCACGATGTTACTCAGTTCTATGTTGCCCCCACCGCCCTGCGCCTGCTGAAGCGTGCCGGTAACGAGCACATCCACCACAAGATGAAGTCCCTGCGTGTACTCGGCTCCGTCGGTGAACCCATTGCTGCTGAGGTCTGGAAGTGGTACTTCGAGGCTGTTGGCAAGGGAGGAAGCTCACGTTTGCGATGTCCGTATCTCTTTTCCCTAATATCCGCGATTCATCAGCTAATATACTTTGCAGACTTACTGGCAAACCGAGACCGGTTCCAACGTGATCACACCTCTGGGCGGCATCACCCCCACTAAGCCTGGTAGCGCCTCGCTTCCATTCTTTGGAATCGAGCCCGCCATCATTGACCCTGTCTCCGGAGAGGAGATCACCGGTAACGATGTTGAGGGTGTCCTTGCCTTCAAGCAGGCATGGCCTAGCATGGCCCGCACAGTCTGGGGTGCTCACAAGCGCTACATGGATACCTACCTGAACGTTTACAAGGGCTACTACGTAAGTTTTGAAATCGTTTCTATCCTTGGCATATTATTGACTCTTGTTGTCTAGTTCACCGGAGATGGCGCTGGTCGCGATCACGACGGTTACTACTGGATCCGTGGCCGTGTTGATGATGTTGTTAACGTTTCCGGTCACCGCTTGTCCACTGCGGAGATTGAGGCTGCTCTCCTCGAGCACCGTAAGTTCATCACGAGGATATGACGGACGTTTTTGATCAATTGCTGACTCTGTATATAGCCATGGTTGCTGAGGCCGCTGTCGTTGGTATCGCCGATGAACTGACCGGCCAGGCCGTCAACGCCTTCGTTGCCCTGAAGGAAGGCAACGAGACCAATGACGAGGTTCGCAAGGACCTTGTGATGCAGGTCCGCAAATCCATTGGACCTTTCGCTGCCCCTAAGACCGTCTTCGTTGTTGAGGATCTCCCCAAGACCCGCAGTGGAAAGATCATGCGCCGCATTCTGCGTAAGATCCTGAGCGGTGAGGAAGACAGCCTGGGTGACACTTCGACGGTAAGATCCTCATCTCGGTTAAGGAATGTCGAGAATTGATCGCTAACTCGTTTTTGCAGCTGTCCGACCCCAGCGTAGTTGACAAGATCATTGCGACGGTCCACGCGTCGCGTCGCAAGTGATCGGAGAATGAACGAAGCAAACAAAATATTTGGGTCTATGATTTCACGATAATGATTCAAAAGAGAATGAGTCTTTTTTGAACTTCTTTCTGGTTCAATTGCCATTGAGCATTATGCAGTAAGCCGCGTTGGGAGGACCGATGACCCCGGCCCTCAGGCGTCCGAAATTGATTATTTCTTCTTTTATGAGTGTTGCCTATTTGATGTTTGAGATTCCCTGGTCTGTTAATCCAGCAGCGGTGTGAATATGATTTTCTTCTTTACGGGTTTCATTCATGTTCAATTATGAAAATTTCTTTTGTTGCGTAGAGGCACGGGACGTAGAGACATGGAGACTTTCTAGGGGCATGGTTCCCGTATAGTAGCTGTTTTCGGGTAGAGCTCACGAGAGCTTCCTGCAATATTTATTATCCCCATTAGCCAACGAACACGAGGGTTAGCAGCAAGGAGCAAGGTGTTTCCCCGAAACTAACCTATATTCACAGCTCCTGCAGTTGCATGCATCATTCCAACTTGAACAAAGCTTTCAACAACAAAGCGATTGAACTCGGGCACTTCCCCATGTAAGGCACAAACCCACTCACGTGACGGAGTGCAGTCCCCCGGAGGCTGACCTAAGCAACAGTGCCTGCCTGAACTGGCACACCCGACTTTTCTGTCGCGTCGTTCCCTTCATCCTCCACGCGCTCATCTTTCTTCTCACTTTCACCTTGCTTCATCCATATCCGGAGTGCCGTATGAACCACTAATCCCTGAGCTTCAACCGACACTATGTCTTTCGGCTTTGGAGGTGGAGGATTCGGCCAGTCCAACAACCAAAGCAGTGGCTTTGGCACCGGATCTGGATTCGGGTCCAGCAATACTGCCGGAGGTAGGTCTTCTCTCTCTGTTTCTGTGATTTATATCCTTGTTTGGCGCTTTGTTTTTCCAATCCCTCTTTGCTGCCCTGCTCTCCCCTCCGTGGCTCTTTCTCGACTGCTTCGCTCTGTCGGCAACAACCCGGTGCTCCCTGACTTCGACCCGCGATGGACCATGACACGCGCAAGGCCGCCAACCTCTCGCCTTGATAAACCTCAGTCGTGCCAAACGAAAACTCCCGCGGACTCTCTCGATGCTCAGCGACGCCGCGACAACGGAAATGGTCTTGTTGAAGGGGCCTGCTTGAAAAATCAGTCTCTGACCGCGATCCCTACCCCGTCATCTAGGCTTCGGCTCCGGATCAACAACCTCCGCGTTTGGCGGTGGTAACACTAGCACTGCAGCTTCTGGTGGTGGTTTGTTCGGCAACACCTCCAGCAGCTTCGGCACCGGCGGAGGTACGTGCTCGGGTATGGAGGAGTCTTGCGGGTTTTCTCGCTCAATGTCCTTTCGGTATATATTTCGCCATATCGACAAATCTCGGATTTTCGACAACCTATCTCAATCCTAAACACGTGCGAAGAATTCTTTGCGCACTGGTCCAGGAAATGACTCGATGCCTTGGCTGGCTACTTCCCCGGAAATTGAGCGATTCGATCCCAGGACAAATTCATCTCATTGAGCTATAATTGCGCCTTTTAGATATTTCATTTATGGGGACTTTCTTTGACAATTGACTAACATGTACTTCTCCCTTCACGCAGGATTCGGCTCCAACACCAACAACACACAAACTCAACCTGGCTCCCTCTTTGGTGGCCAACAAAACCGTACCGGTGGCTTCGGAACCACCAATACCCCCAGCACTGGCGGAAGTCTCTTCGGAAGCGCTGCGAACACTGGAAATGCCGGCGGATTCGGTGCCAGCACTGGTGGTGGATTTGGATCGGGAGGATCGGGAACTACAGGCGGATTTGGCGCCAACACCAATAACAACACCAGCGGTGGTCTTTTCGGTGCGAACAAACCCGCCGGTGGTTTCGGTACACCCGCAGCCACTGGTGGAGGCTTCGGCTCCAACACCACGGGCGGCGCTTTTGGCAACTCGACAAACACTGGTTTTGGAGCTGGCGCGACTCCGCTAGCGGGCGGCGCAGTTGCTCCCTGCGAAGGCACCGGTTCTACCCCATTCAACCCATTCACAGAGAAGGACACGAGCTCCAACACCATGAACCACTACCAGAGTGTCAGCTTCATGCCTCCATACAAGAACTATTCCTTTGAGGAACTGCGATTGGCCGATTATGAGCGGGGCCGGCGCTTCGGAAATGGAAGCAACCAGGCAGGTGCATTCGGCTCCTCCAGCTTCGGAGGCAACACGACCGGAACTGGATTCGGTGCCCAGCAGAACACCACTGGTGGCTTTGGTGCCAGCGCCAGCACTCCTTTTGGCGCCGCTAACACAAGCGCACCATCTACCTTCGGATCTACCCAGACCGCCGGTGGATTTGGCTCCACAAACAATTCCAACCCCCTCTTCGGGGCCAACAAGCCTGCCAACTCAATGTTCGGCGGCGGAGCGGCAACCACCCAGCCCGGCTCTCTTTTCGGTGGGAATACGGCCACTGCTGGCACTGGCGGTGCATTTGGAGGCAGCGCAGGAACCGGGGGTGCCTTCGGTTCCAATACCAACACCGGTGGCGGGCTGTTCGGGGGAAATCAACCTGCCAAACCTGCCTTTGGTGCTACTCCTGCGGCAGGTACAACTGGTGGCTTTGGCGCTGGTGGTGGATTCGGAGCCCAGCAAAACACCACCAATTCGAACCCCTTCGGTGGAAGTACGACTACTGGATCCACTGGCTTTGGACAACAACCACAGACTGGCACTAGTGCCTTTGGCGGCGGCTTGGGAGCGAACCAGAACCAGACCCAGAATAAGTCCTTGTTCGGCGGCACTGGTGGTGGCTTCGGCTCAAATACTCAGCAGCAGGGCACCGGCGGCTCTTTGTTCGGAGGCGCTCAAACTCAGCAGCCGGCAGCTGGCGGAGGCCTTTTCGGCGGTGCTAACACCCAGCCTCAGCAGCAGGGAGGCGGAGGGCTCTTCGGAGGGAATCAATCCCAGCCCGCGGCTGGTGGTGGCCTGTTCGGTGGCCAGAACCAACAGCAACAGAAGCCGGGTGGTCTCTTTGGCGGCGCACCTGGCTCTACAGGTGGCGGTGCATTTGGTGGTCTGGGTGCCTCTCAAACTCAGCAACCTGCTGGCGGCGGTTTGTTCGGTGGCCAGCAACAGCAACAGCAAAAGCCTGGTGGCCTTTTCGGCGGCTCTACCGGCGCTACTGGTGGCGGCCTCTTCGGACAGAGCAACAACACCCAACAGAATGCCGGATCCTCACTTTTTGGAAACCAAAGCCAGCAGCAACAGCCGGCTGGTAACAGCTTGTTCGGCGGATCTCAGCCTGCACCACAACAATCCCAGCCGGTTCCCGGAAGTCTGACTTCCTCCCTGCTTGGTGGCAACCCTTACGGCAGTCAGTCTATCTTTTCTGGCTTGCCCACCCCCGATGCTCCTTCCCCCGGTCCTCTGGCGACACCCCTCTCCTCCAGCATGAGGCAGAAGCAGCGAGCTCCCCTTCCTTATTCCATCACGCCCGGTGGAGCTAACCGCCTGTCTACTCCTCCGAAGCGCCAGGGATACGGTTTCTCCTATTCTACCTACGGCTCGCCCTCCAGCTCCAGCAGCACCCCCTCTGGATTCAGTAACAGCCTTCTCGGTGGCGGTGGTTGTGGTGGAAGCAGTAGTCTTCGCGGGAGCATTGGAGGCAGCTTCGGCCGCAGCTTCAGCAAGAGTTACTCCACAAGTAACTTGCGCAAGACTTTTGATCCTGAGTCAGACAGTGTTCTGTCGCCTGGCGCCCTGCAGTCCAGCGGTGGACGTAGCAATGGTGGCAGCATGAAGCGCCTTACTATCGACCGCAGCTTGAGGACCGATCTCTTCGCTCGCCCCGCCAGCACATCACCAGCCCCTACCCTTACCAACGGCGATGATTCGACCCATCCCGATAAGCTCAAGAAGAAGGTCAGCTTCGACGCCAGCCCCTCTGCTGTCCAGGGCACTGAGATCGTCCGCGTCGAGTCCAAGAGCCCGGAGCCTACTCCTCAAGCCACTCCCCAAGAACTGGGTTTCCTGCGCTCTCAACGCCGCAGCGGTAGCCTCAATGGAATTGACGGAAACGGCAGCGAGCGTCCTGAAATGGAATCAATCAGCCGTGACCTCGCTGTGGTTCCTGAGAATGGCGAGCCTATTTCAGCTAATACCTCTTCCGTGAAGCGACCCACCTTCGTCCCTGGCTCTGACCCTAAGCCTGGCGAGTATTGGATGAAGCCTAGTCGCGCCGAACTGAACAAATTGAGTCGCGACCAGCTCAAGCAAGTGGTGAACTTCACTGTCGGTCGTCAGCACTGCGGCTCGGTCACCTTTAATGGCGCCGTCGACCTGACTACAGTCGACATGGAAAACATTTACAGCAAAATTGTCGAGATTGGCGTGCGAAAAATCACTGTTTACCCCGATGAGACTATCAAGCCTCCGATGGGTAAGGGTCTGAACGTCGTCTCCACCCTTCGCATTGAGAACTCCTGGCCTCGTGGTCGTGATCGAAAGTCCCCGCTTCCCATTACCAGCGGACCTCTGTTTGATAAGCACATTGACCGTCTTCAGAAGGTACACGATACCGAGTTTGTCGACTACGATACCCAGACCGGTACCTGGGTCTTCAAGGTTCCTCACTTTACTACGTATGGTTTGGACTACGATGAAGATGAAGAAGGTGAGAGTCTCGACCAGAGCACCCTTGGAGCGGGTCCTGATGACAACCGTACTCCTAAGGCTCAGCCAGACCACCCCGTCAGCTTTGAGCAATCCGCAACCTTCTCAATCGACGAGTCATTCGTTGGCTCCATGGCTGGAATCGACGATGATACCTTCGACTTCAAGAAGCGCAAGCTCGTTCCCGGCTCCTTTGGTAGCCAAGCTATGGAGATGGAAGATGAGGAGATGGGTTCGGAGGGCGAGACCGAGTCTTTTTTAGAGGAAGGCTCCACGGGTTCAACTACTGAGCATGAAGATGATGTCACCGAGAGCCAGCGCTCTGGCGACTCCGTAGTTGGATCTGATGAAGACCAGGAAATGGACATGGCGGGTTCCTTTCCACACCTTCATCATACCGTGGAGCGGGAAGACTCCCAGAGCACCGACGGTGAACTGGACACCACCCACCCAATCAAGCACTTTGGCACACCTCCCAAGCCTCGCCTCGACCTTAGTGGTGACTGGGCGGAGCAGCTTCAGCGCACCATCAGCCCTCGCAAACAAAACCGCGATGCCCTACGTGAAATCCAGGCCAATGCCTTTGCCGACCGAACTCTCTTGAACGACGGCTCCCCAGAAGCGAAATCGAACGGATCTCCCAAGAAGGGGTTCACGAATAGTATCGACTTGATGAACTCGCTTTTCCAGCAACCGCGCAAACAGAGCGCACCTTCGCCGTTGAAAGCTTCAAAGGTGCAGCCTAAAGGCTTCGAGGTTCGCACTCCCTTCTTTGTTTGTACTTGATTTTTATCTTTTACCCATTCCACATTGTCCATTTTTCCGCACTTCAGCACCACCCCTGTTTATCCTTTGAGCATGTAACTAGGCTTCTATTCATTTGCACATCCCACCCAGATAGTTAACTAAATTGAGAATACTCTGAGCTAAATCCTTTCCCTCTTTCCAGTGGCCCTACAACAAACAACCCAAAACCTTCGCCGGCGATGAGGCCCAAATGAGCCAAAAGGACGCCGCTTTCCACGATTCGTTCAAGCCTCGCTGGGGTCTCATGGACTCTATTGTCTGCGCCAAGGACGACATGGCCGAACCGATTTCTGGTGTCAACAACCGCTGGCAAGAGCGTTTGTCTGTCTTCAGCGAGGGCAGAGATATTGCGGTTTTCAAGTACCACCAGACGGGCGAGGTATGTAGATTCGATTTGTCCGTATTTATCCATGGCATCACTAACCCTCTTTTAGTCACAAGAGATGCTCAATGTGCAAAAGCAACAGTCCACCGTCGAGCGCATTGACGGAACTCCGTTCGTTCGCCTTCCCAAGGTTGATATGCGCCAGTTTGCCTTTGCGCATTCCAAAGAAGAGGAAAGATTGGTATGGCAGTTAGCCAACATTCTATTCGACGACGACATCGAAGATGACATCTCTGCGGGTGTGCCAGCTCAGCTGCGACCCCAATTCGCGCATCGCATCAAGAAGGACCGTTTGACTCGTCTGTGGGAAAGCATCATCCGTGAAAAGCACACGCAAACCCTGGAGTTGATTCGTTCCGCTGAGGAGCGTGCTGTCCACCTCCTTTGCGCTCACCGGATTGAGGAGGCTTGCAAGACCCTTATCGACAGCAATAACCTTCATCTTGCTACCATTGTCGCTCAGATCGGCCGTGACGCTACCTCGCGGGCGGAATTGACAGACCAGATCGAGGTCTGGCGTCAGAACAACGTGCTCTCTGAAATGAGCGAGCCTCTACGTGCCCTTTACGAGCTTGTTTCGGGCAATGGTCTTCGCAGTGAAGGCAAGACTGGCGGTGCTCTGGAAGATCGGGCTTCCACCTTCCTCCTCACTGAGCGCTTCGACCTGGATTGGTTCCAAGCCTTCGGCCTCCGCCTTTGGTATGGTACTACCGAGGATGAGCCGATCGAAGCTGCCGTGTCTCAATATTTGCACGACCTCACTCAGGGACTCGAACCTGCTTTCCCTCACCCTTCGCACGAAGACAGCTCTCACGCAACTCTCCAGCCAGGCGCCGATACATTAGGTCGTGAATCGCCTCTTTGGGTGCTCCTCAAGACATACTCAGCTGTTAATGGCGCTACCAATGTCCCCCCCCTGTTACCTTCCCCGCCGCAATTTTGCCAGAGTCTCTGTCTGGCGACCGACTCAACAACCGCCTCTCCTTCCAGCTTCATCATGTTCTTGCTGCCGCAGTAGGCAAGACTGATGCCGTCAAGATCGACCAGCATCAAGTCGACCGCCTGGTCTGGGACTATGCTTCTGAGATCATTGCGAGTGAACAACTTTTCCCCTGCCCTTTTTGTCCTCCTGCACCTCTCTAAGGCCGAAGATCGCAAGCGGGCTGTGCAAGACACCCTCGCTCGCTTCGGCGCTTCTCTCCCTGATCCTACCATCTCTGACGGTACCACTCCTGACCCAACCTGGCAGCATCTCACAAACGAGCTCCAGCTTCCCGAGCCCTGGATCTGGGTTGCAAAGGCCTTGCACGCACGTGCCAGCGGTGATGCTATCCGCGAGGTAGATGCATTGATCCGTGGCAAGCACTGGAACGACGCCCACGCTACCTTCTGCCGCGTTGTCGGACCTACAGCGGTCATCTCCCGTGACTACGCGACCCTCGAACAGCTGGTCACCGGCTTCGGCGATGGACCGGAGCGCAAGATGCGCGGCTGGTCTTCCGGCGGTGGCATTTACGAAGACTTCCTTCGCCTCGCAACCGCGACTCGGGGCCGCAGAGATCCAACCCGGCTAAGTCGACTGGTGAATGCCCTCGTGGCAATGGGCGACCGTGTCCGCAGCGGCTCAGGCATAGACGGCTTAGAAGAGCGCGTTGCTTTCAAGGAGATGAGCCGAGCTGTAGCTGGCTGGATTACGCATGAAGATGTCCACGTTAGTAAACCCTCCCATACAATCTGCTGTGATAAACTTTCTAACCTCTTGCAGTCGGTCGAAGCCTCGAAAATTCTTGGGTTGCCCCTTACTGGTGACGCCCGTGTTCTTCAAACAGTTGAGATGAGTCGTCGGTATTACGGCGTTGTTATGGCTGGTGGTTTTTAGTTAGCGTGGCATTGATCCTGTTGCTTCCCGCCCATTCATTGCTCATGTCATCTCTTTGCTCTTCGTTTGCTGAGTCCCTAATGCCCCCCTTTTTTCTTCTGTTTTTACCCCCCGATTCTCCTTTGTCCTGTGATCACGATATGAACTGTACTTTACTCATCTACCCCCAACAATCTACCCATTACTACGTCGTATTCCTATTTACTGTAGATTGGTCACCATCGCGATGCGAACATTGCATTAATGTGGTGACTACTGTAGTTATCACACTGTATACAACATTATAACTCGTTGAGATAATCGCATCATCATTTCGAGGACCCTGTCTATCGGCCTCAAAATCATAATCAATTACGAGGATCGTGATCAAGGATGTTCCTGTCCCTAGGCATTACCGGACCGACGATCTTCGCCCGGGCATGATATCCAGCCTCTATGAAGCTTCCCCAGTTTTACCCCCCCGCAGTGATTCCAATTGTCGGTTTAAATTTGAGAACCCCCAGTTTCTCTATTTTCGAAAATTACCGAGAAATACCTCATGTACAGAGAAGAGCGAAATTTCTAGACATTGTATGCCCAGGTGAGTGTAGTGAGCAAATACTCAGGTCCCTATATTACTGCTCCTTTGCACCATCTAGATATTTGTCTTTCTAAAAAAATCAGAAATATATTTGAGGCAATTCATGTTTGAAAATACCGGGCCTGCATAGAAGAGCTATGTAGATCTTATACAAGGAGTCTCGCAAGGATCCAGATCATCGAGAAAATGAAATCCCATGGTATAATCGCGGGGGATCTCAGTCATTGGTTGCCCTGTAAGAGGGATTGTTTTTGGCGCAAACCTTGGATGAAAGCCTTCGCGGGGTACTCAGAGTAATGTAGTACGAAATAGCTAGCCCTTGGCTTAAATGCATTTGCGAGCCTCAATTTTGTGGTCAAGTCTTGAAATTCGGTGGACTGCTGGACCCCTGATGACCCACGACCCCCTGGGAACCTTGAACCGTCACGGCTGATCGCCGCCAACCCAAAGTACGAACACCATGAGATTAATTCCAGAATCTCTATTGATATTATCGTTGGTTTTGAAGACAAGGGAGAAAAATAGACTCAGAGAGGGTATTGTCGATATGTTGACTGCCAAAATGTCAATAGTCACGGTCTACATACAATCGGCTATGTCTAGCAGGATAACATCCGGACTGTAAAACAGTCGAGTTAGTCAAAATCAGTTTGATTTTTGGGTCTAAACCTCTAGGTGGCCTCACATAATAAGCCTCGGTCTTTTATCTAGTCTCATAGATCGGCGGTTTTGAGGAGTTTCAGCAGAAAGTCGCCGATCTGACGAACGATCTATATTTTGTGACCATCTCGCCATCATAAACAAAGTTATTTAAAGGCTCATTTTTTACTCCCATTCTCAACTCCAAACAAAATCAAATGTTCATCATCAACGAAGACAACTCTCCTCTTTATCATTTGCCCAAGCAAATCCATCCACCACCAAACAAAATGGTTGCCACAAAGTATCTTTTGGCCGGCCTTGCCTCCATCGGCCTTACTATCGCCGGTGGTGCCGCCGATATCGAGTCCAGCATTGAAAAGATTCAGGACTCTTGTGGATCTCTCAGCAAGACCCTGAAAGGCTTCACCAGTGATGGCAACGTGATGGGCACCGCCCTGAAGCTCCAAGGAGAAGCCAAGGACCTTCTCAATATCATCAATGACGGCAAAGACACAGCCAGAAACGCCGACAACCTCAGCTCCGCCGACTCCGACAAGCTCGAGGATTCGGTCAACTCGCTTTCAAAGTCCGTTTACACCCTCCTTGACGGCTTCGTCGAGAAAAAGCCTGTTTTCCAGAAGGCTGTTCTCGGCGGCTCGGCCGATGGCCTCGTCGAGCAGGATCTTAAGGATCTGAAAGGCGCTACTGATGGCCTCGGCAAGGCTCTTGAGAGCATTGTTTCTGGTCAGCTCAAGAAGGATGCCCCTCAAATTCTGAGTGGCCTTGACAAGCACTTCGACGATGCTATTAAGGCTTTCTCGGACTAAATCATGACCGAGCTATGATGTATTCTAGAAATTATGTATGGACGGAATCGATACTAGTCAGTAGTATGGTTGAAATAGCTCGGCATTTATGAAATGAATGGCCGATATGTTTTCTCTTCAAGTTGCGATTTGGATATGCCGGGATCATGATACTATGTATCTCGATGGAGTGAAAGAGTTCCCAAGTTATATTATACCTATGATTGAATGAGTATTTAGAAGAATCGTATTTCAACCATATGTCTACTCCGAGTAGCTGTAGTACAACTTACATCCCATGAAGCTTACTCGCACGTCTCCTAGCAACTGCTATTTGCTCGGTTTTAATAGAGCTGGCCGGGTCTTTTAGTCTCTAATTGTACGAAATATTGTCCTAAAATAGTAACTCTCTGCCCTGTCAGTGACTGGGTAGGACTTCAAGTTGGAAAGCAACAACGACACAAGTAGATTCTAGAAAGTATTTCTAAACCCTGGTGAGTAGCATGGTAACAAAAGCAAGATAAGTTTTTCTTTATGATCCATGTTATTACTACGTCTGTGCCCCTTTGAAACATTTAAAATGGACTAGTAAATATCTTTGCAGCAAAGGATTATACCATTCGGTGTCACTCTACGAGCATCATACAGCGTTTGTTGCTATGTGACCACAAAGTAATAACTTCTGCTGTTGTTTTATTTTATCTAACTTTTATAGATTTCCGTGGATTGTGCGGCTTGAATATAATTGTAAATGATATTGCTAGCTGTCTGCTCTCATCATCGGTTTAAGCTCCAAATACCTTCAACTCAATCAACCTCGCTTGCAGTCCCTTCTTGGGCGTGAAGTATAGTCTAATACTCTCCGAGCTGACAGCATCCCAAGAAGCCTTTATGATACCGTTCGCAACAACCTTGTCGAATTTGCCATTGGAAACATTTGTCCATTTCCCAGACTGACTAGTCTGGACGCGATAATTACTCGGGGCGTCAAATTTCTGCGTCTCGTTTGCAAAGAACGCAATCTCTGCACTCTGCATCTTGGTTGAACCCTCAAAGTCAATCTGATACCAAACCTCGCTCCCGTTGCCTGTTGGGGTGGTCCACCCATTCGCGATGTCGGTCTCGGGGAAGAAATAGACGCGCCCGTCGATAGCAGCGTGAATGCCAGCTGTGTCGGTGTCATTTGTCACGGAAACCGTGCCTCGTGGATAGTTTGTGTCTGAGCCTTGCTGGACAGATAAGGCAATCGGACGGTTGACTGACGGCGGGCTTTTGCGGGAAACGTTGACTGTCAGACGGGACAGGCTCTTCGAGCTTGCTGTTTTTTTACCGTCAACTTCCACGATTAAGCCTTTTTCGCCGTATCTGTCTCCCGTCGCGTCCCATTGCACGGCGACTTCGTGTCCGTGGTAAAGGATTCGCTCTGCTCGGAAATACGAAATTGAGCTTCCATCTGCGGCTGGATTGATCTCGAGAGTGTTGTCGGCGCGAGGGCGAATACCCACGAATCCAGATAGAATCAGGTCAATGAAACCGGAGTGAAAATAGTGCGGAGAACGAGCGAGCCCAACAATTGGGAGGCCAGTAGCTGCATCATAGTCCTCTTCGAGATCCAGAATACCTCCTCGGTTCTGGTTGTAGTGTAGCTGGGCGTACTGCTTGAGAATATTGGTGTAGTCGACTTTGCTTATTACATTTGCTGCCGTAGCTTTGGGGTAGTGGTCAAGCAAGTTGGCAAGAGCTGCAAGGACCTGGGTAGTCTGGTATGGCCAAGCAGGACCATTCCACTGGCATTCACGTTTGTCGCCTTCGTAGCGATATTGTCGCATAAAGTACTCGTAGCTGGGCTCGTTGGTACGAAGGCCATGTGGTCCGGCAAACTTGGAAGAGTCGATGAGGTGCTTCCATGCTTGGGCGAAATCATGAGTGTCGTCCGGGAGATCGTGGGTCCATGGCACGAAACCAACTAATTCCCTGCCTCGGATAAAGTCCCAGTACTTGACATCATCGTTGTCCACTTTGTATCGATCGATAAAATGTTCAAATGTACTGTTCCAAAGTGAGTTCTGAACAGTATCCTTGATGGCAGATGCCTTCTTCTTATACTGCTGCGCAAGGTCTTTGTTCCCAGCGAGAGAAGCGATATTGGAGATAGCCAGGGCATTCGCATACTGATAGCTGTTGATGCTCGGACGGAATGCATTACCGCCTGTGAATCCATCAGAGCCCCCAGAGGCATCAATGCTGGCAATAGTATACTCTGTCGCATCTGTCAAGGGCTGAATCCAATACAGGCTCTTTGACACATCATAGCCACCCGTTGACATGGTTGTGGTATTCCAGCCCGTATAGACACTTTGCATGGAATCAAGAAGCCCAGTAATGGTATCAGAAACGCCATCAACAAGATAACCTTGCCACGCACCATCGGCCATGCTTTCGGAAAATTGATAAGGGTTCTTATTCGGTCCGAAGATGAAGTTTCTGTAATCATCCTTGAAGCGACGGTCCCGGCACCAGCGTCCTTCACGAAGGTGCATATTCGTCGCATCTATAAGTAATGCGGATGGCTGCGTCTGCCAGCTCACGTCTTCGAGGAATTCAGTTGAGATGTAGCCATCAGCGCCCAGGTCGCGCTGGTGGGCACGGAAGATTTTCCATCGGTAATAGTACACATCCTGGATATCAGAGGCACTGGCTTCGAATATGGGGATGCGATTAGAATACCAAGGTGCATCGTTGCCAAAATACTCCTGAAGTATTTCAGCCGTATTCAAACCAAGCGTTGGCGCTGCAAGGCAAGCAAATGTAAACAATTTGTCAAAATGCATTGTTGGCTATCATAAGATGTAAAGCCAAATGAGGTGATAAATTTCCGGCCACAAAAGCCAGTACTCTTTTTGACACGGATACATCTTGATTGCTTTCTGCTTATTTATAGTTGTAGCCCGGAGAATTATGCGGTGATCGACCCCTGACGAGTCGGTTAATTCTCCTGCGGGGTGTACATTAGTATTCTTCAAGCCACGGAGCTCCACCGATGCCGAACCCCCCCCCCTTTCCCTGCAGGACATTTCGGTTGGATAGTGCGGGAGGCTTTAAGACGACAATTTCAGTTATTGAGACAAAACAGGGAAATTCACACTGTCTCGCTTCGGAGAGAGTTTACGCGGGGAAAGCTCTAGATAATGTCTAAGACACCACCAGAGACTACTAACAATAGTAGGAGTCATTGGGGCCTAAACTGTACGGTTCGTATAGACTCAGTATCGCATACTATTAGTAGTACCTGCCAGTACGGAGTGAGGTTATTGTAGGAGATTAGTTATGCCAGAAGCATAAAAGTTGAACAATTTCGGCAGCAAGCTTTAGGATGTGCAACAATACAGATCGACAAGTCGATACCCAGCGTAGCAAATTAGGTGCTATATAGTATCAGGTGATAGTTCTACTAATTCTCTGAGGTCTCAAGGTTAACAATCAAACACTGCCATACCTTGTAAAGATATTCAAAGAGAATATGTATTGTATTCCAAGCTTTACCTATGGAGTTGCCAATATGGATGTTGGGTACTAGTAGTGTAAAAAGTCAAGCCCGCTTTACCGATCAACAACCCATCTGATCCATCCGATATAGAGATGTCTCTAATAAAGTTTTCATCATCTCTCACTTGATAAAAACCATCCCTTTTGTTGTCCGCAAACTAGAAAACTTGCTTAGGGGGGATGTGTATCTAGCAAATTGTCGGCCAGTATGGTTGCCTAGGTGTATTATGTATGGTATTGTCATTTCGCAGGTGTTTCCCCAAAGTGATATTCTGCCGCTGAAGCTCTGGAGAATTTTTCGATTTTTTGCCATACTTAAGGACGGCCCTCACCGCCTGTAAAAATACAATGTAATATTACCCGTCTGATACACGTTTCATTTTTCGCTCAACTCAAATTGCATTTAAGCCTGAATACCAAAAAGCAGATCGAGTTCTGCGGTGTAGAGTGGATTTTCTTTTTAGACTCAAGTACCATGTAAGCATTCAAAAATCGATTAAACCCTCCAATGCGCAAAATCAGGCGTTGTTTAAAAACACGCCCAAGTCGGAGTATGTGGATCAAAACAGTCATGTGATGACTCACCAAGGCGGTTGATATACCGCCTCAATCATGTGACATGGTGGGGAAGTTTTCTGCAGGTTTATTCGGCCCGGGCGGTGTATTATTGGGGAGGGGAGGCGGCGGTACCACAAAACTTTTTTTGGATCTTCTTCGTGCAACTATTACGAACCCCCGCCATTCGCAATACGCCCGAGATTAAAATATGGTTCTCAATATTGAGGCCGAGTCGCCTCACAACACATTCGACGTATGTATTGTTCCTGAGGTGGAATGGCGACTGGACCGCAGCTTGCGATCACCCGACCCCGCGTGCAGGCGCAATTGACTCATGGATGCAAAATGAACGAATTGGCTGACAGTTGTCGACTCTCTAGACTATCCTGGTTCTCGACTTTGGAGTATGTATCCGGCGGACCCTTGGCTATTTCCCGGCGGCTCTAGCAAATGCTGACCCTTCAAGTCTCAAACGAGCCATCTGATCCTCCGCCGTCTTCGTTCTCTCGGTGTCTTCGCTGAGCTGCTCCCCTGCACCACTAAGATCGCGGATTTGACTTGGAAACCCAAGGGAATTGTGTTCTCTGGAGGTATGGAATGATTCCTTGTATGGATTTTGTCAAGATCTAACCAATCTACTAGGTCCTGCTTCTGTTTACGACAATGGCTCGCCCCGTAAGGCTTTCTTTCCCCCCTCGGATATCCTGTTACCTATACTTATATGTGTGAAGATGTCGACCCCGCTGTTTTTGACCTGAACGTCCCTATTCTGTGAGTCCTTACTTCCCAAATTGCTAGACTTGAATCTGGACTAACATCTGAGGCGTAGTGGTATTTGGTATGATTTTCTTCAACACCAACACTGGGATAAGACTAATATTGTTTAGCTACGGTTGCCAGGAGATCGCATGGCGCATTGACTCGAAGAATGTTGCCCGTGGAGAGGCACGAGGTTTGTAACCTTCAGCACACTATCTGGTTATTTCTGACTCTTTTTCTTAGAGTATGGTCACGCCGATGTGAACATCACCAAGGTTAACGACAGCGTCGATCGTCTCTTCGCTGGCTTGGGCGATGCCATTCCTGTTTTCATGTCCCACTTTGACAAGCTCATCAGCCTGCCTACGGTCAGTGAGCTAAACTCAGGTTCTTGGCATAGTTATTGACTTTATTAGGACTTTGTGGTCATTGGTGCTACCACCAACTCGGAGTATGCTAGCATCGCTCACAAGGAGAAGCCTATCTTTGGTTTGTCTTTCCCTTTTCAGATGCAGGCTACTTTTACGAGAATATGCTAACATGAGAGAAACAAATAGGCGTTCAATTCCACCCCGAACTTGAACACGTTCGTTACCCCTACCCTATGTCGTCCAAGAACTCCCTCTGATATTCCGATTTAGACTCCCCGCGGAACCGATATCCTGCGTAACTTCAGTGTTGATATCTGTGGCGCTCAGGCGAACTGGAAGATGGGCGACTTTGCTCAACTCGAGATCGCTCGTATCCAGCAGCTCGTTGGTGACCGATCTCTTGTGATCGGCGCGGTTAGTGGTGGTGTGGACAGCACAGTTGCAGCGGCGTTGCTCAAGGCTGCCATTGGCTCAAGATTTAAGGCTGTCCTCGTCGACACAGGCTGCATGCGTCTTAATGAGTGCGAGCAGGTTAAGCAAACTCTCGGAGAACACCTTGGCATTGACCTCACTGTTGTCGATGCTGGTGAGCTGTTCATGAGCCGTCTTGCAGGTGTTGCTGACCCGGAAAAGAAGCGGAAGATTATTGGATCTACTTTTATCGATCTGTTCGAGAAAGAGGCTATCAGAATCGAGAAGGAAGCAGAGAGCACCCCCAACTCTGGCAAGGTGGAATGGTTTTTGCAGGGCACTTTGTACCCTGACGTTATCGAGTCTTTGAGCTTCCGTGGACCTTCCGCCACTATCAAGACTCACCACAATGTCGGCGGTCTGCCTGAGCGTATGATGAACGGCCAAGGCTTGCGCCTTATTGAGCCGCTCAGACTTCTGTTCAAGGATGAAGTCAGAGCGATTGGCCGTCAGCTCGGTATTCACGAGTCGCTGGTGAACCGACACCCCTTCCCCGGTCCTGGCATCGCTATCCGCATTCTCGGCGACGTCACACAGGAGCGTGTCGAGATCGCCCGTAAGGCCGACCACATTTTCATCACTAAGATCAAGGAGGCAGGTCTTTACGACCAGGTACGTCAGGTTATAGCTAGTTAAGACGGATATAAGCTAACCCTAGTAGATCTCTCAAGCGTTTGCTGGTCTTGATACCAACCGCAGTGTTGGTGTTTTCGGTGATCAGCGTGTTTGGGGCTACATCATCATTCTCCGCGCTGTTCAAACCAAGGATTTCATGAGCGCCGATATCTTTGACTTCAGCACTGAGTTCCTCAAGGTCAGTCAGAGTCATATCTTGATTACAATACCATGTTTGCTAACTTGTTTACCCATTTAGGATGTGTCACGTACTATTTGCAACCAGGTTGAGGGCGTGGCCCGTGTCACTTATGATTTGTAAGTCTCCTCAAAGCCTTCCCCTCGGAGCCTCCAGCTGACACCCCCTCTCTAGAACCTCAAAGCCTCCTGGCACCATTGAGCTTGAATAGGCGATATAAGAGAAGGAACCCAAACCGAAGATGCATCACTGGCCGGCAGTGGCTAAGGAAAAAGATGGGAATTGACATTTATGGCGTTTACGGACTCTACTGCTAGAAAGGTACATAGAGTGAGAAGAGTGATATAGAAATTATTACTACATTATGATGTGTTTCGTGGCCCCTGACGAAGTCTACTTTCAGTAGTCATGAAGAGTAAAGAAAGGCTGGCCTTCAAATTTATTTGATATATTTTATAGATAGGTCAGCACAGGCTTTGAATACCAAGCTGTGAGACAATATTCCGTGAAAATGCAATGAGTTGTTCGCCTTCTACTTTTGAATCTCCATACGCCTTGCCGGTCAATAGTAGCTTGATAGCCTGCTCGAACTGCTGACACATCCGATGCGCAAGATCGCCAGTGAGTTGGTATTCTAACAGCCGACGATGGTTCCGCTTCGGACGATACTCCGACTTTCGAAACTTGAGAATCGGGCGCCAGAATCCGAGTTCAGTCAAAACAATCCCCAGGCTATAGGTATCGTATTCACGCCTGTATCCGATCCGCGGATTTTCGGTCAGATCAGGGTGCTGGTATGCTGCTGCCTCATCCTGGGAACGAAGCGGCATAGAGACTGCCCTAGGATCGTCTAATCGAGAATACCCGAATCCAGATAGATATGGATACTGAAGCCAGTCCATGCTTTTTCCGGATTTGATAAACAGAATGTGTGAGCTGCCCAAATTTCGGTGAAGCCAACATGTGGTATGGAGTTGCAATAGGCTATTGGCTAGGATACGTGATACTAGAAAGCAGTCATTCAAGCTTGGAAATACCGTATCAGCACCATTTTGTGGATGGATCAGGTCATAGAGGGAGACAATATCCGGCGGTTTGTCATCCTCTAAGACCGGAAGATTGTAGATCAATCCAAAACGCTGTTGAGACTCATCATGGCAGTAGCCTATGCAGTCCATCACTTGAAAACCTTCGGGCTTTGGGCTCCGGCCAAGGGCTATTGACAGTTCAGCTATTCGCTATTCTAAAATTCTGAGCACTGCTCGACCGGGCAGAATTTCATCACCGTATTCTCTCCACTCCACGAGGACCATCTCCTCCTCGAACCGAGCGATGCTCCTGAGGGTTTCAGATAGTATCCAAACGAGCTGATCGACAGGTATTCGAGTACCTAATCGACAACCGTCAATCGACGAGGAAGATTCCAAATCAATCATGTGCATGCGCTGGTCAACAGGCGAGATAATCCCTCGTATGATGCTCCCGAGGCGTCTCTAATGACAGTGAGCCTTTGCACATCGCCGCTGGCTGAGGACATTAGGTAAATCTCATTGAAACTACTCAAAGAAACCAGTTTCTGTGCTCCCTCTAGCAGTGCATATAAGCCGTCGTTCAGCTCAACAGTACTTTCTTTCGTCCAAGCAATGCATGAAAATCCTCGACATCAACAAGCGACAGGGAGAACACAGCATGACAGCCCTCCACCAGTCAATCCAACGATCACCGAAAGTCCATATTCATTTCCCTACTAGACGCAGGAGCTGATCCGAGGCTGAAGTGCTCAACATGGTCTATCAAGCAAACAAATATAGACATGGAAACAACGAGTTTGCACCTCGTAGCCCAACAGGGTGAACCCTGATCTCTTCTTCACGAACCGCCTATTGGAACATGACCTCGATATCGACGCCGTTGACTTCTACGGTATTACCCCGTTTGCGTGTGCTGTAGCTGAAGGTAATCTGCACATTGCGAACGCATTGTTAAAACGCGGAGCAGATCGAACTATGGTAGATCTTGTCAAAGTCTCTGACTGTGGGAAAGAAAAAAAGCAACGGATACTTGATAAGCTTGAATTCCCAATATGATCACCAACAGAGTCATGAATAAGACCCCCCACATGGGGGGCCCAAAACAATACTGTAACGGAAAAGTGACGGAGAGAACCATAATGTAGATGTTTACGCGCTCCATAGCCGCAATTGACGCAGTGTTTCTACCAGGGCAGCAGTCCCAAAAGTACTAGTGTTCGCTATACAAACTGGGACCCGGCTAGTATACCATCTTAAAGCTATTCTACCTGTATCAAGGGCCTTCCTAGACTTAAACTAGTACCGACATCAACAGCACAGTTACGAAAATTTTTCATTGGTAGCAAACAAAATTGAGAGGGTCAGAACAAAACCAACCCGATGGTAAACACCGTATCTGTTTATTCTTTCTTCCAAAAATCGGAAAGGATATTAGGACGAGTTAAATACATAATAGTACATAATGTAAGCATCAAACGATTACATGCCGAAGATAATTCTGGAAAACATCAAAGTGAAAAGAACGACTCCCATCTTGGAACTGAACTGAGTGGTCGAGACAGACGATGCTCCATTGGGGGAAGAAGTCGAGCTCGAAGTGGATGTAGAGGTAGAAGTAGAAGTCGAGGTCGAAGTTTTGTTCGGAAGTGTACCGGTAGCAGTAGCCGTTGGGTAGGAAGTGGCAGAAGCCGTTGCATTTGTAGAACCAAAGCACCAAACATCTTCCCATTCGACGCCCGCATCGTAGAGACAGTCGGTCAGCATCTGGACCGATTGATCGACCGCAGGAGCGTAGAGAGCGCAATCATTGTTGTAGGCCTGTACGCCTGCGGGCTTGGCACAGACTTCGATCAGAGATTTGTATTTCGAGGAGTTTGGTACGCCGCAGGCTGCGTCTTCGACGGGTAGTTCATATTGCGCTGTTGAACCGCATGTATTGCTTGCCGCGGAGCCGGTAGCAGTTGTGGTCGACATGTTGTAGAGAGTCTTGATTTTCCGCTGTAGAAAGTCAGCTTAGGGAGGATATTAATTTTTTTCCCAGAAGTTCTAGGGGTATTATAAAGAAATAATATGCAATGCCTTGTACGGAGTAGGAATTAATATGTGAGAGCCTGTTGGTCCGAAACTGTGTGGGGCGACACAGGGGGGACCGACTATTTTAAATCGGCGTGCCTCTTAGATGTTCTGTTTGGCTCGGGACTTGGGACTGGAACCCGTCAAATCCTTTTGTATCACAATGACTAATATCTTTGACACTTCGCGCTGAGTACTGCGATTTTACAATAATAAAAGTTCGTGGCAATTACTCGTAGTCTTTCATTTAATATTCTCATACTCGCTCGTCGTGTGCCCCTAAACAATCGAGAAAAATCTAGGAGCATCCCAATTATCATCAACGGGGGTGACATAATTATACCTGAACTAAAAGTAAGCAGCCCATTTTATAACAAAATAGTTGGAGGAAAATGTCGCCAAAGACCTTTAGCTGGGATCGAGTTTACTAAGCTTGTCTAATTCTTGATATGTTAAGCTTTCTCGCATGGATTTCTGCTGGAGAATGTCGCGTGAAGCTAAGGAAATATCGTTAGCCCAGCTTGTTTACAAAACAGGCTAGAACCCGGCTCGCTATGCATTTAGAAAAGGGGGAGCTGGCTGGCAGGTGGTAGCATTCGCCAAGAGTCCGTCCTTGGCAGGCACCGACTATTTTTAACCGGCGGACCCACGTCGCCCGGGAGACAACTATGAGGCTGAGATTTCCTACCCAGTTATTGGATATCGAACCACCGATGCCAGTAGACACCCTGGTCAAGATGTATTTTCTCTCGGCGATCATTCTGAGCAACTACCCTAGATACGACGCAGTAGTCAGTGGAATTGCACGACACCTCAATCATTCGTCTAGTTGATAGTAACTAATAAATAGTGCGTTTTCTTTTTGGGCAAAGTTGCTGCGCTTACTCTGAGAGCATCTGAGGTGCAATTGGCGAGATGAGATTTCCCATAGTACTGCGAGCAAGTATGAAAGTTTATATCGAGCTGGATCAAGGCGACTCGATAAGGACGAGCTGCGAAACGATTTCCGGAAAGGTCGTTGTTGAATCGAACTCAACATTGAATATCTCCTCAATCACTGTCACGCTTTCTGGGATCTCTATTTCCAGATCGAGAAATTTCGAACAGAGCGAGACCCATAAAGTAATTGGTATCACAATCCCATGACCGTGAATTCATGCTGACAAAGTTCAGCTTTTTCAAAGAAGTGAAAAATTATTCCCCGAAAAGTCTGTACCAAAGCATTCCTTCTGTGGCTTGCTTTTGGGTGAAGGAAAATATACGTTCCCTTTTTCAATAAGAGTAAGGTGTCCCCTGAAAAAGAACCCCGTTTCTTCAAATAAGGATCTGACGGGTATATTTTAGTTCGCCCCGGTATCTGAGTGTTATGGAGTGGCAATAATCCAGCCTCACAGAATGCGAAGTGAGGAAGCTCACGTTCTACGTCGGTTGCCTCCATCATGCGGGGAGCCGGGAGCTGCAGCGGAAATCAAGTATTTTCTAGAAGTTCTGACAACGGGGGATAGAATACTAAAACCGTATAACAACGTGGTTGAGTTTTCCAAAATGAAGCTTAGAATGTTTAAAGGCACAATTCTTTCTGACTCAAACTTTAGACCCATGAAATATGCTTTTGCCCGCTTTCAAAACTGACGCCCATGAAATCACCTTTGTGTCGACAAGCATCTATTTGCATTGTGGTGGGCGATCTTACCTCACCGGATGAATTCTCGTGTCAAATCAATACAAAACTCCTGAACGGGCCGTGTCTTTTTTCTCAAAATTCCATTCCGCTGGCCATCGAAATCAATAAATTGTGTGGAGATCAGTCGGAGCTTAGGCTGAACGACTTCCAGACGATGCTTATTGAAACAACAGAAATCCGCGTAGGTAACTCCACCGAGTCCCTTCAGCGCTGCTGGATCATACAGACCATGACGAACATGAATCAAAGCCTTTTCGGAGAGGGCATGCCGCTTGGAGATTCCGCCGATCTCCCGAGTTCCATATGGTCGGCTCATCCGGTGCCTTCCTCAATTACCCCAAGCTTTGAGATCTGCAATATCAAGCGAACATATCAACTCGAGGTCCGGGTTGGCTTTCTGGTTGGATCCGCGAAGGTAGAGCGGAGATAGCCCCATGCTTTGATACATCAACTTTTCTAATTCATGATTATAGCTCAAAAAGTTCATCCGGGAGTTTCAATTTCCCGTCTACATCTTAGTGAACAGTTCTAGTTATTAGGAAAACCAAATTAGGCTCCAGGCATTGAAGTTCTAGAGTTCTCAGACCGGTTCAAAGAATGGGTGCACATTATTGTATTCCAGGCGGCTGCCAACAATGTGAGGGACTACAAGAAGCTTGAACTTGTTAACCCATTTTTTGTTCGGGGCCGGTGGAGCTTTCTAAAGCTTTAAAAATACTGACAGACGGACGGTATTGAGATTCCCCCCATATTTTCTAAATAGATTTGAAGCGTGTGCAAACAATGCAACCGAGCAATACAACCGAGCTTATCAATATATTGCTCGAAAAGCGTTGGATAGCTCAAAGGAGAGCTACATTGAAGCTTTGAAGGTAGTCTATTGATCTCACCGTCGCGGTGCCGGGGAGAAGTCGCGGGGCTCGGCGGGCTCGGCGCTTTGGCATTCCGCCGAGGTCTACCTGCCGCTCCCAAGCATTTCAGCTTAATTCCGCATCTTTCCATTCTCATCTACTTTACTTGCAGGGTATATATCGTGATGCCATTTTCATTTGATATCATGCGAGGGCCCCTCGCGAATTTGCCTCGGTGCCATGCTGTGCACTTGCACATCCCCTGCTTCGATGCCAACCGCTACTTGTCTACCATGGAGTCCCCCAGATCCACCGATACGCGCTCACAAAAAAGTCAGTATTTCAATTATGAATCCTAGTATTGAAACTCATTTCTAACTTCAGAGTACACCAGGTCGTGCCTCCGACGGTTTATTGCGTTTAATGCCCCTGGGTGGATCTATCACTCGGGGCGTTGGCTCGTCTCATGGAGCTGGCTATAGGAAACCGCTCTTAGAATTACTCAAAGACCAGGGGATAAATTCCTGTATGGTGGGCTCGCGCAAGGATGGCTCTATCCCCAACAACGAGCACGAAGGCTGGCGTGGCTTTCGAATCGACGAGATTCAAAAGAAAGCCAAGAAGTCAGTGAAATTTTTATCACCAGATATCTTGATGGTCAATGCCGGCTCCAATGATTGTATCCAGTCCTTCAACACCGCAGAGGCTGGAAGGCGTATGGGTGAGATGCTCGATTATCTTTGGCTAGCATGCCCTCAATCCACGATCCTGCTTTCTACTCTAATTCCCAACATGGACCGACAGGTGGATTTGGTGGTGATGGATTTGAATGATCAGTTTCGTGCATTGGCAGAGAAGAAGAATATTGGACAAAAGAAAATTTTGCTGATTGACATGCACTCATCGGAAGGGCCCGGTGCCCACGAGCTTGTCGACGGTATACACCCTAATGACGAGGGATATGAGAAAATGGCCGAATTATGGTTTCGTGGCATACAGGAGACCATTGAAAAAGGGTTTATTGATCGATAAAACCCCAATTACAGTCATTATCAATATGTCTGAGACCACTTTGCTTCTTCCGACGAACTTGTCGGTATTAGCTTAGTTTCAAATAAACTCATTATAAAGGGGTCTTCCAGGCACTTAGATTCAGAAAGTTTACTCAATCAGCCAAGGAGCCTCCGAACCCTTGGCTTCTCTATCTCAAAACGGCGAAGATTGCAACTTATTACTAGACACTGCGCTATTACAATAATGACTACGGAAGATGTCTATCCAAACTCCTTCTCGAAATTTCGATTCAGCTTGATCGGAAGTTTCATAATCGCTCTCCGTATTAAATTATTTTGAGGCTTGAAGAACAATATGAAATTGCGTAGAACTACTTAAGATATCATTTCAACTCGATGATGGTGGTATGGATCGGAGAATCGGGTGTGAATGGCCATCTAGTGAATTTCATCAAAATTTCACGCTGTGATTCTTGGAGATCAGCGGAGACTTTTCGAATTCGTTGGCTCTCCAGCACATCGTTCTGTTCCACAACAATTCGGGCATTTTCTTCCTCGAGCTCGATTATTCGTTGAGCACACAGACCGGAATATCGATCTTGCCAAGCTCCGTGGTAGAAAGGGGACTGGAGCATCATATTCACGGCTCTTCGCCGGATGAGGGGTGGCGGCAGCGAGAGGCGACAAGGAATAGGGGAGGGGTGAACCCAAGGTCGAAACTGAAAAGTAAACTAAAGTTCTGTGCATCTTTCCACGATCTAGTGATATCCTCAGCGAGCTCAACGGCAGTTTGAAAGTGACCGACATAGTTGTCAAATATCGTTTCACTCTCGGAACCATACGTCTCGGCTATAATGATTGAGACGTGGTAGTAAAGATTCAAGAGTTTGATTGTGCAGCCTTGCAATATCGAAGACTCTCCAGAGAATTGAGAACTGGAGTTAAGAGCGCTCTTCCACTGGCGTAAAAGAGTGCTAGAAGCTCGCGTTGGAGCTTCATCCCTCACAGGCATATCACGCTCCGAAGATGAAAATATGTGGTTCATCACTCGGTCAAAGTCCACACGGGCAGAATTGAGGGAGCTGTATGATGATGGAATTGTTGGAGGTGGTAGGCAAAGGGGAACACCGAGATCTTTTAACACATGCCGGGAGTCCATGCATAGTGAAAACTGCACGCGCAGCCGCTGTAGGATCGGGGTAATCTGATTATTGACAAAGTCAAGGGTCGTTCGAGAGTACTCCTGCAACTTGCTGTATGTTGCAGTATTGCGCCTCCACCAGTATAGCAGTCTTAAACCTGCACTAAGGTGGAGAAGACAAGCAGCATCACCGCTTCGGAATTGCTCGAAACAGATAAAAAGGATACAAAGTATCAGGACAATATCTGGTCGATGGGACATGTCGGACGATTCTGTCTGGACGGACTTGATGGCGAACGTATAATGTCTCAAAGCTAACATTTGTGCTGCGATCTCGGCATGTTTGCCTGATCGACGTATAGAGGTAGGAGTATTCCCAGGCTCCAAGCTCTCATGCAGTGAGGCTAATGCAGTTAGGGCATGCTTGATTGGAGCCTCTTTGTGACCAATTTGCAGCAGTGTGGGAAGCCAGTTCTCCACATCGCGTTGGCCAAATATCCGATGGGCGGTTCGACTTCGGAAAAAAAGGAACGCTCGGCGTTCGTCATCGGTTAGAGAATCAAATGACAGGGCTTGCTGAGGGGAGGTTGAATAACCCTCGCATATTCGTTTTGTAGTCACACAGCGCAGGCATGATGGCTTGGTCTCGTCGCATTTGATACGTCTTCATCGTGAATGGTTAGCTGGGTAGATAATATCTTGCTGGTTCAATGGCGTCTACACACCGAGACCTAGAATCCGTTGGTCAGCAGTTGATTAAATAAACATTTGAAACAAACTCACTTGCAAGTAAGACAGCCGCTCCGTGTCTTGCGTTTTGATACTGCTGTTGAAGCACCAGTCTTCATTTTGGAATGAGTGCCGAAAGTTGGAATGAGTGCCGAAAGCAGTGATTTCAGGGTTCCTCCGATGCGATGACTAGAGGCAGCCTTGAAACTAGCAACCTGGAAGATCAATCGCGGTGAGCTTCAGCTCGGGCAGCGATCTTTCTGGAGATATCATCAGACTTGTGGGATAGGGGATTAATGCATGATATGCGTCAGTGGGAAGTTCCTCTGAAGTCGGGCGGAGGAATGACTGCCGTGCCGCCTTATTTACCAGGTGTCGACAAAACCAGTCTCGGTCGAATTTTTAGTAGGAAATAAAAACCTCTTTGAAATTACCTACATGGCCCGCAAATCGTAGGACCCAATTACCGCTACTATAGTACTATGGAAATTGAGTGATTATCTATTATCCAAAGCCTCGAATAATTCCTCGTGGACAAGCGCACAAGAACTTGGATCTAACATGTTTTCACTTTTACTTCCAAGTTTTTATTTCTCTATCTCTGGAACTATTAATTTATTCGGAAAGCCTATGTCTATGTCATTTAAGGTCTCTCGAACGCATTATAGTAGCTGCAGACTTTTGCAATCGCCCTATCAAACTTTAACACACCACTTCCATTTCCAATCCAATAATGCCCATCGCGACAGCGTTATACTAACCATTCCAACAAACAATATTGCGGAATAAAACCCTATCAAAATTTGAGGGGTTGTCGACTGAAGCAATTTTCCGCCGACTGGGACCGTCAACAAAACTCCAAACGACGCCACGCTATAAATTGTGCCATAAAACCGGCCATAGTCTTCGGTTCGGCAGAGCTGCCCTGCACAAACAGGGGCTAACGATAGCCATCCACCAGAGCCAAACCCAAATATGGCTACAACAGCGTATAGTGTAGCTTCATCTTGCGAGCCGAATGGGACCCATACTGCTGCCATGACGATCAAGGTAGCACATACCATCGATATAAGTGTGTTAAATCGACCAAGTTGATCAGCGGCAAAGCCCGGTATAACCCTTCCGAAAAGGCTCATGCCATTTAGGAGAGTCAATGAGTAGAATTGCACATCCTCCGACATGCCCGCATAGCGAACGTATGTTGGTAGCAATGCAGCGCAGCCAAATATGATGAATTCAAAAGAGAAAACGGCAACTGCAAGAAAGCATAGACGGGGTGATGCGAATGCTTTAAAGTCAATCATTGACTTTGTCGTGTTTTTGGTTGGAAGACGCTCCTTAACAAGGAACACGCCCACCATGTAACACCCTAGAGCTATAAAAGCAAAGATTCGAATTGACCACAGCCATCCGTGCTGTTGAAGTAGAAAACGGAGCATTAAGGGTATAAGAGCTCCGCCGGTTGATGACCCTGCCATGCAGATGCCAGATGCCAGACCACGATTTCGATAAAACCAGTGACTGAGCACCGCTATAGAGACTGTGGTGATAATAGCAGATGATATACCGCCGAGAACACCGAGGCATAGCATAAAGTGCCAGTACTCAGTGCATTCCGCTAGTAAAATATAGCAGAGAAAGTTCGCTAGACTTCCCCCTATGATCAAAGATCTTGACCCGTACCGGTCAAACAGAGGGCCGACTTGAACCCCAAGGAAAAGTGTCAAGAAAACAAAAATTGCAGTTATCCAGCCAACATCACTGACGCTATATTCAGAAAGTTGATGGGTACTGATGTAGTCTTGAACGGATCCAACTAAAAGCTGAGTTAGCATGATATTCATGGTACGCGGCGAGGATAAGGCGGTTTCATACTTGCGGTTTGGAAACCAAATGACGGAAACATCATTAAAAATGAGCCTAAGAGGCATGTCCATGCTTGTCTGCTATTCTCTGGATATGTATCCTTGTCATCCTCGTCCTCGGACGAATCTGTATCATGTCGAGTCTCGGCCGACTTGTCGCTGATCGGCTGCTGATTTAACGGCGCACGAGGCTCGGGTAGTGTTGATCGTCGCATATTTTTAAAAGAAATATCGTCTGGAACTTCAAGTTATTAGCATGGTATTTCAGGGTATTCTAAACGAAGTTGTCATCGTGCATACTCGTGATGTCGACCTCCACCTGGGGCAAAAGACAGAGTTCCGTCAAGCAGAGCTATGGAATCACCCGGGCACCGTCGTGAGGAAAGATAAGTTGAGCTGCTGGGGATAAAGCAATTGAATCAAAATTTTATTTCGAAAATAAGAGAGAGAAAAGAAGAAGAAAACCAGAAGATCCTGAGAGGATATACTCTTACGCCCAAGACAACTCGGCGGAGCATTCACTCTTCTGCGATTGGTCCGGTCGCTTTTTTAACTCATAAGCCAATCAGCGTTCGATTATTTTCTGGAGCCCGTTACCCATCGATTCTGGTGGTTTACACTGATAATCAATGATGAATTTTCATTGAGGCGCTATTGCAGGCCTAGTACGGAGCAAAACAGTTACCCTGGTCTTGATCTCGCCCTGGCTTCAGAGCGCATTGTCATTTGTCTAAACATTTACTAGGAACAAGCCCCTCCACCTTCTAAGCAGTCTTTCTACGAGATGGAGGAAGCTGGAGACTGATATAATCCTACTAGGTAACGGGCATATTTGATGTTATTGGACAAGCAGGTGACTTTAACCGAGATGGATAGAACAGAGAAAGGTTGTATTCGAAGGAATTACAACTACAACTCGGACCGTACGGCGAAACAGGTTGAACATGTTAAAATGCATGAATTGCTATCGACTGTACATGAAAGGGAAATAACCTAGACGCGACAGGAAGGGGATCAAACGGAGTAAAGGAAATATGGAGACAACCACCTCCACTGGCCAGGAAAGAATCATTACCAGCCCGTAGGAGGGGTTAACGGAGATCTAGACGTAGAAAATATCGACCAATTCCTGCTTCTTTTTAGAAAGACGCCAAGGAATGGGGTTGAGGGAGGATGAGGGGGGCTTTTCGTTTTCTTTTCTTTTTACATGCCGGGGGAGATCAGCTTGCCCTCGGCACGGCTCTCGGGGTGCCAGCCACCAGCGAAGGGGGCACTGCCGAGCTGCTTCTGGTGCTCGCGGATGCGAGCCTCAAGCTCGGGGCGGAAATGACGGATAAGACCTTGAATGGGCCAGGCGAAGGCCTCACCAAGAGCGCAAATAGTGTGACCCTCGACTTGCTTGGTGAGCTCCTGGAGCATGTCGATCTCACGCTCGCGGGCGTTACCGGTCTCCATACGGGACATAATCTGCTGAGTCCACTTGCTGCCCTCACGGCAAGGAGTGCACTGACCGCAAGACTCGTGGCGATAGAAGGCCGAGAGGCGGGAGATGGCGCGGACAATGTCAGTGGACTTGTCCATGACGATGACGGCAGCGGTACCCAGACCACTCTGGGAGTCCTTGAGGGCGTCGAAGTCCATAAGCTGGTTGTCGGCGACGGACTTGGGAATAACGGGGGTCGATGAACCGCCAGGAATGACGGCATACAGGTTGTCCCAGCCACCACGGACACCTCCACAGTGCTTTTCGATCAGCTCGCGCAGCGAGATGGACATCTCCTCCTCGACAGTGACGGGGTTGTTGACGTGACCGGAAATACAGAACAGCTTGGTACCGGCGTTACGCTCACGACCGAAAGAAGAGAACCAGCTAGGTCCGCGGCGGATAATAGTGGGAACGACAGCCACGGTCTCGACGTTGGTGACGGTACTGGGGCAACCGAACAGACCGACGGCAGCGGGGAAAGGAGGCTTGAGGCGGGGCTTGCCGGCCTTGCCCTCGATGGACTCAATGAGGGAGGTCTCCTCACCACAAACATAGGCGCCCATTCCGCGGTGGATGTAAACGTCGAAATCGTAACCGGTGCCGCAGGCGTTCTTGCCGATGTAGCCGGCGGCGTAGGCCTCGTTGATAGCCTTTTGCAGGACAGCCGCCTCGTGATAGAACTCGCCACGAATGTAAATGTAAGCCGCGTTGGCGTTCATAGCACGGCCAACAACCAAGCAACCCTCAATCAGCTTCTGGGGATCCTTGCGCATAATCTCACGATCCTTGCAGGTACCGGGCTCACCCTCGTCGGCGTTGATGACGAGATAGCGGGGGCGAGGGTCCTTGTCCCAGTCCTTGAAGTTCATGAACGACTATAATCGAGGAAACGAAGCCTCTGTCAGCCAATTGCCCGCACAATGCGTGGAGTTCAAGAACATCTCAGCCTATCGGCCTATCCCACTTACGTATTTCAGACCCGAGGGGAAACCGGCACCACCACGACCACGCAGGCCAGAGGCCTTTATCTCGGAGATGAGCTGTAGAATTGTGTCAGAACAGTCAATTGGAATTCAGCTTTCACCGTGTCCACCCGATCCTTGACCCGAGGTGGACGGGAAACGTCGTGACACTCACCCAGTCGTGACCCTTGAGCACGATATCCTTGGTGCGATGCCAATCACCATACTTCATTGACGACTTCAGGTCTGCGCCATGGTGTCCGTAAAGGTTGGTGAAGATCCGATCCTGGTCTTGGAGGCCGCCATGGTGCTTGACTGGGGGTGCCTCCTGCACGGTTGCGAAGGAGCGGGCGGCCGCCCCATGGGCGCGGAGTGAGCGGGTGGTGAGTTGGGAGAGGGAGGAGGACGAGGGAGCCGCCGCTCGGGATATCATGATGACGGATTGCGATGTGTGATGGCGGGTCTCAAGCGGTCATGGAGAGGAAAGGAAGGGGAAGCTGCACGGCAATTCCTGCGCTTGCTGAACGATCCGCCTTTACGAGGCGCTTGATTGGACAGTGATGACACGTGATGTGCTGACTCAGTGTCCCTTCCGGCGGTTTCCTATTTCGGATGAGAAGTATCGTTGTTAGTTTAAGTACCCAGAACGATAGAAAGTAATGTGTAGTATGAATGAAAGTATCGAGACTGAAGAGAGGTAAAAAGTGAGCCCTCGGAGCATCAAATCTGGGCCGTGCTATCACGTGCATTTGCCCAGCGCAGCTGCCTGTGCGTATCAGGCGACATCGCGGTACTCTATCAAGGTATTTTCTAGGAAGAACCTCTTGGTAATTATATGAATTTTCAATTTCGTTCAAGTGAAAGATCCTGCACATAATCAAGTTAATTTGTACCTACTCAGGTGGCCAATAGGCCAATCGTTTAAGCTTCCAACAGCCTGAGTTTTTTCTTGTTTCCATCTATACTACTCCTGCGGTACATATAGCACCGCCTGCTTTGGCATCGCTGGGCTGTTCGTCAATACCTGCAGCGGATCTAAAGGAATCAATACCATTTCCCCCTTCACCACTCGCCAGGCCCATTGCAGCCACTTCGAGTTCAGCCACCCGCTCTCCGAATCCAGCCACGTTACCCCATCAGATTCAGCCCATGACTGTGCGCCCTGGTTCTGGACGTATGCCCCCAATTGTTCGAGGACTCCACTACATTCATCCTCCGGGCTGCTTTGAAGAGGATACTCTTTCAGAAGGAAGTCCACCCACCGAATCAGACGTGACGACAGCTGGGACTGCGCTTGAGGTGAGCGTCGGGTAGCAACCAATAAATTCACTACCAGCGCAAACAGGGCCTGCGGGTCTGTTTGAAGGGCAGGGACGCGCTGGCTACCAGCCTCGCCCAAGATGTGGGCGAAACACTGCTGACTCGGCGCTTGCATCTCAGCTGGAAGTAAACTGTAGATCTCTCCCAGTCGGAACAACTCCCCATTCTTGGGGAGGAGAGACTGTCGCTCCAGCACACGCACACGAATCCGGGACATAATATCGTGCGAGAAATGATCCGCCGGAATCTTCTGCATATGCTCATGGAGAAGAACCTTGATATCCTCCCATTCCTCACCCCGTTGATGCTCCCGCGCGCGAGAAATCGTCCACGCCGCAATAATCAACGCAGTCTTATCCAGTGTAATTTGTCCGTTGCGATATATTTGCGCAAAAGTCTGCTTCAGGTTCGACGGCTGTTCTGGCAAGTCTTCGGCAGTTTCTTGAAGGTGTGCAATATGCGCAATAAGCTCGAAGCTAATTTGCGCTAGAACTGCCAATGTGTTTCGTCCGCTGCCGTAGCCACCAGGGATAGAGATGTCGGTTTCTGTAATCTCTAACTTCCTGCGCTCGCGCTCGTTGGCCTGCATGACTGCTATGGCGTTGAAAAGAGCTGGTGAGAAAATCGAGTGTTCCATCGGTCTTTCCTGTGCCAGCAGTGGGTAGAAAATGTTGAAGATGTAGTAATGGTCTTCAACGGCCTTGGCCAGCTCTGGGAACATTTCGGCCTGGCGGGCTTTGGCCTGACCAAGTGGGCTCTCTTCTGGAAGGCCAAGCTTGACAATACGGTAGTCCGTAAGGTTATTCAGGATACAGAATCCGTAGTTCACCAGCACTGTTCCATGTTAGATCTATCAATACCAATGCATCTACCCCGGAGGAAAATACTCACACTGCTCATTGTTACGAGGTCCGTAGTTGTTGGAAATTTCCTCGCCGGGCGAAACATTTTCCTGCACAAGCAAGCCAACATCTGCATCTCCAGCCCGCCACTCTACCTTCGCCAAGGGTCGATGGTTAGGAAGATCGATCAATGGCAACAAGACCGGGACCGAATCTTCGGGCAGGTCAGCCTCCTCTAAAGCCCCGGCCAAGACTTTGGGGGAGAACGCCCGCGATGTGATAATAGTTGATGCCCACAGGTACAGTTCCCTAGATGACGATCAGCCCAGCCCTTGAACCTGGAGTAATATGACTGTCAGAGAAACACCTATCCCAACTCACCAAGTAAACATCTCCAACCCTTCAACCCCCAGCTCCTCCAGCTTAGACATCCCCTCGTCAAATTTCTTATCCCAATGCTTATACCTAAAAACCGAGGCATCCGGGATCCCCGTGCCCTGAAGCCAATCGACATCATGCTCGCCAAAAAATAAAGGCGTCGTCAACTGGCCCGGCTGAGGCAAAGTCCGCAGATAAGGAAACCAAAACCCCTCCTCACCACGCAGGAACTGGCCCATAAGGTAAAACGCCGTCGTCTCCTCTCTCCCGACAGCATCGATGAATTCCCTCGGAAATACGACGCCGTGGCTGGGAAATGAGCCCGTGGGACATGTGTAGTCGATCGCGTTGAAGTAGGACATTGTCACATTCAGTGGCGTGCTGATTACACGCGTCTCTTTGCTGATGGCTTCCGGCAGGTCGGTCCTCACTTGGATGTGGACGCCCCGGGTATCGTCTTGAGCGACGAATACAGTATCTGCGATGTAGCCGCCATGATTTGTGACCCACTGCACTAGTTCTTTGTGTGATTCTAGTGAATGACCATTTGATGGACTGGTTTGTAGGTTAGCTATTTTTGCTCCTATGGCTGTGGGAGGGGATATAAAAAGTGCATGAAACGATGTTGCTACTCGGATACTCACTCCTGAGACGCGGCCATAATTCAATACTTGACCAGGCAGTCTCTCTTGGTCGGGCTAGTCTTTATAGTATGACAGTTTAGATCCGTGTTGAGCAAAGCGAGAGCGAAGAGTGATATCATCGAAAAGATTTGGCGGGATGGTGGGCGATCCATGAGCCCGGCCCACTTTTTTTCCGCTACACGCCAACTTGAACATCTAAACCACCACCCGGTCTAACAGTCGAAAATTCCAAGTTTGAATGCCAGGTAACTTCAGTTTGTACTATATCTACTGTTTGGTCATTTTCTCGTAAATCTAATTTTACCAAACTCTTTGCGACTCTTAGCGTGCAACTTAAATCAATTCATCTTCTCTCACAACTATCGTACAAGGGCATAAGTCAACTCAATTAGAGACCAAGAATCATGGGGCTCGTTAGATTCTTCACTCGGTGCATGCGATGGTTCAGACTCAAACACCTCATGAAAATGCATATCCACTCCCAAAGACTCGACCAAAGATGGAAAAAATATATACAAATCCCACATGGTATGGGTGTAGGCCTCCCAGCGAGAAGCCTCGAAAGCAAAGTCATCGAATGCGCTCATCTAGATTTTTCCCAAACAGCGAGCAGTCTCGTAAGTATGCAGGCAGTGGGTCGAAAAGGAAATGGAAATTTGAGATTGACGAGTGCTGTTAGATCATCTAGCTCTGGGCCCCTCTTTAGTTAAGAGGTTGAGGACTTTCGACCCGGGACATGGATTTCTACAAGCCCGTCGTCCTCGCCGTCGCTGCTATCGTTCTGGTCGTCGTCAAAGTGGGATCCGCTCACAACCCGTGATCGGCGGAAGCCGTCATACCGGGCCTGGCTCGGGTGGTTGGAGTAGCCGAGAGACTCGTTGATGATAGCCTCATCTTCGTCGTCCGAGTCGATCATCCCAGTGGCGGTAGGTGCGACCATTTCACCCATCTCGTCGTCATCATCTTCTTCGACCTCCAGCGGGACACGGACTCGCCGCCTCACGGATTCAGAATGGCCGTCTCCATCCTCATCAGAGGAATTGTCAGAGAATGAGTCGGGAGGGCTAAAGCCCGAGTCATGGAATGTGGGGGAAAAGGTGTGATCCGCATTAGATCCAAAGTCTGAGTTAGGGAAAGCCGAGCCGCCTCCATCCGCGTCATCATCAATGCCAGCGATCACGAAAGGATTTCCGGACCACTCAGAGTCTCGAGTCCTGGCGTCTTCGCCGTGGTCATCGCCATCCTCGTCGATATCATCATTCGCCTGTTGCTTTTGGGCAGCAAGGCGAGCAGCCAACTGACGCCTAGCTCGTGAGGGACCAAGGCTCAGAGGGGCAGGGGGAGGAGGTAGAATTGGAATTGGTTGGCTGGTGGAGTTTTCGGAAATCTAGACAAAAGCATTGTTAGCGCAAATTTCTGGAACTCATGGTAGGGCAGTAATGCAGTGGAGGTGCAGGGGTTCGTGAAGCTAAGCGCCACCTCAATAGGAAGACAGCGCCAGTCAACACAATATGTTTGAGTTTAAGAGAGCGATAAAACAGTGAGCTTCCTCCGTCATCGATGAGCCGCCCAGAGAAAATACAATAAACATGATCTCAAAAACGTGGTACATGCAGTGGATGGATCCAATTGAAATATGACAGATATCATAGACTAGGGAGGGAAGAGATGACTCAAAGATTGCAAGCGGAAAGATCAGTGTCTCTAGCGAAAAGCGCATCGAACCAATCTACTGGCCGTTATAGCGTCATTCGCCGCCTGATCGATCCGATTGCCTATCTTGCACCAGTCTTGCCAGAGTCATTGAATCGACATGATTTAAAAGGTATTATCAAGGGTAGGTAAGGTGTATTGGGAGGTATCGTGCGCACGTTCGTCACGAGCCGTGTTCGTTAGGTGTTGATCGAAAGGTTACCCACATTCTCGGAGTCGCCTTGATCGGCATGAATAGTGTTGTCGTCCTGGTCCTCCATTTCCTCGTCTTCATCGTCGCTTGAACTGGCAAAGCCGCTTAGAAGCGATGTGCCACCACCGGCCCCGAATGCTCCTCCAGAAACGCTTCCTGAGTTGATGTCAAAGCCTTGGAATGTCGATCCACCGATACCACCGTTCAAGCCTGCGTCGGCCAGAGCGGAAGAGTTTGAGAATCCTCCTTGGTTCGAGCTAGCCGAGGTGAGTACAGTCTGGCGAGATCCGACAGACATGTCCGGGCGCACGCCGCCAAGGATCGCGTTATCCCGTTCCCTGGTCTCCGACAGAGTTTGCTCGACATAGTCAATCCACTCGGGGTTCAAGACCGACTCCATGACGGACCGTGAGAGCAGTTCAGGGGGATGGCGTTCACTGAACTTTACGACTTCTTCGGCGACAAGGGTAAGATGGCCCATGTAGCCAAGTCGAATCTGCTTAGTTTTCTGCGCTTCATCACTGCGCTTTTGCCCCTCAATAATTGCAGTGGTGATTTGCCCTTTCTCAAAGACATTGATGGCCAGAGCCCTGTTATAACCACGCTCCATCGGCCCATTGAAGACTTGTTGAACAACGTCATAAACAACATTGTGGAGGAAGTTGTTCCATGGGAAGCGGAAGAAAAAGCCCTGCGTATAAGTTAGAGTCGGCACCCTGATGAATTGATCAAGGTCAATAACTTACTAGTATCGTTGGAACCACCTCATTCTCAACGAACATAATCTTCAGGTAGTCGCCAACAACAGGTTGTCCATCAGTATCATACTGAATATACTGCTCGGCAGGATCTTCAGCACTGCCATCATTGATCCTCTCGGATTCTTGTGCGGGTTCGGAAACAGGGGGGACCTCTTCTTGTTCAGCAGGCTGTGAGACGGGCTCTGCTGGCTGCTTCTTTGGGGAGAAGAGTGGTGGGGGAACGTCCTCGGGTTTGGGTGATATGGGCTCCTTTTGCTCGACTGGCGTAGAAACTTGTTCCTCGCTTTGAGCTTCAGTTGCGAGCTTGATGTCGGAAACCTGATCCGCAAGAACACCACTGGGGCTTGCTGGTGTTTCGGTCTTCGTCTGGTCGGTCGAATTAGACTCAGTATCTACCTCAGAGCTCTGACCAGAGACTTCGGTCTGTTCTTTGTCTTCAGGCTTCTCGCCGACCAAAACACCAGAAGCCCCAACGTCCTCGAAGCCTTCTTCTTCACCTGCGCGTGGGCGAAGAGCTTCGGGTGACCCAGTGTCCATGGCAGAGCCATTGGTGAAATCCGCCGTTGTCTCATTGTATTCCATACCGGAATGGTCGTTTCGACTGGGATTGAAGAACCCTTCACGAATCAACTTCTCGCGCTCCGCATTGCGCTCTCGGACATAATCGTCACTGCCAGGCTCATTTAGAAGTCCCATGTTACTGCAGTGAAGAAGCTCCGCCATCAACTCGCAAGTCTTAAATCGATCAAAGCCAAGGGGCTCAATTTTTCCACCCCAAGCTGAGTTAAGGCTACCCCGGTCGACACTCTTCAGTTGAGTACCATCATGAACAGCGTGCTTGGAACTTTTGATTAGTTCCATGAAATGGGGGATATGGCGAGCGAATAGACGGAGGAGATTGCCAAGGTAAATTGGGTCATAGGGAGTAGGCATAGATTCAGGCCCACCTAGGTGCTCGGGGTCATAGTCGGAGTTGTTCTTGCGAATAACCTCAATGACGATACCCACACCGACCGTCAACGGATTGCCACCTTTCAGCATAGCATCAATAAGCTGCTGCACACACTCAGCTGAAACCAATTGGCGGGTCAGGCTGTTGGGGCCAATGCAAGATTGGTCATTGGGAGTTGCGTTTGCGGAGATGGTGATGATCGCCTTCAAGAAGTCACCAGCGGAGGTCTGAACAGAACCGGGGTATTCTGGCGTGAGGAAAGAAAGAAGAGTCGGGATCAAGCCTTGGGATTTGAGCCAGTCCACGGTTCCTTGGCCTCCCTCGGCTTTCTCAAGGCTGATGATTTTCAACAACAGATCCATCACCATCGGGTTATCGACGTGCTGTAGGAGTGAAGGAACAATTCCATCCAATGACTTAAGAAAATCCAACATCTCCTCTGTCTTTTTATCCAACAGTGTCTCATTCACCTTGGTGAAATAACTTGCTTGTTGGGAGTCTAGGGATGGAGGTCGCCGCAAGAACCCCCCAGAAGTCGCGCAAATAGGTCGGGCTTTCCATAATTGATTCCAAGATGGAGTATGTCTCTGAGGAAAGGATCTCGCAGGCGATGTAGGCGTGCTTGATGCGGTTCTTTTCGACCCTTTCCAGTTCCTCTGGGCCCAGGAGATCCTTGAGGGGATCGGACTCTTTCTCTTCATCGTCCCCATTGTCTTCCTGATCCGTTTGTTCATTTAATGTGGCCTCCGCACCGGCATCCTTGGAGGGCTCCTTAGAAGACTCCTTTTCGTTGGTATCATCGTCATTTTCTTCGTCGTCTTTTACCAGGCTCGGTGCGGTCACGTAGTCCATAAGCCGTTTCAAAACATGGTCCTCGCGCAGGTATTCGATCAGTTTCGTATTATGCTGTTTCAGCTCTTGGATGATCTCCGGCTCATCCAGCAGGTCCTCGAGGGTCACCTCGGGCTTGTCGAGAAGGGTATCGATGGTGGAGATACTTGCATATCCCCCAAAACGCCAGAACATGATGGAGTATATAGCTAGGCAGAGCGATTCATGAGAAGTCTTTTCGAGTCGTCAATCTCCGAGGTGTCGTAACGGAGCGGGCTATGGTACACTAGAAAGGGATTCGGCAGAGTGGAAGTGGTGGGGTGAGGAAGTTCACCGGGAGCGCGATACGCCGGGAAATCCACACGCACACAAAAAGCTCACGAAAGGGCCCGTTGGGGGGGAGGGCACGTCGAGGCCGAATGTAGTATCGAAAAGAGGGAAGGATAGAAGCAGGAAAGTTGATATAGGCCGAAGCGAACCTAGCGCTAAAGATGGAGTTAGCGATCGAGTGTGAATGGTTGCATCAACCCCGGAGCGGATGGTGTGCACGACGGCGCAGGCGGATCTGATCTCACGAGGCAGGATGCTGTGGGGCCAGCGGGAGAGATGAGGTGGGGGGGGGTGAAATTGTAGGGGGTAGTGAAGTAGTGAAGTGAGATTGAGATGAGGTTGGGAAAGAGGAGCAAGGCGCCACAACGTACCTCCGAAATGCAAAGAGAGTGATGGAGAAAGATATGGGGGGTTGGTTGGTGGTGGTGGAGGAGGAGGAGGTGGAGGTGGAGGTGGGAGAATTCACCCGAGAAGGTTTAAAGGGAGCCAAATGGAAGTACGAGCAGGAATGCAAGGGCTCACCGCGGGTCCATCAAGGAACAAGGGGAGAAGATATGAGGTTGTGAAGAGGACTGGGAGTAAGAGAGGTAGAGTAGATTAAGTGCAGGGGCGGACCAGATCAGTCATCCGGGAGTTGCGAGTGCGTGCCCCAGGGTGGGCGCGGGGGAATCGCAGCCCCCAGATAAGCCTGACTATTTGACATAGGAGAGTGGCTACTCGTAGGTGATTGTAGGAATTAGTGAGTACCCTTTTACTACACAATCTACAGTTGATATTCCTATCCCTTCCAGCCATTCCAGCCATTCCAGCCATTTATATTCTCAACTCCCTTCCTGTCGACAGCCTGGATATGCTTAACTCCGACAGCCCTGGAGTGTTCACCGTTCGCCTAGACCAAGCCAGGCTGGCTACAACTCAGTCATAATCCTTCACACTGAATGATCCCGACACTCTTACTCTTACCACCAGTTCCAGATTCGTTCCAGATTACGGTCATCTGGATTGATAATGTGGGCACAGATCTAGCCCCGAGCCCCTCGAAATTGACACGCACGAGGGGAGTGCCCAGGGACTTGGTTCTTGGTCACGTCCCACACGTGTGCCCAATCCACTGCCCAAGTCAAGTGTCAATGTGACGCCAGTATGAGTATAGCTGCATAATCAGATAGGGAGAATCAGCCTACCAATATCACATCAATTCGATAAATCATGCCTAAAGGCTATTACCTCGTGATGTATTCCCAAGACATCTCATAGTCATAGTCATAGTCATAGTCATGGTCATGGTCATAGTTCAAAGTCTCGCCTTACTCCTCATCACGTGCTCCGTATCTTCCAACATTTCTGCCTCAGGCGGCAAGGCCCCACTGACGTCGGCCTCCGCATGGCTGTTGGTTGTTGGTTGTTACCTAGCTGTGCGGTGGTAAGCATCAGATCAGACCTGAACGGGAACAACAGCAAACTCGGTGTCAGGACTCAGCTTCCTACTTGCTTTTCAAGATTTACCCACGACTGCCCCCTTCTACCAAGACCGCATTGTCTCTGCAGCTCCAACCTTCGTACCCCTCGTCCACATCTCGCCCCTCATAATGAACCGCCTATTTGGCTCCAAGAGCACGGCTCCCAAGCCGACGCTCGACGGCGCGATCTCCAAGGTAACCACACCAGATCCATACTAGGATATTCCCTCCATAAAGCACTCCCTAACAAACCAAACCTCCAGGTCGACGACCGCGTATCCAACATCGACGTCAAACTCGCCGCCCTAAACTCCGAACTCTCCACCTACCAAGCCAAGCTCTCCAAAATGCGCGACGGACCCGGCAAAAACGCCCTCCGCCAAAAGGCCCTCAAAATCCTCCAACGGCGAAAACAATACGAGGCCCAGCGCGACCAGCTCTCCCAACAATCCTGGAACATGGAGCAAGCCGGCATGATGCAGGATAATCTAAAAGAACGTCATGACGACAGTCGACGCAATGAAGACCACAACCAAGGAACTGAAGAAACAATATGGAAAAGTCGACATCGATAAAATCGAGCAGATGCAGGACGAGATGGCCGATCTGATGGAAGTCGGAAATGAGATTCAGGAGAGTATCTCGCGGGCCTATGATTTGCCCGAGGAGGTGGATGAGGCGGATCTGGATGCGGAACTCGAGGCTCTCGGCGAAGAATCGATGTTCGACTCGGCTATTGGGGAAGATGCTGTGCCGAGTTTCTTACAGGATGAGGTTGCTCCGCCACAGTTTATCGATGAGCCACCTGAACAGGCGAAGGTTAAAGAGGCTGCGGGCGGTCTTGGATAAATGGTTAATTGATAGAAGAATTATCTTCTTATTATAACCCTTGGGAACCCCTGCGCTATGGGCCTGTGGAGTGGATGTTATGGAGTTCTCTGTCTTCTTTTCTTTTCCTTTTTACTTGGGTTACCCCATTTACGACCATATCATCTGATAAACTATTTGTATTCATGCGATGGGATTCTCACTACCCGTATCGATAGCGCGAGAGCATAGGGCTGACTAGATATGCATGATAAAACCATAGTGACACTTCCAAGGACTGGTTCAATCCCTTGGGATGCGATAATTTTGCTGAACAGACGCTGCAGCGATGCTATAGCACCGCGACGTAGATGCAATGTATGTGCAGGAAGGAACAACGCTATGCAATGGGCAATCAAGATGCTTTACCCATGCCCACCAACACCAAGAGAGCCACGTTCATCACCACAATAATGATCCAGACGATGACTGCAATCACCGATGTGATAATGTGGTTCCGCATCGAGACCTGCTCGACCGACACCTCTCCATCGCTCTCGGTCCGTTCGGTGGGCACAGTCATGTATCGGTTAAAGCAAGTAAACCAAATAAGAGGGGCAGAGACGAAAGGCAGAATAACGCTCAGGACAACCTGGCTGGCAGTGAGGGTCTTGTCCAGCCCATCTCTGCCAACAGCTGCGGCAATGATGATACTGGGGATGATGCTGATAGAGCGGGTGATGACTCTGCGCACCCATGGCTTAATACTCCACTTCAGCATGCCTTCACTAACCATCTGGCCAGCCATCGTGCAGACAATACCAGCTGAGATACCAGATAGAAGGAGTGCCAGGGCGAAAACCAGGCCGGCAGCTGGCGAGATAGAAGAGGAGAGTAGTTTGTGGATACCAAATAGATCGGCATCAGCGCCACCCGGGACATCGTAGAGAGAAGCACCGGCGACGATGAGAATGGCACTGTTCACAAACAGGGCGAATGTAAATAGTGATAGTGCCAGCTCAATGATTGAGTACTTCAAGCAGCCACGAATAGCCTGTAGGGTAGGGCGGTACTCCACCTCCCCATCACTACTCCCTAGAGGCACGGTGGATTCCACATAGCCTGCTGTGACATCGAATTCCTTCAAGCGTGACTGTACCACACCACTGCCAAGGAAGAGGGAGTGGGGCATAACCGTGGCGCCAAGGATACCACAACTCTGATAAAGACTATATAGATCACAGATTAGTCAAGTGAACAATTTGAAAGGAAGAGTTGCGTGCATCGAGTGCTTGTTTGGCTTACCCTTCCGATTGAACGATGGCCGACGATGGGAGATATCCGCGGAACACCTCTCCGACTGATTGGTCTTTGATCAGAGAGAGCTGAATGCAAAAGCAGACAACGACTCCCAAGACCAGGGCCATGACGAAGAATTCAAAAAGGCGTAGCCCCCACATGGACCCATCGGGGCGGTAGAAAAGGAGAAGAAATAGGACATCAACTAAGGTAATGGCGCAACCCGCTACGAGTGGAATCTTTAGAAGTAGATTCAACGCAATCGCGCATCCAACAACCTACATCACATGTCAGTAAAACAGTTCACGTCAGCATACGAATTCAGCGCAACATACCTCTGCAATATCCGTGGCGATAATGGCAGCTTCCGCGAAGATGTACAGGATGATAGTCAGCCAGCGCGGGAGGTGTTCACGACAGTTCTCGGCCAAGTTCAGGCCAGTCACAGTGCCCAGTTTAATGCACAGGGACTGTAGGAGGATGGCAAATAGGTTCGAGATGAGAACGATGAAGAGTAGTTTATACTTGAACTCCGCACCGGCCGCAACGTCGGTGGCATAGTTTCCCGGGTCGATGTAGGCGACGGCGATCAGGAAGCCGGGTCCGATGAAGCGACCGAACTTGGCCAGGCTGCGGCCACAGTGCAGAGCGGATGATGAAAGATATTCGTTGAAAGGACGGCGAGGTGATCGGCCGGTCATCGAGGGTGGTTGGCACCCCGAGGCCGCGATCATCTCGCCGCCCGGCGACTTCTCGGTGGCGAGATCAGGTTCGTTCAAACTTTGCGGGCGAGAATCAATGGACATGGTGTCATCGCCTATTGCACCACCATCGTTGCCAGGCCTCTTGCGATGGACGCGGGAATTTGCAATGCCATTGAAGTCACTGCGGGTAGTGGTGTCCGGGCTGAAGGTCGGAGGGTTCTGGTTCCAGCCCGGATGCTCTAGATCGTCATCGGTGCGCGAGGGGCAATTCATTTCATGAGTGTCGTGTGTGTGTGTGTTTGTCCCGGTGTAATTTGCGACCTGTCTCAAGTGCGCTGCAGAAGGCTAAGGAGTTCAGAGTGGTGAGTGGTGAGTGGTGCCTTGTGGTCGGGTGAAGACTCGGGAAGCTTTTATCGGAGGAAGACCATAGACGGAAGGACCCTGGGAAGTCCGATACTGCCCGAATTTCGTGATGCTTGGCCGAGGAGAAGTTTTGTCTTCGGAATTTTTGCTTTATTTGCTTCAATATTGTGTTTTGTGTATTATGTTTTATGTTTCAAATATTTAGACAAACAAAATCGAGCCGAGTGGACTAGATTGGGGAGGTGTCTCAAAACCATGCAGGAGTGAATCGACGATTGCGTTGATCAACCATTTGGGGAAAGAGAGGGGCATGCAAACGGTAAAAGAGTGGACTGTCCGAGTCCAAGGTGGATTGTGGGTCTCCCCAACCTTGGAAGCTGAGACCACGCGATCGCAGATATATATACTCAGTGCTCCATCAGTAGGTTCAAGTTATCACGTATGTGGGTACGTGTAGAGTGTGTTGTTGTAGCCCAATCGCCTTGGTGGGGTTGGTTGTGCGACATGATGCTGCATAAACGAGCTGATTCCGGGATGTTGACCAGAATATGGGCCACGAGGTGCAGGGAAAGTAAGTTCAGGCGTTATGGAAGACGGTGTCAGTGTTAAAGTAATTAGTTCATGTAGTTCAAGTGTACCTAGGTAGTCAATAGTACTTTTGGTGAGTAGTATATAGTAGGAAGTGGTAGTATGGTGGAAGTAGAGGAAAGTCACGGTCACGGGAGAAGTATACATTACTTCTACTTCCACCACCACCACCACCACCACCACACCACTCTAGATCCCCGCCCAACCCTGAAGAACTTGAACTCGAACCCTGGAAACAATCAGCATCGGCCAAGTCATCCTGCAGCTCGGTTTCCCTTTCCCCTCTCCACCATGACATGTTTGTCCAACTGGTCCAAACCCGATTGACCGCCACCAACGCTGGTTGCCCCCAGCAACCTCCCAGCCCGCACCAATGTTTACCTTTCCCCCACTCTATGCACCCAAGACCAACCCCGAGGATCGCCTCACACACTAGTTGACCCGGACGAGTGTGAAGTGGAGTTCTCATCCTGGATGTTGCCAACGGCAGCGACTGACCTGTGAGACTTGCTTCAAATTCCCGGGGCAGCCCGCTTTGTTTTCCTTCCCATCATCAGCCTTTTTTTCTTCTTCTGTTCTGTTCTACCATTCCACTCTGCATTGCATTTTGTTTTCTCGCATTCATCATTTATTTCTTCGCTTGCTATTCTTCTTCTTCGCTTCCTTCTTTCTCACTTTTCATCACCATCTCCGGTCGGGTGCCCGTTTGCGCGCTGTTCTCTGTTTTCAACGTTGATCGATCCCGTACGTATCACCTGTCCCTACCCATTCCAATCTTGACTGTCGACTAACCCGCCCCAGTTGCTGGCCAAAGGTGATAAGCAATGGCGTTCAGTACCTCCGGCCCTCAGATCTTTGATGATGCCAATCGTCCCCCGGCTCGATCTTCGGTCTTCCGGACCATCATGTCCAAACCTCACAAGCGAAACCAATCCGCCGATGATGCTATGGCTCCACCCTCACCGACCAAACAACCAACATCGGTTCCATTCCCCTGGGCAAACGGCCCATCGTCAGGCCCTGGTCACCTCCCACTATCCGAGATCGTCCCCAACCGCGATGCCGGCGATAACGGCGGTCCCGCTCAGAAGATAGGAAGCAAGGGGAGCAAGGGTGCTCTACATAAGAAAACGAAAAGCGCTGTCTCTCTTAAATCTCTGCGAAGCTACATGGGAAAGGACAAGTCCGACGAAACCAACAGTGTTGCGTCTGACGAAATGCAACCAAAGAAGACTAAGTCGACTAACAGCCTGTCGGCGATCCTGAAGCGGTCCCAGCGAGGACGCAAAGGTGACGGCTCCAAGCAGAGCCGCGAGAAAGAAAACCGCAGTCCGACCGATCTCATTGACAACTTGAATATGCCCTCCCCGATGCCATCTCCAGTTTGGCCACAATCGGCCCCGATCTACAATGATTCTATGACTCGTGCACGACAGAATTCCAACGCTGATAGACATCGAACCCTGGCAGACGAGGTCTCGCTCTACACGCCAAAGGGCTATAGCCCGGCTCAACAACGTAACTTCTATGATTACCACCAGCCGTCCCTCGCTAGAGCTGGGGAAGCGAAGCCCCGGCCCAAGTCCGATTGTCTCCAGGGTAACAGAAAACTGAAGGATCTCATGGGAACCATCCAACGCGAGCAATCGCGGGACAGTTATGCCATGGAGAAGGTCGACACAGCGTCCTCAAGGGGACCAAGACTCGAGAGGTCGAGAAAGATGTCTGCCCCAGAATCGCCTGCGAGACCGCAAGAGCAGCCAAGTCCCAAGAAGCTGTCTCGGGTCCAAGCAGCCATCTCTGCATTCAATGCAAAGGAAAAAGACGTCGACGTTCACAAACATCTGGATTCCAAAGACCTCGAAAGCGAGTTCGAGAAACTACTGGTTGGTGCTCCGAGATCTCGCCGTCTTACAATAAAGATACTCACACGTCTTTAGGATGCGAGAAACATTCCCCATAACATGCGGGACAAGATGCGGTCCCTCGATACCAACATCAAGGCCGACTTCATCCAGAAAGACAGAACTGAGAACGGCACGCCTCACAGCGCGGGTACGGCCGATAGCCGTCGGGGTCGTGGTAACGAGACAAAAGATTCTCAAGACCGCAGGGGTTCTCGCTCTCGCTCCAGAAGCCGTGGCTTTGCCTTTGGTCGCGGACCCTCATCCCCTGGGAAGAAGGTTCGGCCTGAGAGTGGAAGTAGCTTTCATCGTCCCCGATCGGTTGACCTTTCTCAACCCGTTGGCGTCTACACCACTCTCTCGGCAGCTGGGTCAACGGCCTCTCTCACTGATGCCGCGGCGGTAGACACTGCCGCGGATCCATCTGACTTTGTGCATTATCTGCGAGAAATCCAGAAGCCAGAGATGATTGAGGTAGGTAAGATTCACAAGCTCCGCCTTTTGCTCCGAAATGAGACTGTCGCTTGGGTCAATGGCTTCATCATAGAGGGAGGCATGGATGAGATTGTGCAGTTGGTATACCGCATCATGAAGATGGAGTGGCGGTAAGAATTTCTCTATCAAGATGACATGTTAGACACTTACTGATATTGGATACAGTGAGGATCACGAGGACACCCTTCTCCACGAAGCGTTGCTCTGCCTGAAGGCACTCTGCACTACCTCTATTGCACTGGCGCATCTCACCAGGATCGAGGCCGAGCTCTTCCCCGCTCTTTTAAAGATGCTGTTTGGCGAGGATAAAAAGGGACCGAGCGAGTTTACAACTCGAGGCATCATCATCAACCTCTTGTTCACTCAACTCTCGGCCCTTGCCCCAGGCGAAACCCCCGGAACGCGTGCCAAACGCATCCTCTCCTACCTACGCGACCCATCTCCAGAAGACGAAAGTCAACCCGTTGCCTTCATTGCGAATATATACCAGTCACGACCTTATCGTGTCTGGTGCAAGGAGGTCACAAATGTGACCAAAGAAGTCTTCTGGATCTTCCTGCACCACCTGAATGTCATCCCCCTCCCCAAGGGAGGTTCCCAAATGGAAGACCCCTTTACAGAGAAGAACACCTCGGCAGAGACTACCCCGTACTACCAACGTCACTTCCCGTCCGCTCGCCCCCCCCTGTTCCCGCCGCTCCATACGTCGGAGGCGTAGAATGGGATGCGACAAACTACCTTGCCGCGCATCTCGACCTGCTGAATGGCATGATCGCCTCCCTACCCACAGTTGATGAGCGCAACCAGCTCCGCGACGAGCTACGAGCCTCTGGCTTCGAGAAGGTGATGGGCGGCAACCTGCGCACCTGCAAAGAGAAGTTCTATTCAGCCGTGCACGAATGTCTTCGCACCTGGGTCGCTGCCGCAGCTGCAGATGGCTGGCCCTACATTGCCGTCCGTGAGGGCCCTCCTCGTGGCGGTGACCCTGGGTCTCCTACTAAGTCCCCCAAGAAAGCCCCGGGCAGCCCCAAGAAGGGTGCGCTGGAGGAAAAGCCTCCTAAGCTAGAGCTTGCGCTCGATTTTCCCATGAGCCGACCACCTGCCGGTCCTGAAACACCTTCGAGTGACTTGCGCAGCTGGCTTTGAACGTCGGATAGGATACAACATCCTACTGACAAGATCTTTTTTTTTCACTTCTTTCCTTGTGTTTTTCCTACCCATTTTTTTGCTTTTCTCCTCATGTTTCATGATCGGCGTTTTTGAGGGTTTGTCTTTCACCTTTACAGTGCTTACGTACGGTGCCAGCTTCTTGCTGACTCGTTTGTTTCGCTGTCGGAGTTCTCTTTTGGAAATCTCTTCTTTTTTACCTCTGGCGTTGGCATTACTGGTGTTGTTGGGAGTTGCATATTCAATTATCCGGAGAGTTCTTCTTTTGCTCCTGGAAAGACATGATGTAATGAAGTCGAGTTACGGTGCAGGTGGCGGGGAGAGGAGGAGGCAGAGTCCTGTGTCCATGTTATTTTTTTAAACTCTGTTCTTCGTTCCTCTTCGCGGTATAGCGACGCCTGCTGTTCGGACTGGATTTGCTCATGATATTTGATCGATGACAGAAATGAGAATTGAATGATCATTCACTGATACACTAAATGGTTTGTTTGGTGGTTAGGCTATAAGAGCTCCGGTATATTGTAGTTATATTGTACAGTACAACAAATGACCAATAATGTACAAAAAGCACAATGACATGACAGTTCGGTAATGCGCTTCGTATTTATCTTCAATTGTTCTCGTTCGCCTTCTTGACAGGACCAGGAGGGGTGGGAGTGGAGAAAACGCCCTGCAACCCAGAGAAGAAGTTCTCTCGAAGCTAAAAAAAAAAATTCACGAGTTAGCTCACAGGTCAGACAGACTCCAGCGCAATTTCCCGGATGATCACAGATAAAAAAAAACTCACCCCATCGAAAGGCGTATCCCTGGTATCCCAATTCATAAACAGCACTGCGTAAATCACGACAACTATAAATTAAGGCTATCAGCAACCAATCTTGATTTCCTGAATATGGGACAGGATGGAATGTCTATTAAAAGAATACAATACTCACACCCGATAACACCCCACTGCACCAAGGTCACAGTTTTAATAAACTTAGGTCGCGCATACTTCAGCGCCGCGCGCCGGCGATACTTGCGCTCAAGGCGGAACTGGTGTTTGGGCGAGAGCTTGGACATATCCGGTGGCCATTGGCGCTTGGGCTTGTGGGGGCTGTAATAGGCGTCGTCGTTGGAGGGAGAGTGTTCGTGTGTGTGGTTGTCGGAGGAGAGGCGGAAGGGCGAGGAGGATTTTTGGGTGGTGAGTGTGAAGCGCGATGCGGGTGTCGTGGAGAAGAGGCGGGTAGATGTGTTGAGAGGGGTTTTCTGTATCGTGGAAATTATTGTTAGGATGCGCTTCTTGCTTTGGTGGTGGAGGATTTGGTTTCGGGATCGTACAGCTTGGAGCCATGTTGATAGCTGGATGGTTTGGCCCTGGAGGGTTGCGCGTGGGATCGAGCAGCTGGATCGCGCTGCTGTACCAGCAGCGCTGAATAATTGTCGGATCATCGGGTATAAATGCAGTGGTAAGCTGGGGTGGGCGAGGATTGAGGATGTCCAGGTGCCAGTGGTAATTGGAGTTGCTGGAGTGCGGAGGTTGATCGGGCGAGAAATTGGATAATTTGACCGCCGGGCTCCGCTTGCTCCACTCCCGTCGACACCTGGGCAGTCTTTATGCAGTGCAGAGTCCTCGGAGCATTAAATGGGAGTGATTAATTATTTATCATAAATTTTTGCCAGTGTTTAGATATTCATTGGTTTTAGCTAGTTTGCTATCCACTTGCAGGAATCTTTCAATTCGCGTTGTATCTAGTAGTACGAGTAGTGTTAGTACTAGTACTGGCCCGATATGTATCTGGCACTGTGATAGCTACTAGTACTATATGTCATGGTGCTGCTATGCGGGCGGAATTAGTATGTGCACAAGCAGACGAGAGGTACCAGAGCGAAATGGAATATCTGCGGAGTTAAATCATCGGCAGGGCGCCAATGTCTCCACAGTTAACATCCCGAGTAGAGACCAAGGCTGCTTGTGAGTAGTATCACATTCAAGATATCAGCATAGAGCTGGGATGCCGAGAGGTACCGGCCCTGTGCGGGTTGGTCGGGTCAAGCGGGATCAACAGAGATCCATATGACGTCTGGCTGTTAATATGGTGAGCCGGGTAGCCTTGACTTTCACGTTCACGTTCATCTGATATGTACTGCGTAGGGGACTGGCATTTTCACATGTTCACATGTCGGGGATCACTCAATATGGGGCGCCGATCCCGTGACTTTGACCCGGAACAACAATGATGCGGGAGCCTCGGCTCAGCACGGCGTTCAGTATGCGGCGGATGTCCTTCGAACAAGGGAAATACCACCGGATCCACGTCTGCTTTAAAAGAGAGAGACACCTCCCCAGATTTCGTGGACCACTTTTCATCCTACCCCGTGGTGTTTTCCCCTTTCTCATTCATTTTCCCCATACACCCCTCAGACCTCTTCCCATATTGACGTCATGTCTTCCGGTATGTACTTCTATGTCAGCGGTCAGCAAAAAAGATACAGCAGAGCATCTACATGTTTTTACCGGGCATTTGAGCTCGACTGTCGAGAGAGATTCATGAGCTAAATATTTTCTTCAGCTCAGCAACGCCTGAACCAAGTCTCCTCCCACTTCGGTGGCAAGAAGGGAGCCGCCGGCATCACCGAGAAACACCCCGATGACATTGTCGTGACCTGTGCTCTGCGCACTGCCCTTACCAAGGGTGGAAAGGGTGGCTTCAAGGACACTGCCGCCGCCGACCTGCTAGCCGGTGTCTTCAAGGCCGTGATCAACAAGAGTGGTATCGACCCCAAGGTCGTCGAGGATATTGCTGTCGGCTCCGTCCTGCCCCCCCGGTGGTGGTGCGACCGAGTTCCGTGCCGCAGCTCTCGTTGCTGGTTTCCCCGAGACTGCTGCCGTCAAGAGTCTGAACCGTCAGTGCTCTAGTGGTCTTCAGGCCATCGTTGATATTGCCAATGCTGTTCAGTCTGGCATGATCGATGTTGGTATCGGTGCCGGTGTTGAGAGCATGTCCTCCCAGTACGGGTGAGTAAACCTATATTATCACAATTTGTTCCTGTGTCCAACCAGCTAACGATTATTTTGAAACAGCCCCGGTGCCGTCACTGAGTTCTCTGAGCTCCTTGAGTCTCACCCCGAGTCCGCCAACTGCAAGGTCCCCATGGGTGTTCTGTCCGAGGATATGGCCAAGGACCGCGGTGTCACTCGTGCCGCGCAGGACTCTTTCGCTGCTTCTTCCTACCAGAAGGCCCTCAAGGCCCAGAAGGCTGGCCTCTTCAACGAGGAGATCGCCCCCCCTTGATGTCAAGTGGACCGACCCCAAGACTGGCGAGGAGAAGACCATCACAGTTAAGGCTGATGATGGAATCCGTGAGGGCATCACCGCCGAATCTCTGGGCAAGATCCGCCCTGCTTTCGCCAAGGACGGCTCTATTCACGCCGGTAACGCCTCTCAGATCTCCGACGGTGCTGCCGCCGTCCTGCTCATGAAGCGCTCCACCGCCGAGCGCCTCGGCCAGAAGATCATCGGCAAGTACGTTTCTGCCAGCGTTGTCGGTGTCAAGCCCCTGCTCATGGGTGTCGGCCCCTGGGCTTCTATTCCCCTTGCCCTCGAGAAGGCCGGTATCACCAAGGATGATGTCGACATCTACGAGATCAACGAGGCTTTCGCCTCCCAGTGCGTGTGGTGTGTCAACGAGCTTGGCCTGCCCCAGGAGAAGATCAACCCCAAGGGTGGTGCCATTGCCTTCGGTCACCCTCTTGGCTGCACCGGTTCCCGCCAGGTCAGCACCCTTCTGACTGAGCTCCACCGCACAAACAAGAAGGTCGGTGTCACCTCCATGTGTGTTGGTACCGGTATGGGCATGGCCGCTGTCTGGGTTGCCGAGTAAAATAAGGCGCATCTTCTTTTCTTGTATTCTGCACAGCGACTTTTTTTCTTCTCTTTCTTCTACCTGCACGAATTCTTATATGTATTGAATACCTCTGAGGATACCACGAGAGATTGATTGAAATTTCATGTATATTTCCACACTTCAAAGGACTTGCCTCCGGACTGGACCGGCGGATACTTGCTTCAAATTCCAACACTATGCAATTAGTATACCTAAGCACTTCAAGTTTCCAGTACTAGTAGCTTCATATTAAGCGCGGAAATCCTTAAAGGCCTGCGTAACAGTCATGCCCTGCGCTACAGCTTCGATAGCCTTTTCGTCCATTGATATCAATTTTGGCATCAGCTCCAGGACAGGGTCAAGCAAGTCGCGGGGGATGACGACCACTCCCTCGAATGGATCACAGAACACAATATCACCCTTGAAAGAACAACGCATTAGCTATCCAGTTCGAAACCGACAACTCGAAGTACACCCACCGGAGATACAGTCACCCCTCCAATAGAAATAGGCACATCACGCGCCACAGCCTTAGCTTCAGCACCAGTCCCCACAGTCGACGTAGACCGAGCCCAGATCTATACAAAATGGAAACAATTAGCCACATGTCCTTGACCTTCATTCGCACCGCAGATAAAAGGATCCAAGACAAACCGGCAACCCCGTCGCTTGAAGCTCTCTCAAATCCCGAATTCTACCCCCAACAACAGCACCCTTAAGGCCCAACGCTTTCATCCTCGTCGCCATTATACCTCCCGTCACAGCACAGTATTGATCGCCAGGTTGTTCAATAACGATGATAGATCCCGCATTCGCCGGGTCAGCCGCGGCAAAGTCGCCCGCATAGTCGACCCAGTGCTTACCCGGCGGGAAGCCGTGCTTTTCGGGGTTTTCCGCTGCGATAGTCGGTGGTGTGGCTCCCTTCGAAAGGAACTTAAAAGTTGTAGCTGGCGCGGCGATCTTCTTCGTTGTTTCATTTCTGCCGATTATCGGGGAGAAGGGGGCTGTTGATTCAATTATTAGTGAGGTGTTTTGTATCCGGTGGTGATGAGCGATGGTCTGCGCCCTAGACTATGTTTTCTCCGTGCTTTCAATCCTACTGCTCACAAGATGGAGAGAGGGGGAGGAGGAGAGAGGCTTGTAAAGCAAGTATTTAAGGGGAATCGTACTCAGATCAGCCAAATAGCCTGCTCGTGCCGTACCGCCCTCTGGCACCTTTTGTAGTTTGAGGAGGGCATCTGATATCTGGCCAATGTACTAGTCAGTTCAGGTACTGGAATCGGATGAAGCTGTAGCATGTTATGCGCATACTAGCAGCCCATATATTTCTTCTTAGACAGGTCATACATCGCAGGCTGTGTACTTCTCCACTAGAGTCGCAAGCTGCTCATTGAGGGTAGACATGGCGGGGTGCGGGGTGCGGGGAGATGAAGACGTAAGGGATAAGATCTGGTTGTGCAGATGGGCGTTCGATAGTACTATATGCCACCAGAAGAGATTATAAAGGGAAACTGGAGCAGATGGCTTAATTGTATTGCCGATCAAGTCGCGCACATGTCCGCTAGTCCGGGTATCGGAATCGACTTCATCGGCCCACCCTATGGCACCCGAGGATATCCTGTTGTATGGTCCGATTCTCCACTTCTAAGCGGAGGCTGTCCCAGGGCCATACTTTGATGTTGACACATTTATATCTGTGTAGTGACCTAGAAGATCTTTACCTGAGTTTAATGAATGTGACAAAGAAACAAGTAGGTAACTGATATTCAACAGAGGTGGTGGAAAATACTAGTGGAGAAGATAGTCCGAGGCGGCCCGTATGTTGTTTCCCAAAATTCAAGTTTATAACTAACTATGCAGAGATTTGAAGAGTTGAAATGATGTCAAATGTACATCCTTTAATTCCATGGAAACAGCCAGCGGCGAGCTTTATACATAGTACTAATAGTATCAATCCTCCCTAGCACCTGAGGTGCTAACTGGCCGTCTCTACCTTTGTCGTCCCATCTTCATACCATAGCCTCATAGCCATCTGACTGATACGATCCCCATCCCAACCCTTTTCCATCAAGTCAACTAGCTCAGGTTGAGACTTAAACTGTAAAATTTCGATCGCAGAATGACGCAGTCGATAGAGAAGCCAATGGTTAACAAAATTAGACTTATTTAATGGAAGAGGGCGTGCCGTTTCAAAAAATGGCGAGCGATCATCCAATTTAGATGCACGCAGTGGATCTGGAGATGGTTGATCTTTGGAGTAATCAGGGAGATACTCCCTCAACAAATCCCGCCATTCATCGTCTGTGACTATGACGGTATCTTCATGAGACATTTTGCGCCCAGGATGATTCTCGAGTCGAAGACGTGTTTCATTTAATTCCTCCTCAATGTCGTTTCTTTCGTCTTCATACTGTTCAAGGAACAGCTGCGCGTTATTGTTGAGGGGTATAGCATTCTGCCCGCGGAACTTCTGTTGATCAATTATTTTCATGTATTCCGTCTCGCCTGGGTTAAGCTCGTTGAGACTCGGTATATTGCGGTGCACTGGTGAGTCGGACTCGGAATGGATATCGATGTCATGCTGCTCTTGGGCCAGGAGGGTAGCCTCTTTGCGCAGGATACCAGTAAGCTCTGCCATGTGCTTATCTAGATCTTGTTCTTTCTGCTCTAATCCATCTTCTACCATTTGGTATTCAGTTTCCAGCCCTAGATAGGACGCTGTGGCTGCCTGTAGGTTCTCGATACTCTGGTTTATCCTCGCAACTTTTGCATCCACCTCGTCGGGCCTGGTAGAATTGAGGTTATTCCGGAGGGCTAGTCGAGCCTTATCCTCTTGTTCCCGTTTGTGTCGAAGTGCAGTGCGGAGATTCCTGGCATGAGATCGTTGGATGGAGACATTTTCCTGGATGGCGGCAACTTTATCTAATACGGTTGCTAGATGAACGTCGTTATCTCGTATATGCACTGGCAAATCATAGGGGAGGTGGAATTGTTGGGATGAGGTTGAAGATAGGCAAGGCTGTGTTTCGTGGATGCTCTGAACTCTCGGGTTCAAATCTGGGTCACTTTCAATGACCTCTTCGGCAGGGTATCCATATAGCGGGACAGTTGATGTAGTTTTGGGAGGAGAGTCCTCGGATATCCAACGGGAGTTTGGTTGCAAGGTGTCGGTTGCTGTTGAGACTGGGGACATCCATACTGGGCAGTCCTCTTCTGGTTGCAACATAGGTGATAACCTGGCAGCGTAGTAGATCTCGCTCCTAGTATCTTCCCATATATCTCCAGCAAATGACGCCTACAGTATGAAATCGTGAATATAAGTCAACGAACAGCATACGTATCTATGCCGAGAACGATAGCGATTAAGCTTACCAATGCAGAATGGCTCCGTGGGGTACCCGGCCAGGATGCCATGACTAGTAGTTCAACATCAACTGATCACATCTCGATAAGAAAATCACTGAGATTAACCGCAAAACCAGCAAGTTAACAGGGATAGTCTGCGGGATGGAGCAAGGAAGTATCCGAATTCATGAAGTGAAAGATACAAGAAGCACAGGTTGCAGCTAGTGTCTGTGTGGTCGGGCGCAGGCAGGCGAGCCTCGCAGGGCGTCGAGCAGCCCAATCTTCGTTGTTTCGTCACCTGAAACCCTGGTCATTTAGCGCCCCCGCGCTTCCGACGTACTCCGTCGATCTATCAGATTTCTACATACTAGCAATTTGATCTTGTGGTTTGCTGTCTTCAATCGAGGTGGTAGCCAGTTCCAAGGTTGTTAGTATAGATCGAATCCCGAGGCGACCGTTAATCGTGCATGAACGACAAGGTACTTTTGCATATATATCTGTACTCCATTCTCATAGTATACCTAGGTAGTACTATCTAGGTAGGTACTACTATTTCGCAATATCCGCCCAGGGCATGTGATTTGCCTCGCGCGAGAGTGAATTTCTATGATAATTCTTGATCTAGGTAGTTGTAATTACTCGTTTATTGCGGAGTGTGTCTCTCCTCTTTTAGCTTCAGCCCTGGAGTATTTCGTGTGGATGTACTTTTTAGGTATCTGTACTCTGTACAAAACAAATCCGCAGTCTTCAGGGGCGTGGGTTCGAATCCCTCTCTTGCCATATTTTTGCTTTTTGTCATAGCGTACTCCTTCTACGTAGATAAATCAATTGAGCCACAGAAACTGTCCAGATTGCTTTCCTTTGAGAAGAGCCTCTTCGAAGAGGTCATGTTGTAGCTCGCTCTAGTTAGTTACCGGTAGGCGTTAAGGCACTAAGGCATCAAGACCAAGATTGACCGCCCGCAAAGATCTCACCGCCCGCCGAAATTTCCCATACAGATGCAGCATCTTTTTTTCGTCCTCGATTAAATCACCACATAGCAACCATGAAGCGCAAACTGGATGCAAATGATGTTCCGTCACCCGAAACCGCGGGTGTCGAAGACCAGGAACCTGACTTTGAGTCTTTGGGCCTGGATCCCCGACTGCGTCAAGCCTTGATTAAGGAAAAGTTCACCAAGCCGACTCTCGTACAAGCCAAGGGAATTCCTCTGGCCCTTGAGGGCAAAGATATTCTGGGTAAGTCACATTCGAGACAATTCATATATAAATAGCAGATACTGACAGATTCAGCCCGTGCGAAGACTGGCTCCGGAAAGACTGCCGCCTACGTTCTCCCGGTTTTGCAATCCATTCTCCAACAAAAATCTGTGAGTCTTATCAAATCTACCACCGACGCCCCCATTGATGGGCTCGACTGTGAATTTTACTAATTCGTCAATCAATTAGGCCGATCCCTCGTTGAAAGCCACTACCGGTCTTATCCTCGTCCCCACCCGCGAGCTGGCAGAGCAAGTCCAGAAAGTCGTCACATCTTTCACTGCGTTCTGCGGAAAGGATGTTCGCTCCATCAACCTAACACAGAAAGTCTCCGATGATGTGCAGCGTACGATGCTCGCCGATTTCCCCGATCTGGTCGTCTCAACACCGACTCGCGTCCTGGCCAATGTCAACAACTCCGCTCTGTCGCTCGAGAAACTCTCTTACTTAGTTATCGACGAGGCTGATTTGGTCCTGTCCTACGGTTACGATGAGGATATCAACCTTCTCGCCAAGGCTATCCCACGTGGTGTGCAGACATTCCTGATGAGTGCCACTCTCACTTCGGAGGTGGATACTTTGAAGAGTTTGTTCTGCCGTAGCCCGGTGATCCTGAAGCTGGAAGATAAGGAAGAGAAAGGCGCTGATGTCAGCCAGTTTGTTGTCAAGTGCGCGGAGGATGAGAAGTTCCTTCTCACATATGTTATTTTCAAGCTCCAACTTGTCAAGGGCAAAGTCATCATCTTCGTTGGCGACGTTGACCGTTGTTACCGCGTGAAGCTTTTCCTCGAACAATTCGGTATCAAGAGCTGTGTCCTCAACTCAGAGCTTCCCATCAACTCTCGTCTGCACGTTGTCGAGGAATTCAACAAGGGCGTTTACGACATTATTATCGCAGCCGATGACCAGGAAGTCATGGGTGTGCCCAAGCCAGTCAAGAAATCCCCGGAGGCAATTGAAGACGGAGCGGAAGACAAGGAGGAAAAGAACAAGGAGGAAATTGGTTCCAGCGAAGACGAGGAGGAGCCCGAAGAAGAAAAAGGCAAGCAGAAGTCGAAGCGCCGCAAGATGACCAGCAAGGAAAAGGACTACAGTGTTGCGCGCGGTATCGACTTCCAGAACGTCGCCTGCGTCCTCAACTTCGACCTCCCAACCACTTCAAAATCATACACCCACCGCATCGGTCGTACCGGCCGCGCTGGCAAGGCCGGCATGGCCCTTTCATTCGTGGTGCCCGCCGAACAATACGGCAAACACAAGCCCACATCGGTGTCTTCATCCAAAAAGGACGAGATCGTCCTCGCTAAGATCGTTAAGCGTCAAGGCAAGCTCGGCCACGAAGTCCGGCCCTACCACTTCGAGATGCAACAAGTTGATGCATTCCGCTACCGTATGACCGATGCTCTGCGCGCCATCACCCGCCTGGCGGTCCAAGAGGCTCGTGCTCGTGAGATTCGACAGGAGCTGATCAAGAGTGAGAAGTTGAAGCGCCATTTCGAGGATAACCCCGATGAGCTGCGACAATTGCGACACGATGGAGAACTGCGCGCAGCGCGTGTGCAGCCCCATCTGAAGCACGTACCCGATTACTTGATGCCTACTAAGGGGCGGAAGGGTATCTCGAATGAAGATGTGGGCTATGTTGGATTCAAAAAGACTGGTAATGAGAACCGCATTCGCAAGGCGAGAGATCGTAACCGTGCTAGTGGAAAGGGCAAGGGAAAGAAGGCTGGTGGCAAGGTTGATCCTCTCAAGACATTTAATAAGCGGAAGTAGATTGGGTTTAGCTGGTTGGCAGGAAGTCGGCGCATGATAGTATGATTGATACCATTGTACAGTTATTTGAAGCCAAAAAAGGAATCATATTTGCATATTTTTATTTTCTTTCTTTCGATTCACTCTATGTATGTTCTGATGTACCCGATCAATACTTTTGGATTTTCTTTCTACATGCGACACCAATATATTCGTAAACTGTTCTACGCGAGACGAGAATTGACCTCCTCCGTCGTGATATGCCCCTCGATCCACTTGCCCTTGGCCTTGACTCTCAGATCCTGAATCTCCCGAAGCACCTTTTTGCCCAGAGAAACCGCATCTTCCCAAGCCTTCCGTCGTTTCTTAAAGCGTGCTAGAATGCGTTCATGCTCCAGATTCCACATCTCAGCCGGGGAAGCAGGCGATTGCTCAGAAGCATGAATAGACGAGGCGAGCGAAAGCTCACGCCGACTCTCGAAATTCTCAAACCGGGCCAAAAGCTGAGTGTCCGATCTAGAGATCTCGTTCATCCACTGGCCATCCTTGGGGTACTCGAATCCCGGTCCCAAATTGACCCACTCGACATCTCGCCAGGAACCAGTCCACTCGGGCCCGTTCGAGCCAGGTCGATAAGGTCGACCGTCGGGGTCAGTGCCTGTCCAGGAGATAGCGGCGAGCCAATCGCTGCAGCCTTCGAGATCAAGCCATTTCAGGCAGTAGATGGATCGAGATAGTTGACGGAGAATAGCCGCCGACTCGGCCCAGTTGTTCTCCATCGAGGCATACATGTCCGTGCCGCTGTAGGCGAATCTCAAGGAGCGGTTGGTCGGATGAACCAAAGTGGCATTCGTAGCATTGGGTGTGCGAGTCGGAACAGGCCAGTAGGCAAGTGACAAGTGTGTGATAGTTGGAAGATGTGACATGAGATGCAACAAAGTGTTCCAATTTGCGGCGCCTGAACTCGGATGCGCGAGCGAGAGGTAGTGGAGCTTTTTAAATCGCATTCCTTGGCCAATAGCCTTCGGAATGATGGTAGTCGGCGGCATATGTGTAGACAAATTATCCGGAGGTTCCTCTGAGTCTAAATCCTGTTCCTCTTGTTCCCACGATGCTGGGACAGCTTCCTGGACATCGGGCTTCGAGTCAACAGCCGTGGGTTTCGTCGATAGGAGCAGCTCATGCGAAAGTTCTTTCAATGTAATCCAGCGGCCCAAGGCACGGGACAGATCTAATCTGATGATAGTTGCATCGCCCGCAGTTGCAGTCATCCGATATCCAATTTCAGGATTATCGACATCGGCCAGGAAGAGCGGCTTGAGACCTTTCATGCGGCCGCTCAATTCTGGACCATGGGAATGCATCGCTAGATAACTCAGCAAAAGCTGCTTTATGTGGCTAGGGAGCTGAGCTAGAAAGTATCCATCATAGTCCAGATGCCAACACCAATTACGAGCCATGGACATCAAGAGCGTATGCACGAGGGAGCGCTCCCCAGGGAAGGCAATTCCGGGCAACCTGTCGAGTCGATGGGTAACATCTTCACAACCAAAATCCACTGCTTCATCCTGAGCCGAAGAGTTCGAGTTCTCGGTATCTCCCGATAGCCAGCTTGCGGGTGGCGGGGGTCCAGGGATAGGGCGGATTGGTCGGCTCCCAAACACCGTTCGACGAGGACGTGGCGGTGGGGTTTCTGGAAGATGTAGGAGGTTCCGAAGTGAGGGATGGACTGATCGAGGGGACACGAAAGATGGTGCTCTGGCCGGGCCTTCGTGGGAGACTTGGGTACGCCGCAGGTGACTGATCAAGTCATTGACAGAGGGATCGGTCGTGGAACCTGCAGCTTGGCGGGACTGATCATTTTGGCGTATGCTAGAAGGACCAAGAGAATGGTGAGGGGTGCTTGGTGGCTTGTAGACGAATGACTTTTTCTGCTTTTTGGGCATGAGAATCGTGCTTGCGGGGAGTTGTGGAGGAGAAGCGGCGACTCGGCTGGCAATCACACTTGGACTAACGTTGGTCGCCCCCACGCCAGGTATATTACAGGACAATCCCATGGCTTTATTACTAGTAAACACAGGGGCCCGCATATGCAGCCTTCTATCAAAGCTAAGTCTATACAAAATATGTGTACATGGTGATTTTACAAGTTGGATCAGATATCCCGAACCCAGGAATCATCCTTCATATGACCTTCCCGGTTGGGGCCCTCTTCCAGCCATGTCTCGACCAGACCCTCTTTCGGATCCTCGTCTGGGAGACCTCGTGATCGGCGGACGTCGAGGACGAGGTTTCGGATCTTGAAGGTGACTTCTTTGCGTAGCGCGACAGCTTCTTTGTCGTTCAACAACGCATCACTCAAGACGCCAGCAGGAAGATCTCGGGATTGCGGATCAGCCTTCTCAACCCTCGTCTTCAATTTCTGCCACCGGGATCTCACTTCACCAAAGATCTCTTCAGTATCCACCTTGGACCCGAAAGTGACACTCACGTCCTTGCCGGGACGAGGAAGGAATCGTGGGAACTCGCGGCTCTCGTGCATAATATCATCAACGCCTTGAATCCACATAGGAACAACATCGGGGCATTCCTTCGTTTCGAGAATCAGTCGAGCAACACCCCACTTGAAATATCGCATCGTCTTGCGGGGTGCTTGGTGGATCTTTCCCTCGGGAAAAATGTGAACCCACGAATGTGAGTTGCATGAGTATGCGGATGGTGCCGAGTGGGCGTCTTCGCCATTGGTAGTATATGCTATGGATAAATCTGAGAAAGGGTCGATGCAGACATTCTGGAAACTGAACTGTTGGCGTTCGGGACTGGCACGGTGGTGATCAACGGAGAAGGGACCCTTGGACAACAATCGGATGGCTTCAGTCATCGCAGGTTGACCCAAGCCACCGAAAGGAGAATGGGCTAGGCGATGTGTTGGCAGTACTTGCCCCATGGTGAAGAAGAATGACAGCGGTCTATGGCAAAGTACGTTTCCCGTCAGCATTTATCTTGAAGCAACACGCGTAACACAGAAATGCAACTGACCTGGTTTGGAAACAGATATCATGGCTACCGAACGACCACCGCTTATTCCAAAATCGCATTGGTAGTAATCCCCAGATCAAAGGGTCATCCATACTAGTTCGTCGCAACGGGATGTCAGTCATCTGTGTCGTGATCCGTCATTATAGACTTTCACGAAGGTAGGCGGATCGAAGGTACATACACACTAATATGGTTTGAAACTGAGATGAATTGATCAGCGATCCAGTCCTCTTCAACCACGCTGGCGCAAATGCTGGTGGGGAAACCTTACCTGTAATCAAACCCTTTGACCTCTGCGCCGGGTCCTTCCTTGAATCGAGCAGGGCAGTAAACTCCTCATGGCCATGAACTTCCGCATGGCACAGCCCTGAGAGGAATGCGCGGCATAGCCCAGCGACTCCATACATGGTCGTGTTTGACCAGACCCGCCAGGGGAGGGACGGGGCCTCGGCCGTTGAACCGGAGTCCATTGTGTTGGCTTGAGAAGGTGTTGACTTCATAGAAAATCCATGTACGAGATGCGTGTCTCGGGCACGCAGCGAATGGTCTGGGGTATCGAGACCCTTCGTCAAGGTCGGGTGTGCGCAGAAGGTAAAGCGCGATTGGATGTTTCGGCGAACACATTTATCCCATCGGAATCACATGATCTACTCCGGGGTATGGGAAACGTTCAAGTTGTGTCACAACCGAGTAATGTATAATAGTACATCATGTCCGGGGGCTTGATAATTCCAAATTCATCCTTCTCAGTTTCTTTCCAATAATTACTATCATTTGCAGTTATTAATGGTGCTTGAATGCGCGACAAAGTTTGCCGTCCATCCGGCGATTGTTTTATAGAGTAGCGCACGGACCAGTCGCAGTTCCGACTTCGAGATCGATTTTGCTGCGGGTTAAACTCACCACCTGCAACGTCCAACAGCCATGTTTAAACCTACGAATGCCCTTTTCGGAGGTCTTCTCTGGTAAGGATTCCGGTATCTCCCGGCTAGGTGCATTGATAAGAATGACCCTGGTGAACTAACACACTCTTTTGTGAATCTACAGGAAGACTCCGTGGCGCCTGTCCTCCCCCCCAGAAAGCCCGGCAGCGCAAGCGTCTGCGCGCCGTGGACAGCGTTGTCGATACCCTCAGCGCTGCCCTCGCTCGCAACGGACAGAGCGCAAAGGCTGTTGAGCGGTGGTATGCAGAGATGCCCCGCGAGGAGGAGATGCTCCCCAAGGACAAGTACACTCTCTTCGATAAGAAGGAGAAGAGCTACCGCAAGGGCATTCACAGTATGCCAAACCACTTCCTCCGGACCTACCCTTGCTTTCTGTCTTGGGAAATTATGCTAACGGATATTCCTTTCCTTGCAGAGCTGCCCAAGTGGACTCGTGTCAGCCAACGTGTGAACCCCCCCTGGTTTCTAAATTCGATTTTTGCAATACCCCGAACACGAAAGAACTCCTCCTATTCGCCGGCCAAAAGAAAATATCGGCATCTGTATTATACGCATCAACCCCGACCTGGCAGTGTCATTCGTGCGTCCTGCTTGGGTAGTAAGGAAGGACCGGAGTTTTTGGCATTTGAGAAAATCGTCGTGGCTATTCCAAGAGGAGGCCAGACTTACAAGATTTTATTTTCAGCGATTAGAATTTATCAATTCAATTATCTTTCGAACAATGACTTGCATCGGATCGATTCCTGACCGAGGAAGCTCGCAGTAGGGATAATATGTTCAAAGCCGGACTCGACAGGTAAGAATATGACATGGGTGAGAAGTGATTCGAGATATAACAGGCTCTTGTGAGATAGCGAGAAACGAGTGAACAACAGCCAATTGCTATAAACTTCGCCCGGACGAACCCATCAGGTTCTCACACCACAGCCACTCTAGAAGCCGGAACCCGTTGAGCATCCTTGGAGATGATATTAAGAGATGTCGACCGACAACCTCTATGAACTCGACTAGCAATCCCTTTTGCCCAGTGGCGGTTGACACGTCCCTCCTGGATGGTTTTGCGAAGACGGTAACCCCAACCGATATGCTGCCAGTCTTCAAATGTCTCTTGCCAACCAGTCCCACCTTCGTACCACCCATCCTTTTGCTTGGTAGAAACCTCAAACCCCTGAGGGGGCCTTGGGAACATCCAGCATCCAGGGTCGATATGTCCATCGGGTGGCTCTTCAATGGAGTTCTCGTATAATTCCACGGTGCGCACTGCATCGCGAAGTCCAGATATCCTTCTCCGCCGGTTGACTGTGGCACGCCACGAATCGATACGAGGTGTATAGGCACGTTTTTGAATAGGGACCGGGTATTTCGGCTTGGAATCATATGTCGGCTCCGGGTAAGGGACATTGAAGCGTGGGTCTCCCCGCTCTCGTCTTGAATCAAGGGGCACTCTTGATACCGGATCGATGACTAGCCAGGTCTCTCTATTTAACCAGTGATTTGCTAGCTGTGCAAAGTGATACGGCTTCTGGCCGGGAGTCGTCTCGTTGAATATCCACACCAACTTGCGATTCAATCCATCTATCAATCTGATCTCCCAATCGCAAAGCTCATCATCAGCTCGTCGGTCTAACCGATCCAAGAAAACCTTGTCGTTTTGCGAAGACGATTTACCTCTGAAAGTCAACATTTGTCTGACCTGCAGTCCCCTCGCGTGTCCTATAGTTTCGAAAATTGGGCTTGAAACCACTTCCTCCGCTGACATGTGGCCCGATTGTGGACGAAATCTGGCCGGTAAAGTGTGGAACTTGGTAATTGCATCGAAAGGTGCGCTTGGAATTGGTTTATAGCATTGGTTTAGCACGACCTGGCCGGCCAAATGTCCCAGTGCTCTGTTATCTCCGCTTTCTCGATTGGTTGGGATCGATTCTAAAGCAGTCTGTTCTGATCGGAAAGTGGACAGTATGTCAGTAAACGGGGTCCCCGGAGGGCCAGATGAGTCTCGTAATTTACATGGCACTAGCCTGTTTGCCTTGACCTGCATTTTAGCAGACCACGCACGGCATTTGCGCAATTGAGCATGTCGGCGATGTGCCTTTGGTATAGGTTCCGCTATCGGCTGACCGCGCATTCTTTGGGAATCCACATAAAGCCTGCAATTTTTCAATTGCGGATTTCCCTGGTTTTCAAGGCGGTCATTCGAATGCACAGTGACTTTATTGAAATCGGGAACGGACCAGGACTTGATTCCCAATGGAGGAATCATATTTTGTGACTGTAGCTTCGGGGGGCAAGTCTTGTTGAACGGGGTTGGGGATATCGTCCGTATTGTTGCGGCAAACACCTCACTTTGTTGGCTGTTATTGTCCTCATAGCTTCCATGCATATGCTCAAACTGAGTAAAGCATTCCTGGTAAATTGAGCTCTCGCTGACTTCCGATATGTGTGTTCTTGAAAGTTCCTGTGATAACCGACTCAAGCTGATTGTCGAGTTCGCTATCGAGGGCTCTGTCATTTGATCGGTCTGGGTTTCAATGATGTCGATCAAGGCGCCATGGCATTCGGTAGGGGATCCCGGGTTCCAAATCTGATCGGCTGGACGAGGCTCATACCTTTGAAGAAACCGAGGCATCCAGCTCGGGGTTTTGCTCCGCCGCCGGCGCTTCTGTGTCATTTTTTGACCCGGATCCCACCATACCCAGCTATAGTCCATTCTGCTTGACTCCCACGACAGCCAATCAAAAATCCAACTGAAGATATTCACGATTATTCTCTTGTTTCTCTCGTGTACATCAAGCGGTACCCAGCCATACCAAGTCCTGGCATAGCGAGTGGTTGTCAACTTGCCCTCTCTTAGCACTCTGTGTCTGTTCAGCGATCGGACATACTTGCCAATTTTCCAGAAGAGAACGGCAAAGATGAATATACCAACTGTTCCGGCAAACAGTTCACCGAGAACGGCAGGGTTGATTTGAGCATTTACACTGACTGGTTGGGTATATGGTCCTTTAGGGGGCCGAGGGGGCGATGGGGTAAAGGAGTGGTTCTGGCGAATTTTCAGTGGCGCCATGCTTGTGTGTGCCCTTAGAGGGAAAGGATTAGACTGGAATATTAATATGAGGCATGAGCAAAGATGCTGGCCAAGGGCGAGATCCGAGCGAGGAAGATCATGGTTGTGATTTGGAGTTGTCGGGGAAGACTGTTTACTTGCGGCTCCGACGGGCTCGGGTGGCAGTTGCAGTTGCTCTGCATCACTTTGTAGTAGTTACTAGTATTTACCAATACTACTTTTGGCCTATGAAGAACTTGAAAGATGAATATAGGAAAATTCAATAGTAAATGTAGTCGCTCGATATAATATCAAGTTCTGCCAAAATCTTACTCAAAGCAACGGCAAACTTGAACTTGAAAGTAGCAGCAAGGGAAGTGGTCACATGCAATTAGTACCAACTTCCCTATTTAGCACTTCATAGTGGGTTCCTTCTATTACTACCTGTAGTATAATTAATGATCTACTCGCAACTCTTTGGAAGTCTCCGTTCGGCAAATTGAAAACGCCGGAGTCGGACAGGGAGAGTCCGATGCTCAGCCCCGTTCATCTCTCCGCCCCCGAGCCTTGTCCTGTCATACATTTGTTCTCCATGCCAGCAAATAAGGGGGGACATGTACATCTGTTCCGACACTCCGATTGGCCGGATATTCGTGGTGAAGTGTATTTCCTTCGACAGTTTTGGTCAGGAGTGCGATCAGGCCTAGTCCTGGCGAATTGAGCGATCGACCTCATCGAATCTCCGAACTGATTACCACTTTGGTACTAGTATTCTAGCCAGTGTAGACTCCCTTTCTGTACTTCATATAATAAAGATTCTTACAAATGCCCTGATTGTCCTGCTTCTACTACTTGTAGCATCTACAGTCTATTCACCTTTATGATAACTTAACTGAGACCTTATATACCTTCCTCAATATCTTCTGTCTTCTGGCCTTTGGGCTTTTGGGATGCCTTCACTGAAAATCGCCGTCATTGGCGCTGGTCCAGTGGGCCTGACTCTCACCCGACTACTTGCCAACTCCCGCCCTTGAGATTGTTGTTTTCGAATCAGATAAATCTCCCAATGCTCGTGTTCCAGGTGGACCTCTTGACCTTCATCCTGCTACCGGTATTGCAGCACTGAAAGAGGCAGCCTTGTATGAGGAATTTCTCAAACACGCTCGTTTTGGTGGCGAGGCTCTGGTAATTTGCGACAAGAAGTTCACCAAATATATCAATTTACCCGGCGGGGACGAACATTCCTCTCGCGGCCGACCTGAGATAGATCGGACAACGCTTCGCGATATTCTTCTCAATTCCGTACCACCACACCTTATTAGATGGGGATGTCGCCTGCGCTCTATAGATGAAAACCGCAGCCTAATCTTCGACCACAGCAGAGAGTCCGGGTACGACTTGGTTGTCGGAGCAGAGGGGGCTTGGAGCAAGATTCGCAAACTCATTTCCGACCAAATGCCAACTTATGCTGGCTTGACTGGCTATCATTGGAGAAGCCCCGATGCCATGGATATAGCACCCCGGTACTATAAGCTCATCAACAGAGGGTCGGTATTTTCCTACTCCGACGGACGTGCGATTATGGGCCAGCAGCTTGGGGCGGCAGCCTGAATGTGTATACCTTCGCACCATGGTCGGAAGACCGGAAAGCAAATGCGCCATTTGACCTCCATGATACCGAAGCGGCCAGGAATGCATTACTAGACGAATTTCACGACTGGCATCCAGATTTGCTGGATCTAGTTCGTCATGGGCAAGATCCTGAGCCCCGACCTCTTTATATGCTTCCTGTGGGCTGGTCCTGGGAAAGTTGCCCCGGGGTGACCTTAGTCGGGGATGCTGCCCACGTCATGACACCCTTTGCAGGCGGGGGCGTCAATCTGGGCATGCAGGATGCTCTGATACTATCTCGGGCCATATTTAAGGCTTCCAAATCACCCACATCTGAGACCAATCTACCAGCCGAAATCAAGTCTTTCAAGAAGGACCTGTTCGTACGAGCAGAGCAGACCAGCAAGCCTGACCAATGACATGCGGACATGGCTATTTCTCACTGATGGATCTCCGGGGTCTATCATAGAGAACTTGACCCTGCGGATGAAGACCTTCTACGAGAGGGGCATTCTTTCAAGCCTGACTTATCCATTCTTCGCAATTTCTGTCTATGCATATTTTGCTCTGTTTCGACTGTGGTACAGTTAGCTCTGTGGCTACAGTAAGGATGGTCGCTTCGATTTCACATGTAATTGTGCCTGCGAGTTCGTCAGCTCTATCGTCATAGTGTCTGCGAATGTCAGCTCACATTCTGTTGTGTTCAATAATTCGCATGAGTTGAGTGCTGGAAAAGGGGAAACAGATGGAATGGGTAATCTTGAATAACAAAGAAATAATAATTTGAATTGCAAAGGCTAAAGATGAATGTGACGTGATGCGTGGTGCATTCACCGGCATTCAATGTCCTCGCGGGGTCTGAAACAGAATGAAGTCCAAAAGACAGGTCATATCAGTCTCCGGTGATCCGTAGCTCCTCATTGATAGATGGAAGTAATTGGGCCATTTCACAGTATGGCGGTGACTTTCACATGTCAGACTCAATCTCCAAGCCCAAAGATCGAAACCCAGTTCTCCAACAAGATCCCGCCTTCCTGGAAAGAGGGATGATCCATGTTCATCCGGAAGAACGGAAGCAGGGAATCAAGGAAGCAAAAAGCAAAGACCTAAAACCGGCACGATCTGAAAGAGGTGATAAAATGCCGGTCTCTATCCTCGCGCCGGGTCCACCGAAGCTCGAGCCGTGGAGACTGCCTAATCGGGAAGGCATGAGGTCCACCGCCACACCGCTCCAGCCACTCGCGCCACTCCCTTGCGTTTAGCCACAGGAGCCACAGCATCAGCCGCAGTGGCGGTGCGACTATTGACGTCGGAGCGGGTCTGATCGTCCGTCCCTGTTCAAGAGCAAACAAGGTTCATGGTCGCTTGTCTTCCCTTGGCTCTTACTAGTTTGTTCAGAAAATAGGTCTCGGCTTTCTGCTACGGCCTACGTGAAGGATCCGCACATCCCCGGAAATAACAACCTCAATCCCATGCATGGGATGAGGAGTTGACGCTTGTCTTGTGTCATTTCAAGTTCCAGGGGATATCTTGGGCTCGCCCAGTCCTGTCTTGTTTGTTTCCCCCCAAAGTCTAAATCCCGGAGTTGCATACCACGAACCATGGTTTGATGCTTTGAAACACGCCCACCTGATCTCGAACATGTCTCAAAGATACAGACGGCCAAGAACAAGTTCGTGGACTCCGAGAACTTCCTCCCCAGGTCGATAGTTAGTTATCGATTGCCGAGATAACCCTCGACCATGATCACTATTTGCTATTGCACACACATCTTGCTAACCTGAGTCCCGTTTAACCGAACTCGCCCGTAACAGTGGATGCGGGAAACCCCAAACCATGACCTGGGAGGAACTATCGACTGGTCCGTGTCAGATCAGCGGCATGATCGTCGAGTCTAGCCTCGCTGGGAGCGGGACGTGGCAAGCACCATACAGGACCTGACTGAAGCTTTTCCCGCGTGGAACGCATCTCAGATTCTTGACCCCAGTCGTATCCTAGCGCACACATGGTTTTACGGATCCCACCTCCCCTGGTGGTGCCCGATGCGCAGAGCATCCCCGAGTGGGGCTCGGCCTAGACGATTCTCGATGGGGCCAAAAAGTGAGGCTGATGAAGCTAAAAGTTGTGGCTAGTGAACGATGGAGTTCCATCACCCCATTATCCAAGGCAACACTATTGCTTGGAAATGCGTAATATGCATAACCGGGAAACGAGGAGAAAGAACATGGATCTGGCGCATTATTGGGCTTGACCCATTAAGCTCCAGCACGGCTGTCGAACACCTTTCGGAGTGACCGATGGACTTTGGGCCTGATTACGGAATGCGCATATAGTCCCCACGCGCCACAGTTCACCGTTTGTGGCTTGCATCTTCATGCCCAGAGGCCCGACTTCTGCAGGCTGTTCTCCCTTGATGTATTTCAGCCGTGTCCTCATCAACTCTAATGTGCTCTACCGAGTTGTTGTGCTCCAGGCCGGAGAAGCTTTCACCTCCCAGAGAGCACTAAACATAGATATTTAGCTGCCTGAGTGGCACTCCCATAATTCGCCTTTCCCCCGGGACAGATAAAGCTGAATCTCACCATGAAGAGCTTTCATCAGCGCCGCGATGTGATCCAAACACGTCGTGACAGCTGCAACAGGACGGTTATCGCAGGCGGGGCAGCTCGGAGTGGATCCGTGCACGGAACTATTGGAACACCACCCTCCTCTGGCTTGCCCCTGCACACGAACGTCGATCGTGCATGGCTAGGCGCGTGTCAACTGTGCACCAAGGTCGCCCCTAGTAAAATCGGTAAGAGAGCGCAAAGTGACCGAATCAAAATCCCGGCTGCCAGACGGTGGGCATGACCTGAAGTGCTCCAGAGTCGATCTACACGCTAGTGTCAGATCTTCCTGCAGCGCATCTTCAATTTCTCAGATCTAGCACTTGCCGGCCCCTGCCCCCCTGCCCCTCTTCTGGTTTGACCATTTCCCTGTAAGAAGGAATTTGTCGATCCTTCGGTTTGATTTTTTGATTATTTTATTTTCCAAAATTCATATTTTGATGGATTATTTTCTTTTGCTACTCCAATTTTCCCGGAACGTGCTCCTGCAAGGATGTATGCAAACGCCGAAGAAACACCTCATCGGCCGTAAGATCTTCGCTCATTCTTGCCCAATTTTCGATTTATTTTGGTTTTCCTCAATGTGAATTCAAATTTCCATACCCCACGGCATCATCATTGTCTTGGCCTTGTCCCAGGAACCTGGACACCGACCATTTGTGTAGTACTTTTGCGGGTGGCAACATTTACTAGCTCTCTGATGGTTGACCAAACGCATTCTCTGGAACATGGGCCCTCGATGGGATATTGAATGTTCGATATTCGCGTCCCGGCTGCTGCGGGGAGGTATATGAAGGCCAGTCGATCTCCCGTGAACCATTTTTTTTTCAACCATCATCATAATTTCTCTCATCCCCTTTCAAGGTTCTCACTCCTCCCTACTCTTCAACGTCTATTTCACAGATCGTGCCTCTTGGTCTGTCCTCATCCACACTGCGAAAGTTTATCTTACGATCCACCTACTCCAATTATACTTCCCCGATCTGTTTTCCCTATTGCTCCCCGATTGGTTCCATTCAGATCGCTTGAACTTTACTTTATATTCGCCATACACCCAAGCTAAATATCTCGGTACCCCCAAAATCTTCAATTCGAGGCTTTCGCAATTTTTTTGGAAAAAAGGGACAAAAAGATGGCGGCCCGTGAATTCAACCTGACTTTTGAAGTCGCTCCTCCTGCCGCCGTGCGCCCCGGACTCCCTTTTACCATCCCCGTCATCATAGCCGTTCGGCCTATCGGCACACCTGCACGAAATGTACAGCACCTCGTCGTGAGCGCTAGTTTGCGCGATGAAAATAGTACAGCCCCTGCTGTTGGATTGGGTGGCAGTTTAACGGCCAGCGTTCGCAGCCGCAGCGATAATGCAATGAGCGGATACGCTAAGTTCCCCTCTCTCACAGTTTCGCGACCAGGAAAGTATCGTGTTCGCGTGATGCTGAGTGCAGCTTCTGTCAATGGGGTCGTCACCAAGGAGTTCGTCGATTCGGGAGTCATTAATGTGCACGCTGCTGCTCCGGCGGCCCAAAGACCGAGTAAGTGGGGGTGATAATTATCATTCAATTGAATATTTCTTTCCGTGTGCCCTATCTATCCCATTCCCCTCACTAGTTCTCCCGCTAGAACGGCCAGCTAGCCGTTGCATCGGATCTGAGATCACAAGTGGCGCGGCCCCATCTATTTCCTTTTCTGGACTCTTGCTGATGACTCGATTTTTTCTTTCTTTCCTCAGCTCCCCTCCAAGCTGGAACCTTGCAGCGACTAACAGCTGAAAACCTGGATATCTCTACAGCGGATATCGCGAAGTGGCAATCTGCGTGATCATATTGCAGTCTCGGAGGAAATGGAACCATTGCTATTGGGTGTTGATGTGGAGTTTCCTGGAGTTTCCTATTTGTTTTGATCGATTTTTCTTTCGATTTTTCCTTTTATTTTTGTTCAGCCGTCAGGTTCTTGCTTTTGTTTTTTTTTTCATTTTGCTCTTTCGATATTATTCGTTTTCGTTTAGACTTTCTTTTATGCCTTGGAGGCCTGCTACTACTTCGGCAGAATCACAAGTTTTTTCCACCCCTCCATCTAGTGATTATGCAACGAGTAATGGACAGTCTCTATACAGACAAATTTTTGGATCATCTTTGCTTTTTACCTTTTCTTTTTCCTTTCTTTCTTTCTTTCTTTCTTTCTCTTCTTTTGGGGTCCCAAGATCCTGGAAGGGGGGGGGCTCATTGTGATGATGTGACAAGAGTGTTCATTCACTTTTTTCCTTATTTCCCTATTTTACGAACGGCGAATCAGAGACTGTAAATCGAATTGAATAAAAAGAAACCATGTGATAGACCCTGGCTCTATTTGGAATTTATCAGAATCGCCGTATCTAATTGGTTACCAACACGAATTTTCATCGGCCCGAATCGCAACTCCATATCTGTGTGGGTGAGCAATTGTTCAATGCACTCCTATAGTTTCGAAGAGCCCCCAAACTCTGTGCCGATCCAAGCACATATTGCAGAAATGTGGGGTAGTCCCAGCCTATGCTCCCAGCTGCGAGTCCCATCAAGCTGGTTTGGTCATCACGACCAGGGCGCCCAGGCCCGGTGATATTCTGCAGGTTCAATCAAGTGTTAGTACTTTTCCTTATTTTCGCGATATCGAATATCATTTTGCCAAGCTTCTTCAGTTGTGGGTCATTTGCGGTAACAATCAACGCCGCAATTTCAAAGGAGAGGGGAATGCCGCTGTCATTCAGTCGCGCAAAATAGAGTATGAGAAGCCACAACAAAAGCAACTTTTCGCCGTGCCCCACTATGTGCGGTTGGATTGGGACTGTGAATGAATTGTGACCAGATTATGGTACATGCTGACTTACCGGCTTCATGTTTATATCAAATAATGCGAAATTAGTCCCAGGCCCAAATCGTCGAATATCGATTCGTAGCGGTGCGGTTGTCTTCAATAATCCAGCCACACCCTCGCATTCCCTCATAATATTAGAATATGCCGAGTCGCTCTCCATTTCCGCCGCTGTCACAGCGCGTGAATTGACCGTCACGGCTACATTGCCGCTATAGGGGGCTATTCCATCAACATGGTTAAATCTAGTGACGGGAGGCAGCGCCCAGTGCTGATCTCGTTGATCAGAGGGTGGCATGATGGTTATGGTACCCTCTTCTTCTTTCAAATACTCCTCCAAAAGCACACGGGGCGATTCGTCGAATAGGTAAGCAATATGTTCGCGGAGATCGGCAGGGTTTCGACAGATTTTCACGCCGTGGCTCCCCCTGCCGCGCACTGGTTTCGCGACGAGGGGATAGTCATTCTCCTTAATCAAGGCAAGGGTCTCATCCAAAGTCTTCTGGAGGGGTGCATCTTCATCTTTTCTAGACCGGGGATCATCCACTGTCCACGATTGGGGCAACGTGAATCCTCCATGCCGCCGTAGCTCGTCATTAGTAAATGACTTGTCATCGAATCTATCTGCGCAGATTGGGGGTTGACCGATAATTTTCAAATTGGATTCAAAGGGCGTCAATCGAGTCGAGGTCTGCAGCGGATGTTCTGCGAAGAGGACTGTATTGGCCCAGAGGTGTGTTGCCCCTTTCTGGACTGCCTCTAGAATCCCTTCTTCGGTGTCGGGATAGCACCATTGATTCTGATCTGCAGGGTCTGGGCTCTCCACGGGCGTGAGAATAGTAAACCCTTCTCTTGAAAGCGCATATGCGACATCCGAGCCAGAATCTCTGTAACCTGTATTGTTGTCAGTCGGGTGGTGAAACTAAAGTTGGATGGCCTCTTATTCTATGCACGAACCACCAGGTTTGAGCGGTTTGCTAACGCCGTCATACATAGGCGGCGCAAGGGCCTGGTACAAGACCGCGATGACGGGCTTTTTGGGGGCCATTTGCGAGTATTGCCTGAATGGTAAAGAAAGTGCGAGCGCTGGGATGTGGGCTTGGACGTGGGGGCTGCAGACGCGGACTAGTGGATGAAGGGGCAGGTTCAGATTTTGGCGAAGAAATCGGAACTTGAATCCACCGTTCATTGTATTGGGCATGGTAACATGTATCTTTGGACCTTTACCATTCTCTTAAATGGCAAATGTGGATGTTTTCGATGGTCGGAGAACTGCCGATTCTCGGAGGCGGAGCGGAGCCATCCTGAATGAAGCGGAACACTCCGTCAATACGGAACTACATCGGAGAGAACTTGAAGGAGAAATGGTAGAAAGTATTGAGTATACGGCACAGTTGGATCATTTTATTCATAAATATAGCGAGTAAGAATGAGAAGAAGAAGAAGAAGAAGAAGGGAAAGGGACATTGAGCACCACTGGCAGCTCATGCATGTCAACCAACTATAAAATCAAGGCTAGCTTAACTAGATCACACATGGCCAGTAGACATGGTGGAAGGGTATAACATAAGTCATAAGAGTGACATGTCGGGGCAGGAACATAATCCGCTATGAAAGCGTGTGCTTCGATTGAGGTTGTAAAGCGATCAATACAATGACAATGCTTCAAAGAGGGAACCTGCCATCCTCGGTGCAAGACCAATGTATGCCCGAGACATGGAGCCTTCTCCGCACTCGGAGATGACATCAACTGTGGAGGAGAAACAAGGATGTTTCGATGGCAAATCAAATGTCTGTTCTCAATTCCCCCGTAGAAGAGATCATTGGATCGTCCCCGCGGAGGGGAGTAACGCATGGTTTGGGGGCCGAATATCGCACGGGGCAGGATTGCCAATTTTGGCGATCAGAAAAGGGGAGAAAACGGTTCAAAGCCCATGGGCATGGGCCAGTAACTCAACCCTCCTTGTTGCGAAGCTTGTCAAAGCTGTCACGGACAGTCTCCCGAACACTGAAACCACCGAAAAGCCAGTCATTGGAGTGTCGCCCGTAGTGGTTGATGGTTCCACTATAGCGCTTGTGGTCGCCGCTGTTCTTGCGAGTCGGGGTGTGAGCACGCTTCGGGAATTCTCCCTTAGGCGAAGGAGGTGACGATTCGTCGGGTGACATCTGATCAGGGCTTGTAGAGCCATGATGTTGATCGAAGTAGGTGTGATTGTGAGGAGCACTGCGGGGGATGTCGCGAGGCTGAGACATGCTGGCGGATTTGTGTCTTGAATGACTCTGAGGAATTGCGATCGGGTTCAATGGTTTTGAGGCTGATCGGAATCGCCTGGTGATCGGATTGGAAGATATGATGGAGTGGTTCTTCTCGTCGGAACGCTGACTGGAGCGCGAGGAGGTAGTGGTGGTAGAAGTTTGGGACAGGGATCGCTTGGGATATTGACCAGATTGACCAGATTGGTATAATTGAGAGTGCATCACCTGAGGAGGAGGGAATAAGATGAGAGAGGAGAGGAGAGGGTATAAGAGTATGAGTAACAGTAGTAGTGTATGAGTGTAAAGTTGGGGGTCACGGCCCTCCGGGGATATTTATGCTGTCACGGTCTTTGCCAACTCACCTTCCCTCGTACTCCTCACCTCTCACAATCACCCACAACCACCCACCACCCATATCCACTTGCTCGCCCCAAGTCTCCTCCTGCGGGGAGCCAATTTCCCTGTGATCGTCCTTACGGCCATAGGGCAACCACTTAGAATGCAGCGGGGAATGTCGCAAACCTGCCCTCAGACCTGTCGAAGAGGAACGCCCCCAGCCGTCTGTCTCCAATCAGTTCTGCAGTTCAGCCCGAAGTCTCCATTGATAGCGGATCGGCCCTGGAATTCACCAACCGGAGGCTGCAGCAGGCGAACCCACCTATCCACCGGTAAGGTTTAGTCGTGTCGGTGAGAATACACCAAATCCCACCGCGCTGGACACCAACGAGCCAATCCGCGTTTGTGTCTGCCTTGGAGCCTCCTCGAGTCCGAGCTGGAACCCCGCAGATTGACCGCTGGTCAGAGACACGTCGCCATTTCTGCTGCTATCTCTGCTGCATGCTTCTGTCCAGCTGGTTTCCGTTTTCACGCGGCCCATACTCGTACATACGAGTAGGGCTGCACTGCAGAACTTCTGCCCCCCCCCTATTCTCATTGCACCATAAGCACTACGGAAGATGCACATACAGACTAGTTATCCTACCAGCTTGTCATGTGGTGAGATTTTGGGGCCTTGTCATAGGGCTGGCTTTTCCCCTTCCCGCGGAGTTAGGCAACCAGCAATTCTCGCTTTGTGAAGATTCATCCACTTTCTTTCGTCAGTCATGTGGGTCGTACAACAGAGACGTCGACCAATCCATCATGAAGCTCGGTCGCCCCGAACGACTTGCCAGCCCTACGAATTGGCCAAGGTAAAGACCCATTCACTGTCCGCTTCAGGGCGCTGCGATCACCAATGAATCATACATCCCTGAGACATTGCCCTTCTAGCGCCCTTCGAGAAGGCCGTCCTAACCGAAGGGCACAGCACGTGTGTGCGACTGACTCATTTAGCCCCCACGCGTTAAGGCATTCTGAGACTCGGCACGGTCGCTCCGAGCACTGTGCTGCGGTGTTTCGTTGTTGGCACCATTCGGGTGCATTGCTGGCTTGTTTCGAAACGCCTTTACATCATTTCGCAACCCGGCTAAGGGATGACCACAAACATACCCTATGCCGCGCTCGCCTGATGCTATCGAACAAGCTTAGCTCTCACTCCCCGCCAACCTTACTTCAATTTACACATTTCTTGACTCTAATGTGACATCATGGTATTGGCATTGATCAACTATGTTCTAACATAGTTCTCTTACACGGTCATAACACATCATTCAGCACCAACCAGCCAAATTTAAATCTTGCTGTTAGCAGATGCGGTTTTCGGTAGGCCGAACTTTGAGATATCCTCCACTGTCTGGCCATCCACGGCCAGCTCTGCCAGCACTCGTCCAAAAGCCGGGGCAAACTTGAAAGCATGGGCCGCACCTAGACCCACAATCACGTCTTTGTGGTTGTCCAGTGGACTGATAACGAATCGTCGATCGGGAGTGATAGTATACTGACAGGTGACCGTGCGCAACGGCTCACGGCCCTTGTCGGGCATGAGCCTTTGCAGGAATTCGGTCAACTCCCCCTGTAATCGGGGCGAGGGTACGTATGTACGCTCCTCGGGAGTCATCATATTCTGCGCAAAGTCGTGGGCGGCCTTAATAGTTGGCTCACCATAACAAGGGAAGCCATAAAAGCATGGAGCGCCACCCCAGATCCAGGTCGGGAAATGAGGGGATTCAAACTCGGCTGGTTCGCTGGGCTTGAAGTATGTCACTTGCTCCTGCATGATCTGCAGAGGAATATGTACGCCGAGAGGAGCGAGCAGCTTGTTTGTCCAGGCGTCCGTGGTGAGGATCACTTTATTTGCGTGGAAAGTTCCCTGCGACGTTTGAATGACAACGCCCTTTCCGGACGACTTGGGTGTAACGCGCTCGACACGAGTTCTCTCCTTCAGCACCGCACCCCTGGACCTGGCCACCCATTGCATTGTCGCAACCGTCTTAGACGCATGAACGATTCCCGTATCGGGGTCATAAACAGTATCAACCGAATCGGGTACATTGAATTGAGGCCATCGCTTATTCACCTCCTTGTTATCAAGAAGCTCATGAGGGACATCGTTCGCGGTGAGGGCTTGTGTGTAGTTACTGGCTGGAATCGGAGCGTCCTTGGGGAGGAAAAAGAGACCGCCGGTGGTGGTTAGGAGCTTCTGCCCGGAGAGCTTCTCGAGCTCAGCCCAGTCCTTGTAGGCAGCCTTGACAAGCTTCACATATTCCGACTCAGAGTTGGATTTCCGGACGATGCGCGATGTATCATGAGATGCTCCGTGGACGTGTCCGAATTCGAATTGTTCCAGTCCAAGGACCTTGGCACCCTTGAGGGCGGCGTGATACGAAGCTGCGCTTCCGAGGACACCAAGTCCGACAACGGCGACGTCGAAATGCTCCATTATTTTGCTTGGTCTGTAGAAAATAATTAATGATCTGAAAGGGTTGGATAGGCTACAACGCGACGACACAAGCTCATTTAAGAGCTATCCATGGTGACTTCGTGAAGATGGCGGGGGCCTCCTCCGCTCACGTGGAGCCAGCGATGAGGCGGGGGAGGCGGGCCCAGATGATACCAAAGCTCCCTGAAGAATGAAGCGAATGAGACCTTTATCCAAATCCGAGCTGATAGGGTTGGACAGCATCCACCCAAGTGGGACATACAATCCGGGGATCACCCCGTCCCCCCCGCGTTTGGTGTATAGATATCGCTGCAAATCACTGGTGAGATAACTACTCCGCACACGTGAGCGGAGATCCCCCCGGTCTCAATTCACTATGAGTGGCACCCACCAGAGTCAAAATAGAATATTCTTGAATCATTTCAATTAAGAAGCTACCATTTTAGTAAGCTCTATCCCCGGGTTCCTCTGAGGCCTGCAAAAATGACCTGCAAATTCTCATTATCCAAGTCGGATCTCAAGGTCTACACTCTGGCAATATTGGGGCAGTGGATGGAAACAACTTCGAGGTTAGAGGGAGCATCATTATCTTGCTTCCAAAATGTGTCGAAATAATTTCCAAACAGATGTAGCTCTCGTTATTGTTGGGGGCAGACTTGAAAGATCTCAATCAGAGGGTCCAGATATTCAGCGAATGAACCTATCTAGAGAATGACAATGAAGTCAAGCTCTACTCATGAGCTGTGACTAGTGCGGACTTTTAGGTTTTAGTATAATATCATGGCTATAACATATTGATAAATAATCGATATTCGAAGAGAAACATTCGAAGTGACCGATACTGCTAAAAGAAGTTTCCAGAGCACTGCGTCGGATATTCCCCGATTGGGGGATTTTCCCACATTGCATGGATGAGAGCGGTGCAATTAACACCCCTCGATGCCTTTTAACGGGCCACAGACTGGAATTTCTCCATGAAACGTATCGAGGCACAAACTACTTGAATAGACCGTGAAATGGATTCCAAATATTCAGGATACCCTTCGTTTAGCGACCTGCCTCGACAGCGGAATGGCCCGCACGGCAATTCTTGGGGGCTGTGGGGTCCTAATGACCAGATTGTAAACTTGAATCACCTCAGCGAGGACGTTGTTGCAAGGGCTGCAAAGCAGGAAATCAAATCTGGGAAGCGAGTCTGTCTAAGGTAAGTTGTTTCATACCATTGCTCACAGATAGACGGCACGGGGGAAGAATCCTGCCTGAGGTCGGTCTGTTAGCTCTTAATTGTCCAGATAGAAAAAGTCTGGGCTGTAGGTTATCTCGAAAACTCTCAACAGAACTCGACACCCTGTTAAACTCGCAAATTCTTGGACTGCGCCCATGCAGGTCATGACAATACCCCAGGTGACGACCTGCGAGGCTAACCAATAACTTGGGTCGGTTTTCTTCAGCATCACGTTGGACGGAAATTCTGAAAGTCGACAGTCAGCGATAAATGCGTGATCGATAAGCTCGAGTCAATATAGTTCATACCAAATATAATGTGTGGGAAAGATAAGAGTACTTGCAATATTGTATTGATTTCCTACCAACCCCAAGTCCGTATTCATCCCCTCAATCTTCGCATTGCCTAAATTGTTTCGATCGACATGGGAGCACAGGTAAAGAAATGCCAGAACAGGAAGCAGATGGGCGTCAATCTAGCGATGTGATGAATAGAAAGCTTCGAAGTATATTGAGAAGATGATCAAATACCTTTCGAATCACTTTCTTCCCTTTAGAGCCGTCATATTCGCGAAGAATCGGAGCCTCTCCTTCCGAAAATTTTGTGTAGGCGAGAGACTCGAGGTGCTCGGCGTTAAAATCGTCTTTTGCGTCTTTGGCTCTTTCTTGTGTCATTTTTGATTTCGGCAGACTTGAATGACGAAACTCGCGATGTGAGGCGTCAAAGTCCATGGGTCTAGTTAACTGCTCTTGTGAAAGGAGGTCGAATTGGTACAGAGAGTGAAAATATGTTGCTCGAAGCTAGGATCATACGATCGAAGCCCCTTTATCTTGGGAAATTCGATAGTTTCCTAACATCTGGGGTAGGGTTGGATTTCATAGTACCCCACGGGGTCAGTCCGACACGGAAATTTCCGAAATGAATCTGAAATGCATTTCCTTCCACCAAAACGCGTTGGGAAAACACCGAAGGAGTTTCCGTCATTTTTAACAGCGGTGTAGTCTATAAGGGCCCCTATTTATTTAGGCTGCATCATGATCACTATAAAGACCACAGTCACCTGGGAGTGAGAAGAAACCTTTCGAATAATAATGAAAACTTAGCACTGGTCTCAAAACCGAAGCTACCCTTTGGGGCCCACTTTTTGACACTCAGATAATCCAAATTCTATTTCGGGTGACTACTCGGAAATATACATGTAATTAATGCATAATGCTTTTGTTCGAGGTCTTTAATCCGCTGTTGATCCACAAATGACCTATCATACTAATCTGTAATCAATACAGTGTACCCTGATGTTAGACCTTTGCCTTTGATTTTAGCGATCAGACAATCCCCTTCGGACCGTTCGATCCTATGAGGGGCCTTTGAGCAAGAGTAAGAAATCCTCGCTCAGCCTAAACATTCATGTGATGATACCTTCCAAGATTTACTGCAATTTATTGAGCCCAGCCAAGACTCCCCAACTAGTCGATTCTGTTCTTTTGGAATTCCAGTCTACCTGTGAGGAATGGGAGAGATACTACTTGAGGGCTGATCAAAAGCAAGATGATTCAGGAATTTGGAATATTTCCATGCCAATATGCGCCCGTTTTTGTATTTAAGTTTCTAGCCTTATTCCTGGTTTACTATTCTGAAATTGTCATGTTCTTATTCTTGTGGCCCCCAGGAACGACGCCCAAACTTGAACTTAAGCTGCATTCAAACTCCAAAACGATGATTCGCCGACCCAGCCCCCTCATTCCCTCCTTCCTCTTGTAGAGTCCACAGAGTAGCACTAGGTCTCCTCCATGCACGTGGTTGTTCGGAATGGCACCGTCGATGTCGACGCTCTGCGCCAAATCTTGTATCTTCACTTGCAGATAACACTGTTGGACGTCTACTTGTCATTGCGATCGGTCGCGCAGAGCTTCTAGGAGGCATCCAACCCGATATCATGAATTGATCGCTAGTACTTATGGTTGGCATAACAAATAGCGATCGAGTCTTATCGAGCGGGGGGCGCCGAATTAAGCGACGAAGGACACTGCGATGAACATGCTTCCGGGCTTCGATTGCAGATTCAGATGCGTCCAAGTCCTCATTTCTGTCCCTGAGTAAAGGTCGAGACCAAATCCGGTGCGTTCGCGGCATGTGTGATGGTACGATACCTGCCATCTCGGCGTCATCGTTGGTAAACTCCTCCGTGATGAGAGGAACCACTGTTGCTTGCTGGAAAGACCATGGTGTATGGCCAGGGGCTCCAGTTCCAGGTTTAGATACACGTAGCTCGATCCTGCGTGGCTCTCGCATGCATATTTCAGAGCCACAGTGGGGCCAGGAGTGGTGTCTTCTGTGATTGCGAAGGTACGGCATCTTTGGCGCTGACATAGGGCGATCAAGTTGAATTTAAATTTCCACGATATTGAGGCTCTTTATCCCGTCTCCATCATGCGTGTCGTGGATGGATTGGCTAGGCTAAGATGCGCAGACCTGAACTTGAACAAGTAGTATCTCAGCTTACATCCAGCTGGCAGGTAGCAGCATTATAAATGAACGACAAAAATTCTCCTACACCTCTTTGGGCTCGCACATGCTGGGTCAGGCAGGGTGCACCCAGGCCCGGGTGATTTCGATATCATTCGCTGTTTGAAATGACCCTAGGTTTTGGGCAACGTGGGGTAATAAAATGCAAGATTATTACCGGTACTAGTAGGTACTAGTAATAGGTACTACTAACATCTTGGACTCCAGAGCTTGGAGGGGGGCTTGTTCTAGGTAATGGGTTCTTAGATTATGTATCTCCGCTCGATCTTTCTCTAAACTTAATGATTACAATTACAGAACTTGAAACTACCAATGCCCCCAAGAACGGTCTGGAATAGTAAGCAAGACTCCGACTTCCAGTGAAAAGGCTTGTAGGCACTACGAGTGCGGTATTTCAGTTTCAAGTCATGACCGTTGGCGATGACGAGGTCAAGCGGGCTCGGCTGAGCGCCCGGGTCATCACCACGGGAAGGTCGCATGACTAGGGACCCTAGCAAGATAAGACCTGGGATTTCTGTACATTATTGGACAAGACCGGAAATAGATAGGCTTCCGTAAATTTCCCACTGACCGGGAATAGCTTGTAGATGGCCATCTTAAATTTTAGCAGTTGATGGGTACCTTTGAATTCTTTGGTAGTTAACTAACTCATTTTAAGCACATGTTTCAGTGTAAGTCATATGACTGAATCAGGTTTATTCAGATAGTTGAACGCTCAGTAGTTTGCCGTAGCTAGTACTTTGACAGACGAATTTTAATTATAGCTTCAAGATGTAGGCCGGTGTGGTGGTTAATTAGAGGATGTTGTCGCATGTTAGGTACGGGGGATGCTTTAGGCCGTTTATGATGCATCATTATACAAACTAGACATCAACCACCCCCAAGTGGTCGAGCAGTAACTCGACTATTTCATCTTCCTTGGTCTAGTGGTCATGATTTCCGCTTGTCATTAACACCGATAAGCGCGGGAGACCGGGGTTCGATTCCCCGAGGGAGAGTTTCTTTTTGCTTTTTGCGCCTTCAACGCCTTGAGAGGTATTCTTCTACAAGAACCGAAAATGAATAAATAGTTCTTTTGTTTTTTCCCCTTCTCAGCCAGAAAGCTAGAGAAGATGCTTGACTGATGGTATTAGATAAGAGGTTGCCGAAATATAGATGGTATTTTATAGCAGGCATTCAACGCAGCGAAACGACCTCATTAAACTACCCTCTCAATATCCTCAACATGCTCTGTCGCAAGTTTTACATCAATGGCCTTGGTGGTTGCAATGCGTAGTGCTTCCGCCTCCATTACCTCTAATGGGCGCTTGGACTGCTTGGCTACCTTGTCACGTATCGGGATAATCGTGGGATGATGGGAATCTCGATCAAAGTAGACATCAAGATCTTCCAGGGTCCGATACGCAGTTTCTGGGTATAGAAAGTAAACCACAAATATGAATGCGAAATTAAACACCGCAAATACTAGAAGCCAGTCAGCTTTTAACAATCTTCCTGTTGAAATTCGATGACATACTGATATAAAATCGATAACCAATGTTCTCGATGCCGGTCGGAGTGAATTGGGTGCATATGAACCCAGCCAACTAAGAAGAAAAAACTTGAGATATGGAAACATGGTCATTAGAAAGGAGTAAGACCCTTACCCAATTCGTTGCAGTCGCAGACGCAGCACCAACAGTTCTCATGGCGAGAGAATTGATCTCCGCCTGGTAAACCCACGGGACCATACCCCAAGTGCAACCGAATGCTGCGTAATAGAAGAACAAAAACGAGACAGCAACGATTCCCCACTGAAATAAGACTTAGCTAAAAATAAACCAAAATGCCCTCATGCTCACTTACCTGGAATGGGGCTTGATCAAGGAGAGCAATGGAGATTGCAACCATCACATATGCTAAACACTGCAGGGACAGTCCGCTCAACATGAGGACACGGCGCCCGCATCTTTCAATCAGCCAGAAGCATAGCCCCGACGAGATCATATAAGATGTAGCATTGCAGCCAGTAAGGATTCTAGCCATCATTTCATTCATGCCGACATTTTTCATGAGAATGATGGTGAAGTAATAATTGAGAGCGTTTATACCACCGAATTGCTATGAATTGTTGAGCAACGAGTTTTCAAAGATCAAGGCGAGGACCTGATACCTGCATAAATTGGCCACCGCACCCGAGCAGAAGTCGCTTTAAGTGGCTAGATCGATCGCGCCGAGCCAAAACGTGAGTAAAAGAGATTTTTGATTCGCGCTCTATGAGAATTGCACCAGTGATCGAATGGTATTCACTTTGCACAATGGGATCGTCAATAGTTAGTCCTTTCCCAAGATAGCGTCGTATAGCTTCCAAGCCCTCTTGGTTTCTGTTCTGCATTAAGAGCCACCGTGGGCTGTCAGGAACTAGCGGAAGGAGTGCTACTAGAGCCGTGCATGGCACAAGCTAGATCGGTACGCGTGGAATATTAGCGGTCTTGCATTTGAAAACCAGAAAGGGCAACTCAAAATACCTGTAGTGCTAAAGGAAGTCGCCACTGATACCCTCCTTGGAGAAAGGAACAGCCTAATGTTAACCATGTCGCAGCACAGTAAAATATGACGTTGTGAAGAACAACTATCACGGAGAGCTTGCCACGACGATCGCTGCGACAGGACTCGGCCTGAAATACGCCACATGTCGAACTGGTCACTCCTGTAAAATGAAAATAGTCAAACATCCGAAGGAGATTGTGGAGCTATTAGATTGCACCAACCGTTTCCTACACCGTTTATAACTCGACCAACTATAAGTTGAGGGAAGGAATAGGCAGAGAATTGCAGCACAGCACCAAGGGCGCTGATCATGGCACCAAATCTTAGTGTATTCTTTCTGCCCAGGCGATCACCATAGCATGCTGCAAGTAAGCAGCCCACTAAATTTCCAAGCTTCAAGATGATAAGAATCAGTGCATAAGGTAGTTTTGTGGTGTTGCGGTCATACCGAGAAGCAGCTTGCTGTGATTCCCTGGACAGATGAGACCTTGGTCTGAGGGAAAACATTGATAAAATCGGGACTGATAAGAAGACCCGCGACAACACCCTGTCTCATGGCATTAGCGAGATCATTGAGATGGAAAATGTGGCTTTAGAAGAGGGAGAACAGGAACACCGACCTGATCCCACCCATACCACGATTGAGCAGCCGAATTGGCGCCGGTTAATGCTATCTCGAGACTATACCCGTCTAGCATCATGTTTAAAAACGGACCAGAAGTGAGGTTGACAGAATATGTCAGAATAGAAACCTGGGAAATGGGGGCATTGTCTCCATTTAAAGCCCCTCGCTGGGATCGCCGAGCATTCCTTTAACCAGCCACAAAAGGGGATAGGTGTTGTATAGTCAACCCCGGATTTCCCCCGCATAATCTAGCCACACCCTAGTCCATCAAAGACGTGACCGATTGGACCGCAATCTACACTGCCGGGCCGTCTCCACAGGAGGAGCAAGTTCTTACCCCGCGCCGGAACGGACATGGCCCGCGAGATAAAGAGCTGAGATAAATTCCATACCAGTAGAGGGTGATTTCTTTTTTAGGCGATAAGACTCTAGGCACCTTAAAGTTGGGAGGGCTTTAAATATAATTAGATACAACGGTGTCTACACCTGTTTATCTAATAGGTCAGAAATTCTCTCGTGATAGGTATTTGAAAACGGTTAGACAAGGTGTTATTTGGAAATATGGTTGAAGCCCTTAACCTTGGCGAGTGTTCTTCTAATAAAATAAGATAGGAAATTCGTAGTTTGCATATCACGGAGTTCTGCTATCTTGATACTGCTATTCCCGGTGAAACATGGAGCCCGCTATCGCACCACTCCCGCAAATCGTCCTTGATATTCAATGTAGAATATCGCAAATCAAAGAATCGCGAGGGAAGTGATGACTCTGAAATCAAAGATCTATGCTCTGAGATTGCCGTACGGATAACGCTTTCGTATCTTAGAGCCAATGGCCATCTCTTGCCTGAACAAAGTAGAGCATATGCCATGGATCTCACGCCGCTCGGAACATCAGCGTTGACCGTTTTTGCATAGACTTATGAGAAGTTAGATGATATCAAGAAAAAATGATTTTGGATTGAAATACCTATATAGTACCGTGCGACAGTGAACAAGCAGAACACCAAGTGTGGATTACTGACCCTGAGCTCTTCGTCCGTCATCTGACGAACTTTGAAAACCATGTTGTCACAGGCATAAATGCAGCGATTTGTTGCATATTGCCACTAGAGATGTTAGAGGATTGAATACAAATAATGACAAGGAACTCTCACTGGTTCTGAGGACGGGTCGATTTCTTTAGGGATTGTAGACATTCTCTGGAAGAGAAGAATGACGGCGCTTCAGAAGTTAGCGACAATAATTTCCAATGAAATCAGACTGAACATACACGTCAAGAACACAATTTGTCAGGACGATATTTGGATCCATTTCGGCACGCTCCTCTTCCGCATATTCAGCGTTGATCAGTCTATAAACGGCTGCAACAAATTCTTCACGCCACGCTGTGAGGCGTTCATCAATCTTTTGTGCCTCGGTCTGCCACTGAATGCGGTCATGAGTGTTGCTAAGGTTCCATGTTTTCTGAAGGAAGTGATGAATGAACCACAGCTCATTCGTGCCAAATATGATACATAGCGAGAAGGCCGAAGAGTACCGGAATTGACCGAATGACCACACGTTAATTATATGTTCGGGAAAGGCCCACAAGGAATCGCTGCATGGTAGGATTCCATTTGGTATTGGTGGTGACGAGCCTGTATCCCAGTCCACACCGACGGTTGACATACTGTCTAGCATTTCGGACATCCAATATGCTCGGATCCGTTCCTCCCGATCAATGATTGTAGTGGAGAGTGGATGGAGGCGAGGAGGAACAGACGCAGAAGAGCTGAGTTGTTCCACTTGCTTTTTAACCAATGTTCCACAGCCAAGTTGAGACGAAATGCTGATTTACTTTAGTAAGTACTACGCCAATAGGGTTGATCGACTAACCGTTTACAGAGAGCAATCAAATTCCAAAATTGCTCAAATCGACCCTCTCCGTAATCAAGATTAGAGAGAATTAGTAAAGCCTGCAGACACTGAAGGGAGACCTGCTTCAAGGCTTGGCAACATATAGCATCGCACAGGCTATCTGACCACTGCTTTCGTTCATCTGTGCTAACCAGTGGTGACTCATAGTGTATTAGTGTTACCGCGCAGATGGCTTTAACAACTAAATACTGATTGGAGGACCCTAGAGATTCTAAATGTTGCAATGAGGCGGTTAACGACGGCTGATGCAGAATCGGAAACCACGGATGGTATTTTTTGAACCAGATAGAGCAAAGCTCAGACAAGACGGGATATGACAGTGGATCAAACCGGACAGAACGTCTAGAAAGGGTCTCTGTCTCTGAATTCGTATTTGGGGATGTAAGAAGCGGCTGGTTGGGTGGATGGGAGACAGAAAGCTCTTCATCTGGCGAGTAGACACCTGCGGATAGTGTGATATCAGGCTCGCTAGCCATAGGAGTGGACATTTCTTGACCATTCGCCGAGCTTCCTAAAGATAGTGAGCCTTCATGTTGATATTCTGTATCGGGGTTGGCATGCTTTTACCTTGAGAGGTACTATTTCCCTCAAGCATGTGTACTCGCTGCTCCAGTTCCACTGATACAGAGTTAGCAGATCGCATACCAAGACAGAATATCACGTAAACGACATACCTAAACGTCGGTCTAATTTGGAAATATACCCTGCACGAAGACCGGGCCGTCGTCCCGCCGCATACTGACACTCAAACTGATTCCTGGAGCAAAAGCCACAGTTTGGCTTTTGCCGATCGCAAGCGACCTTGCGGCTTCGGCAAGTAGTGCAACTAGATAATCATTAGCCTAGGATCATCATGCAAAGAACGGAGTCGACTGACGCGGCATTTGGTTTGGCCGACATGTTGACATGAGGGGGTTGGGAGTTCAATCTGGTCCCAAAGGCTGTGCGCGCTCAAGCTCGTGCGACGTGGGAGCTGCGGAGAGAATGCCGACCCCGCGAAGAGATGAGGAGGACAACAATGTCAAACAATCTTCGGGCTATCTCCCCCGTTTCGTGTACTCGGAGGTCATGAGACTCTTGGTTACCGCTAGCTATAACTTGGAAATTGAGAAAAGACCGAGGATATTCCTAGACTTCGACCGAGTGCCCCCACACTCTCCTTAGTTTGGCGTTGATCTGGGGATTTCCCCACATGCGCCCCCGTCTTTTGTCTGAAAGCCGGCTTGGAGATGGCCCGCTTTACCTGAGCTGATTGGTGTCTCGATATTTTCTTCTCGATCAGCACGGAGAAGCATTGAAAACAACGCGCGACACGGAGCTCTCTTCTCCATGATGCGTGAAGGTGGGAAGGGGAGGGGCAGATGATGAAATTGAATTCTCCAGCTTGTCGACATCTATTTAAACGCGACATGGAACAGGAGCGAGTATGCATTTCTCTAACTCAACAAGATCCATTTGAAGTGACTGAGGACCGATTCCGAGAGATCAGTTCTCTCTACAGACCCTTTTCGCGATTTCCACGGCCCATCTAGCAACATGACAGCTGCACAGTACGACCACATTATTGATCTCCCCGCGACAGCGCCTGTCAATTCTGCTGTGGATCCGCATCAGATAGCAGAGAACTGGCTCAGCAAACTCGAATCAATTTTTCAAGATGGAGATTTCTCGCAGATCAAGGACATCTTCAATGGAGATTCGTGGTGGCGCGACATCGTTTCGCTCCAGTGGGACTTTCGCACTATTCATGGAAATGAAAGGATTGAACAATTCCTAAGACAAAACCAGAGACTTGGACCGATTACCTCCTTCAAACTTGAAGAGATGGGTCACTTTAAGCCAAAGTTTGAGGTTGTGAAAAAGGAGACCGGCTTTGCGTGGATTTCTTCTCTTTTCCATTTCGAGACACGCATTGGCCGAGGATCGGGGGTTTTACGATTGACTCAGGAAAGGCAGGGAGAATGGAAAGCATTCTCCGTCTATACATCCCTCCAAGAACTCAAGGGGTTTGAAGAGCCACTAGGAACAAAGCGCGCCTATGGAACGCTAGATTCCATGCCTGGTGGTGTAGAAAAAGGAACTTGGCTTGAGCGCCGACAACGTCAACTTGACTTTCTGGATGATGAGCCTCAAGTGTTAGTGATAGGAGCCGGTAAGTTGCAAGCCAATGGTTTCCGACCGTGAAAGCTAACCCGTAAAAGGCCAGTCTGGTCTCAACATAGGAGCTCGATTGCAATCACTTGGTGTCTCGACTCTCATCGTCGAGAGGAACGATAGAGTCGGGGATAATTGGAGACATCGTTATAGAGTAGGATGATTTCCCATTGCCATTCCAGCGAAAAGGCATTTCTAATACAAATTCAGACTCTTGTCACGCACGACCCTGCCGAATTTACTCATACAGCCTATCTCCCTTTCCCAAAAAACTGGCCACAGTTTACTCCGAAGGACAAGTTGGCAGATTGGTTTGAGAATTATGCATCGATAATGGAGCTCAATATTTGGACAAAGACTAAGGTGACCAATACAAGCTACGAGGACGTGAAGGGTGAATGGACTGTGGAAATCGTCCGCGATGGGAAGCCACGGACAGTGCGACCTCATCATGTTGTATTCTGCACAGGCCACGCAGGCGAGCCCTTGATCCCTTCTTTTCCAGGCCAGACCGAGTTCAAGGGGACTGTTTACCACGGGAGCCAGCACGAAGATGCATCGAAGTACGATGTTCGAGGCAAAAAGGTTGTGGTTGTTGGAACTGGAAACAGTGGCCATGATATTTCTGAGAACTTCTGCCAGAATGGAGCAGAGGTGACCATGCTACAGCGAAGTGGTACATATGTATTAACCCTAGACAAGGGCGTTTTTATGCTCCATGAAGGAATGCACTGTGAGAATGGGTGAGTTTCTGAAGCAACATTAATTAGTACTTGATCGGCTCTAATCAGAAGGCAGACCACCCACCGAACAGAGCGATATAGTAGGCGAAAGTCTACCCTTCCCAGTTCAGTTTGCTCTCAACATAGATACGACACAGCGCATTGCAGACGAAGAAAGAGAAACCATCGATGGCCTTCAGCGTGCGGGCTTCAAACTTGAATGGGGAATTGACGGCTCAGGAATTGCGAGACTCTACTACACACGCGGAGGTGGATATTATGTTGATGTTGGTTGCAGCAAGCTAATTATTGATGGAAAAATTAAGGTTCATCAGAGTCCCGAGGGTATCTCCGGATTCACACCTGATGCTGTTGTGCTTAAGGATGGAACACATCTCAACGCAGATGTTGTGGTACTTGCTACGGGATATGACAATATGAAAACCACAGTGCAAAAAGTGATGGGGAACAAGGTCGCACAGCGATGCAATGATGTCTGGGACCTTGACGAGGAAGGAGAGCTGAATGCAGTGAGTGCTATTGAGCTTACTTCAACTTCAACTTTGTCCATTTCACAAAGCTAACTTTGATAAAATCTAGATTTGGCGACCCAGCGGTCATCCAAACTTTTGGTTCATGGGTGGAAATCTCGCCTTGTGTCGCATCTATTCCAAGTACTTGGCATTGCAGATCAAAGCAGCTGAGGAAGGGCTAATGCCATCGTCCATCCCAAACTAAGTGTTGGACCCTCGTTTATTTACTGAAGATTCTAGATTGCCCAATATAATGCTCATTCTTGATTGATTGTTTCAAATATCTTTATGAAAGCTTGCAGATAATTTAACTTGGCGGAGTATGTAAATGAATGGAATCCATGAGTATTCTGCTAGAGTTTACCCAAGTGGATTGAAGCTACCCGGAGATCTCATCCAACGCAAACCCTTTCATAACCATTTGATCCTAAAGTTGATATTAGTGAAAGGTCAAATTAGTGAGCCAAGAATTTCACGCACCCTTATCAGAGCCCCTTCTCCCTCCACCGGAGAATTCTTAACCATTTGTGCCCTCTCGCCGAGCCAAACCCTACCACCTAGTATATGGCCAACCACTTGATTTGCATATTCTTCTAGAGACATTCGCGGCATTCCATCAGTGGCTTGAACGACGGTCTTTATCTTTTCTTCTGCGGACTTGCTCCGTGGCCGGCAATTGAAGTAATATTCACCAGTGTGCCTTGTGCCTCTATCAAAAGGGGAGCAAATGCTTGAGTCACAGCAAGGGGCCCCAAAACATTTGTTTCAAAAATTGCTTTTGCGGCATTGATATCATCATCAAGGAGAGGCATGAAACGGTTGCGTGCCGCATTGTTGACGAGACAGAGAAGCTTGCCACTTATTTGGGAAGAAACAGTTTCAACCGCAGCTTGAATATGGCTCTTACTAGTCACATCTGAGGTGCCCAGGTGGATCACTGTTTGGGTCACTCATACGTCACATCTTGGGGCCAGAAGCCAACGTCTAATCTAGCTTCTACATCTGTACTAGTGCCATGCACATTAGCGAGGGCCCAATCCGAATGATTCAATGCTCCAGCTTTCATTCTTTTTCGCTTCGACATATGAAATTAAAACGGTCTTCCCTGCAAGGCTGCCAAAAGGTCTTCTCGATCTGTTGCGTATGAGAGCCGAATTGTTAGCATGGCCCCTGATACTACTGGATTTGGAATCATATAATGCTTACCTCGAGGTGTTTGAAAAACCATTGAAACAGCCCCCTCTCGAGAACCGACATTCATAGTTTTGGGATTGCGTGTTATAATGTTCGCCATATCTAAAACGGTTCCTCGGTTGTAAGGCAGACGTGGGAAGCTGACTCGGGTGCCTTCTTTGGACGACTCGGAAGAATCAGAGGGCAAGGACATTGTAAACCATTTGTCGGGAATATTGTCGTCCCAGCGGGCAGCAAGCTGGAATCTATTTCCCCGACGCCAAAGTTGGGCTTCGGCTCCTCCTTTGCCAGACTTTTTAGAGCCAAACAGCGATTTGCCCTTGGTGGAGAGTGATTGGATCCGACGAGAGAAAACAAGCTCGTATAGAGGGGAAAGGGCATTGAGAAATGAGCGAGAGACGGGCTCAGTATCAAAATGGATTACCACTTTCGTGAATTTTTTCTCACAATGAGAGAATCCGACTGGTTCATCGGCACGATAAAGCTGGTCAATGTGTGTGGAGATATAATCCGTATGGGAGATAGCAGGGAAACGGACACTGAGAGATGCATACTCGTAGGCGTAGTCGGTATTGCGATAGATATAGTAAATATCGAGATATCGCCATGACGAGTGGTTCTGAAATAAGACAACTGCTTTGTATTGTTTATGTTCATTTCCAGTATCAATGACATCGTAAATACGACCGGAACTACTAGGCTCTGACCACGAGAAGTCCGGCCGGAAGCTCAGATCCATCACTGCCTTTTCAAAATCTTCGGCGCCTTGCTGTGTGCCAAAATGTAGACTGAATCCAAGGTTTGGAGCATTTTCATCGTAGATATATGAGTGAAGAGTGTTGTAATTTCCATCTGTTTTGTCCGATCGCTCCTGACAGGCGTCAGACCATTTGAGGAGAATTTGGCGAGACATATCCTCGTGGCTGATTTGAACTCCACTCAATGGCATAAAAAACTCCAGACATCGTGGCATTGTTTGTGCAACGGATGGGGTGATTACTACTCTTCGAGTAGACCGCCAAGCTTCCCCAAAGGTTCTTTCCAAGATACGAAGCTCGCAGGATTTTATGACGACTGGTGGATTGAGGGGTTTCATAGTTGGGGGTTTCAGCTGTTCAAGCACTTCAACAGATCCTTTGAAGATAACGCTTTCGGTAAAATCCTTAGAATCAATTGGCTCCCTCAGCCATACGGCATCGAAGTAGGCCTTTGGAATGTTGATAAACAGCCCCAGATCTGACTCAAACCGGAAGGATATTGAAACGCTCATGTTATCGAACTTGAATGGCAATGGCTCTGAAATTCGAGTGCCTGGGAATCCAGCTCTTATAGCATTTTCGAGTTGAATCATCGGCGGTAGATCGTCGGGCACGACTAGTGTATGGATCGATTCAGAGATTAAATCCGAATATTTGGTGGAAAAGACTTACAGTTTCTTTGGAGGTAAAGAGATCCACTTTGGTTGCATAGAATGAATTTCGGCTCACTTTCACCCTCTCGGGCGGCTAGCAAGAGCATATAAGGCGCACCTTTAGAGCGCATTCGAAACTTTTTACCTCCAATCCCTGCGTTGACGAATGTCCTGAAGAGGATCTTTTCTTCCTCAGTACCAGCATCTTCTTGATCAACGGATATCCATCGTGCATTGTCAAGGCCAAATGAGAAATCAACACTGCTATCAGGAGTCTCTTCCGGCTGCAGAGACTCCCAAATAGCGCAATTTTGAGAAAGAATATTTTCGGTATCTGGTATGTCGAGGGTGGTATACTGGGAAAACTCGTAGTTAATACCCTGTCGATATGTCAGTATGTAGGAAGCCACCACGTAGGCATTAGAAAGAAAACCCAAGTACCTCTGAAAGCTCCGCAATTGATTTGCGATTCTCATCGGTTAAAAGAGCAGGGGAGCTCTCGTCTTTCAAAACAACGTCGTAAAGAATATACGATGCTTTCAGCAGGTCAGTGTAGGCCTGGTGAGAGCTTGAAGCCGAGTCCGTCGATGGGCTTAAACTGCCCCGTGCGCTAGCATAGTTATTCCTGCTACAGTTGGCGAGAGTCGCGCGGGCTTTCAATAGCCACCAGGTAGAAACGCGTAGCCAATCTCGCGTAATCAGTCGTCTGACCTGGAGCTCTTCGTTGACAGAAACTTCGAATAAATAGATAACTTCTGGCACTGGCGTGTGTGCCGAATTCTGTGGCTCGTACCGAATTGGTCGTGCAAGCTGTTCCTTGAGGCGGACCTGGCGCAATTGATGCATGGCATTTGATACAGCCTCCAGAACCCGATGGTGAGGATTTTCTTGGGAACCCTCACTGCTTCTCTCCATCAAGCTCTGCTTGTCTTGAATTTCTGAGTTGTCTTCCCAGTATACCTTTTCGTGGGCTCGACCGTCAATTGCTCCGTCGGAGGGCCGCTCGCCCCTGCTTCGAGAGAGGCCGACTCTACCCATCATGCTCTGCGAAGGGGAACGGGTTGTATTGAGAGAGGTGGGAGAAGTAGGCGCGGTCCCTCCATAAAATGACCCGTCGGATCCGGAAACTATAGACTCGGAGGAGATCGAAGTATTTCTCTGTTTGCCGCTATCATGCCTTGCTTGGCGCAGGGGTGCAACGTGGAGGCGATCTGAGTGGTATCTATCATGCGTGCTTGCATCTGCAGGCTCACCGGATACAATTTCTCTGATGCTTCGAGGGGAGCCGAGGGTGTCGGAGTCACGCCTAAAAGATGACTCCATAACATACATGGCGTGTTCATCATCTTCCATTGCTTGTGCTATTGTTTGCTCTAGCTGAGCGAGAGATGCACTGATATTTGTTAGTAACGAGTCTAACGACAAAGGAAATTTCGGTGTAGTCGCATTCCCTTCGAACTTACTATCCAATAGAGCTCATGCAAAGACTCAAGTTACACGTATGGACAATGATTTTAGACCGAATATCTTCGATTTGAACCTTCTGGGTGGACCATTTAATCCTTTGCCAGAAAGTTTTGCCTTCGCCAACACCCAAGTCGCGGTATCGTCCGAGAAGAGATTTGAGGCGTTGGAGTGTTTGGTAGCATGCGCTCAGACATCTTTCTAGTGCTTGCCTTCGGCTTGTATCCATCTCCTGGAAAAAGAATGCGTTTGAGCTCACATCTTCACTGAGCGCTCGTAGGCTTCCCTGCAGCGACCCCAAATCATTAATCAAGTTTCGAAATCCATCCGGTGCATCCTTAGACAAAGCGTGGAATTGATTGTAGAGTTCCCAGGTGACCCTGGCCAGGGCAGGGATGTCGAGAATACCACAATTTGATGGCATGCTGGAAGAAGGAGCCCAAAGAATACTAAATCTCCAAGTCAAAGGAAAGTCCGTGGAGTACTAGGGCTTTGTTTCATCCTTCAAAAGTAGAAGGCTTAACTTTGCGCCCGTGCCGCAGTTTGAAGCCACCTAAGTAAATGGCAGTTAGCCTCGCGAGAGAGGCTCCAACGACGAAGCTGCGGTGTGGATAGCTGCTAGCTTTTGCTCGGAGGTTTGGACAGCACCAACTCGTTCCAAAGAAAGGACAGTGTTGAGGATAGCTCTTCGGAAATTGAGAGAGAGAGAATGACGATGAAGGCGGAGCGAAGGATTTGACCCCTGTAGGTTTATTGAAAGACCTTGCCATGCTGACATCTTGCAGGTCAACCTAGTCGGGCACGAGGCGCTTGGAGCCAAGCCGCGATTTGGGGGCTGCTCCGACCATTCGCCGCCGATCTTTTCGTATATTTCGTCATCTCACGATAAATGGCCGTTTATCATTCTCTGAAGGTATCTATATCTTGGAGATTTGCTCTCTATTACTCGGAACTCACTTCTCCGAAATTTGGTAGTGTAGGCATTTGTTGACGTACTCGAGCGGAGTACTAGTCAAAGATGGGTAAGCTACCAAAAGCGAAGAGCTCATCTCAGAATTGAAGAAGATGTATAGGAAATGTTCTGGCCATAATTAGGTTCACACCTGGATAGTATTGCTTAGGTAGTCTGAGCAGAAAGGACGCTGCGAACTTGAACTTGAAGCGTATCATTTCGCCTGGACCCCGGATTTCCCCGGATTTGGCGGATGCGGGGACTACTAGTAGGCTGCCATTCCTCGCGAATATAACGGTGCCAAAGGGGAAAAAAGTGAATCGAAAGGTATTTTATCATCTTGTCAATGGAATTCAAAGCTATCTATTCATCACATCGCTAGATTGACGCCCATCTTCTCCCTGCCCTGGCATTATTTTATCTTTGCTCCATGTCGATCAAAACAATTACAGTATCGTCAAGGCTTTTTAAGCCACGTTATGTCGAATGCACGAAATGTCCTTTCCCGTTGCAATACAAGACTCACCAATTTTGTATTGTTGATCTCTGAGACTCCCTTTTCTCCACTTAGTAGTTTCGTGGTTCAAGTTCTTCAGCTACATGCCCCACAACGACACCTGAGGCATGATAAGTGATCGCCGTCCCCCTAATTGAATCCAATCCACATCTCTCAATCGCATCGCGATTCGTTTTTTATTCTTGTTCTTTACTCTTCGCCCTCTTCCACGACCCCTGCGCTCTCCGCGCCCACATTCACCTCACCTCGACACCTCTCACACAAACGCGACTCGCGAAAAACCACCCACCATGTCGACAAGCGACAGCTTCACCGTCGACACGCCAACGATGCTCTGCATCGCATTCGCGCTCTCCTTCATGCCAATCGCCTACATACTCGGCACAAGCCTCATCCCATCTTCCCAAACCCGTAACCGCATCCTCTTCTTCTGGCACGCCTACGACGCCCTCACACACATCTTCATCGAGGGCTCATTTCTCTACGAATGTTTCTTCAGCTACACCACCATCGCCGGCATCCACAACACGCGCGAGCCCTTCTTCCTAAACCAACGCGACCGCATCTACGGTCCAGCCTACGGCACCGGGCCTAGCAGCCGTCTCTGGCAAGAATACGCCAAGGCTGACCGTCGCTGGGCGGGCGCAGACCTCACTGTCGTCTCGTTGGAATTGTTGACTGTCTTCCTCGGTGGTCCGGCTGCGATTTATGTCTGCTACCAGCTTTATCGGGCTTCTAGTGAGCGGGTCGGTGCGCAGGTGCGTGGGTCTGCGAAGGCGAAGCTTTGGTTTGTTGCGCTTGCTTTGGCGGTTGCGGAGCTTTATGGGGGCTTCATGACTTTTGCTCCGGAGTGGTTGACTGGTAGCTCGCAGTTGGCTACGGAGGACCCGGTTTACATGTGGTTTTACCTTGTCTTTTTCAATACTCTTTGGGTCTGGGTTCCTCTTTGGGTGTTGTGGGAGGGTGGTAAGGAGCTTCGTTCAGCTTTTGTTGTACAGGAGACCCAGTCCGAAAAGCGGAAGGGTCAGTGAATAACCAACCTGCTGGAAGGTAATGTCGCAGTACAGGCCAGGATGTACAGTTGTGGGGAGTTAGAAACTCCCCGTGGTTTGAGGCCTCAGTCATGAAGCTATGAAGCATTTGTGATATGTCGAAGTCAAGGATGACCTGAGTTACACATATGTGGTGTTCTAAACCTCGTATTTGCTAGAGTGAAATTACATACACTTGAGCTAGTACATGGCAACCATTCAAGCTCCAAGCTAAAGAGCATTGTTTCGCTATATTTTCCTTGTAGTATAATTAGTCTTTTCCCTAATAGAGCATCTACTAATATCTTTATTCTCAGCATACTAGTACTGAATAAAAAGGGAATTTTGCTCAAAGTGCAGACAGAGTAGATACAAACAAAGGAAAATGCAATTATATACTATACAACCAGAAAAAATGATAATCAAATGAATCACAGGCTCAATTTGGTCTGGCCGAGACACGGAATCATTAAAATCAGCTCGGACCTACCCACTCACCCTCCTTCATTCTTTCCCAGGGTTGTACCCGCGTTCCTTATCCCAAAACCAATGGTAAAAGCTCTTCCACTCAGCCGCCTCGTCCTCAACATAGTCACCAACAAGCTCGGCCGTCTCATTGATCTCGTCGTGAAGAGGTGGAACCTTCAGACCGGAAGAAGCATCCACGCCATGTCCAGCACTGGCATCCTTTGCAGCCGACGCGGCTGCCGCGGCCGCAGCATTAGAGCTAACATCAACATTGACGTTGCCGGAATGGATGGTGAGGGCCTCCTCTGCACCCTCCTTTGTCCTCTCGACTAGATCGCGAGCGCCCTCGCGCGCGACTTCGCTGAATTCCTCCGCTTGTTCTCGCGCGCGCTGAATCAGTTCGTCTGGGGATGGGTAGCGGCGGAATACCATAAGGAGGAAGTAATAACACTTCACAATAGATGCATAAACAGCATCTTTGGCTAGCATGGTGAAACCATGAGAGAAGAAGCCCTTCAAGACTTCACCGGGAAGACCAGCGTAAAGGGCCGAAATGCCTTCCGTCCGAGCGATCGTTCCAACAGTAGACACAATCTTCGGCGTAACTGTAGAAAGAATCGAGCTCGAACTCTTTACCCCCGCAGCACTTCGCGAAGAACTCAACGCCTGCGCCCTCGTTTTCGCAAGAGAGAATGGATACGTAATCGACGAAGCGGCCGATTTACTCAACGCCGCAAGCAGGAACGTCACCGCAGCGGAAGGACGCTCGCGCTTCGCGCGCGACAGAAGAGCGTATTTGAGGACTTCGTTCAGGAAAAATGTTATAGATGGGTTGAGAGTCAGGATCAACGTGGCCGAATATCCGGACCAAAAGCCACGAATGCCCTTCTCAGCCCTAATCTGCGCCGCAATATCGCTGGTTGACAATTCTTCGCCATCATCTTTACCCTTGCCCTTGCCCTTGCCCTTGCCTGCCTTGCGCGCTGCGAGTTGCTTTCGCGTCACGATATTTGACAACGGCGTGGTAAATAACTTCGCGAACGAGCCCGCCACCACGCCAACGGCAAGTTCGTCGAGGATCGGAAGAACGATATTCTTGCTCTTTGCCGCCTTGGCCGCGCCCACGCGGGCGATTATTCGCTTTTGTCGGACAGTGTTGTAGGCGAGGAAGAAGAGGAAATGAATCCAGGACTGTCTTGAAGGTATCCTGTGCCAGACCTGGGTAAAATCCCGCAATGCCTTCCTCCTGATATATCTTATATGCGGCATCGACGATATCCTTGTATTCTTCTTCATCATCGGAGGAGGAGGAGCCTTCCTTTGATTTGTCTTTCTTTTGTTGCGTTTGTAGACGCGCGACGATCACGCTGAGCGGATATACGATGACGCTGGAGATGGCTGAGCCTACGGCACCAGCAGCAGCATTGCCTAGGACTGGTAAGGCGGGACCTCGGAGGGCTGCGGTCTTCCAGTCATCTTGCGGCTCCTGGGTTTCCCAGCGGTAGGAGGGGTGGAAGGCATCCTGGCGGTGGGCAACATAGTTAGAGTATGCGGTCGGAATGTGGTATTACAAGACGTACCAGTTGTGACTCGTAGGCGAGCTTGAATTCTGGCATTGTGAAGGTACAGAAGGGAATCCCTTCCTTGTCGTTGTTGAGGAAGAATCCGGGTGTCAGATGTCAGATGTTTTGGTCGTCAAGAGTAGTCAGATCGATCGTTTGGCGAACTATACGGGTGCCAGGATGGGTTGTTCATGCAATTTTCGATGCTTCGCAATGGAAATTAGATGACAGCGAAAGAAAGACTATCAGCGACCGGTAGATATTGTGGGAAAGGGTGTCTGAACGTGATGGTGTCGCAGTACAAGGCCGAGGTTGCGGAGATCGATTACATCATGCCGATCATGTGGTCTGTGCAGGGTGGGTTGATGGAGCGATGGATGAACATACATTCAAGAATACAAGTTACAAAACTCCGATCAGGCATTTACAATAGCAGAGTATTATTTCCAAAGGGATAGTATGACAATCGTGTGATCTACACAACCAGGTGATCCTACTGATGCTAAAAAATTACTGGATGATTCATGCTAAGGACGATTTTCCGATCCTATTGTTTGATAACACTAAAATAAAAATCATAACCTCAAATAACCAAGAGACCATAACCACCAAAACCCCAGCCAGTCGTGATCCAGACGTGCCAGACCCGATGAGGCGAAAATTGATTTCAGGACAAAGAAAAAGAAGAGCAAGTTCCATCACACCATATCGCATAAAACCCAGCATTGACCATTGAAAAACAGCCATTAGAATGGGCGGACAGAAGTCCAAAAAGAGGAAAGCATTGCAAAGCAACCGCTTAACCACCGAAACCGTACAGGGTACGGCCCTGGCGCTTGAGGGCATAGACAACGTCGAGAGAGGTGACGGTCTTGCGCTTAGCGTGCTCAGTGTAGGTGACAGCGTCACGGATGACGGACTCAAGGAAGGACTTGAGGACACCGCGGGTCTCTTCGTAGATCATGGCGGAAATACGCTTGACACCGCCACGGCGGGCGAGACGGCGGATAGCGGGCTTGGTGATACCCTGAATGTTATCACGCAAGATCTTGCGGTGACGCTTGGCGCCGCCCTTGCCGAGGCCCTTTCCACCTTTGCCACCTGTAGAATGTGGGTTAGCATGGGGTTTATAAGTTGAGAGGAGTGCAGTGTAAACAGAGGCCAATGAGGTCGAGGTAGTGGTGGTGAATGGAGTAGATGGGGGTGATTTAGTAAGTGGGCAGATGATATGAGCTAGCCTGATTGGGAAAGGTGAGATGCAAAGTTGCCTTGAACTTCAGGCACGAAGGCACTAAGAGAAGGAACCGCGCATCACGTGTTCTCCAGGGGCATCACCACCACGACCTCACGACAACAACACAAAGGGATGGCGACGAAAAAAAGAGAAAAAGGAAGACCACTCACGTCCAGTCATGATGCTCGGGTGTGTAAATTGATGGATTTAGATGGAAAATTGATGGAAAAGGGTGGTAGTCGCGTGTTGATGGTAGCCGGAATGACTAACAAACGCGTGGAAAATGGGCGTACAGAGGATGGAAGAGAGAAAGAAAAAAAAAAAGGGAAGCCAGTCAAAGAGCGGGGGGAAATCGGGCAATACTTAAATATGGGTGCCGACTACGCGTGATTTCGGGGGGTGGGTGGATTATCTAAGCAAGGAAATTCGCATTCTGCAATGCGGCGGTGATTGGCAGGACAAAAGGCTGTTATAACAGGCAGGTTTCGAGTGCATTTTTCCAAGCATGGGGGGTGCCCGCATTTCCTGCCTGGCCGTTTTGCTGGGCTGCACGGTCATGTGGTGATAACTCCCGCGATAAGGGTGGGGCCATCCCTAAAGTGGGATGGGATACCCGCAGGGGGGGACTACGGAGCACGGGAGGCTTGGCGCGCCACTAAGAGGAATTTACATACTGTACATAGTATTGAATTAAGGCTATTTCCATCACATTTTTTGTATCGCACTAGAAGCAAGCAATACTGTTAATCCCTGGGGGCTGGGAAATACCCCTGCCCTAGCAACACTACGTTTAAGGTCTACTTCATCTACACAAGGACAAAACCATGGCTCAAATCACATTCATTCGTACCCCTCATGTCAAGACTACGTCGTTGTGAACACACCGTAGACATTCTGAACTGCGGGTCATATCTCATGCAAATCAATCGCAACCCCCCCCATCTGATCGGATCAGAAGCGATGAAGCATCACACGCAAGGAAACAACATATGAGAGAGAAAAAAAACACAAGGAAAAACGGTAAAGAAACAAGAAAATCGCCCCGTAACACCATGCAAGGAAATCAGAAACAGGCCAACGAACACAGATGCATCGGAAATGGAGGCGGGCGAGACTAAAAGGTGACTTTTGGAGAGAAAATGGAGATCTGCGAACAAAGCAGAGAAGAAGAGAAAATGGGGCCTCAAGGATGATCGTGTCGCTTTGCAACACAATAAGAACAACAACGGAAGAGAGGAAAAGGGGGCGCGAAAAAAAAAAAAAAAAAAAAAAAAAAGGACAAACAAGCGGAAATTTCGTGTGCTCATCATGCGTAATCAAAACAAACGCGGGTGTGTTCGACAATATTCAAACACCCCGCGGACAACGTGGCTAATTTTGGGGCCACATTGGGGAGCACTCACGTCGATAATTTCTCCCGACGCGATTTCTGACGGCTCAATGTCGTGAAAAAGTGCTTAACGACCAAGTTCCCGCGGTTTATTATACATCGCAAGAACCGGAATCGTTTCACAACTCGCCGCGGCATTGAGCAACCACTATCGGACATCAAGTGTATCTCGGAGCGGAAACTTCATCCATGAAAAGTGGGGAAGGAAGTGTTCATCACTGGGCGCCGACGAGAGGAAGGTATGGACAATCGGCAACAAGGGGGGAATAAAACGAATCAACCGGTCGATCCATCTCCAGGTAAGAAATATCGAAGTCTCTTTAAAGAAACTGTTAACAACATGCAAGGGTGTGGGCGAGGAAGGATAGCAGCCGGACTCCGTGACGGTCAAGCGTTTAAAATGTCACTCACCCTCGGATGACTGGCGATGATTGAGGGTCCTTCATGAATCCATTCTGCAGGGAGTTGTAGGGGAAGCGAAAGGACTTGGAGGAGGGGGATACCCGCGGCGAAGATCGTGGACTAACAGCCGGCGATGAGGACACGGAACGAGATTCGCGAGGTGCCTCAACTGCGGCTGGCTCTAGTGGCGCGGGAGAGCGAGGTGAAAGAGGAGGCGAGGGAGATCCAGTAGAAAAATACTTGGAAGCTGCCTCGCCATTCACGTTGACCGAGAAGCTCTGGGGCTTGGGGGGCGAAGATTTGGGGGTGCCATACTAAATGATCGGGTTAGTCGAGCCCCATGGTGGACAGGTGAACAAGCGACCTACAAAGCAGTACTTATCCACCAACTCTTTGTACACCGAGGACTCGAGGCAGGGTTTGCTAGACACCAGTGAGGATGGTTCCGGGACATCCTTCTGAGCGTTATTGCTCACAGCAGGCTTCTGGCTAGAGCCAGTCTCCAGCTCCTTCGCAGCGGGGCTTCTCGGAGGGGCGTCCGGAGTTTGAACCGATCGGGCTCGCGCGGTTAGCGTGGTCCGATCGACTGGTGGCTTAGTCTTCATGGCGGCGGTCAATGACGCCCCAAAGTCATAGCGGTTGCCAAAAGCTTGTTGGCTCGGCTTCTCGCGTCGTTTCGGGGGTGGAACGGTGTCGATGTCGTTAGATGAAGCCCGGCTCAACGGGGGTGACTTGACAGAGTTGAAGGGGTTCGAGAAAGGAACCTTCTTACTGGACTCGTCAAACGACGATGAGGGCATGGATTGGGGACGAGTGTGCAGGCCGGTGAAAGATCGACTGCGGGGCAGGGCCGGGCGTGCTCCACTGGATGTTCTGGTATTAGATGGGACCGACGCCATCGGCTTCTGAGTCTTGAGGAAGTCCACTCGGTAGTTCATGCCACTGTTGTTGTCCCAGTACTCTTGACCAGCGACATTGTATCGCATACAGACAAACATCGTCTTGCTCTCTAGCTTGACTTGGTCGTCAAGCTTGATATCAAACGTGAACCGGTCATATCCATCATTCCCATGGGTTTGATGAACATCGTGGCAATATGTGGCACTCACTTCCGACACCGTTCTCCAAGAGTCGAAGGTAAACCGCGCGGCAACATGCTTGTGGAAATCAAGATTGGCCACCGCGACCGATCCAATCAAGGTCGTCTTATCTGTAGACAAAAACAATCGTTCGAGGCGGACAGGGTTGGTGGAACGCGATGACGGATCTTTAGGGAAGTTGGAAAGTTGAAGCTCCCATTCCCATAATGAAGCACCCTTACTCGATCTGTTACCGAAAGGAAACTCGTCCTCGGCGTCGTGCTCGTCAACAGGCGATGTCTCTGCACTCACAGCCAAAGGTCGGTCGAGCTGCAAGAAGTGACGGATGTGTTCTAGTTGAGAATCGAAATGCACGGCCTTTGCAAATACGGGGGTACCTGGCATGCTGGAAGGACGTCGTCGAGCTGTTGCAGGTCGAAGTGCTGGACGAACCAGTTCGCCAGACTTCTTTCGAACCATAGGTGGCTTTGGTGACATGTCTGCATCGCTGTCATCAGGAGAACTTGTCAGGGCTTCCTCCCTCTTATAATCGATTGCTGTTTCGGTGGACGATCGGGAATGGGCGATCTTGCGGGCCTCTTTGGACAATCGGATGAGATTCGGTTTTAATGGTTTGTTGTCTGTTCTCGTTGATGGTTGGCTCGACGAGGATCGAGCCTCGGTGCCCCGCTGATCAGCAGGTCCCATTCTCTTCGGTTCCCTTTCCGGTGAGCTTTCCCTTCGCTGTTCAATCGATCGTACTGCCGCCTCTAGCTCCTCGAGCTTGATATCTCCACAAGGTGAAGATTCTTCGTCCGAGTTCTGGGTTGATTCGGGGGGGTGAGATCACCGCCCCGGGTGGAATGGCAGCATTGTTCAACGGTGGCGGGGATTGACGGAGACTGGCATGGGGGTCAATAACAGGAGAGAGACGGGAAGCTGGTTCCGAGAAGGAGTGCACGGCCGATTTGTTGCAGATAGATGGGCTTCTGCGGTGCCGACGAACGTACGAGGTAGAAGAGTAATTGCGGGAGTTCTGCACGCGTGCGGAGGCAGATCGGGCCAAGCCAGGCCTCTCGGGGCGAGTGTCCTGAGAGGGATCACTGTACTCGATGTGTTGTGCGGAGAGCAACGACTTCAATGGCGCAGTGTATGGCATCCGGCCGACTTGTGTGTCTCAACACAAGAAGGGGGTAGTGTGGGGGAGAGAATGGTGAATGACGAGCTCAAGAATTAGAAGTCGACTCAAAAAAGGTCCTGGATGGGAGAAAATGGGACCTGTCAGTGCAATGAACAAATGGTTTTTTGTAAAAAAATTTAGACTGTGTGGCGAGAGGCGGAGAAAAACGGACAAGACAAGGACCAGGAAAGAGGCATAGCCATGTACATCAGACGAGATGGTGATGGGAAAGGAGGGATGAGTGGAAGCGGAAGTCGGGTTGGTGCAGGGAGGACGCAGATGGTGGCACCAGATGGCGAGAGGAAAGAGCCAGTGAGAGGAAGAGAGGAAGTATCACGACACACAGTAACACCGGCAGAGCTGGTCGGGAAGACAATGGGAGGGAGAGGAAAAGTGGAAGAGTGAAAGGAAGGCAGCGAGCTTATCAAGTCTGAGTCTTACGTTGAATAATAGATAGTCGTAGTCGAGACCCTGGGTAGGGTAGCTCCGGTGGTGGCGAGATGGCGTATCAGTGGGGGGGGTAAAGTTGAAGAGGCCGGAGGGGGAGGGGAATAAAAAAAGGAATATATAAAAACGCAAAATGCAAATGCAACAAAAAGAAGAAAATGATACAGAAAGCAGTAGCAGAATGTACAAAAGCTCCGGTGCAGCCGCGGGGGCGAATGGGATGATCGAGTAGGGCGATCACCTCACTTAGTACCTCAGATGTACCCGAGAAGTCGTGACGGCGAGAGGCAAAAAAAATTAATTCACCAAGCCATTGCCGCTCTGACCGTTAGGATTGGAGGGAATCAGGCCAGGATCCTTGGATTATCAGTCCTTTCAGGAAGATGGGAAGGGATGGGAGGAGAGAAAAAAAAGGCTCTGAGGAAGAGATAAGCCTGGCAATATACTTGAGTGGATTTAGGGGGGTACCACCTCTCTCATCTCTCAACCTTGAAAAATGATTTAATGAATTAGGAAAAAAGTGGGAAAAAGAAAAATAAAAGTGGGACAAGATAAATAAAGGACCCCAAGCGCCTGGGAAAACCGGTGCGGCTTGCATTGACTCCGCTTTCGATGCTCGTCAGTGCGTCCCGTATACTTCACTACTAGTACGTTGGGGACACGCAGTGGGTCGGAGGCTTTTTCCATTTTTTCATTTATGTATTTCTTTTTTCCATTCGATTTAATTTACATTTACATTTACACAATACATTCACATTTACAGAATACCTTTGGATTTACAGAATACTCATATCCCAGAGTATGTACATGGCCTCTCCTAGTATGGCGGACTGCACGAGGCCCTGGCTAACCCTGCCGGATCATTCTTCGGACTACAACCCTCCTGCTCAGCCCACTCCTGGCGCTAAACCTTGGGGAAGTCCACTCTTTCGCAATCTGTCTGTGTTCCCTGTTTCTGGACTGACGTATATCCACTGTACAACTTATGCCTGTACCCCCCTGATGATTCCGATGCCGATCATGGGGAGGGAACTGACCGGGATGTCATTAGAATAGAGATAGGAGGGAAGTGGAAGTAGAAGAGGAAGTGGAAGAGTGACCCTAGGGTAGATGGTAGATGGCTACCACTCGCGATACCTACCAAGGTACGTACGAGTATCTCTTATCAGGAGAGAGGCCCGAGTCCCTTCGGTCAGAGCTTTTCACTCGTTTTCAGTTTTCAGTTTTCAGTTTGTAGTTTGTAGCTTCTCGTTTGTACACCTGGGCTGGACCCAAAACCAAGAGTCCAGTCTAGGGCAATACTCGCTCCCCACAGCCCACCTCGCCCATTCTTCATGCGCAACCTGGGGATACACAGTGCGCAGCGCACGTTGAAGCACTATCATACCTAGATCACTCGCTAGTCCCAAGTGAGATGCGACACGCAAATCGCCCCTCTCTGATCGCATCCCGCGTCGAGTCGAAAAGGAAACAGGTTCGAGGTGATGATGGGGCCATGAGCCATGAGCCATGGGCCATGGAACTTGGAACGGGAACCCCATCAATATTGTAACCATGGACGAACTGCTTTGCGTGCACTCACTTTCACTTTCTGCCTTTCAAGTATTTAATCTTTCTCACTGATGCGATCGATGCAAGGAGTCGCTAACCCGAGCCCAAATCCCCTCCTCCCCCCTCCTGTAGTGAGACGCACCGTTAAGAACACGAAATACTGTACGAAATATAACTTGAACCATGCCTAAAACAATGAGATTTTAGCAAATGGAAATCCATGATTAACCCTATTCAGACTGGTGGCCCCTCCCCCCCTGCGACACAAGTGAGATTCCTCCGTGACATGCAGCGTGCAGTTGGTATCGCACGGTGGATCAACGAGGCTGCACTCCGTACTCCACCGACTCCAGTGTGCCGCGAAAGCCGGAGACTGCGGTGCCGACCGAACCCGGGGTCTACCTACTACTACGGGCGGAGGAGCACTGGCAGAATAACAGGGCCGATAAGACCTTCAAGTTTGGCACAAAACTTGAACCATTGAGGATGAAGAGATGGATCGCGCGGTATGATCGGTTCATCTGATAGTAATGTCCAAGGTAACATAATAGAAGTAGATCATGGATATGGATATCCATGGAGATATATGTACATATCGAGCTCGTTAGTGTAGGTATGTACATCGTCGTAATGCCACGGAACGTGGATGACGTCAAGATGCAGTGACAGGCCCGAGGGTCGCGCACTTCCTTGGAAGTACGCCTCCTTGGCGAGGGTCTGGGCCCCGAACAGCCAATCCACTAGCGCTATTTCACCATATGCCCAGAGTATACTAGAGCTAGTAGCAGTAGCATCGTGGTCCTCAAACTCTGCCTCATCGGAAAATATTTATCAGCCGCACTGCCACTACACTCATGCTCATGTTACTACTGGCGATGCTGGAATAGCAACCTGAACTGGTTCTTTCTCCTGTATCCCTTGCGACCGGGGGCCATGCTCACCGCAGCCAGTGCCACCGTTGACCTTTTCGGTGGTTACACCGAAGCGCATTCTGGAATGGAGAGTGGTCAACATAAAATAATTTGACGAGGAGTATATCAAATATCAAATATCATAATACAAATGTAATATAATATAATATATCGAAATATACTCCGTATACTTCAATTAAAATACTCATATACTCGTATTCATACCATACCAGCTAACGGCTCCATATTTACTCTATACGAACATCAAAACTCAACTAAGTACTAGTAGGTATGCACATATGGAACTTCTCAAATCTAGATTAGTTCTTACCATTGGAAATAATAACACGATTAGGTAGCGCCTTGCTAACTATTTTTGTTTCATCGTCCCGTCCCAAACATCGACACCGGCGTATGTCTCACAGAGAAGGCGAATCTCATTGCCATTTCTAGCATCGTTTTTCTTATTGTTCCTGTCAATTCAATTGCAACTCATTGTAACTCTACACCCGACGCCCGGGCCACCAACCCCTTACGAGGTTCAAGTTCTTTGTTTTCCCTAGCGGCGCAGAATTTTCTTTCCATTTGCCACCACCTGGTGGACAGTAGAGCTGGGAGGTGGCTCTACCATATTAGATTTCCACCTTGCCGCGCTAAACCCCAGAGAGGAAAAGCCGGGCTCTAGCCAAGTTAGCAGCCGAGTCGGCCCCATCCATCCATCCACCCCCAACAAAGGCCGAGACTGATCTAGCGTCGTTCATCTGACCAGCCTGCCGCGATCGTCCCTGGGCCTGCAGTCCAAGGCTCGTTGATCTCTCCAGATTTTTCACTCCCTCTTCAAACATGTCCATGCCCCTCCCCCACTCCTACTTCCCCAGGGACCACAAATCCCATGCCCACCCCTCCTAGAGAGGGGTATCGCGTCCAGAGGAGGGGGAGGACCCATGCATCTCCGGGCGTTCATCCTCAATTCGCATTTAGCTTTCAAGAAATAGGGTTAGTTGGTCTTATCGGAATCGCAAAAAGTCTCGACCACTCCCAAGCTCCTGCAAGGCCGTAGAAGGTTCAACCATAGCGGCAGCGACAGATCCAGGCGATAACGCCTGTTGGCTGGCCTCCCCCCCCTAATTGCTCACCAAAACCTGTAACAGCCTCCGTGCACTTTTCGTCCGATATCGATCTTGGGATGCACAAAATGCAATGTGCAATCCTTCACTGTGTCGGTGGCCATCCTTCCATTCACCGAAATCGCGTTATGGACAATGTGAGCCCTGAGCATCGGCCCATGCCCCCCTTCTTCTAATCCCTGAGGGCCGAAGCGCCCGAGCGCTCTGACCATTCTGTGTCAACGTCAACAGCGATTCCATCTCTGGGATTGGTAGTCTCGTTCGGAGAGTTCAGCCCTAGATCTTAGTCTCTCGACACATCGCCGTGCTTACTCAATGTTTACTCTATAACTTTGATTATGATTTTTGTGGAGATCGACAAGAGCTGCTTGAAACTCTCTTACATCGGTTTACTTCTCTAATTCCCCAGGACCCTGGACTGATCGCCTAGATTCACACCGCTCGCGCGCCAGTTGCTTCAATAGCTGGAGCCGATCGCCCCTTCAGTGCCCTTTTAGCTATCTTTTCACTCACCGGAGACCATTCTCGCCTGGGCCTCCATACGGCCCCCGCCTAGACGCTCTGGTGGCTGCAATGGCTGAAGCTAGCGGAGGAGCTCTTCTTTCGGCAGGCTTGCTCCCGAGCACAGTCCACAATTAGCCCTTTGATCTAGGAACCATTGCAATGGTGAAACGAGCAATCAATTTGTCTATCGCCGCTATATTGCCTAGACGCCGCCGAGTGCAGACCTCGATGTCTAGCCCGCCGCCACACGATTGCCACTAAGACTCGAATTGATGAATGGGAATCACTCAATGGCTTGAGACGGGAAAGTCGATCGCGCGTCGTCAGGCTAGGCATGTATACGGAGAACGAATATACACATACCCCGCGGTGGATCATTCCCCAAACGTCAATCTTTTGGGAACGCACACCATCCATGTTGGGGGTGAGTTGACGTGCG